CAGCCCGCTAGGTGAACGAGTGACCGAACTACCGCTGCTGTCCAGACCACACAGCCCGCTAGGTGAACAAGTGACCGAACTACCACTACTATCCAGACCACACAGCCCGCTAGGTGAACAAGTGACCGAACTACCACTACTATCCAGACCACACAGCCCGCTAGGTGAACAAGTGACCGAACTACCGCTGCTGTCCAGACCACACAGCCCGCTAGGTGAACAAGTGACCGAACTACCACTACTATCCAGACCACACAGCCCGCTAGGTGAACAAGTGACCGAACTACCACTACTATCCAGAACGCACAGACCGCTAGGTAAACGAGTGACCGAACTACCGTTGCTGTCCAGAGCACACAACCCGCTAGGTGAACGAGTGACCGAACTACCGCTGCTGTCCAGACCACACAGCCCGCTAGGTGAACAAGTGACCGAACTACCACTACTATCCAGAACGCACAGACCGCTAGGTAAACGAGTGACCGAACTACCGCTGCTGTCCAGACCACACAACCCGCTAGGTGAACGAGTGACCGAACTACCGCTGCTGTCCAGACCACACAGCCCGCTAGGTGAACAAGTGACCGAACTACCACTACTATCCAGACCACACAGCCCGCTAGGTGAACGAGTGACCGAACTACCGCTGCTGTCCAGACCACACAGCCCGCTAGGTGAACGAGTGACCGAACTACCGCTGCTGTCCAGACCACACAGCCCGCTAGGTGAACGAGTGACCGAACTACCGCTGCTGTCCAGACCACACAGCCCGCTAGGTGAACAAGTGACCGAACTACCACTACTATCCAGACCACACAGCCCGCTAGGTAAACGAGTGACCGAACTACCGCTGCTGTCCAGACCACACAACCCGCTAGGTGAACGAGTGACCGAACTACCGCTGCTGTCCAGACCACACAGCCCGCTAGGTGAAACAAGTGACCGAACTACCACTACTATCCAGAACGCACAGACCGCTAGGTGAACGAGTGACCGAACTACCGTTGCTGTCCAGAGCACACAACCCGCTAGGTGAACGAGTGACCGAACTACCGCTGCTGTCCAGACCACACAGCCCGCTAGGTGAACAAGTGACCGAACTACCACTACTATCCAGAACGCACAGACCGCTAGGTAAACGAGTGACCGAACTACCGTTGCTGTCCAGAGCACACAACCCGCTAGGTGAACGAGTGACCGAACTACCGCTGCTGTCCAGACCACACAGCCCGCTAGGTAGACAAGTGACCGAACTACCACTACTATCCAGAACGCACAGACCGCTAGGTAAACGAGTGACCGAACTACCGTTGCTGTCCAGAGCACACAACCCGCTAGGTGAACGAGTGACCGAACTACCGCTGCTGTCCAGACCACACAGCCCGCTAGGTGAACAAGTGACCGAACTACCACTACTATCCAGACCACACAGCCCGCTAGGTAAACGAGTGACCGAACTACCGCTGCTGTCCAGACCACACAACCCGCTAGGTGAACGAGTGACCGAACTACCGCTGCTGTCCAGACCACACAACCTGCTAGGTGAACGAGTGACCAAACTACCACTACTATCCAGACCACACAGCCCGCTAGGTGAACAAGTGACCGAACTACCACTACTATCCAGACCACACAGCCCGCTAGGTGAACAAGTGACCGAACTACCACTACTATCCAGACCACACAGCCCGCTAGGTGAACAAGTGACCGAACTACCACTACTATCCAGACCACACAGCCCGCTAGGTGAACAAGTGACCGAACTACCACTACTATCCAGAACGCACAGACCGCTAGGTAAACGAGTGACCGAACTACCGCTGCTGTCCAGACCACACAACCCGCTAGGTGAACGAGTGACCGAACTACCGCTGCTGTCCAGACCACACAACCCGCTAGGTAAACAAGTGACCGAACTACCACTACTATCCAGAACGCACAGACCGCTAGGTAAACGAGTGACCGAACTACCGTTGCTGTCCAGAGCACACAACCCGCTAGGTGAACGAGTGACCGAACTACCGCTGCTGTCCAGACCACACAGCCCGCTAGGTGAACAAGTGACCGAACTACCGCTGCTGTCCAGACCACACAGCCCGCTAGGTAAACGAGTGACCGAACTACCGCTGCTGTCCAGACCACACAACCCGCTAGGTGAACGAGTGACCGAACTACCGCTGCTGTCCAGACCACACAGCCCGCTAGGTGAACGAGTGACCGAACTACCGCTGCTGTCCAGACCACACAGCCCGCTAGGTGAACAAGTGACCGAACTACCACTACTATCCAGACCACACAGCCCGCTAGGTAAACGAGTGACCGAACTACCGCTGCTGTCCAGACCACACAACCCGCTAGGTGAACGAGTGACCGAACTACCGCTGCTGTCCAGACCACACAGCCCGCTAGGTAAACAAGTGACCGAACTACCACTACTATCCAGAACGCACAGACCGCTAGGTAAACGAGTGACCGAACTACCGTTGCTGTCCAGAGCACACAACCCGCTAGGTGAACGAGTGACCGAACTACCGCTGCTGTCCAGACCACACAGCCCGCTAGGTAAACAAGTGACCGAACTACCACTACTATCCAGAACGCACAAACCGCTAGGTAAACGAGTGACCGAACTACCGTTGCTGTCCAGAGCACACAACCCGCTAGGTGAACGAGTGACCGAACTACCGCTGCTGTCCAGACCACACAACCCGCTAGGTAGACAAGTGACCGAACTACCACTACTATCCAGAACGCACAGACCGCTAGGTAAACGAGTGACCGAACTACCGTTGCTGTCCAGAGCACACAACCCGCTAGGTGAACGAGTGACCGAACTACCGCTGCTGTCCAGACCACACAGCCCGCTAGGTGAACAAGTGACCGAACTACCACTACTATCCAGACCACACAGCCCGCTAGGTAAACGAGTGACCGAACTACCGCTGCTGTCCAGACCACACAACCCGCTAGGTGAACGAGTGACCGAACTACCGCTGCTGTCCAGACCACACAACCTGCTAGGTGAACGAGTGACCAAACTACCACTACTATCCAGACCACACAGCCCGCTAGGTGAACAAGTGACCGAACTACCACTACTATCCAGACCACACAGCCCGCTAGGTGAACAAGTGACCGAACTACCACTACTTTCCAGAACGCACAGACCGCTAGGTAAACGAGTGACCGAACTACCGTTGCTGTCCAGAGCACACAACCCGCTAGGTGAACGAGTGACCGAACTACCGCTGCTGTCCAGACCACACAACCCGCTAGGTAAACAAGTGACCGAACTACCACTACTATCCAGAACGCACAGACCGCTAGGTAAACGAGTGACCGAACTACCGTTGCTGTCCAGAGCACACAACCCGCTAGGTGAACGAGTGACCGAACTACCGCTGCTGTCCAGACCACACAGCCCGCTAGGTGAACAAGTGACCGAACTACCACTACTATCCAGACCACACAGCCCGCTAGGTAAACGAGTGACCGAACTACCGCTGCTGTCCAGACCACACAACCCGCTAGGTGAACGAGTGACCGAACTACCGCTGCTGTCCAGACCACACAGCCCGCTAGGTAAACAAGTGACCGAACTACCACTACTATCCAGAACGCACAGACCGCTAGGTAAACGAGTGACCGAACTACCGTTGCTGTCCAGAGCACACAACCCGCTAGGTGAACGAGTGACCGAACTACCGCTGCTGTCCAGACCACACAGCCCGCTAGGTAAACAAGTGACCGAACTACCACTACTATCCAGAACGCACAGACCGCTAGGTAAACGAGTGACCGAACTACCGTTGCTGTCCAGAGCACACAACCTGCTAGGTGAACGAGTGACCGAACTACCGCTGCTGTCCAGACCACACAGCCCGCTAGGTGAACAAGTGACCGAACTACCACTACTATCCAGACCACACAGCCCGCTAGGTGAACGAGTGACCGAACTACCGCTGCTGTCCAGACCACACAGCCCGCTAGGTGAACAAGTGACCGAACTACCACTACTATCCAGACCACACAGCCCGCTAGGTGAACAAGTGACCGAACTACCACTACTATCCAGACCACACAGCCCGCTAGGTGAACAAGTGACCGAACTACCACTACTATCCAGACCACACAGCCCGCTAGGTGAACAAGTGACCGAACTACCACTACTATCCAGACCACACAGCCCGCTAGGTGAACAAGTGACCGAACTACCACTACTTTCCAGACCACACAGCCCGCTAGGTGAACAAGTGACCGAACTACCACTACTATCCAGACCACACAGCCCGCTAGGTGAACAAGTGACCGAACTACCACTACTATCCAGACCACACAGCCCGCTAGGTGAACGAGTGACCGAACTACCGCTGCTGTCCAGACCACACAGCCCGCTAGGTGAACAAGTGACCGAACTACCACTACTATCCAGAACGCACAGACCGCTAGGTAAAGGAGTGACCGAACTACCACCAGCATCTATTGCAAGCATCCTTTAGTGGAAATTTAGTACCTGGTAGACTCCATCAAGGTCGGGAGGGAGAAGTTAACAAAAATTCCCTTCTGAGTGAAAGTGAATGCGTCTGAGTGCACAAAAGCCATAAATTCACTTTTTATTCTATCTGCGTTTTAGCGTATTTTCGGATCATTTTGTTTCGTTGAAGGAATAAGATGTTAACTAAATAGCTGATCGAAATCATTTGAATAAACCGGCCGTAGACTGGAGACCACAAGAAAAGCGGAGGCGAAGCCGAGGCTGTTTCTTGTATATTAATATTGTACAGATTGTACCCATATACTGTACAATATTGTACCCACTGACCATATTAATATTATTATGTGCATATGCGCGGATCGTTACAAGGATAAGCGACTCTGCAAATGTGATTAATGTTACGTCACAAGTATCTTGCCCTTAGACTAGAGTAGTGATGTGCAAGTGAACTGGTCAGCGGTCACTGTTTTCTTTCGAATAATAGTCAGTCGGGTCGAATCGGGGATTTTATTAATAGTTATAGTCTGCAACCTAATTGTACAAAACCCCAAAACAGCCAGAGCTCTTGCATACAAAAATGGTACAACTTACAGTTTCCACCGCACGTAACGTACGGAGTTCACCTACAGATTACACCACACATAAAAAGGACCATAATGCATTTATCCATTTATCTTTTAAGAATCTGACTAGGCAGCATTGTAATCAGCACAACAACGGATTGTCGTGACGAGAGACACTCAGTACAAATTCATCGGTTCCGAAAACAGCCACTCCGCATTAGCGACATCTATCTACAAACTTCATTACGGAATCGGTGCATTAATGTGCAGCTTAATCCCATGCAGATTGCCGTCGGAGGCACCGGAGTCCTCATCAATAAAAGCCGGTTCATCCTCCTCGGCCGTGCAACTCAACATGGTCACTGGCGACGTATCACACGAGTTGCTGGCGTGGCTGGCAGCGACCGAAGCCGTCTCCAGGGGCGGCGGCACTTTCACGGGGACCAACAGGGAAGACACGGGATGGATGCCGCTCATACCGGCCGTCGAGAGCAATGCATCCGCCGAATGGGGCGGCGACAGGTGGTCGTCGGCGCTGGTGTTGACCAGGAGAGCATCTGCCATGCCACTGCCGCCCGGTGAGCCCTCCTCCACCGTCTTCATCAGGCCCAGATCGGAGAAGCCGCGGGCGATGGGCCGCAAGGGACGCGGCAGTAAAAGGTCACCTTGGCCTCGCCCGGCGGCAGCGGCGGCGGTGGCCGTGGTGGTGTTGGCGTCGCCCAGCGGAATGTTGACGAAGACGGGATCACTTGACTGGTGATTGAGCAGTATGGGACGAAGTTTTGCCGGTTTCTGCGGTGGATTAGCTCGTTTGGCGCCGCCGCCGGCCTCGCTTGATGCAGGATTCCCTGGAGAAGTCTCGTTTGGTGTCTGGTTACGCTGATGGAGCAGTAGATCGACCAGTGTGTCAATTTTCCCTTCAATATCGTCAACCTAGAAAGCCAAGTATGTTTTTTTACTTCTCCGTTGTGCGCTACGTTCAGTGCCGATTTAATGCACCAGCGCTGCTTCCTTGTCCTCACTATCGATTATCTAATTCTCCATTTTTCTACTTCCGGCAACTATGTTTGACAATTGACTGAGGTTTTTTTCAACAAATATCGCTTCGTTTGCTACATACTGACGGAACTGACAAAGCGGAACATCCTTCATACACAGCTCATTAATATGTCGAATTAGGATACATCTTTATATTATCCCTTTTGGAAACGATTGATTTTGAAACGGGCACGCTTCTATCATTTTGACTTTACGCGGTCGATGATGACTTCAAGTCAGCGCTTGTGTTTATTGCACCACTTTAAAGTTATTTCACCGCAGTAGCGATTGATCGCTCATTACGTTACGGCGTAAATTAATATCGGTTAAAAGCTTACATACGTACCAATGTTTTATAGATAATTGTGGTGAAACAGTTTTAGCTATAGCTACTGGAAAACATACTTACTTGTCTCTCTATTTTGACGATTCGAGAGGCCAAAGATACCTTAGAATCGTAAACATCGAGGGATTTGCTGTTCTGCTTTCCCAAAATTTGATCACAACTGTAAATCAATAAAACTGCGAAAATATATATCTCGTCGTGGCTATACATAATATCATAATACTGATATTTAATTGGACTGCTGCTCATAAGTAGGGGCTATAGTAATGTTACTTTGAATTAAAAACATACCGAAATTACTCGCGATTCTGCTACTAAAATTGCTCGCAATGCGGAAGTCTCTGAGATGAAATTACGGTTTCTTGTTTACTTCTATATAATAGACTATGGCAGGGGAATTTTCATAATGATTGAAAACTACTATGAAATGAAACATTTAATCAAACAGGCAAGCATACCGCGCTTGGAGATTTTTCACTCTGGCCAGAAGGTCAACATGCCCCGCTGAATACTGCTCAATAACATCCTTAACGTCATAAGGTTTTAAGGCTTCTCGAAATTTTCTCTTGGCCACAAAGTACTTCATCTTTCTGATGGCGCGGATGGCTCGCCGTTGCACATCCGTCAGTTGATAATTTCCTCCTATGTCCACCGATGCGGCGTCTTCATCATCTGCAGTGAATATATATGTACATATGGGATAAGCCTTGTGCGTCAGTTAATCACACTTTGAGCCGCTATCTTCCAGGTACGTGTAAAGGTCAAGCATAACATCAGGCGGAAGTTAACTCCGTTACTATGTTTACTGCGTCTTATATGCTGTTTTTAATACGCCTTTTTGCAATAATTGATGACGCTTATATTTATACATTAATACGGATTTCATCTTATTATAATTGATCTCCACCAAATCCTGTCTGATTGTAGATTGGTAACCGTTGTGAGTTTCCAACAGTCATATATGCCTCATGCGTAACGAAATTTCCGCCGATTTTCACACATTAAAGCTTTTTTTGTACGCATAAAACTTCCAGCACATTTTGAATGGCGTGCAAATGAACATCTGGAAAAGCCTGTGAATTTTTTTTCTGCAGCACTTGCCATTTGATTGGGCGGCATCGCAGCGCAGCTGTATTACGTAAGCGCGCATTTGGGAGCGTCATTAAAGTTTTATTTTGCCGCTTCATGACTCTGCTGGGCTCACTAATAGCACGAAAGCGGCATTTGCAAGGCTACCTTCTGTCATACATTGATACCGGAAACCTGATAGGTCTTGTTAAATTTTTGACAAACAACTAGGTGTGATGACCGGCCTTCTCGTCGTTTGTCACCCGTCCAACTCTGGTGTGTACACACTGTTCCCAAGTTGACATTATCGAAAGAAAAGTTTTCGATTTTTTATAATAAACATTTGCAATATCGAACGTTGCTATATATAACGAAGGTATGCTTCCGTAATCAGTTTATATTCGCAAAACTCGAAAATATTCTGTAAAACATATACTGTTGGTATAAATTTGAAGAATATTCATAACTTTTTCAGATATCATCGAAGTCAGATCCTACATGAAAAAGAGTATTATGATCATGTTCAAGTTCAAACGAGTGGCGATTGATTTCACGGCATAATATCTCAATATTACGTTATGGAGTCTTGCAATTAATTACCGCATAATGCAAATTGACGTACTTCTGCCCACTGATTACCTAACTGCGGCACACCGTCAAATTTTGAGCGTCAGTTAATACCTTTTGAAAGCTAAAGGCCGTTTCTTGTATCCCATGTGGCGGCCCGCCCCATAAGGAACGATTCTGTTCAAAATCGGTTTTGTACCTCACATACAAGGGAATTGATGGGATACGCATATGGCGCAGTGCTCATTGTACGGTTGCAGCTCCGGATCGAAAACAGCGGGCATTGTAGTTCGTTTGCGCGTTTGGAATTAGTATGTACGAGTACTAATCTAGTACTTGACAGTATAGATATGGGATAGATAGAGTCATTCATGGTTTGCTGTTTTGTCATCAATTTTATGGCGTGAGGATTTAAACAGCTTACGCATATAAAAAGCCGCCGGATTTAATCCTAATCAGCCTAAAATTCTCAATGCCCACCTGGATCCAATGCTTTGCGGATATCTTCCGTCCGCGTCAGCGCCATCCGCCGACCTTGCAGCGTGGCCGGATTACTGCCCTCCTGCCCAGGGCGGTTGGCCTGTGCATCCAGCGGTGCACTGAGCGTCTTGCGGGCGGAATTATCCCGTCTCAGCAGATCGGCCGCCGAAGAGCTTTTGCCGTGAATACTGCGGGAGGGCGTGGCACTTAAGGCACTACTTTTCCCGGCGGACGCGCCCCCAGTGGGCGGTGAGCCGGCATTTGCTCCGGGTGGCCCGACATGGTTGGCATGGGAGTATTTCGGGCGTTTGATGGTTGAGAAGCGACTGACGAAGGACGTGGAAGAGTGGTGGAATTTGGAGGTGGTCGTGGGCACCACGGCCACACTCTGTTGCCGGAGTCCGCGCAGATGCGGCTCCCATGTGGCGATGGAGCGGGAGCGCTCGTCGGCGGCGTAGCAGCGCCACATGCACTGGATGAGCAGGGCAGCGGGGTTCCGGCGACGGATGAGGTGTTTTTGGCGCTGCTGCTGTTGGACTTTCAGCGCAAACCCCGAACCAAGAATGCTCTGTAAAGAAAAGGCAGAACGGTATATGTCACGTGGGCATCCTGGGTGACAGTTGCCGTAGGTGAGACAAAATTAATTACCGCAGGCAATGCAAAAAAGGAAATTCCCATCATTGCACAGATTCCGGCAATTAACTTGCCTTTCCATGTTGCCGGCACAGTGTCGCCATAACCCACGGTTGCTAATGTTATCTGGCAAAGAGGAGAAAAAATTATCATACAAGCTGCATTTTTCATCGTATTTCTTGATGCAGCTTTAATATTATGCACAAAAATACAAAATTTTACTTCAAACATATTTATCAGATGCCATCACTTTCCCGACTAGTGAAGACTGTCATATAGAATCCTTTCTCACAAAATTTTAACATTAGTATTTGTGCGTACAGCAGTAAAGTTCATTGTAATACGTGTCGAATAAGCTGAAAATTGCGAATGGTTAAAATTACTGTAATGGATGTTTGCAGGTATATAGGTACTTACGACGCCCCACCAAAGCGCATCGGCAAAAGTGTTGAAATGGTTTTTCTTCTCTTTACAATTATCAATCCATACGCACCATGCGCAGAATTTGAAAGAAGCGCAGACCGCGCAATGCTGACGCGGCAAACACTTGGCCATGACTGCCGATTCCCAGTACAATAATCGAGGCCACAATTACGATGGTATCTGTACCGGAAGACAGGGAAAAACACACATATATACAGATCAGCTGGTGCTCGGAAGATCGCAGAACGTAATCAACTGCAACGCGCCGCGCTGGTGCGCCAATTGTTCCGCTGGACGGAGCGTGTTAATCCGGTTAACAAAAATTCCCCGCCGTATTAGACGCAGTGCATTATGCCGGTCAATTTTGGGCACAGAACAACGGTACAAGTACACCAGAATTTTTATCATAAAACATTTCCTATTCTCTATTGTTACGAAAATTGTAAATTAAGACAGAACTACGTAGAACTGCCGAGTGCCGACCAGATGAAAAAATCGTTATGCGCTGGGCTATTACGTTTCAAATAATTTTCATTGGTGCAGTCGTTTTAAACGATTTGAAATTCACGGTTGGTTCTTGTAGAGTTCAAAATAATATAATAGGTAGGCCACGTTTGATTGCAGAATTTGTGAACAATTTTATTATGCAAGCGGAACACTGGCGCTATAATTCGATAACTTGTTAGCGGAAGCAAATAAAAATGCTAGATTGGTAAGCATAGCCTAGCAAAATTTACATGGCTAAACTTTATGTACAACATTTCCTGAAGAGTTGATCGTATTATTACTTACAAGTTACAAGTAACAACAATCAAAATTTGCATATTTAACTTGGAAAATGTTTTTTTGCGATCAATACAACAACAATCAATAAAAAAGTCTAGCGCTTTGTCGACAGTTCACCGGCTGTATACAGATACAGTGCTGTAGCTACAGTAGTTATTGTCACAACAATGCCCTTTTGGGGTATTTTTACCAGCCAATCATCACTGGCAGCTGCATCTTTTGAGCACGCATATGACAGTCGACGGCAGAACGAGCGATCGCGACCACCTACCTATAATCGTGAACGGTCTTTTAAAGAACAAAATCCTTCCCTGGACGCCCTGGTAGCGGGACCGGCATCCCACCGACCACATACGCAGAAGAAATTCAACCGTAAACCAGACAACGATGATCAATTCCTGTAAAAAAAATTCAACATGACCACTAGGAAAAGGGAAACAGAGAGAGAAAGAGAACAGCGAATGCCGGCACCATATCATTATGGGCCTATCGATTATCGAATTTGTGGATTTGAGTTAGCCGCACTGTGTGTAGAATTTGCGCTAGAGAAGCGTTGTCATGTGTAATCAGCAATTCGGGCCCCATGTATTACGTATGAAACACGGATAACATCCCGGGCAAATAAAATTTACTGTATGTATGAAAAATTTGATGTTCCAAAACAACGCAAAAATCCAGCATTAGCGTTTGTTTAATTGATTACCGGGTAAGACTACAGCATTACGTACAAAACCTTCATGTTTTGTAAAACAAAATGTGCGGCTAATTTCATCTGAGGTGGTTTTGGTCGTACAACTGATCACAAGAATGTACAAAGCTTAGATATTTTGTTACGTTTTATGGCATTGTGGAAAAACCCATTAGATAAATTACTGATTTTCTTGTGTCCGTTCCGCGGTTAAAATTAGCAAGATTGTCATAGAGTCATGCGAATGCATGCTAACTACTGACAGGAAGTATGAGGAAAATTAACGCCGATATCACACAAAAATTTGGCTGTCAATAAATCAAAATCTGGAATTCTTTCCGAAGTAACGCAGTACATACCATCCAGAAGAGGGGCTGCTGTGTGGAATCTTCGAAATCCGGCACAGTCGAGATGACTGTCAAGCAAAAACATCCAAAAACGAGAGCAAAACTGTAAATTACAACACAGTGCTTTTTTATGAGCCGCATGGAGAAGTCTAAAATTATCTATTTGATCCGTCATGAATGAGCGCTTTCAATTCATATATAATGGGGCTGTTCGTAAAAACTTTAGAAAAAGTACTTGAGTTCCAACATCGATCCTATAGCTACCGCTACGTACAATGACACAGCATTTTATCAAACTATAAGTTTTCAAAAGTCGCCATTTATTCGTACGCTTTTTCGCGATGGGTGTTTTTGTTTTTCTAAGCGAGACTCTTCCAAACTACATTTTTCTAAACGAAAGAGGACTGCCGGGGGATGCCACTGATTGTTAGAGTAGTAACTGACAAAAATACGGTACTTATTAATACGTGAACATATTTTCCCATGATTTATATTAACTTTTCTCATTCCTTCAGCCAAAAGTTTCATACGACCTGGATAATTATGTATGGATTAAATTTGGGAGATACCCGTAATTTATTTACAAACGGTATATATTAAGTTTGTTATAGCTGCCTTTGCTGCTTGATCATTGATATTATTATTACAATCATAAATTATGCTAAACTCTGTATTGTATGTGACTACGTATTCGTATTCGACGATTCGTACAACTCGCGTATACGGCCTTAAAGACACCATGCACATTGCTTACAAATAGAGTAAAATATTATTATTGTGTCATCGATTACTATATTTTAATATCGATAAGTAAGTACATGTTTCACTAAGTCTCACTTTAAGCAGCCTGAACAGCCAAAATATTACATGTATTTCGACAAAAATGTTTGTTGAAACAACATACTCATGTGATTATACAATCACAAATCCAGCCGACAAGATTTCTACCACTTCCGGTGGAGACAGTCACCGGAGCAATGAAAACCAGAGGAATGATGGACAACATCATGCAAACGTACAGCAAGAAACGGTAAACCGTAACACATATATTTTAAAACCGCCTATTGAAAAATTTTGCATACTAAGTCATATAAGTTACGAATTGTAATAAAGTGCTCGTATGTGTGGACTTTGCAGTCCGTGGATGTACGACTTTATATGCGAATGGGCGACTGGAACATCATCTATATCCAAGCATATCTGTATATTACCGGGGCCGTGGCGCTAAAGTGATCTGTGAATAGAGTTGTGAAAAAACCGGAAGACAATCCCTGGGAGACCAGCCCGGGCCCATCAGTCGCTGGCAGGGAATGCCGGGCAACAGATAAAATAAGCATAACGTGCGTCCTCTTAAGGCAGTTGGCTGCCTTAACGCTTCCAGCAAATATTGGTAAACTGAATAATAAAACGATCTGCCTAGGGAATCGCCCCGGCCTAACAATCTTCCTCTTTCCGCGCACGCAATTCTTCCGGCGTATATACACAGTAGAAACAACTTGCCCTACAATTCCTCCATTTAGCTATGGAATTGTCTGTATGGCACTGCTATCTGTATTGTACAAGCCGGGGAAAAAATTAGGCAAAGAGTGTATGTCACACTCGAATTAGCAGCAACTTCCTGCACCATATCGGCGCGCGGAGGCCGTGGTCGCGTGAGTTTAAGCCACAGCAGTCATTTAATTTCGGGACCCAGTCCTTTTCATATGTGTGCCGTCTCAGTTGGGAACTTGGGAATACCAAAACCCTTACTAATTTCGCTCGTCAATTGAAAAATAGCCGCATTTTGGTCAACAATTCGATACTTTATGAATGATTTGTGGTGCACCGATGTAGTCCGTAACTGTACTTATTTGTACTTACAGCTGCGGCTTTAATTCTTAATAAAAATTTCAGTTTGTGTGGCGGCTCAGGATGACGTAAGAAAAACCGCAATAACCCGAGATTGTCGCAGGTGGTGACAGATGTGATAAAAATGTCACAGTGACTATGTGGCCATGTTGTATTGCACAATATGAAAAACGCAATCGCTGCGCTACAACGCGGATTAAACGATTAAAAGTTATTTTCTGCAGGCAGGCTGCCGTGAAGTACCATAATTCATCGTGTCAGTGGTTAGAAGCGGATACGAAGTCCATTATACTCTATCCCCGAGTATAGGCCCATCATCTAATTCCGCCGTACGCCACCGCCGTCTCATGATCCCGACTACAATGGACTTCTTTACGGAAGCACGGGCTGAGGTTGCCTGAGCTGGCAAAAGACGTCAGCATCGCGAGCGCGCGCGGTTACTCAGGCGGTTGCGGTGGGCCGACACGCGACGGCCATCTTTCCGCCACTGACCTTTTGACACTGACGGCATCGTAATTATGCACTAACTTAATGCGCGAGACATAAATGTAGCGCTTGCAGTAATTATGGAGTCACACTAGATGTGACTTTTGCTGAAACCGAAATAAGAAACGTTTAATTCAGGGAAAGTGACAAGGAAAAATTCAAATGGAATGCAAACACTGCTAGTCTGCAACGCAAATAAAATTTCCCAAATAAATTTTCCCATTTCCCATAAATCGACGACCCGTAAACCGCTTGAACCAAAGTATTGCAGTGGAAGTAAAACATTTTATACTAAAATTCTTTTTTAAATTAAAACAGTGATTTCAATAAACATTAAATATTAATAAGGTAATTGCATAGCAGACATTTCAAGGATTTGAAAGAGCGCAGACTTTAGCACGCATAATTATACAGCCGAATTTTTCGTCACGTGTGTGCCAAAAATAAAGTTGTCTGTAAGCGTAATTTTATGACACAGCATTATCAATGTTACTAAAGAGATGTCTCTCATCCCCAAATTTTTATGTTGACCTAGTAGCGATAAAGCAGTCAAATGCGCAATATGTCGATGCAACATCCTGCATTGTTCAGCACTCAGTTATAGATTGGGAAAATTGACTAAACAAGATCGGCTCGTGAGTCGACAAGGCAACATCTACATATCCGTACATATCTGCCGACCAGGGCTTCTGCAACGTGCATCATCAATCTTGTTTCTTTTACGTTCATTCAGCTGATCATGAATCCTGTCTGAAGAGGACGCTCTGTGTGAACCAAAGTAAAAAAGACTTGCGGCATCACTCTATCATCTCCCGGCATCCGCTCGCTCGTTCTCTGTGTACTCGCATATTGTGTGTATTGTATCCACAGAGGAAAATGGCTAGTGCACCATACAACGGAGTACAAAATGCGCACAGGAAAAGGCTTTAAACTGTTGGCACTTCGCATCATTTGACATAAATGTACGCGACTAGCCCGACTAGCTGTCGGGTTTAAGCCATAGTAATTGTCGTAAAACGCATACGAGTATGAAACCCAGCTAGACAGGGCACAGCCAACATGGCTTAATAAAACATGGAAGAGACTAAAAACATATAATACTCCCATTGTCGCACCATACGGCAGCCCGCTGAAAATAGCTGCCGCTCATTCGCAAGGTTATCATCGGGACGATAGAGAGAATGTAAACGATTATTTTATGATGAATGACACATTTGAACGTACACAGTCGCATCTGGCATGCGCGCTACTTCTTGCAAAAAATTTACACATGCACTCTCCAATCGTTTTGTTTTTACAAATAAATTTACAATATAAAATTCAGTATTCGTATTACAAATTTTATAGGTGGTAATTAATACTGAACTTTTACTCGGATGTCCGAAAGCAATTTACAAAAACAGTTACTTCCAGCTTTGATTAATTTTTATTTTGCTGGATCGAAAATTCGAAGCATTTCCGAGGGGGAAAATCCCTGACGTGGCTAATCGTTGAGCGTATTTAATTTACACATTGCCGTTCTCGCGCGCGTCACTTAAACCAGAAAGGCAGCCACACTGGCAGCAGTGCATACAACCAGGGAAAAGGTCAAATTTGTAGCACATTGAAACAGAATCCGGAATATGTCAACAGAAGTTTCAGTAAATATTATCACCGCTGTGAAATGCATCCAGCATCGCGAGATGCTGCTGAATACTGCGGAACGAACCCCGCAGAATCTACTCTAGATGCCGCTGCGAGGAAACATATGTCACCGATTACAACCAGTCACGTTCCGGGCTATGGTAATTGGATATACAGCGCAGCAGTTCGGCGTTGTGGCTGGTTCTGCGCGCACGCGCGCAAACGCCTGTTTTGGCAATCAGCTCCGGCGCCAAAGGTGCATTTTATATACAGTGGCGAATATAAACGTTCCTGTGGACATTAATCACTGGGCACGATATTACGGTTTGCATTGGGAAACGGCGCACACTGGAGAGTCGCGCGTCCCGTAAACGACTTCCGGCGGAAATTCGCTAGCCCACACCGATTGTGCTACTGCATGTGTTGGGCGCAGTACGTATACTGGATCGGCAAACACCAGACCAAGAAAACCTAGTTCCAGCGCGTACCCATGTCTGTTTGTATATTGGTTTGGCGTTTCTATCAAATTTAATAGTTTTGAAATAACGCATATATACCAAATAATAATTATTAAAATTAAAACATATCTGGATTTACTAAAACTGGATATTTACGGATATATATAAATTTTTATTGTATTTTATCAAAAACGCAATACAAAATCATCCGAAAAAATATCGGACCGTACCGTCTCCATCCTTTGAACTATTGTTAATTAATTAAATTTTATTTAACTAGCGTTGTAGTCAATTGAGCACCATGAGCGCCACGTGGCAATAATTAGCAAATATTGTTATTAGATGCTTTATAGTTTTAAGGAATCGTTTAACAAGACTGCGTACGGGTCAGTTTTGCGTGTAATTAAAAATGAAAGAACGGTGGGAACGTTAGCCGACGCTTGATCGTCCGGGATGCTGCAGCAAATTCCCCGGCGCGAGAATGGCCCATACAATATATATCTTGGGATAAACATAATCTCCTTAGCTTTGCTTTGAGCTGTAAACTGGAATTTAATTTGTCCGATCTGCCTGGATGTCAATGGTGATAATCTAGCAGGTATTCTCTGTGGACCATCCGATCAAACTTCAATCCGGTTATACAGACCCGGCAATATAGTATACACAATACTGTCTTTTGCCGGCGCTTCTGAATTACCAAATTATCTCGAGTGGAGGAGTGAATTTTGTGCATTGCCAAAGAAAGGTCAAATTAGTCTAGCAGATCAGCTGGAGAATGAAGGTAATTTGTTTATCGATTATAGTGCCCGTACGCGCAGCGCGGGCCACAACAACATTTTGTACATACAGCGTACAACACATTTGTTGAGCCTTTGTCGGCTTAACGCGGGACTGCGTTGTGTCTATGGTTGCGAGATTGGCCCCGCGTCAGATGAATTTGCATAACCATCCCCCAGCTTCCTGTTATATAAAAATAGCCGACCCAGCTGTAAAACCGTCAAAAACACCGATTCGTAGTTAAAATTGTATTCCCTTATCTCGTGGTGGTTATCCAAAACTAGTGGCCGCTGCTACAAACGCGTAATTGCTTTTTAAAAACGAAAATACACATTCATCTGCTCATTTAAATGCAACGAAAGTCCATCATAATATTTAAAAAAATAGTATCTAATTTTTTAACAAAATGTTTTGCTTTGACAAATTATCTGTTGCAAGGTACTAGCGTAAAAATGCATGATTTCGAATAACACAAACTAAAATTTTTAAAAAAAAGTACAGATATAATAGACGTCTGTGACTCTGTATACTGTACAATTGCATCTGTATACAGACACTGAGACACATATAAATATAAATATCTTATAAATTACAGTATAAAATATCTAATACGCGCACAATGCAGATATATTATTATTATCCAAAGAGCTTTCTGCAGTGCTGCATATTTTTTTTACTTGGAGCCAAATAGTTTTTATGCATTCAAATGCAACCAGTAAAGTGATAGCTGAGAAAATGGCTTTTAATCGGAAGTGTTGAGATAGCACCAGATACAGATGCAGTGCATGTGGCTCCATTAATTAATGGGATGCTGCTATGATCCTTACAGGATGCGCATACCGCTTTTAGAAGGGGAAATTTGACTTACACGAGCATATGATAGGCAATGGCCCGGACGCCGCGTGGTCTCTCCAAAAAATTGTAGATCTTGGCTTGGACCTTCCTGTAGAGGAAACCGGCAAAATGGTAATATAGAGATGAAATGAACAGGCACATAATATAGCATTAGACAGCCTGGAGATGCCATCAGTTACATCATCCCTGGCTCAACTGGCCATTAAATGTGACGGATAGCCTACGCGATGCAAATGGACAGCCGGGACATGACGGACTCCGCAAGCGGCGCATATACAGTACTTACATAGCGCCGCACGTTTTTATTAACTACCAGTAGAAGTCAATTTCTTTTAAGATACTCAATTTGCATATACGTACGGCAAAAATGGATCACCAATATGACCATACGATACCGTTATCCGTGTATACCAAATAAAAATTTTAGATTTAACTTTCTGTATATTGACAGGAAGATGCATGTTTAATTATAGTACACTTTTATTAATTCTGGACGTTTTTCCGACTATTGTTTTGAAGCTCTGCTCTCCTGGTTTATATTCACTTGACAGTTGATCATGACATCCATTAAACTTAATTTTGTTGAGATATAGTAACCGTCAGCACTGATGAATTGACGATTTAAATTATTTACAAATTATAATTAAAATTTGACTGCCGACGTAAATGGAAAGTGAGTAATGCAATCCGGCTGCATGTAGCAACAGCTGGCCTATAAATACACACTTATACTCACATCATTATCAACCGAGAAATGGCAAGAAATTACAGATAATCCATAACATCTTCCCATTGCACACCACGGTGCTTATGTGTAAGAATATCCTGGGATATTCCTGTGCATGTGCCAGCAGCTATGTATATTTGTGTCATGCCGATAAATGTAATTGCTTACCGATATCGAGCATCCCGGCGATTATGATGCCGGAGGCTGATAGGTTTACCGTGCAGTGACAAGCGCGGCTGGCGATTGCGCGGATGATTCAGCGCCATCTTCTCGGACTCCTCGATATCACACTGCAGCACAGTCTGGTTGGGCTCCGCCGAGGCACGCCGGCTGCCCCCTCCGGTCCCGCCCACCCCGCCACCCCCACCGCCGCCCACAGGCGTGCTCTGACCACCACCGTTGCCATCGCGGGGCGGCATGACCGGGGAGCGGAGAAAGACTACCTTCTTTTTGGGACGACTCTTGGCATTCACCAGCGATGTCACCGGTGGGATGGGACGCGGGTCATTAACGCCACCGGCCAATGGCTGTAAGGAGGATGCGGAGAGTGTGGGGGAGTCTAGCGTGGACACCCGGCTGGCGGAATCATCCACACTATCCACACCATCACCGACACTGCCGGCACTGCTCGGGATAATAAACACATCCTGATCAATGTCCGACTCATTCACAATGGAATCCTTATCGCCCAGTTGGAAGATACGTGGAGGGATTACATGGGTGGCAGTAATGGCGATATGCCGCTGATCGGCGACAACACTCGAGGCAGGATAATGATTAAGACACTCGACGGACGCAGCGTGATCCGTGCAGCAGCAGTAGGGATGAAGGTTGGTATTGTATGGTGGCGTACGCGGACAGCTAACCTGGTCTAATTCAGCAGGCCCGTTAATAATGTCAGCGCTGGATGAAGTTGAGGCGGGTTGCAGTTGTGCGGCGGCCGTGCCAGCCACGACATTGGCATTCCGACTACTGTCAATATGATAATACTTGGTTGCCTGCTGTTTTTCAATTGGACTCGACTGTAATCGAGGGGATACTGTGGCTAAATTATCCAGTGTGGGCTGCGAAAGAACACTCAACGGTAGAGCCGGCGACGGTTGGTAGTCGTACGTACGTCCACTGGCTACACTGTGATCAACCGGCTGTTGTATAAACGCCTGCGAAAGACCACCACTCAGCGTATACGCACTTGTACGTACACTTGGCATGTGTGTCTGATTGGCTACTTCATCGATTACGTGCGGATATGCTGGATTGGGTTTTCGTTCCTTCTCCGTCATCATTTTCATCATCATTACGCTGGATGCATGGGACGTGGCGTGTGTGTTTTGTGTGTATACGGTATGTGTATGTGTTGCTCTCTTGGTTGTGGATCGCCAAGGCAATTTCCCCTTCACCACGCTACACTGGGTGTCGCGCGCGCGCTGCCTATGAAAGACCCTCTACACAACAGTGCACACACATGGTGCAATTGGCGGAACTGCGCGGGATTCCTTATTGCGTGCCGCGCAGTGGCTGTGTACGTGTTATAACGGTACAGTCGTGGCAATTGTTATCGTAACGTTGCCCTGCCAAAAAGGTTGCCAGGCCGGGTCATTCCCGGGCGCTGGCGCGCCCCTCGCGTCCCTAAACGCAACAATCTCCCATTATGGCTTTGTTTATTGGCTGTAGGCCGCTCCGCTGCCTGCCGTATCACTGAACACGAAGCCGGCCAAATGTCGCTGTGTGTGTGCCGTGTTGTGTATGAATGTGGGTAGCAGGATTACTGTGCCGATCCCGAGAGCTAATTTGCCCGGCCTCAGCTCTGTACCATCCTCCACTCATCAGCACGTCGTCCACCGCCACGGCTATAAAACAAGCGTTTGTTTTAATGACAGTATCAAAGATTGCGTGAGAAATTGTAGGCCCTATTGATTAAAATATAAATTATCCCGGCGCTCGGCTGCGCTGTGACGGGATATAACTTTTATTCTTTTGGATGGTTATGTCATCAGCGGCACTGCGTGAATGCCGCCGCGGGGGGATACTGCGCTAGTGGTGGCTCCCGCCTTTGTGGTTTTGTTTCATCTAATATGGTGATTTTCCTAACTACGAATGCTGTTTTTGCTCAACCTGCAATTTAATAATGTCTTTGCGTAAGAACTATACTGTTGCCGTCTGTGCATGTACGGAACAGCAACATTTTTAATTTTGCGTTAGTTACAGTTACATTAGTTACACTTAAAGTTTCCCTTTGACTACTAATTTAGCCTCAGCATGTTTAAATATACAAGTCACCCTAATATGGGTAGGTACCATGATGTTTTCTATAAATGTCGAAAAAATACCAAGTCGCATTCAGGCAGGCAGATGTTCTCCACATTCCGGCTGTGGTGTGAACTGTGAACTTCCACTTTGTCCTAATCAGTAATCATTACACATTGCTAGCGCTGATTGTGTTTAAATTAGCTGTACGTAATTAAGAACGCTGACAGTTGTTTAGTATTTTGTGGTAAATTTGCAATCCACATGATCGATGAAAGCCAAGAAAATTAATATTATATACAGGCTATTAACCACTACCGCTCACTAAATGTAAAGGTTGTGTTACATTCAAAATGAAGAAGTTGAGTATAAAATTTATCGTAATAAAAGTCAGTGCGTAGAGTAGTGTTTTAACCTTTGTTTTACAAACCGAATACGCAAGTCATACTGACATATTTCTATTGGAGACAAATAAGATTATAGATTATAAGGGAGTTAGTACTACCGTACTAGCTAGTACTCAAAATCGCATCAGGATTAGGTCAGTACCGGCTGCGCAAAATATGCCGTACTTCGCGCACTTCTTACGGATGTGCTTATATTACAAAAATTTATATTGAATTTTGCTTTGAAATATGCAACAAATTCCGCAATAATTATCAAAATAAAAACTCGTTTAAAATTCAACCGAGTACGAATGCCACCGCTTTTTCAGTTCACAAACATAAGCAGCATGGTACATGCCTCTTTTTAGCAGAACAAATAAACGGCGAGCGAATGCCAAATTCAGCTGCTTTGTATCTGTAATGAAAGCAGTATTTGCGAACAGCGATAACAAACTAATTAATAATAGAGAATATTAATATTCATACAGAATACTGCAATCAGCGATTTTTTCCAGATTTATCCATCCAAACGCAACGAGGTTCTCATTAAATCTACTCATGAGCTCATCATTAGTTACACTGACAGCTACGTACGGATGTTTCTAAAACTGATCATTTAAAGCCGGAAAGATGTCGCCCATTAATTTTAATTTCGATTCCTCTTTCCGTACAGTCAGGCAAATGCAACAAGTCTGCGTATGTTGCGATGTAATTCCGCACATAATTTGTAGTAGCAATTAAACATGATAGTTAATCAGTCGTGCTTTTTACGATTGCTGTTTGACCAGCAGATTGCCTTGACAATAACTAAAGTCGATGCTTCTAACAAATGTGTCTGGATACCTATTACAAATAGGCATGCCAGAAAAAAAAACAACTTGTTGATGTCTGATGATAACGAATTGTGGTTAACAAAGGCAAAATTGAACTACCTTCTATACCCTGTACAGAGTACCAAACCATGAAATTAAAACAAAGAAGTTTTAATGTTGTAAAAATAACTATGTACATGTAGGCATATCAACAAAAATGTCACTTTGTAAGAGCTCAACGGGCAGTTCTGTTCCATGACGGTATTGAAAACGACCAGGAAAGATATGCAGAGCAGGCCTAGACAAATAAAAAATTTATTTACATAGTTTGCCTCATAAATTGTAGTGATAGCGCAGTTAAAGTTGTGTCGGTAAGCTTACTATATAATACTCGTATATAAACAAAGAAAGTAAGAAAAGAAGCAAGAAGGGTACACTCACTACACTCCGCAGAGATGCTTGAATGAACAAAAAATGCTTATATAAATAACAAAACAAAAAAAACGCACATAAATTGGCTAAAAAAGGAGCGACAATATTCTTTTAACACTGACGCGATCCATCTTCTTGGTGGTTTCATAACATAGAAATTTTGATCAAGTTTTCTTCCGAATCATGTTGTAAATTTTGTTTGTGTATCACAACGCAGAATATGCTGATCTAGTGCGGGCATGTACCGTAAGTTTTTCGTTCCACTGGTACATACGGCATATAAACATGCTCAAATGGGAAAGTATAGGCGGATTCTCCCAACGGAATGCAAACTCAAGACTTAAGCATACTTAAACATAGCAATTAATCGGGGATGCACCAGGGTCATCCCCTTAGAAAAAAATCCCGCAGTTTTATCTATCAAATTAACGAACAATTTTGTATGATACTGAAAGGTCAACGTTCAGTTATTTTATAATAAAAACATAAATCATAAATATATCTGGACAAAGAAAAAAACAATATAATATACTGTATGTAATTTCTTATAATATAAAAATAAGTCAAATACGTAATAATAATTTTAAATACCGGAAATGTTGTTGAACAGTGATTGTACCGTATGCAACTAACTGGCAAGTACACGTTCGCTTTACCCGCTGAAAATACTTCTGTAGGTATTATTAGATACACAGCTCTCTATAATTCTTCGAGGTATTTATCGTATCTATTGTACAAGCTTGTCCGGTAATTTCTGTAGCACATGTTTAGCGCGGAGTTTGCGCTATAGCGATTGCCATTACACTACGTTTGGCGTAACACGCAAATTTGTGTATCTCGCTGTTTTGAACCGGCAGAAATTACCGGACAAGCTTGTATGCCGGTTGTACGAGATGCATCTCTGGCTATCTGGCTGTGTTCGACAAGGAATTGTCAGTTTAATATTCCATATTCTTGTAATGTTTTGCTTTAATTCAGCAGGCAAAATAACGCCGCATGGTTACAGAAAGTAATTCTGTAGTTTTTCGATGTCTCCTTTGCAGTTTGGGAACGATCCAAACGTTTCGTCTTTATTGTTTCAGTGCGTTCAAACTGTAATAATTTAATAGCGCATAACTTACTGAATATAATTTAATTAATTAATAGCATATAACTTAATTATAGCACTATACTCTACAGATACTGCATGCATCGAAAGACCATAAGGCATACACTTTTAAGTAATCGTTTAGCAGCACATATAAAAAATGAACTCATAATCAGTATTACAGATTTCTGAAGTCTGTGTGCAGTGAGTATTCTATGGCCTTCCTAGGTTTAGCATTTTATAATCACCTTTGGAGGGAGCCAGATCGCTAGCTATAGTACGAGTATAAAGTGTAGCTCATTTTTCCGCGTAATTTTGTTAGAAATCTGCCCGTTATACTCGAAATAGTTACGGTAATTCCGCAGGTACGTAATTTAGTGGTCAATAAAAATGAGTATATTAAATGCTGCCTGTCTCTGAACTCTTCGACTACAGACTTTTTTAATATTTAGCTTTTCATTATAGCCACACTTAAAATTAGTTACTTAAAACAATTTGTATTATCAATAATAATATAGTGCACGAAGGATGCACTTATGCCATTTTATAGCACTCTGCTCTACAGGTACGCATCGCACCAATTTGCAATTCATCGAAAACGAATGAGACATGCAAAGTGGAGAACAAATTTTTGTATAGCACTGTATCCGCATAGCTTCAATATGCATATTTGTAACGAGCATTCAAAAAAACCGCGCGTATGACATAATAAAGTCATAACTATCTTCGTCTAAATTTTTCAGAATGTTTAAAAGTCAAAGAGCCTTTTAACAGCTGCGGTGAAAGGTTTGTCACTTAGCTTAATGATCTTTTGTGACTTCATACGTAATTTGCGCCATTAAGTTTGCAGGATTTTGCGAACGAAATCGCAAAATGTTGTTACTAATAAGTAACAGCGGAGCGCAAGTGTGCAAAATGTACTCTCGCCGATGTTGCCTGTTTGTATGGATACACGCAGCGGAATGTTCTACTTAATTTTAAACCGAACAGTAAACATCCCCGTTTTTGGTTTTTCGTCCTTATATCTTCTTTGGCTGTTGATCGGGCAAAAGCGTTGTGTATATATGCAGATGCCGCATGTAAACAGAAAGCAACCAATATTTAACGTATAACTGCGCGAACGCTTCGCTAGTCAACAGCCTGCCGATCGCTTGGGCAATTGACGCGGGACAAATAAAACACTAACGTGGTAAGCAGAAAATAACGGACGAAAATAGTGAAACACAATCATAGATTAATTAGGTATAAACTGTAAAACCAGCGAGTGGTGAGAAATATATGAAGTAAATATTATTAATTAACGCTTGTGCTTTTTTAATAATTAATCGAAAAATGTAAAAATAATAGCATGGTAACCTCTGCAGAGCTTTTTACTTACGAAAAGCACAAAAATACATTGTTTTTCCTCTTTTGATGTCCTTTCTCATGATTATGCATTTTTAATGCCTCATACCGCAAGTACGTATTGCATTTTTATTAATGCAAGTATGCATCGATTTTTCCAAGATCGACAAAAACTTCCAGAAACCCCTTTCTTGTTAATCCGTCAGCATGATTTGATAATTAATTTTTTGCGACACCAGGAAAGGTCTGAAAGTTTTCCTGGTCGCACTACAGAGCGGAAGCTGCAGGTTTGCAGACTATGTAGACCAAAATACAGTGCGACGAACTACTCAGTACTCACCGTGGTCGGTAAAGCAATCTGTCAGCAGGATATGTGGTTAATTACCATTATCCTGTAAAAGGCTATTTTTTCAGCACTCGGCTTGCATAACAGTAGATCCTTCGCCGGCAGGCATAAGGTGTCTTATTGGCTTTAGACCTTTAATTGGATTTTTAAGCATAACTTGTCAACACCACTCTACACACTGCGTGCTGCCATGTTGTTCCGCACTGCGCGAATAAGGATAAAAATATGGGTGTGACCAATTATTCCAAGACGTTGTTATTGTTAATACCCGGCAAACGTACCCGGGATGCCCACCACATGGAGACTTATGACTAACATATATATCCCGATTTTCTGCACAACCATTTTTCCGGTTGCGTGCTAGCGGCAGTGCACCTGCTCAAGCGTAGAGGCAACTTTTTCCCGGCTGTACTAGCGAGATGCGGCGTTCCAGGGGAATTTGCGGTCGATTTATCTTGAATATTGTCAACGCGGTCATACTATGCATCACCGGTACAGAATATATTTTCTCCGCTTAATTATTTATTTTGCCGGGAATCAAAAAGGAAAAATGCTCGTATGACGTGTACATACACATGCGGCGCTGAACACTATGGATTCCTTAGCGCGTGCGCAGTCAGCTGTAGTAAATCAAATTGAACCTATTAAATGCCAAATTTTAAGGCCTTCCCGTTAACGATGTTACGACAATTTAGCCAATTACCATGCAGATTACGATGCGGTAGAATTTGTCATTTTACAAGGCTGGAGTTGGAGGGCGCGCTGGGCGCTTATCCAGCTAACCGAAATAATTTACATGTTTTTTATCTCAGAAAAATCAGACGACCATCCTCTTGAATAATACAAAAAACAATCCGGGTTGCAACTTCCAACATGCACTCTTAGCACAGCTGCCGAATCACTTCATTGCCGGAAGACGCTGTTCGACAGCACTTTTATGGTCTATCATCCACCAGATACAATTTTTACCAGTTGTGTATAAAATGAACGACCTAATAAAGTTACTCAAAAGCATTTCTGAATATCGATGCACCGTAAACAAGAGAAACGGTGTATTCATTTGCAGTTTGCTACCGTAACACTTTTTACGTAAAGGCATGATTGCCTGGCACAGCAAATATGCAGATATTTTGTTGATCATCGTTCTGCGTAAGCCAGTGAGTGCATTTACCATTTCAGACAACAAAATAAAAATTCCTTTGTGGTTAATTTTTGCAAATTTGTCAAGTTAAAAACAAAATAGTACGGTGCGGAATCTATATCCCTACCCTGTATATCACTGCAAAGCGAACTTTCTCATTAATGCCGGTTTGGATATACACGCAACTTAATATTCCCAACAGCGCGTGATCATTACCGTTATTCGATAGGATTTCTCCGGGTTCTGTGTGGTGGCCTTTTTTGTCTTAACAAAAGCTATCAAATCAAACGAAATGCATATATGTTTTTTTACAAACAACCGTTCGTTTATTTTGCCAGATGAATGAAGTTTCGATGCCCTGTTGTAACTCAAGCACATTTGTGTCAATAACCATAGATATTCCTAACCGAAACAAGAACAATAAATCAATAGTTCTGTCAGGGCCAATCCAGATTTATTATGTATGCGGAATTGATGTGGCTGGAACCGAAAAAATGTTTAGCATTAATATTTAGTGCAGTTAACCTTTTGGTCTTGCCTTCGGATTGTTAAGGGCAGAATGGATAAAGCTTTTTTCGGGAATTTTGATCACAAATTTGTTTATCGAATACTAAAAACGAATTTGTTTATCGAATACTAAAACTGCTAGACTGCGCAAGAAGTAAAAGAATTCTATTTGGTGAACGCGACCAAATACTATGCAAATTTCATATTCCAAGGTAATCTGTCTTAAGTTATACGAATTTGTTCGTGAAAAAAAACATGATGCGAAAACGTTGAATGCAGAATAACTAAACAATTACGTGTACAATTCGCAACAAGGACAAGAACCAAGCGTGAAAAGAGTTTCCGCTGATTAACGCCACACTTGCCGGGAGTAGCCGCAGAAAAAAACCGGTTAGGAAAAAAATTTACATACCCTTCGGGCGTGATAGGCGTCCCGGTTACAGGAACGATAAGTACATCCGCAGATTGCTTAAAGAGCATCAAATTGATCCTTGAAAGAAAAGGCGAACTGACTATTGTGTGTTGCCGTGTATGTATAAGGGCCGATATTCTTTGCCGCTTTACATCCACTTCAATCAAGATAGGCGCGAACAGATACCAGAAAATGTCTTGTAAAGAGTTTACAGATATGTACAGACTACAGAGAATGCACTGGGCTTAAGGAAGAAATTTCCCGGGCGTTGAAAAGCAATTAACCCCGCAAAATGACCGCAACGCCGATCGTATAGTGTTTGCTAAAACTTTTGTGCCGCTTAGCGCTTGATACTCGCTTCCAGTGTTCCCGGCATTTAAATAAAGAGACGTTGCAATGGGTCCGTACATACAGTTATATGTATATATACAAACGACGGGATATATCCGGCTCTCACTCCGTGTCATTCCTACCCCGGCCGCAGCAACGGCCCCTCATTACACCCGACAACATACAACACACATACTTGTACAAGCCGATCGAACGGATTGATATCCAGGTCCGACAAGCAGATGATATGTGGACCGGGGGAAGGCGCTGACTGTGTGCCGGGTCGTATTTGCCCATCATCCCGCTTGTGCCGGGGCTAACAATGGTACAAGAGAGCCGGCATCCGGCTGGTGTGTCCTTGCCGAACGCCAGTCGCAGAGAAGACATTAGACATATTTAACCGGCATCCGCTTATGTATAGATGCATCAGCACACAACAAATTCCAAAACCCTTTTATGTGCATTAATTTCCTCTTTCGCCATTTTTTCGATGGGGGATATTTAGCAATTATCCCAGCACTGGTAGAAATTTGCGGGAAATTGAATTGTATACAATGAACGCTATAGGCGGTCAGGCGCACTGTATACAGTTTTGACGACGCACTTTTCTATATTGTGACAACACTACTGGCATTGGTTAATTTGTAACCCATTGAGCTCCCAAGCATCCATCAGGATTTCGCTTTATTGCTGTACGCGTAAAAAAAGGATACTGTGGAGTTAAGTACTATTAAGTATGATAAAATCTTTTGTACCGTTATGCTTAACAATATAAAAATAAGTTCAGCCTTTATCTGCGCAGCTCAAAAGGTCATTGCATTTATAATCAGTTATAAGGCATTTTAAAATCCACGCAATGTTTAAGCGAAGAAGTGTATTTAACTTATATTACAATAATTACAGTACTACTTGATGTAAACTTATAGCTGTTAGTTTACTGCAAAAATCTTCTAGGGAAATAGTGCAAGTTCATGATCAGTACATGCCACTGCTAATTTGGAATAAATAATTGTATGAGATAAATACATACTTATTTACATATTCATCGCTACGAGTATAAAATTTTTATAATATCATTATCTATATTGCTGTGCGTACAGGACTAGGTACGTACATATATATACCGTGTAGCGCCAAACTCCACGCTTTCATAATTTATATCCTCAGTAATAGAAATATGGAACTTCGTCTCGCCTGTTAGGTTAAACATCAAACAGTGAAAAGGAAGATAGCGTACCACGGAGTATAAGTAAATTTTTAGTGCTCGTACGCGGTTTATCAGTAACTGGGCACTTATTTTCCTTAATTATGAGTGCAGTACTACGATGATCGTTGCCTGGAGCTGAGAGAACTGTTCGCAAGGCGCTGCGGCGTTATTTTTTCCATTTCCTGTTGAAATTTAATGCGATTTCCGGATGTGGTGTAGGAGAATGCGGAAATCTTAATTTTTTGCAAAATTGACCGCGACAATTCAGATACAGGCTCGCGTGCGCCGGCATCGTGCTTAAGAGCCTGCACTGCAAATGTCAAGCGCAACCGACCGGTTTCCCATAACCGATCGGCATGCACATAGGCAACTTTGCTTACAGTAAAATACATTTATCTTTCAGGCTGTCACTTTTTCTTGCTCCTCGTAATTTGCAGATTCCGATGAACTTTTCTACGGATGTTGTCTGCTAGCTAAAGGATCCAGCTTCCAGTAACATCAATTATTAAACAAAGGCCGCCAGTTCATAGCGACATACTGCAGCAAATTGAAATTTTTTGACCATTCGTAACAATTTAAAAAGTATTGATGCCGTCAGCCGCTATACGGGCATTTATGCTTTGCAGTGTAGTTTTAGTCGATGTTGTTATGCGTACTCGTAAAGTTTGTAACCGGGATCGAAATAATGGTGCGTCCTGGAAAATGAAAAATGCGAGTACGAAATATCTGCAGATTGCCGGACAAGCGGCAGCGTGCGTACTGAATACTGCATAGGGATGTTAACCCCGTCACTGCACTTTTCCGGCTTCGGATCACAGAGCAACCGTCGTGCGTGGGATAACTATTACGAATTTATGGTTTCTGGGATGCTGCCTTACATAAACGGGGGCGATTTAGGTATTTAGACTCGCCGGCCTTGAGGCGGCGTTTGCGTGGTGTCCATTCGTGCCTGAGAGTTTGCTAGGGGAGTGCTAAAACGTTATGGATCTGCGTGATTCCTTCGCTATATTGCCCACAGCATGCAACAGCTGTGCGGATGCATACTTGGTAGTTGGTACTGTACAAATGCTTCACTTTCTGGCAGCAAATGCGTTTTTAAAATTAAAAATTATTGATGAGCGACGAAAGAAAGCGACTGCTAGTAAAATTACTGATGAGCGTACACTAAATGGGTGTTAATAAATATAACTACGTACGAGTACGTATGAAATCTAGACCAAGTTAAACGTGCTTGCGCACTTATTGTGTTAGGCATAAAAGCGCAAGGTAATTGGCGGAGCGACTGTTTCCAAGAATACATCTCTCGCACCGAAAACCTCCGCCAGGAATACTGCGAAACCGTGCGCTCTACTGTGAAATCGTCGAAGTTTAGAGCCTAGCACCTTTGGGGGTTTGGAGGATGACCTTTGGCCTGTTATTGTGTTTTGTATAGACCATAATGTGCTTGTACACCCGGCATCTGTGGATGCCAGTATGGTTATGCAATAAACCTGCCCCCAATTGCATATTATTTGTTTATTGTCATGTAGCGCTAGTGCAATGCATATGATTCCAAGCATTGGAATACGGGCAACCCTGTACCGGGTTTCAGTTACTCTATGTAAGTACTTGTAGCCTCCGCTGTAGGAAAGCACCCTATCCTGTGACTTACAAGCACCCTATCCTGTGACCTCCCTAGCTGCTGTTGCTACAGGCATTCCTTTAATTCGGCGTTTTCAAAACTTATTATAATTTGATGTTTCTGCAATAATTCTTGTTACGTAATATCTACATAGTTTTCGTAGTTTCTGTGTTCTTGTTTTTGAACACTGATAACCGATATGATGACATCATTAGCTAACGTTAATTATATGCGTTTCCTACTTCGGAAAGTCGCGCGACCAAATGTCACGTAACGAAATGGTTACGCAACAAGTTTTCCCTAAATGAGTTGTCGCTGCGGCGAAAAAAAGGTGACGAAATGTCCCGCGTCCAATTTAGCTGTCACGAAGAACCCAATGGAGAGAACTCAACAAGTGCATGTGTACTCGTACAAAACTAACAGTAGTGTACTCTTTGAACTTCATGGTCAGTCTCGTCATTTCTTACATTACCCCGCGTATAATATACGTACGATATAAGCTGTAATATTTTGAAATCGCATACTGAAAGCTGTTTACTGTGTAGACTGGTGAAAACATCTACAATAATTCATGTCAAAACATAGGACGTGAGTAGGGGCGAGGTAAATCCTCTCTTTATTTTAGACAGCTCTGTTTGCGCCTGGTTTATTTAGCCACTTTATCACCGCACCCTACTGAAAGGGGAGGCGGTGTTTGTAGTGTATTCAAATTTCTCCCTTTCGACCATTTTTCGTTAATTAGCATGCAAATTTACAACAAAACACGTGCCCGATGAAAGTACAGTACTCGTAATGTCATAATTCCTAAATGTGATAGCGCTACAGTAGTGTTCTCTTCAGCGTTTCGATAAAGATATCTGTACAGAGTTTGTTTGCCGGTCTTATTTCAGATGGCCGGGAGTTATTTCGGTCGGGACGACTTCGGTTTACTCGGTCAATGGCTGGATGACCTTTAAAAAAAGCTTAACGGATAACCGGCTTCACAACAAAATCGAAATGCTTTCAATTTCGTTTACATTTCTAGCCATATTCCCAATATAACTGGGTGCTGGATTCGCGCTCCGCACGCTGCCGCCCAGTTCATACCTGTAATTTTAGTAATTTAATAAATTTAACTACGCAAAATAAAATATAAGAACAGTATTCATAATACTCCACTGCAAATAATACTCCATACATTACTTATGGAGACCGTACAGCAATCTAATCTTTCAGCAATAACCTATTGTGAAGAATGAGCTCTATAAACAAACCATAATAAAATCCTTATGATTTCTACGAGTAGCATTTCTTGCAAAGAACGTGCTTTGGCTGGCTGCTCGCTGCCCTCGAAAACTGGCATTTTCCATAAATTCTAGACTTGGTACTAGCATCGCTATTCGCCAATTGACTTTTGCCGCAATAAAGTCAAAATAATTGTACTATTTCTAATGCAGCTTAGAGCAATTTTCGCAAGAAAAACGTTTGTTGGCATCCACTAAGCGGGAAGTATCAGTATTTACTATCACTGCGTTTAACCGTTGCATTCGTCAAAGAAAATCGATATACGGGCATTTAAAATTTAAACGGGCCATAAATTATTAATGCGATAATTTTTTCAATTGCTTTGAAATGCTTACTGTTTTTTTTCGCAACAGCACTTTCTGTACTCGTAATGCCCTTTTACAGTATATAAATCGACGTACGCGTAAATTTATCCAGTAATTCCAGTTGACCATGGGTCCAGATTGCATCGTACAAGAAACCAAAATTTTATTTAAAAATTAGGTGAAGCTCAAAATTTGATTGCCAAAAGAATGGCAAAGTACCATCCGGGGAACCAGGCACTTCGATGTGGTAATGACTAACGACTTTCCGCACATATCCTGCACTGTTCTCCCCACTACAACTGCAGGTTTTGTTCACTTCAAAGTCCAAAGAAGGCTGCAATTTACTCGCTGACCGCTTACTTACAACGTTGGCAAATTTTGTAAACGTTTGCCCCGTCTTCTGGTCGCTAAGCGGATTTTTTTTTATTTTGCCGGAGATGTGCAGCCCAGCTTAAGGCTAATTCACAGTATGTATTAGTAATTTTATTTCGATGTACCAGTTGATACACATGTGAATTCGCGAAATCGGAATCCAGACGAATTTTAAATTGCTACCGAGTACCGCCAACTGCTTAATTAATATAAATATTTGGTTTTCATACGCGTACAATCCGTACAGGGTACATACATGTCATGAAGTAGAAACTAGACAGTCATATAAATTATATAACATTGATGTGCAAGTACTACGAGTGGAACGTATGCTTGCAACGGCCGAGGTGCCGAATTGCGAAGAATTCAATTGCATTCCTTTTTATTAGTAAATAATCTCAACTGTATACACCACATTTCTGCACAATTTTGGCCCCGCATCGCTGAACAAAAACATCCCATCTGAGAAACCGCAATATCCTGTCCACATAAAATTAACAGGACGCGGCCATTAAAAACCCGTCCATAAAAGCGATTGCTGCCGCGCGCGGCGCTCCGCTTTGACTTATGGTTGGGTAAACGGCGGCGCAGTACCATGGGAATCCAAAAGGCACACACCGCAGAGGAGGACAGAGGAGGAAAACTCGAATCATAAAAATTCTGCATTTTACACTCATTAGGATATGTCAACACTTGACCACCGTCAAACGCCGGCAAGCACAGCTCAATCTCTCATTCGGCGCTGATGATGACGAAGTTCCTCACAATCCGAGTCGGTCGATCGGCTATCGCCGCATTCTTTGGATGGCCAGTAGCGGCAGCAGACTGACCACTAGCCGGAATATCCAGTTGGAAGCCGGTGTAATGGATGAGGAAGCACGATTACTGGCGCGAGCCTTGGTCTGTCGAGCGGAACCCGGCACAGCGGCATCCTCTTCCCGGATCAGATTGAAGTAGTCTGCAATGCAACAGCAAAGAGATATAATACATATGAGTGATGCAGCAAATATTTGATGCAATGGTCTACGCTGCGGAAATCGTCTCGTTCAACATTTTTGTTATGGATAGCTCGCATACCGGACGCACAGTGCGAGCGATTATTATTGGTGATAAGAATTCATTAAATCAACTTTTGAATAATTTACAGCTGCAGTATGGCTGTTTGCAACTTGCAAGAAAACTTGTATCTACAAATACGATTAAATTATTAACAGCAAAGTATAATAATATCTAGTCCTGAGGAAAACCAGCTACTTGTATAAATGCTGCGATTGTGCCGAAAAAAATGTCATCAACTTTGTTATCAATCAAAAATGTCACACTCAAGCGTCCAACATCATTACATACCGACAACGCCATTTGGTTTAAATATCACTCATTATTATGTGCACAAATTTATGCAACATATTAGCAGTTGTGTATTTTACCATTAGTTCCAATTTGTAATAAAGCGTAGTGATTCATCTGTGAGATCGTTATTTAAATAACAAAAAAGGCCACCGTTCCCTATTGTTCCGCTTACTACATCTGGTGCATAATCGCGCTGGCATTATGCCCATGCGATTTAACTGCATCAATTACCGTTAGTTGTGCTGCGCTGAATATCCTGTCCATCCGCCGCGCGACTCATATCATCTAATCCATTTGGCCGATTGCCTTCCGCATCAGTGAGATCATTGTTATCATAACTGATAACCGACTTATCCGCATGGGAGCCGCGAGCCCGTGCGGCCGGACTGAGGGGCCGGTTGGGAGCCGGCGTGAATCGCATAATCTTTGGTCGGTGCGGTGTGCCCAGCCCCCCCATTGACGGCGGCTGTGTGGAGCGCAGACGGAAAAACAAAGGTATTGTGGTGGTGTCGTCGCGGATCGGCAGCGGATCATCCACTCGCCCGTATGCCGTCAATTGTTCCGGGCCGGGCAGGCGAAAATGCGTTTTCAACGGCGGCGGCTCGACGGTCGACGCGTCATCTGCTGCAATGCACACAACAACGGAGGATTAATTAACTTACGTAACTCTATTAAATAACAGACAATAAGTGTACCATTGTCAGGTGTGTCTTTTCCGGCCACTTTGAAGACTAGTTTCATATTGTGCGTGCTGCATCGACCGCCAATCTTATTATCCATCCCGGTGTCTGATCCCGTCGATGTGGCTGCAATAGACAGGGAAGAAGAATTAGCCGTTTATGCCTCTTGCCACATGTTGCTGTGTGGCGCTCATCTGTTCGTTAAATAACAGCGGTACATTATGATATTATGATTATTATCGGAAATTCGCCAAGTGGCCAACCACTTTTCTCACCCTCTTATCATAATAAATACACAGCTTTCTGATGCAACAAACGTTAAAGAAAACACGCTATTTCTGCAGCGAGTCTGTGTAATCAGATCACATGAAAAAAGACTGCTGCAATAACAATGTTCAAGCTGCTTGTTACGCTTTGGTCATAATAACGCAAAATGTTATATGATTGTTGTTTGAAATACTTACATATAAAATAATAGTCATGACCGGCATGAAATTCTGGTCCATTCGGTTGCGGCGTAAAGGGACGGAAAGTGATGGTCACGTAGGAAAGACGATCCGAAAAGGGATTATCACAGACAAGCATCCGGCGTGCTGCCGGATTGACAACACGACAACTTTCGTATTCCTCTTTGGATACATTGTAGATTATGTAATATCCGTCTCGGGACGAGGAATCCGCCGGTCGGTCGTAATTATAGTTTATACTCTCGGAATCCGTTATGGATCCCCGGGAAGACACTGCCGACGTTCGACCTACTTTCGGACAGTAAATGTTGACGCGGTCGAATTCGGCTGGATTCTTGTTGACATCGATGATGTGGTCAGTGTTGTCGATGCGAAATCTACAAGTATCCCAAAAGGAACAATGGTTAGTTTGGTGTGTTATCAGATTTCATAGGCTGATGTCGCTGCGCGACGGGGAATGCTTGGGAAACCGAGATGAAGTCATACTGATACGCGTCTCACACAACAACATAGCCAATACATAAGGTCACGTTTCACTTATGCCTGAGCGGTATTTACGAGATTCTGTTACCCATTCAAATTTCACAAAGGCGGATTATTATAACCAATAACCAGAGGATTGTGTTCACGAGTCTGCAAGTTTATGAGTGGTTCGTTATTATTTGACGCTGTTCAGCAATCTAATCGTTGCTGTACGTCTAAAGATATACAGAATAATGTGAAGAAAATTCAAGCAAAACATAAACGATAAATATTCGTAGAATTTGGTAATTACAGAAATAAACACTGTAAAAAGTTTATTTGTAAAAAAGTTAATGTTTGTGAAGTAAAAAATACTTTCACAATTTCTAACGTAGAAAAGCATCAAAAGCCCCTAATTGCTTGTGCGTTGTCTTTGACCAATTTTCCTCGTCATTAAACGGCTTACAGCTCTACAGCCGGCCTCGAGGTGCCTATTTTCGATCATTTGATTGCCGATTTTAAAACAGAAGTTTCGGTTTGCTTCGCCTGTTTGACGGTTTGAGTACAAAGAAAGAGAAAATTACGGAAGAAAGCAAAGTCGATAATATGTCTGAACGACAAGCCGAAGCAAGGTAGTGATTATTAGGCCCAACGGTAAGAAACCGCTTATTACCGGTGTCAGGGCGTGTTTCGCGGTCAAAACGGAAAATAAGCTCTCGTTATAGTCTTGCAAGAGAGAAGAAATTCCTTAAGCCCCGGCACAGCACCATCCCGCATCATCTGTTGGGCTATGTTATTATATGCCAGCCGGTGAACAATGCCCGGGCGAACATTTTGTTTCTGACGGATAAGAAATATGCCGGATCCCCTATGCAATTAACCGACAAGTGTTGGTCAGCGGTAATGCATAGTTAGCTGCGCTTCCGTGCATCTATATACTAGTATTAGTGCCAACTTGCTAGCCGTCCCCATGATATTTCGTTCTCTCGTCGGTGAGCGCCCACCTAGCGCGTCAACTGATGAACGCTTTTTATCCGGTGTTTTATTCACAAAACAGACATCTGATGGAGAAATCTCTTTTCCATACATACTGGATGGACAATTTTAATTAATCAAATTGAAGTGAGGGCTTTTTGTTACACCGGGTATGGATACCCGATACAGCAAACCCCTGCCGACGATTAACTGACCACTGTCCACTTGAGCCCCATACTTGTGCTACATGTGTCAATAAATAATCAATCAAAGTCAACGGCATCTTACCGATGGACAATCTCGACATGCGATTGCTGCCCTTTAGACCCCCATGGGAAAACATTCTCCCGGCTACTGAGGGGGATTATTTATATACGAGCATATACAGTGTGCGTATTAGGAGCCCTTGTCGGCCTGCGGGCGGCGGCTATAGGAGCAGCAGCAGTCGCCCAGGCACGCACTTAAGACTTGATCCAGATTGATCTTTTGATGTCGTATCAACGGATCATTATGATGTAATAGAAATCTGCAATCTTAAGCCGAGCGACGGCATTCTCTCTCGATTCTGTCTATGTCTCCGCTGGTAATCGGAGATGGCAAATGGAGTGAATTTCGCATTTCCTGTCTGATGGAAAATAACCAGCACAGATCCGGCTCTACATATTATATATGCGCCCGATGCAGAGTAATATCTACACAGCTCGGCTCAGGTTGTAGATTTTTATTTAATTAAGCCACATATTGAGCGATGCCAGTTGGTGCTGTGCTCTGCTGACAAAAGAAGATTTAGCGCCGATAAGCTGCACTGGCGATTAAGTTACATGCTGATACGTATCTCGGAGATTTCTTATGTTGGCCGTTTTTGCAATATATTGTTCAAGCCCGCAGGCGCCACACAGTGTCTATATAATATTTTAATATATTCCAACCATCATGTTCAGAGTGTTGGTAATGTATTTTTAATGTACATGGAAAATGTTTTGTCACCGAACACGGAAACAAGTGTAATGTCTGATAAGTGCCCCAGCGGTAGCAGCAAAATGCCGGTTTCCGATGCAGTAAATTGCTGATAATTGGTGATTGCAGCAGGCTTCGGCATCACCATGTATAGATGTACGAAGAACACCACGAGATGCTGGCAAATTAAACAGACATGTGTAGTTGACGGAACAAAGTTAATGAACTGGTTGGAAAATTCACTATAGGCAATTGTCGATACAGTCCAGTTGCACACGCATGATAACCTGGTAATTACCGGCGCAGCCGGCGCATTTTCCCATTGTTCCCACGATCGTGGCTAATTTGTATATATGCCACTTTTCGTATTAGATAAAAATCAGATAATATTATAGTATACATTATATGTACCACCAGAGTATCACATGTGTCTAGGGTCTTAGTTCATGCAAAACTGCCCACATGGACAATTCCAATATGAACAAGAGCATGTACACATGATTAATGAATCAAGCCCGCAAACGCAGCCATCAATCACTGGGCAGCCAGCACCGGATGAAATGTACATATTCATACGCGCGTCAGGAAAATAAAATGCTCTGACAAACTGCGCAATCAAATGTTCCACTAAATAAAAAAGCCTGTCATAAAATTTCGATTTATCTCGTCAAAAAGTAAACTCCATGCCTAATTTTGGGCATTAGCAAAGTGCAAAGTTCAGATTCTAACAGATGCATGGTCTGCAATATGTGATCTTTGAGCATTTGCGAAACAGCTATCAAAATTATATGGAAGCCGTTTGTTATTTTTTAGTTCTAACAATTACGTAAAATTTTATTCAGACGCTCGTTAAAGGTCCACTTAATTGTGTCCACTTTGCGTAACAATGCAGTAACAAAACCTAAATGGTGTCTTTGAAAAAGTTGCAATAGTTCATGGTAGGTTGGCGTGTTAAAATATTTTAATGGACTATAAAGTTAATGGTAAGGTATTTTGATATACTGGTACTCTGGTAGTGAATGCATTACGCATTACTGCCGCAGTGTATAACATAATGATTATTAAACACTTCACACTTGGCTTACGCATTTGTCGCTTCTTGCGAAATCTGTAATCCGATGCAGTCGCCGCCCTGGACTGACCCAAGAGAGTCATTAATATTCATTAGAAAGTTAATTGTGGCGATGATGTCCACAATGCCGTGGATATTAACTCAATTTCTCAAAGTATTAACGGGTCAAACTTATTAAATTACACTCGAATGTAACACACATCGCAGGACTGATGCATGTATACATATGCATCTGCCATATTTGCACGATTAAACGAAAATCACTTTTGACGAAAATTATGTACGCACTACATGTGGACAAGCAGATGTCATCAGTTGCCACACATCCAATATTAAACGTTATGCTTACAGCTGCATTTGCTGCGAATAATCTGTATAATTATTAACGTTACATCCTCTGTCTGCGCTGCAATTGTGGGATATGCACGCAAAAATTACTATGAAGTAAGTCAGGCAAATTTTATTACAACTCCAAAACACCGACAATTATTGTCACGCAATGGCGTTAACGTCGCTGCTAATTAAATCGATTCAGAGCTTACAACGTAAATGCTCTCCCAAAAGTTGCAACATTCGTTTTATTAAAACCTAATATTTTCAGCTACTATATAATGCATAAATGCATTTAGCCAGCTTTATATTTGTAAGACTTATACTAAATAACCAAAATAAATATTTTAATTGCATCTGTTACTTGCATACTGAAGCCGCATACTTAGATAATAACATCGTCAATATAAGGCTTTCAAGACGGCGGTGCCGTTCTCATTCATTTTAGCCTTGTAAAACACATGCTCTGCAATTTCCCATGCTGGACCTTTCAGCCGAACCGGCAGATCCCATTCATTGTACGGCTCTTATCGTTAATGGAAGTTGTCTCATTTTTTGGTCCTCTGTAACCAGCTATCTCGCTGTTATAATTGCTCTTTCAGCGCTCGTTACCTTCTCCACCTGCTGGTCAAACGCTGAGAACTTCCTTAGCGGAGCTTTTATCACAGGAGATGGCAATCGGGTGATTATCACACTCTGCAACCGGCGCTGGCCATTAAGGCTGTGTGCATACAGCGCAGGGAAAACCGAATGCAACCGAAAGGTGCAAACGAAGCATACTTGGTGGGATTACGAGAAAGTCTTCGGGTAAACAGTTGATCTACATCGGGAAAGAAGAGAAAGAAAATCGCTTTCGGTATCAAAACGATTCGTCATCTGATACCGATCAGTACTGGTCACAACGCACAGCGCCCAAGCGAAAAGGTGACCAAAAGCCACTACGCACACACAGTGGACACTTGAATGCCGTACCACGGGAACGAGTACGGAACAAGTAGTTTATTGTGTTATTGTCCTGAAATATGAGCAAGACTGAAAGGACGGTTTATAGCCTGGTTTTTGTTCCATTCCATTAAAACACATACACACCGTCATATACAAGGCTATTTATTGTCGACTGCGCCGGGTATAGTAACAAAAACGTGCACAGCATGTTCGGTACACACAGCTGGTTGAAGAAATATATCTAGTGTATTGGAGAGGGAGAGTCTCTTCGGACGGTGAACAATCGGTGTGGTGAAAAGTCGGGAAAGAGCATTCGATCATTGTCCGCTAAATACACACTCTGCCTGCATTGCTCTGTGCTCCAGGCTGAGGAGTAAACACGACAAGCTGGGGCTCCACGATCGCCTTGTCCTGACAGGTAAACAAGGACACTTGGCAGAAAGAACGCAATTTATCTATAAATGTTCGTATGTACAAGATAATCATACGCCGGTTGGTATTTCGGCTGCTGGAGTTCAGCTGGCATTGCTTTATGACAGTTTAATGGAGTTCCAATGCAAAACCGACATTTAATATGCCGGCTTTTGTCCAAATGACAAAATGCCGTGATCTATGCCGCAATGTACATGTACATAACAGCCCATATTGATGTTATTATTCACGTATGCAGACATGCAAAGAAATAGAATAGCATATACAGATACACCGAAAAGTAGACAAACTTTCCGCTAATACAGTTTGGAATAAACAACACGTAATTATGTAAACATAAGACAAGAATAACATTATTGCGAAGAAGTATTATTTCTATATCGTGGATTTATTATTTTCCGCACATTTGTTTGGATATTTGCTGAATGTAAATTTTAAAAAATGCGTACGCATCGTGAAACCGGTAAAACGTACGCGAGGTATAACATCTAAATAGGGTACAAACCAAGCAAGTGTAAAAGCGGTAATTGGCACAAATTGCCGGCAAAAAGGTTAATACTCGGCATGTAACATTTTTTCCACATGATGTAATTCTTCGCAGGTGTCATCATATACAACTCTTTCACCCCACACTGCCCGCAGTACTGCCAATGCGCAGCGGTTTACGGGAGACCTGTGCCGTTAAAGATAATAATAAAAGGATGGTGTCGGGGTTAATTACGAACAGTAAACATTGTGACCGCTACCCGAACCATTCCGCGAGGGTTACCACATTGTTTGGCCCAGGGAAACCGAGGAAAATTACCATAAATGCTCTACACGCATCTTATCTCGCCGTTGCCGACCTAACCCACTCGAGAAGTGTCAGGAATGATTATGAAATACGAGTATTTTATCACTTGAATGCAATGCCAGTGTGTGCATGTGTGTTATATGTGTATGTGTAACAAACGGCGACAGGTAACCCGAATCGTAATTATGGCTGACTGTTTACTAAGTAAACCCCGGATCCAACCGGCACGGGGACAAAGTTGGTATTGATTCAAGCAGCCAGAAGCGGAAATTTTTATCAACGTTTACCATCATGTTTTCTCTGTGTTTAACCTCTGCTGTGTAAAATTTTGCGACCTGTGCTGTGAGTTGCCAGCATTTGATTCACCGGGGCATGCTCTTTCAATTTGGGATTTAAGTCTTTTCCATATTTGTCCAAGAGAGCAGCATCGAGTCGCATAATAAAAGGAGCAGTCGATCTATATGTGCACACAGACATATACGTAAAGAGAAAGGGCCGGGGTCATCATAATGGAAAAATGACGAACAGCCGTCTGCGGCATTGTTTTGCCCACTGCATTGTCCGAGGTTGTATACATGTTTAGAGCTGAGCTCAGTAGATTTGCCGGGGCAATTTTCCTTGCTTGATTGCATGGCAGGTAGCGGAAGAGGGGAAGAGTATTATATTCGCTTTAACGGACATGAAGTAAATTAAACATGGCGAATAATGTGTGCACCATTCTCTCTTGTGCTCTCTTTCTTCTGTATATATATTTCTACCTCAAACCCGCAAACGTTTCCACCCGGACATGCTAAATTACGCTTTCTCCTCGCTTCATAAACCATAAAAACAGTCGGATCGTAAAAACTCTGTCTAAATGTCGGAGAAAATATCTACACCGTGTCTGACCCAAGGGAAATATGTGCACGGCACTTCGTGATAAAACCAATCATGTAACACGGCACATTTAATATTTCACTAGCGGGTAAATTTTTCCAACCGTGGCAATTATGGTTTTATTTGGATATATGACAGTAGTCAGTAGCAACTGCGTAGCGCAATATAAACCGGTCTCATTTTTATACATAGAATCTATTTTTATACATTCACGTGATACATGCATTTATATATTATGATAATATTTGGTACCCACTAGGCCACTACCCACCACAATGCCACTACCACAATAAATTTATTCTACCACTACAATCACAAAAATTTTATCCTTTAACAGTTTTACTGCAACTTGCAAACGGCTTATTTTGTTGCGTGGAAAAGAAGTATAGCAAGTTGGATTTGCGGGTGTGTACCACTTGTACATTAAGGCTTTAAGCCGTTGCACGAAAACGACTTAGTGATTTTAAGCTCAGCGAAGCGTAGAGTTAAAGAAATTATCAAAGCATGCAATATATACGCCAGCCGGCGAAGGGCAGCGCTGGTTTTATAAGCCGTGGTATCGAGTCAGAAAATCCGCGCCAGCGACACAGTGCACTGTAGGAAAAAAGCAATTTCAGTAATAAGACAAGCTTTTACAGGCAATTTTCATTAATAAGACAACTTCTCGCCACGGCACACAATCCCACAAGATAATATCGTGACACACCGTAACATCATGTTTTAGGCCTTGCAACACAAACCATTCTTTCTCTCATGTCGCTTAGATCTCGCGTTGCGCATTTTTCGATGCATAATGCAGCCTGCATCATCCGGCGTGCATATAATGCAGCTGGTGATGTCTGGGTTTGACAGGTAGATATTAAAAGAATGAAACTGGGTCTCGGCTACCACACACTAGCACAGCCGGTACACACAGCAGCAATACGCTTTTTGTCATCGTCAAAGACAAATGATTTTTTCTCTCCTACTCGCCGGCTAGATTTGACATGATACGATATAATTATTCTTCCACTTCATGAAAAATGAATATGATCATTATCGTTCGCACCATCACAACAGACACGGTACTCGCGTATATTTTATTGTGTGGCTGAGTGTATTATTATTTATTATGGGAAAAAGAGAAGAAAAGTTCCCTTTGTTTACTTCCGGTGGTGTATAATTACTGAGGCGGAAACACTGACAGAACATTAGGCAAAAACATTGCATCACTTATTGTTACGTTGAACAAGATTTTTTTCTGACGTCGGAAGTCGATATGTAAGAAATTCAAATATGAATTTAAATATTCAAATTCACCGGATGGAAATTATTGCACGATGTCAGAAAAAATTCTGGGCCTGCTGACAGTTACCAAAGCAAATACACTTGAAAAATTGAAATTATCGGCAGAAGATTTTCAAGCGGAAGGGAAATCAAATCTAAAGGTAGCTTTCGATGCTTGGCAATGTTAAGTGCGCAATATACTCAGAAAAAATTGAATATGTAAATGATTTGTCTAAGAGATAAAATGTCAAGTCCATCAGAAATCATCGTTCTTCTTCCACACTTTACGTTCACTTAATGTCAAAGTGTGCAAATCCTTATTTGCCCAGCACACAATCAATCCGCTCAAATTAAAGTCAACCCGGCACCCAGTGTTTTTTAACACACAACAAAACATGATTGATCGGGACTGTGCGCGGAGTGTTTTTCTCCATGTCGCAACAAGCAACTTACATGGGATTTGATGAGTTCCAGTACACATCGGGCAGTTGAAGGGCCATCACATGATTATACCGGCGCTGCTCATCCACAATGAGCATTAATAAAAAGAAGCGAAACATTAAATAACAGGAGAATGTGGAGGAGCGGCGGGATGTTGATGTTGCCGGTACGGCATTTGCGGCTGGACACGCTCGGCTGGCGCATGACGTCTCACCTGGCCAAGCATAACCACTTGACCTAATGTCGTCCCGTTTTCGACTATGTATACCACACTGGCACGGACAGAAAGTCATTTCTTTATTACATAGTTTTCCGTATAATTCCAATGACGCTCTCATATGCATGGAGAGAGATGAGAGAGTGAGTGCAAAGAGAAAAAATGATTAACCCAAATTTATGCCGGCGAAAGTTTCAACGCATGGCTGACGGTTGAACGTGGAGCATATAATATGTGCAGTGTATAATCAAGCGTTAATTACTGTTCCTTATGTCCATTATATATGAGTGGACAACCAGTCCCCCAGTCAATCAGCAAACTGGCGTTTTTCCCACATTTTCATCATACACTTATTATATATATCCGAAATTAGACTATGCAGGCAAAGGATTGCTGACAGCTCCGCGATAACACTCGGAACACTCAACAGGCTTTCCGGCAATAAATAAATGGGCATCAAGTCCAATGGACTCTTATCAGAATTTGTACAGACAGATAATACTAATCATAATGCAAATGCTCGGTCAATAAAGACGATTATGCTTGCAAAAACGAACCCAACTTTTCGGCAGATTTCGGGCCTTTTCGTATTAGCGATGACCATAATTGCACTACAACTAGTACGTCCTGTAGCGCGCGATCATGACAAATGATTCCCGCATCTATGCCGATCCGCAGATCAGAACCCAGCCAGCCGGTGATGCAGTTTGTTTGTAGCCGGTTCGAAAGCGTTTATGGTTTCGTTCGCGCTGATCAACACAGTGCAGACCGAATCAGTAGACGCGCCCATGCAGAAAAAGGCCTATACGATGCCGGCGTATTTGCGCTAACTACGCCTACTTCGTAATTCGGTCCCGCCTTCCGGTATTTATGACTACAATTGAATTGTCCTACCGGCATAATGCATTTCGCTTACCACCGGAAACGGAAAATGCATGAGTTCCGTAATGATTTCTCCTGTTAAAATTTAGTAAGAACCAGCTACTTAAAACTGTTTCATATTCAATATTCATACACTAATTTACTAAACAATTAAATATGATAAATGCTTTAAAAATTCAAGTACAGAATAATAGAGTATGTGGTGTACCTACAGACTATAGAGTAGTATATAGCGTCGATATCGGTTGCGCATGAGTTGTTAAACTGCAGTTAGAAGTACTCGTAATTTAGTTGTAACAAATTAAAGCGAATTTGTTTGGCTGAATCACAAGTCATTCATTCTCCGCCTGAGAACGAGACTATATCTGTTTTTAACAAATCTGGCTATTCGTCGTTTATGAACAACTTTGCACTAATTAATGCTCGTTTTTACGAATTAATACATAAACTGTCGAACGAAAATGAGTCCGCTCTTCAGCGCCGACCACAGTATTGTACACAAGTGACCCTCTTAACCACGAGTGCAACATTTTAATTAGGGAACACCGCTCAACAGTTCGTTGCATCTCTTGATTACCGTACACGTTGTAAGAGTATATCTATTTGAATAAGACCCGGCACAGCGCAAGTACAGTGATTGCGCTGAATATGTTGACACAACACTCCACCGCAACAAACTCCAACACTTCCCATCGATGGTCAGGCCAACTGTTTACCCATTGTTCGCAGGGTGACAATTAACAGCTCGAGAAAAAAACCGCACAATCAAATAAACTATGTCGATCGCGCCGCGGCACTGCTGTCAAGTTTGACCAAACACAAATATACAGTATTGTTGCGAATTTTCTTTGGCAAAACAATGCCGGTAGAAGTATGCGTGTACTCGTCTCGTGCTTTGAACCAGCGCCGTGGTAAATGCCACAGATTTCCACACACAAATAATAGGTTTTCAAGTTTAGTGTAGAATTATAATTTCGGTCTCAAAAATAAATTATACGGTGCATCGTATAAAAGAAAAATAATCACAATTCCATGGTCAGAATTTCATAAGCGAAAATTACAGCCTTGCTTTATGATCGCGTAAGAGATCAAGTCGACTGTTTTCGCCCCGTCAACTTGAAGCGTCATTGTTTTCCGGCGCGAGCGAAATTTCGGAATCCGGTGAAAAATGCTGAAAATTGCACGGTAGCCAGCGGTTTTTAATTGGAATGGGCGGAGGTGAATAGTTCCATAACTTTCACGTTGACATCAAAATTTATAAGCTTTCAATTACTTTGTACGCTGCACTGGTATTTGCCGATAATCTTTTTGCCTACGTGCACACAAGTGGCCATTGTTATTGCAAGGATTACACCTGCAATGGACAAACCTAGGCTGGACAAACTAAACGAAATTTTTATGTTGTAGTTTGCGTGTCTTTTCTAATAATTTGTGTACTGCATTTTGATTTGACCAATAAAGTTCAACAACACCTGCAATCGTTTTCCAATACATATTGAAAGTTCGATGTGCTTTGCCATTACATTTCCAGTTTTAATCTTTTAATGATTGTTAGATTATTTTTTTGTGTCACACGTTTAGAAACTCCGGATGCTATTTCTTTGAGTAATAGATACGAGTACTAGTACTATGCCCGGAACGAGACCTACCGATATCGCATCTGCTCTATGTTATATCTAAGAATGTGCTTAAAAAAACATCAACAGGGTCTAATTTTCGAAGCTTTTAAAATCAGTTCTAGTTAAGTTGTACCTTGCACATCGGAATAAATTTAACGGAATTTACAAATGTTTGCCAGATGGCATGTGCCGGTATTCTACTAATTTGCTAACAATATAGCCCGGCTTATACGGTGCGTGCTAGGTACGACAGGTTTTTAGACATTTTTTCAACAAAATTTTTCCAAAAGCTTATGTTGCTTGAAAAAAATTTACGCAAATGGAAAAAGTCGATGGTAGGTTAACAAAATTGATTAACTTTTCAAACATCCTGAATGCACATTAATTTTAAGTTTATAACTATTTGCTATGCTATACGATCGTTCTTTGTGTAATAGAAAGTAATTTGTAATATGGTTGTTTGTGCAATTTGTTGGATCATTCGCAAATCCGTAATTGAAAATTTAATTCCGCACGTCACAACGATTTCGTTACGCGATTATTCTCACTTGTTCATTATAATTATTGAACCTACTCTGTAGTCTGTACTTTATTATACACGCCTGGACAGAATATTTCAGATTCTTGGTATGTAATTAAGGAGACCTCTAGCAGTAGGCATCAAGTTTGGGGAAACGGAACACAACAAGAATGCCACAAATGTGTTTTGTTCCACTCTCAGGCGCCTTCGTCCATAGAGTTAGTGCCGAAAGGATTCTGTAAAACAACGGTATGAGTACAATACACGCAATAAAAACGTTGGCCGCATATCTATATGCAGTACTCTTACTGCTGCAGTAAACCATTGCCGCTCTATAGTTGTAAATGAGTAAACTTGGATGGTGTACAGTAACCCGAGTAGCCGCCTGCGCGTTTTATCTGTTGTTGCCGCGGTCACGTCCGGCAGCGTATTCAATAACCATTAAGGTAGCGCCGGATGTGAACATACGGCTACTTTGGCAAATTTGCGATACACTGCATCCATAACCCGATGGTAAATTTATTATCCAAACTTGCCAGTTTTATAGCACAATTAAGTTATATTGTACATCAGATGTGACCGGAGCATAATTACCATCCATTGACGGACGGGACATAAACAATCTTGCGGGAGACAAGCAAATCATGGCTTAGCCAAGCAGATTGGCAGTGTGCAGTAAAACGGTTTATGCCGGAAAAACATAGCATTAAAGCAAAATCAACCGCTTTGAACTGCTATGTTCTAACTGCAAGCAACAAAAAGTGGAGCCATTCCTAACTGGTTACTCAAACTAAAAAGGAAATTATTGCAAGTGCTTTTACAAAAATGCTAAGACGTACGGACTTCATTTTGACAGAGCCTGACGTCGTTAACTAGCTGTTGTTGTGGGAACTTATTATTCCTCAATTTGGTATAACAACAGTATCCGCTGCAGAGCAATCTTGTAATGTGGGTTTCTTAGGTTTCCTAAGCTTCTTAGGTTTCTAGGATTTTCGAGAGGAAAGTTTTCCATGTTTAACGGCAAATACTTCCGAGCCTGAAAATGAACAAGAAGGCGGCAGTACGGCGATCGGTTCGGACCGGAATCGGCTTTATGGATCCATGCTGATCGATGTACAGATACAGAATTTAGTTCTGCGCCGTTTGGCGATCATAGCTTTACATGGTTATAAACAATACAATATATATAATTAGTATTTATTGATAGTATCACTGTATCAGTAATTATAGTATACAGCATGCAGTTATTATAGTGAGCGGTTAAAGCAGTTGTATTACTGTATGTGTCGCTCTACATAATGTTTCGCTCCCATAAACTAGAATCGAGCGGATACGATTACGAGGTCACAATTTTTAAAGTGCCGGCAAGAAAGTGCGCTCCAACTGACCAAACCAGATGACGAGAGTTAACCCGAATATGACCCGGAAGGAAGACAAAAGGAGTTTGACCTATCGGAAGAATGAATGAATGCAATCACCGTTACGTTGCAGGTAGAATACTAAAAGGTCGATAAAATCGTCGCAGTCTCTCCTACGTACAGCCAGATTAAATGGACTGCACTCGTATGAAACTCTAGGTTCTGAAGCCCTTTTAATTAAAACCGGTCTGGGAATTAGGTACGTACATGTATACAATTTCCCGAAAAAAACGCACGTCATGGGAATCAACTGTACGAATATCTGCATAAGACACTGATCGTTCCTTACGGAATTTGAAGTAATGCGACAAAGACGTCCTACTGTAGTAAAGTCAACTTCACTGACCAGCCGTTGCAAGACTAGAGTACTTATATCTCTCGATTGTCGAAATGTGAGGGTTCTTTAGTGTCGTCATGATAGCCTACCACAAGTTCTCGCGTATCACAGTTCTGTAACGCGTATTGCTAGTATTATTTCACCGCAGCGGCAGTAAAATTATGGGTTTTCCTCAAGAAATTTTCAAAATAAAAAGGAATTTTAAGGACTATCACCGACTAGAACAAAGATAGCTTTCATGCAAATGGCTTTCCGGGGCGAGACATGCAATCTGCCACGTGAGGACTGGCGGTCCAAGCTGCTGGGGAGTGCTGCATAACTGCTTAACACCGCTGATTACCTGATAAAATGAAACACAGGAGCACACGATTGCATTTTTTCGCTAGTATACCGAAGTGCGAAATATTCATCCCCGAAGGCACGGAAGCGCAACGGGTAGCGGTCGGATTTCGAGGCACCAGGCGCTGCTCGTAATAAAAAAATTGCCTGGGTCATATGTGTGCCGAAGATCGTCCACATACCACGCACATTCCTGGCGTGGATGTTACCCTAAACACCTCTACCGGCTTGACCAAGTGTTCCGCGATACTCGGAGGTCATAATCAACAAACGCCACAACATACGTATGCGCAAGCATCCTTATCCACTTAGCTAGACAGTTAAGGGGTCAAACGTACGGAGGGACTCCTTTACAGGTAGTTCAGTCTGCCGCCCTCGAGTTTACGGTATATCAGCTGACATCGCCTTCTTCGCTACGCGCGCGCCCACTGATCTCGAGACTATCTATGCCCACGACAACCTAGCTATGCTACCGCTGCTACACCTGCGTGGAAAGTCCTGGCCGACGCAGAAAAAATTCTTGCAAAGCTATTACGCCAAGTCCAAAAACATGGGACGCGCCTACAACGCTCAGTGGGTTTTCGCAGCTATAGCAGTTTTGAAAGAGCAGAAAGAAGTCGCTCATGATCACCTAAACGCCGTACCGGAATCGGCTTTATGGATCCACGCTTTGCCCGCAGGGTTTCTTAGGCAGTTTGGTGGAGAATACAGACTTTCGAAAAGGTAATGCGCTGCGCCTTGGAACACCTGTCGACTGTCGTGACTGCACATTATTGCGTTTGTGGACACCTAGTGGACAGCTTGTGACGAGTTGGGCAGGCATATGGGCTTCGGTGCAAACGGTCAGCTGCAGTAGACTGTCAAGGCACGGTGGATCGAGTTGGTAGGAATTCATACAAGGGTTAAAGACGACCGGTTTTCCCTCTAGAATGGAACCCAAGACCTTTCCGTGAAGGTCACAAAAGACCGGATGTGAAATCGGTGAACCCAGGGAGCAGGGTACGACAACAGCGGTAAATCAAGCCTGTGTGCGTGTGGACGCTTTGGAAAGATTCTGTGAATATTGACCTTACATCAGTATTTATCCTATTTTGTTGTTAAAATGTATAAATCTGATTTGTGTAAAACAACAAAATGTAGTTTAAGAATTTTCGAAGAATTATTCATGCTGGTTGCTAGTACCGGCATTAAATTATTAGGTGCCCTTGCAAGGGCACCTAATAACTGCGAGCACTTCTTTTCGGTATTTCGCAAACTTTTTTAAAGACATCCTTTACCAGTTTAAGGTAAAGGACAAACGACAGATTTATGGGAAAAATAAGGGTACCTTTAATAAGTATCATATTCCGGTCGATACAAACTAAGTACCAATAACAAAATTTATAACAGAAACACTTCCTCTATGCTATCCTGGTCAGGAATTGTTCCCATTACACATGTTGTATTTCCACGTTGCATTTGGATAGATAGTCGCTGTTTAAAGAACTCTTTCGCCCGTTTCTGGCCAGTGGAAGTTGCTATGTCGTTTCCAACCTTATTCACTAGCGTTTTAGTTCCGTCTCCCCAGGGTCCGTAAATTTCGAGGGCTGCAGATACGAAATCGTATCTTGATTATAGCCAGGCGTGTTTTAATTTGTCAGTTTCCCCCTTTTGGCGTGTTCAGCGGCTGCTCCGGCGTTCGCACGGGTACGGTCTATATACGAAGCGGCAAGTATGTCCACACAGGTTACATCGACTGCCAGCGGGTTTCCGCGTTGCCATGGTACAAGTACAAATACTAGCGTGATCACATCCGGCCTTTTTGCGATCTTTCACAGAAGGAGCTTTTGGCTCCATTCTTGCTGGAAAACCGGCCGTTTTCAGTCCACGAGTAATTTCCCGCTTATACCGTCGCGTCGTGGCAGTCTTCCTGCTAAACGTTTTCATCTGAGCCCATGCCGGCCCAATTCGTCAACTAACCCGCCACAAACACACACGTGAGGTGTACCGATTGGTGCTCCCAGGCGCAGCGCGACCTTATGTGAACGACGTTATTCTCCAGCAGATTGCCGAGACAAGCCTGCGGATAATGCGTTTATGGGAAGTGTTTTCACGAAGAATGATTTAAGAGTACTGCATAAAAAAAATGACAGGCATCTTGGGTGGCGCATTTACATAATTATGGCAGTGTCGCCTAGATTTGCAAAATCTGAAAATTTTCCTGGGCGTGTTTTTGACAAACAATATATGGAAGGATGCAGACATGAAAATCTCATTCCTATGGTCATGTCGTTTTTATTGGGATTATGGTTTAACGTTCTATCGGATTCGCTGCTGCCTGTCGACCAGGCATTGAAGTCGTGTTTACCGGGTTGTCTGCTCCTGCATGATACAATCATGAATAATTGAATGTATTGCGACCGGTGATACCAACCGTAAATTAATCGCGGGATGGCGAATTTTCATTTCTTTAATTTTTTAGTTAGCATTATTATTATTATTAATATTGCAACTACAGTATCCAAAGTTAACAAAGCTGATATAAAATTGTGTAATAAAAAATTCATATAATATACGTTGAGTAGCAAAATATATTTTTAAATTTTTAAAATGGGTGCCTCTGACAAATTGGGTGCAAATAAGATGCCTATAATAAACGTGGGCGCGAGTGGTTGACTATAACGGTTTCCAAACTAATCACTTACTGTATATCAATTAATAACCGCAACAACAGCATTCAACGTTCTTTATTGATGTCTTTATTTCGGTTGTATTTTTAATTCTTAATTGTGTATTGTTGGCCGTAGTGATATGAATTACGACTGTTATGTCGCGATAAGCAACAACAGCATGTTATGTAACTTTGTGTTAAATTTGTAATGATGGGCTTCGAAAAGGCCCCAATATTTGCTGACAGTTTTTAGAAATCAAGTCTTTATAATTACAATATTATCACTTAGGCAGCTACGCATCGAAATCTTCAGTATTACAGTATATTACTCAAGTGACCCCAAAACACGGCAGCAGCCGTTTAGTTTAATTAATAGCTGTCACTTACAAATTTACAACTGCAGTTAAATAATGCATTACACTTTCGACCTGTAAGCCCCAGCTACAAAACAATCTTTGCTAATTTTCTGTCATAGACCATGTTTTCATATTGCAAAGGCTCACAGCACCGCGGCCGGTGCATTGTATACACCGCTAATTACCGGTGGTAGTCGACAGAAGTATGAATACTTCAAAACGAGCATCTATGCGCTAAAAGAATTTCTCGTATGCATAACGGTGACACAATAAGGTCATAGTTCGTGATTCCGTAAATCCTGTCGTACTGCAGTGAATCATCCTATTTGTATAAACGAAAGCAAAAGCAAACCCACCTAGCAGCATCTGCAGTATTGATTTCATTAGCAAAACACTTGAGAAATGAATGGATGTGCTGTACTGCATTACTTGCAGTTGCTTAAATACTTGCCAGCGTTTAATGATATGGTGGTAATATGACAGATCACGATACATATCCGTCTTGTATTGTACCACATATTTTCCTGCTAGTTTTTGGCTGCTCTAGCTATTTTCTTTTCCTGGCGGAAGCAAGGGAAATTTGAATCTCCTTAAAATTACGACCTACAAATGCTACGTTTGAGGTAGTAAACCGTAAGCACATGAATCATTCAGAGTCACTTTAGCGTGTACAATAGTGCGGGTACCTGCGAGTATCGCATAATTTCACCACCTGTTGCTCTGTAAAGACATTCGCTTCTGGGGCAGTGAGCGTGATCGGAGACCGTTGAGGTTCCTGTGTCATTAAGCTCCGTCTTCCACACCGCTTACGTTGTTTTGCTTGTACGAGCCTTTCTTTAGTGGTGGGTGAGTAACATGAAAATCTGCCGATTTGTTATTTTGATAGTGAATACACAGGATTTAGTAAACCGCTCATCTCGGTTGGCGCAACAAGTAATTTGGTGTTTACTTGACGCGAAACGTAGACTGTAGTATTTAATGCTGCAATTTTTAGCCCCGTATCTTTCGCGAGTTGTGATTGCACCTTTAATTATTGTGAATCTGCGCCTGGAAGTTTTGACGATAAATTTTGGGAATTCGAGAAATTTTGGTTGAATATCTAAGAACACTATATTGAATATCTTATTGACAGATGTGGATAGAAATTGATGGTTGACAACCTAATTAAGTGGAAGAGAAAGTCTGTTGCACGGAAAAGTCCAAAACCGAGAAGGGGAAATTACCGGTGGATCCAAGCTCGAGGTAAAATTATTTTTTCGCTGCTAAGATGCGATTAATAGCTCTTGACATACAGACAGTCTGTAGACAAAAACAACTTTTTTATTGTCACTTGTCTAATTAACATTTAACGCGATTATGTATGACTGGTTAAGCTAATGGTAAATGCAGATCCATATATAGAATTTCGGCTAACAGACGTTTAGGTCTATTTTAGAAAGGCAGTCAGGGCCGGCGACGCAAATACTTCTTGTTATAAACCTGCATGCATTTTTTTTAAAAAACATAGAGAATTCGAAACTGCAGAGTCTGATCCTGCAATTACTTGCTAAAGACAGCGTCAAGATGTCGGCAACGGAAACAGTGATCCGCGAGAGCAATGAATTAAGCAATGAAATTGATACATCGTCGGAGGCCGATGCGACCAGCAGTATGGAACAGAAAATCCCACCGGATGCGGGCAGTTCCTCTGTTGCAACAGGGACATATAAAAACGGAACGGTGGTACGCAATGCTCCAGATTCCAACACCGAAGATTCTCAAGGTAAAATTGCGTATGATGTTCACAACATACGTACAATACATTCACTACATCAGCGTGTTTTTGTTCGACGTGCTCGGTTTTCAGTTCATAGACTACGAGTATACGAGTATAACGCATTACGGGTAAAATAATTATGTAGTTGTGTATTCACGTGGATAAGCAGTTAATTTGCGAATTATTCGTTTCCTGTCTAGAAAATGTTTGGTAACAAGTTAAGGGAAGTGGCCCGGTACATGGTACCAAATTCGTGTACATGCACGAAAACTTTTACTTCCGCGCACTCCCAAACACTTTTTTGTTTCGGTTTATGACATCTTGTACCCAGAAGATTTGTATTCACTGACGGGAAAACCGTTTGTGCGCGCAGCATCCGGTTCGGGAGTTATGGCTGTCAGAAAATCTCAAAAAGTTTAAATGCGTTCAGGTGTACCAAAAGTCTCATTATGGGCCGATCTCCCTGAGATTTCGCACGTAAATGCTCATGACCACGAAGAACGTTTTTACACCGATCCACTGTTCTAGCATGTTTTTCAAATTTTAAAATGAATTTCAAAAATTTTAAAATTCGTTTTAAAATTGGAAAAAAATCATGGAAGTCTGGATCGGTGTAAAAACGATCTTCATGGTTACGTGCATTTATGTGCAAAATTTGAGGGAGATCGGTCCATAATGAGACTTTTGGTACACCTGAACGCATTCAAACTTTGTGGAATTTTTTAACAGCCATACTCCCGAACCGGATGTTGCGCGCACAAACGGTTTTCACGCCAGTGTATGCAAATCTTTTGGGTACAAAACGTCATAAATCGAAACAAAAATGTGTTTGGGGGTGCGCGAAAGCGAAAGTTTTTATGCATGTACACGAATTTGGTACCATGTACCGGCCCACTTCCCTTAAACGGCTGTGACCTATATTTGTATAACCTTGGCGCTGCGTTAACGCCGGTGTTTCGTAACTTGGTAAAGAATTTTGGTGTTGGCAGTCTGCTCCTAAAACAGACGTTTTGATATCTATGCGTTGCAACAATATGTTTATATCATTGTTATGCCTAAATAGAAACGGCAAAATAAGGTTAACGGGAATTCTAAATTTAATAATGATAATTCTAAAAAGCACAAACTGCAAACAGTTGTACCCGGCTAAAGTCCTTACAGCTATTTTATGCAGTCGCAAGTTTAAGCCTTTTAATTTGGCAATTAATATTAATACTCGTATACAGAGTACTGGGGAAAATCCGGTTGTCTTTACGATATTTTGCCTTTTTATTACAGGGAAGACGCGGATAGTATGGTTCACTTTTAACGTTCGTATTTCCAGTGTTTCGCGAAACATCGCGTAGAAGTACCAAAGTGCCCGTACAGAGTTGTACTTACACTAACAATTTTATACAGTGCGATTGTAATTGTAGATCCCAGTTTCAACACGATTTCATCAACATCGCCCGACAAGGATAATGGCGTTCCGCCAGGGCAGGATGAGGTGAAAGTGCATAAACCGGGAACCATACTGAAAACCGGTCTCTACACCAAAGCATATCACAGCGAATATTCCGATTACTGATACTTCCAGCGCTACCAGGAGCTTGCTTAGTTTCCTGAATTCAGTATTTACTTACTCGTTTTAATTTAGTATATCACTGACAATGACCATTATGTTACGTGCTCCGTTAGCCAAATAGTTGACCAGCTTCGCAGTTTACGCGCGCCTAAAGCATGTATTGTACAGATGCAAATGAATATGATAATTATTGTTTGTAGTATCCACTATCCACCATGATATTTTTGGCTACACTGGTCTGGCCTAGCATTTATGTAATAATAAATTATTTGGACTTGATCTAGTGTCGTTTTTAGTGTACTGTATAAGCAATGATAAATGTTGATTTCTGTAGACTACCGTATATCGTACGGAAATTACTACCGAAGTGCCAGTATCTGCTTCCCGTTAGTTGTGAGACAGAATGATTACATCTATATTAAATTATCCATATCGGTTCGTAAAACTCTTGGTTCTTAATAATTATTGTAGTTCTCTTGATACGACTAAAGCATACTGTAGAATTTGCACGTACAAATTCTCAAGTGCACGTACACATCGCTAGACATAAACACTGCGAGTACTGTATTGTAGTTACGCGAAGCTCTAGTGTACACTATTTTTAGTAAGTACAATACTTAACTTTTTGGGTTGGCCGTGCATTGGGCAATAAGTTTAGTTTTGTTATATGCAGCTACTGACGCCGACCTGCACCTTTGAATATTTAAAAATATGGAAAAATGATAAAACTGTACAGTATCGTTATATCTATAGATGAAAACACCCAGAACAGCTGACACATTAATATCTTTTAAACTTATTGTACGCTGAATCTTCTACCGATTAACGGAACCCGATATCGAAGATGAAAACAAAAAAGTATTGATAAAAACCATAACAATCCGAACGACAGATTCGTATATTATACTCCTGGAAACTGACCAAAGGACATCACACCACACACCACACCCTCATACATCACACCACCTCTCTTTCACATTAATTTTCTGTTTTCCGGTCACAAATGTGTTCGCCCACCCACGGGTGGCATCTGGTAAAGTTCCAATCCAGTTGCTGGCTTTCTAACACAGTTGTCGCATTTTCATTTTTTCCTAATCGTAAGTTTCAAAGCAGCTTCGAATTCTTTCATGATTTTCATAAATTTATCTAATTAAATATTATCTCTGATAGTCCGCAAGCTTGGGTGAATGTTTTAGTCAACTTGTATTGAAGGTATTCCAGTTGATTATTGTCGTGGAACCTTAATTCGCCATGCTGAGCTGATGCTTTGATAAAAAAGTAGATCCAAATCTGCTTTGTTTCGCACCAAGGAATGCACCTGAATCCTACCGCATTCACTCTCGCAGGATCCGCTGGTTTTAGTAGCGATGCTGCCAGTGCCAGCACATCCACCGCCAGCACCGCAGCCCCACCGCCCAGCAGCGGAACTATCCAGCCCACGACGAACCTCAGCATCGCTCCGAATGCTCCGCAACCGTCACAAATAGCTTCTGCCCCGCAGCACTTGCAGTACATTTTCCCTGCGCCAGGTTAGTGCCGCTCTCCATTCTGAACTGCTTTCGATGGAAGAATAGTGTTTTTGCATTATGAATTCATTTATTTGGGAAATGGTGCAGAGACTGTTGAGTCATGCGCAAAACTTGTCTGGTGTTGCTAGTCTCAACTCTCAAGTCTGTTGAATAACAGAGCTCAGTACAGGATGATACTGTATGTTGTGCGGATTTTGTTGACAGGCCTGAACATGTTCTCCATTCAGCCGTACAATTATCCGTACCCCCACCAGCCCGCTTCCACTCTGGCGGTGGTGAGTACCGTGGCTGGATCGCCGTATGTCAACATTCTCGGGCAGGTGGTGGAAATGACGCCTGGCGGAATGAACATGAACGCTGCGCAGCGAACTTCTCTTGCATTCCCTACACTCGTGTCGCGTCCACCAGACGCCAACGCCACTGGTTAGTTGTCTGTACAGCGGAAACCATAATTCCTTCTGAGGCAGCATAATTTTCTAAAAGATGGATTTTATCGGGACATACAGTATATGGAAACTGTCGCATCATAATTCACCAAACACTGCGTAGCATTAAGTAACCGTTTACTATTGCTATAATTAAGGATTACAAGCGATATTTCTTATGAAAAGAGTGTTGTATTTCTGAATAATTTCGAACTGTGTAGAAGAATGTTATGACACAATGTTTTATAGCCAGAAAAGTTGCTAACTGGTGATTCGCATTAACAGTTCCCAGGTTTTTGTGTAATACTGGAAGAGTTTGCAGTCGAAAGTCGCCGTGTTTGGGTTACTTCGTGTATCTGTTTTATGTCAGTTGTTTTGTTATTTTTCCGAATCTTTTGGGAGTAAATTCTTCTCGTTAGAGTGTGGGTATGATTCGAGTGATTACGGTTGATGGACTGGTTTTGCTGCAGATATTCAGAACGGAATGCAGTTCCCAGTCGCACAACTGGATCCGTCCGTCAGGATTGCACCGCTTTCTCCCGACAATCCGGACAGAACACTGCACATTTCTGGATCGTTGGGCCCACCGCGCAGTGTCCCGGGTCAGTGCAGTACTTCGGGAAATCTGAAACATGTTTCCCCTCTCTTCGGCGTTGCAAACCTATTCATAGTAATTTCATACTGAATTGTCTTATTACTTAGTTTACCGATAAAATTCCGAGGTAAAAAAATCGGGAATTTGTTACTGGCCATTCGATCTTATTATCAACTTTTGGGTTACTTACTTCAGTTGAATATGAAAACGTTAATTGACAACGGTACGTTAATTGATAACAAAAAACGTTAATTGACAAAAATACCGCCTTGTGCCATAATTTTGAAGCTTGCAGGAATTATTGTTAACAGATTTTGGACGCAGTGCAGAGTACCAGTATTGGTACTGCCTGCATGTTTTGAAAAAATGAATATTACTGTAAAGAAAACAGGTTCAAAACTGTGAATGTTAGTTCCAATTTTTTTAAAATTTTGTTGTTACTGCGCAGTTTATGAAACTAGATGCAGCTGCTTACGTCATGCGAGGGCAGTAACTGGGCGAATATTTCTTGTTTATAGTCTTTGACGGTCACGTAATTTTTCAAAAATCGACGGTGAATTTGATTACTCTGCCTTTGCAGGTTCGCCTATTATGAGTATAGCGGGATCTATGGCGCTACCTACGTTGAGCTCTCCACCGTCCTCAGCTGTCGGTGATAAGGCTGCAACTACGGAGTTGAGAGTTGTTGCGAATTCTACCAGATCGGACATTCACAATTTTTTTGCCGCTATGAATCCTTCGCTTCCCGTTGTACCTACTCCTCATTGTCAGCCCAGTATTCCCGTTATTCCCACGATTACGGTCGTTGAAAATTCTCCACAAGCACCTAGCGATGCTAGTCTGTCGGTACCGGTCGAGCCTTCGACTGCGAACGATAAAACGCATGCCAAATCGGGTAATCCTGTACGCAAACGACCCAGGGATCTATTGCGGCATGTTATCGGTGGGCAGACGATTTTCGAAAGCGTTTCCGGGCCGTTTTCGGTTAGTGTTAGAAATACTTTCGAAAATTAGTGAAAAAACTCGTTATTCATGGATGCTACCAAAAAAACAATGTACACGTACAAATATGTCAGAATTTTCTGTTGCTTGAAATTTAGTTTGGCCTAATTGTAAGTTGTAGGTAGTAGTTTTTCAGGGACAGAAACAGCTATTCGGTTTAAAAATGTGTAATTCTGAAATAAAAAAACCTTTGCTTCGCCTTATATTCCGATTACATCGTACAACGCCACTTTTAAAATTCTTGTTTTTTTAAGGAGGCGCAAATGGCTTACATCGAAGAATATTATGCGCACAACTTCGATGCCAGCGATATCAACGAAGTGCTAGCTCAACCCGAATTGCTGAAGGATGAAGTGGAAAATGGTGATGATGCCAGTATAACAGGTGCGTACTTGTAATACAGTGAGCGGTCAAGTCAGTGTGGATCAGAGCTGGTCCGATAAATCATCGGAGGCCACCGATATGTCCGATAACTCCGATAATTCCGATGTTTTCATCGGAAAAAGCGGTATCGGAAAAATTCTGTATCGTATCGTAGCGGATCGGAAAATCTGCTTATCGGGCGGAGCGACAAAATCTTTAGCGTAGCGGGATTTTCACCCGATAAGCACGAAAAAATGATTATTTTAACACTTTTAGACTCAATTTTCAAAGAAAAAGTGAGACAAAACGTAAATTTTTAGGCTGATGCCTTACTAAAAACCGCAAAAAAAATCGTTGAAACGCAATTTCAGCCAATAGACTACCGGTAATTTTAAAAAATCGTAAATTCGGTTTTTCGGTATGCGCCGGTGAATGCCGGCCAGTGCGAATTTTTACTTAAATATTTTCTTTTTTTATCGGAATATCGGATTTATCGTATCGGAAATTCTGTGCAAAGTCGTAGCGGTATTGGAATCGTATCGGACAGTTGAAATATCGGAGCGGTGACGAAAAATTCGTATCGGACTAGCTCTGGTGTGGATTCTTATGATTGTTATAAAATTGTTGTTGTGTTTAGACGCTAAAAAATGTGATTTCTGCCAGTCATCGAAAGGTGAACGTTTTTTTGCGGGAAAGCGATGTTTGTGCAAGGAAGGTTGCTCGCAAAGTTTGAATGTCGCAGCAAAACCTCTTGAGAAGAAGCGATCCGCGGCTAAAAAGAATAACGCTTCTGTGGAAAAGAAAGGTGCGTATGTATTTTGTTGCTTCGATGTTGAGATTGTTTAAATTTGTTGCGTTTACACTAGCATTAGGCATTAGATTACGTTGGGCCCACATTGTTTGTTGACTGTATTGAATATTACGAACCTTAAGTTTTTAAATGTTGGATTGTACTATGTGTTTGACTGTGGATGTGGATGATACAAAGGTGACATCGGACCTTTCTTGAAGAAACTTTTTTTTGATTGCAGCTTCCCCAGCTCGTGTTGCCAAGCCAAGAGTTATTAAAAAGATGCGCGTTGAGCCACCTAGCCGCAGGATTATTCCTTCAAAGCTGCTGCCCCCGACAGTGCAGAGTGTGGCCATTCCTCCACCGAATATTCCTGCGCTGGTAGAGCGAACTGTTCCCACTGTTGCACCAGTTGTTTCTGATGTACCTCCGGTTCCAGAAGAAATGGCAGTGCGTCACTACTTCCCGAAAACAATTTTTCGTAGTGGTCTGATTTTGTACGTGGAATAATAGAGTAAATTTGTTTGCAGCCTCGCGATGTCATGGGCGCTGCTCCTTTGATTGTGCTGGTGAAGAGAAAGCCCGATCTGGACACCTGGACGGTAAGTGCCCGCATTTAGAAAAGTGAATGCTAAATACCGGTTGACAACCACGTGTTTGCATCAAGTACTTAGTAAGGAACGAATGAGATTGTCTTATAAATGGATTCTGGGTTTTAAACTGTATATGGAGCTGTAATTGTAATCTTCGATTGCGACTGTACCTTTCGTTGCGTTAAATGGTACGTTTCGCGTAAAACTATTACGTTAAATATGGATAATTCAACATAGTGCTTAAGTACATGCGCAAAGGTTGTTCCGCTTACGAAGCTGGGTCGCCGGCGTCTTGCATGACAAGGGAATGTGGGACCGATTGTGAAGTTAATCAGTTGAAATCGCATATTGTTTTGCAGTAACTTTTTTTAACAATAGGATGTTTTTAGGTGACTGATATCGGCACATTGCTGTTATCTATTCGCGGACTGAGTCCTTTTGAGCAGAAATTCACGGGCGACGAGATCGATGGTCAGGCCCTGAAGCTGTTGGTTGATCCTGAAAACAATGTGGACGGAGAGAAGCTCATCACGGAAATGGGTATGCCAAAGTGGGCAGCGTACAAGCTCAAGCACATAATCCGTTTGTTGACGGCAACCGAATTCCGGAGCGAGTATCTGTATGACAAGCTGTAAAAACATTCGACTTCATATAATTCACCTGGCTCTGGGTTTTCCGGGTTTGTTTTAACGCATTTACATAATGCTTTTCCAGTGGTCCGTTTTATTTCGGACGGCCATGTGAAGTTACCCGTGCAGGTGCATTTCGGTTCGTCTGCCATAATTATTGTGGCTTAAATTGTTATGCAGTGGATTTTTAAAGACTTTTTTTAAACGTTTTAAACGGTTATTTTACATTCTCGTTCGATAATTTTAATCCTTTTACCGTGTTTTCCGAATCTCACGGGCATTCTGAATTGATTTTTTACCCTTTTATTGTGAAGCCAATTGTCTACTGGTTTTTCACAGTTTTACACTTAGATTATGAAGAAAAAGTATCACAGCAATTGTCCGAAACCATCAATCAGTGCATATAAAACCAACTCTGGAATACTTCCCACGATAAAACAACACTCGACCATCAGTGATTTGATTACCAACTGAAATTCCTTCCCACCATCTGGTAGAACATGTCATTATAGGGGCGAAAAAAGTGGGTCAGTTTGTCGACAACTTCCGGTGCTACTTCGGGATGCTTGCGACCTTTGGTATGGGAGAGGCACTTATCCGCATACGGATTGACCGTATCCCGTATACAGTAGAAACCTTTGGTGGTGTTGTAATGAAACTGCTCCGCACGGATCTCCGCCGGCAGCCGCAGGAACGCCTCTACCCTGCGCAATTCCTCAATGGGATTGGCGATAAGTGTGTCGCCATCGACGATGAGGATCTGTTCACGGGGAAACACTCGCAACCACGCTGTCAAATGCTTGTAATAGAGGCTGACCCGGATGGGCTTATAACTGACATCCACACTGCCGTCCTCCCGCAACACACTGTCCTCGAAGCTCAAGTAGTTCTTGCCTTTTTTAATACGATTACTTAATGTCTGTGTATAGTCGGAGATGACCCTTGTCACGGGATTCTTAACCACCAGAATTAACGCGATCGATGCGTTCATGGATTTAACGCGTTGGGGAACATAGCGCGTAATGAAATATGCCGGTGATTTCTCCACCGTTATCTGGTCCTCGTAAGAAAACGGCATCTGCCGACGGTACCATTCCCGGCCTTTCTGATAATTTTGTTCTTCGTCGAAAAAATGTACTTCGTCCGAGGCTTTGGTGATCCGCGAGTGCAGACTGAGGAATTCAATGAGCGCTCGTGTGCCGCTCTTGCGGACGCCGATAATCAGACACGACGGCAGCCGCCGCATCAGGCGATCACGGGTCCAGCGCGGTTTCTCTGTGTTGAGGGGAAAGAAGAGATCCGAATACAGCAGCGGTGGTGTCCATGTGATCAGCCATGGATACATTGGAGCTGTGATATTACGCGGCGCATAATCACCGGATTCTGGGGCGCTTATCAAGGGAATGGCAAAATACAGAAGCAGGATCATTAATAAAACGATACTGATGACGACAGTGATCGTGTGAGAAAATAATCCAATGTGTGACACCGTCGATGAATATACTGCAGCCGTCGACGCCGGCGTCTTGGCTGCGGATGTAGCATTCTTGCCGGCTGGTAATTTAAAATCAATAAGCATGATTGGTATGGGCGTCGCGGGGATGGGGATATGTTTCCTGTGGTGGTCACTTAGTCGTTTATCAGCATCTGTAACATGAGACGCATCCAGTTCAATTAGTGGATCCGGCAAGAGTCGCTCACATTTAATGCTGGCGAGCATTAATAATACTGCAGTACAGCCGGGATATACCGTATACACAATACGATATCGATATGAACTATGGAGAATTATACATATGCGCATCTACTTGGTACATTCACACTATAAATTACACACTGGATATTCCTGTCAGTTGTCGCATGGCCTAAAATGGCACTTCAAGACTACAACAGCAGCACTCTCTCGCTCTCAGCTCCCAAAAGTCACGCATCACATTAGCCTTCAGGGGAGACAGACGAAACCCGGGAGACCTTATGGCAGTGGAAAATTAGATGCCGAGATCATATGTTAAAAACATATATAATACATACTTGGAAATAATTTCCTTAGCCCTACAAATTCTGATGCGGCATTTGATTTCCGAGCAGATGCGCAAGTATGTTTGAATACCGTCTAATCAAAATAAAGTGTGCATTCGCCGCACAGGGACTCAGAATGTACTGTATTTCCCAGGCATTTTGTAACGGTGGATACAATTAAAATGGACACAAACTATTTTCATGATGGATTCCGAAGCAACAAACACATAGTCCCGACAATTTATTTTCTCGCTGATGCAGATTTACTGATTAAAACTAACGAATTTGTACTGATTTAATGCCAGCGCAATGTAAATGCACTGCCGGCTCATTCTTGAACGTGTATTCTGCGAATGCGACAAACTTGTGCATATGCAGCGCGTTAACATTTCATAAAAGAGAGGATTGATTCTGCAATCCTCAGCCCCGGTTTGTCCATCTCCAAGCACAATAACACGGAACATAAGTGGGTTAAACAGTAAACACAGTGGGAATACAATTATCAATTCACTTAAATGCCAAACACATATTGATCAACAGCTTATGCGGGCAACAACTCCAAATGGCCAAAATCTTGTCTTCCCATACTCGTAACACAAGGCTTCGATCTACGCAACACACACGTACAAGTGACCGCAGTATGTGACCCCTATCAACAGACAAATCCGTCGTGGAATGTTGGAACACTTGAATTCGCCGGTTACTGAATACGATTCTTTTCAGTTCGGGACACAACCAACAACTTAAATTCAAACCGGCAACAAACAGGTCTTAACCTCACAACTGACCACTGCTGGCCGGCTATTTTTCCAGCGATGATTAATCGCCAGTCTATCTGTAGATGGATTGCGCGGTGGCAGTAATTTATGCTTATGAAGGGAGATTTTCTTGTCAAAATAATTAGCGTGACTTCTGGATGGCCTGTTGCAGTAGTAGCCATGGTCAGCGCAGACTGACCACCTGCCGTTGTCAGTGCGGACAACAGCGCGCGCAGACCATCCGCTCAACCGGAAAATTAACCATCTTTTATCCATACTTGTCTGAGTTGTGGGCGGCTATGAGAAATCCACCGAGTTTTCTTGTTTCCACAAAGGGATGAATCGAAGCCCTTCTTACTATAGAAAGATCGTTAACCGTTTAAAGTCACTGTATGTAATTATCATGTTCTACGTATTGTTCTGTTGTTCACATTCACAATTACAAAGATATTCTCAATTGCGTGATTCCATATTTCTGCTTTCCAGTTTACAAAATAAATTAAAAGGTCTAAGAACCAACAGATAGCTGTGGAGAAAACAGAAAATAAATAGGGTCCAATTACTTCCGAATATTTTAAAGTGAAATAAATGGCAGTATCCTTTGGCCTGTTTAAATAATAATTAATGCCTTAATGGACATTCTACATAGTATAGCAAATCATTAGTATAATAAACCATTGTGTCATAAAGGAAAAAAGAGCGAATTAAATGTTGCTTTGCTAGCTATTGAGCAGATGCACATATTGAAGGAAGATAGATAAGAATTAATCAAATAATTTACATTCATATTTTGTACATTACTGGGAGAAAAACGATACGCGTAAAATATTCTTGGATCTAAATTCACAGCGACAGATCGCGCTTAATGACAGATTTGTCGTAATCTATCCCCGTATCAACACTGTGGTTTTTGTATGTCCATCACGAGAGAGCGAGACCAGTCTGGACATTTTTCCCGTCCATCACCATTATATCATCTGGAAGATGTTTGTAGCAGCAGCACCTCGGCCTCACAGATTTAACTGTCCTCAACCGTCCTTCATCTATCGGCCTCTGACTAATTAGTGAGAGTTTTTTGCTCATTAAGGTCAACAGCAACTCGCTGACAGAGCGATTTATGGAATTGCATGAACAGATATGAAAGTCACCAGTCAGCACAGCTGCTTCCTGTAATATGCATAAAATGCATATTGCAGGATGTATCTTAACCGCGATGGTCGTCAGCTGCTATCCGGTATCTGACACACATTCGCCATGGAATTACGTACGCAGTGGTTTGGGGGTATTTATATAAAGTAGCCCTGGCCATGAACGTGCCAATCCGCCACTGCCCGTTATGCACGCTTGGTCAATTCGGATTAAGGCTCTTTCAGCGCGTCCCGGCACAGCGCTCGCGTGAGCTTGGTTTTTGTTGCTCTTGCACTGGTCATTTCCATTTACGATAATTCCCCAGCGTGAGAAAATATTCCAGAGGGAAGACTATAGCAGCTGGGATTTTGTGCCCGGCGAAAAGTAGGGCTGCGTGTGTACTGGCCGTTGATATACCGGATAGATATCTACGTTAACAACACGAATCCTATTTAGTAAGTTGGCTGACCATCGGCCATCCGTCAGTACACCCGAGTCGGGGCATGGGAAAATGGATTTTTAATTCGCATTAAATTCAGTCATGCCGGTATTATACTGGGGATTTTGTAAATAAATGCCCAAGCGGAAGTCAAGACGTGTATCCGAGCGAATAGCCATCCTAGCCTCAAGTGTATTATTCTAGAACAACTATAAATAAACGGATTTAAATGTCCAAGTCTCCGTTATTACTGTAGAAGAATGTATAAGAATAAAAAATAAACAGATGTAGATGCCTGTGTTTATTTTCGCATGCTGTGTAATATTTTTGTTGCGTTTAAGGATGTTATGCGTCCAAGTGATATTCGTGAGAGGGAGATGCGCGGTTCCGGGTCGCATAATCAAGGATGGAAAGCTGATACGCTTACTGAAACACCGGCTGATATGCTGAGACGCTCACCGAAACAGTATTAGCACTTACCATAATACTTTACCATGAAAATCACAAACAATATAACGTTAACGATAGTTTTCAAAAGAATATTGTGAATTAAAATATTAAAACTTGCTGTGAAACAAATCAAGCTGTGCAAAAATTCTCATAATCGGCATGAGACTGTGCGCTCATATATAGATTTTCTGTATTGTGATTTGTGCATCATATTTTGCAAGAAGCCAGCCAAAGCGGTTTTCAATGCATTTCCGTCACAACGGAAATCATCGTTTGCAGTGACAAGAAGACCATAGACATGATGTACGAGCGGGCAATGGTCAAGAAATGTTGTATATAGCCAAGACTCAAAACGATAATTGCTATAACAGTTTGGCGATCCACAGCGGAAAGAGCGACGCATCCTCTCTTGCACGATTCACTATATAAATCTACAGCGAAAACAAAACAACGATGATTTATAACCCGAGATTTAATCGACTTTTGATGGGATTTTCTTGTCCAACATCCAGCCGCGAAATATGAGCGAATCTGTGAACTATTCTCATTTCTCATACTCCGCACACACTCTTTTGATCATGTGCGGGGGTCCATGTCAGGCAAAAGATGCATCATATCTGTATATTGTCATATGCCGTGCATCGGCGCTGTTTATATACGAAAGTTGCCATCGTCAGATGAATCACCGGCGGAGTTTAAAGAATTTTTATGTTCAGCTAATTGAATACAATCATCACATGGGGTATAACTCACGCTGTTCGTGTTTTTTTACTACCTTTAATAAATACTAGTGATACGTCATATACAGTTTGTACGTAGGCATGCGACGCAGTTTATGCCAAGCGACAGCCCGAATAGCCCGAAAATAACAATAGCCCGAATTATGGTATCTGCATAGTATTATTAAAAAGGATATCAAAATTTTGCAAAAAATTGTATACCAAAAATAAACATTTATCAGAAATTTAAGTGCACCTAGAATCGATAATAATTTTAATGGCGAGTAAAGTATTAAATAACTGCGGAAGGAGCATGTACGTACGCTGATGATGGAGATTCGGCGCCGGTATGTAGATATGAAGCAGTCATGCCGCGCTGATAATTTAATCAGTAAACTTGTAAATCAATGCAGAATTATTAATTATTTGACTTGGAAATTATTCTATGACGAATCAGTAATAATCCAATTATTGCGTCCAAATTACTGGCCTTGTTAGCCGCAGGTCAAACCCAATAGTGTCAGACTGGAGCTGCCGTATTACATCCCAGTCCATCCCTTCTGCACATATAATATAAGACATCTCCGCACAATACGTATGTACCGGGTTTTAATGAATAATTCATTTACACAAAGCTCATACACAACATCTGAGCTGTAACCAACCGCCTTCTGTTCAAACCGACATTTAAAATGGGCCGGACTGACGGGCAATATGTTTGCTTAGCATTGACATTTAGCATATGCGAAATTCTTCTTTAACACATATTGACTTATGGCTTTCATCGGGCGCAACTCCGACAGATAAAAACAATAGGAATTTGCTCGGCTGTTGACAGAATTAACACAACTGCACAGGTTTTCTTATCTCTTCCATTATTGCAAATATTGTTTCCGTTGCTCGCACTTCTCTCTAAAGTAATTATATGAGTATATGTACGTTATAATTCTGACAAAAGTATTTTCTTAAATTAGGACGCCATGCACCTACATATTATAAGAGAATAAATCTTACGATTGATTTATTTATTTAGCGGTATTAAATTTTTGAAATATTTCCTGTACCTCTAGTTCTGTAATGCTATAGAAAGTATTTTATTTTCGCATGATTTCGGGAAAAAAATCATAAGAAAACAATAGTTTATGTGCAGCCTTCCGATAAAATCGTCCCAAAACTGTGTCAGAATTTACCGGCATGTGCGTCTGTACATGTCATTAAGCGTTATCAGTATTAGAAGAAAAAATCAGTGATGATTATCGGCGAGTTGTCAGCAGCCGGTATCCATTGCGCACGTCTGTTATAAGCAACACACATACAGAAACACGCAAATCCGACTGCGCATGGTCAGCGTCTGCACCGTGCTCATTGAGCACATTACCATTTATAATGAGGTAATTCCCCACAGTTTCATTTGCATACGGTATCCTCAGATTATCCTTGTCGCAGCCATTGTTCCCTCTATCGCGGCTGTCATGTCCTCAAGTGCCCCTAACAAACTCGACAGTACACACGAAAATGACCTCCTGCCACGTTGATCGTCCGCAGCAGTCAGCAGCATAGACAGCTGTGACGGCGGCACCGGCGGGCGGGCGGCTGCTGAACGCTGATGCCTTCACGGTTGTTTTATTATTTGGCAGGGAAAATTGATTTTCACTGGTCTGACAAGTAAGTCATTTATAAACAACATCGTCAGGGAATCTAATAAAAAACACACACAGGCTCAGCCAGGAACGACATGATGGTTTTTAGCGTGGGAAATTTCGATGATGGCCACCGATGGAGCAATTGTATTAACTGCTTCATGCTGCAATCACTGCACTGGGATGCTATAAATTAATTCTGCGCACTTTCGACGTTTAACGTCCACGATCGATCCGCGCGCAATAAGAATACAATTATAAACATTTTACTAAAATAAAAGATATATCAGCCTAAATAATAATTAAAGCATTTGCGTACATACCAGTCGAAGTCACTTGTGCTGGACTACAAAAAATAATTTGCTGCAAGTATAGTTATAAATTCTTTCGGTTACGGCGCTTACAAATCTTTCGTGATATTTACAGCGACGTGTTAATTTTAGCAATTACAGTCATATAATACCACATTATTAGATCTTGCGTGCTACTTTTGACATGACTGATCCCAGGCATTTCACAGGTACAGTCAATCTTTCAGCCGTTATAAATATACAAGTTACAGATCGTAAATTATAGCTGCATTTTACGTGTCACACATAAACGGCTGAGCCAGTGACTATCGCACTTTTATTTGCCTATATATTTGTGTGTGTCTCTGTGCCGTTTTCCATTTTGTGGCTATGGAAATCAATAAACCCACTTTGACCGGTCATGCAGACTAGTAATGTGGTGCGTGTGTATATATTGTTGTTACGATCGCCATGCCAGCCTTAAAATTATTATCTGCCTTTACGCCGTCATAAAAACATGGGACATCCATATGAAAACGGAACCGGCTATTTTAACCCTGTTTGTGTGAAATTGTAAATTGTGTGTGTGCTTGCACTTTCAACATGGACAATCAATGGAATAAGTGCAGTTTTTTCCTTCGTCGACCGGCTTATCGCGCGCGCCTACACTAAGCCGTATATAAACCGGGGTTTTAAAAATCAGTGTCGTCAACACACAGAGCTCCTACTCTACCGCACATTTAGCCTGATTATACAACGTAATTCATTGGATTTAACTGGTAGTGTATGGCGGCCCATTCTGCATAAGTAAACTGATTCGCATGCCTGTGCATGTTTAAACAAACATTTGCTGTAGCGCCCCAGTCGATGAATAGCTTAAACGCCCGGAAAGTGGAGCGAATCTATGCAGTGGCGTATTTCTCGGTATACGCGCTGCAGCAGTGCAAAACGGGGAAAACGTCACGTTTTCCAATCCTCACTGGATAATGCCGGCTTTTTTCTCTTTCCGTCGTCCACTTACGCTAATACGTTTGAACATCTGATACCTGCAGCGCTGAATTATACTTTAAGGGACTAACCAACGCTCCCTCCAAAAACTGATTGCTTTTCCCACCAAGTAACGCCCTGTGCCTGCTGTGTACACAATGCCAACTATCAGCGAATTTTAGTGAACAATGCAAAAACCGATTCTAACATAATTTTGTTCCGCCTCCCAGGTAAAAAATATGCTAAACAAAATTTGTAAATTTGTTACAACAGGTTACATAATACTTTCAGCTACTTATTTTCACCCGTCCATAATATTTAATTTTGCGTGGTAGCAAAAGGTCGTTTTATTTCTCCATCGAAAAAAATTCATTTTCTTCCCATTACAATAGTATTGTACAGCTCACCATATCGATCCTGTTCGAAGTACCAGTAATATGCGCAATGATTGCTGTTAATAATTTTTGCAAATATTGTTTGCCGCCCTTACCTTTCATTTTCCTCTGAGTGTATTTCATCGCAAACGTCCGATCTTCTTGTGCAGACCACTCCACTTCCAGTACCAATTGCGTAAGGGCAAACACTTAAAAGAGGTGCCGATAATCCGTAGATTTAAAATTCAACGACAAAAATTTCATCATAAAAACACATAATTTTTTACATTAGATAAAGAGCATTTAGTTTATTAGTTTACTGCACATATTCTTGCTTTGCTAACCGTCAGTAACAAATCAGCATTCAATCCCATCAACACTGCTTAAATCAAGTCAGAAAAAATAAACCAGATAAACATTTGTGATTTTGTATCCAGTGTCCCAAAGATAGCATCAAAACTTATGGTGGGTGTCGTTATACCGCATTTGCATGAAAACTGTTTTCCAGCAAATAAAAATACATGACAGCAAGTAAGCAGTTGACTTCTAAACAAATGCTTGTACGCGGCTGCGGTTGTAAGTAGTGCAATCAATTCCCTCCGAATCTCTTTTCCAAATCGACCCGCCAACGATACAACTGAACGGCCGGTGATGACGGAAGCTCCACCCAGCAGCCGGCTCGTGTGGCTCATCATCCAATAGTACCGTAACATCACTGATGGTGAGATCCGCGATTTCGGGAACATGTTTTTTTATAATCTTAACAGGCTTTAGGGATATCTTTTTATTTTACAGAAACGGCTCTAATTTTGGACATTTGATGATGAATTTGCACATTTCTTGATAAAATGCAACGACAAAAAACAGCAACATGTGTTACATTAAGCATCCTCGGCTGCGAAGTATAAGTAGATATCTTATGTCGTTTTAATTGCTCTATTGGCCACCAATAAATTCCGGAAATGTGTGTGAAAAACAATAGATTTTCTGAATGTGTAGATACCAGAGAAGCTCGTGCAAGAACGTTATGGATGTCATTTGGAAGACACCCATTCAACACCGGAAATGAGTTTTGTGATTCCTTATTAAAGGGCATTTACAGAAATACGCCATGTTTATATACCAACGTGTACTGGAAACTGCACCGGTTTTCTACCGAAAATGGTGGTGGAAACAACGCTGTTAAGAATTACAATTACCGCATGACGATTGGCTTTAGAATCTCCGAGTAATTACGATTCAGTTTGCAAACTCATCGTGATACGAAAATGCAATCTCAAACATGCAGAACAAAGCCACATTATGTACAATACTAGTCTACTACGAGTAGATGGCTTGGTAATTGTAAGTAGAACGTGGAGTAGAACGTTGATCTACTAGTACAATTTGCCACTCTTTATTTGAGTTGCTGCATAATGGTTTTTAAATAAGTAATTCATCTGCTTGCTTGCTGTTTTGAGTCTTGTTGTTGCTCCGTCAATTCCGTTTGATGTTTTCGCCTCAAGTAAGCTATCGAACCGATATGCCATTTTTATTCGCGAACTAAGCAGGAAAATACTACAAAAAAACAGGAGCGAGCATTCAAAGCCAGAAAAGCGATTTTGGACGAAACATTTCTATCACAAAAGCCGCCAAGGTCAACATAACTGCAAGTCTGTAACCAAGCTGCACATAATAAGCCAAAACTACCACACAACACAAAGTTATCAGGCCGGCGTCCGTCGCAACCATCCCCGCACTTCTCGGAAAATCAACCTGCTCAAGCACAGCAGCGCCACAATTTGCGCCACAATCAGATAATAAAACACCGACTCCCAGCCTTTAACAGAAATCAGCCCGGCCACCAGCGGCCCAAACGCCGCACCCAAAGAGCCCGTCCCATCGATGATGGCCGTCACAGTGGCCAGCGCCTTATTATTCCCCGTCAGACTGGGGTGCGTGCCGAGATCGGTGGACACCGCCGTGGTAATAAGCGCGTACGGCCCGTTGACCACCAGCCCAGAAAAGAACAGCAGGGCGATTAGCGCCGCACTCGTGGCGCCGTAGATGAACAGCAGATACAGCAGCGGCGCGGCAAAGACGAACATGACACCGCACACGGTGGCGCTCCCGCCAGAGAGATCCGAGATCAATCCCGCCAGGATCCCCCCGACAATTCCGCCCAAGTCGAAGACGGTGGACATGTCGGCGGCCACATCGCTGGTGACATTCACCGCATTGTGAATGTATACCGGCAGCCAGACAAGAAAGGTGTAGGACACGGCCTTAGCGAAGAACAAACAAACAGAGAACTCCACGACACCGGGTATCCGGATGGCATTCAGAAGTGAAATGGGGTGATCATGCTCCTGGGGTACAACGGCCACGTCGATGTCGATCGTGGAGGCGGCCGTAACGGTGCTATAGGCTGCCACTTGGTCATCCTTCTCCACGACATCAGGAGGCGCACCGGGAATTCTGCCAGTGTGATCCGCTGGCGGTAGATCTACATCTTCCGGTCGAACGACCACGAACAAATACGCCAATACCCCTGGATAAACAAAAGAGATTTACTGGCAGGCATCGTGCGTCATACCCAGGCCAATTATCCATGAAAATAGTTCGCATTTACGCCACACTGCATTACATCTGGATGGGAGATAAATACAATTTTCCATCAATTCGTGCGTCGTTCACGGTTAACGGAAGCGCTTTCGGATATGAAAGGGATATTTTTACTCAACGTTTATGGCGTGTGGATATGAATCGACCTTTACGTATCGATACATCTTCCAATCAACAGATGCATGCGGAATTACTACTCTACTGTATCACTATCAGGTGACTACATTGGTTCAAAAGAGCAGGCATCAAAAAAAAAATCGAAGTACATATCCAAATGCTTGTGGATGCGCAAAATCGGCAGAACAGCACAAGTTAATTAATAATGCAGCATTTATTATCCACGTGGAAACGAAAAGATTTAAGGTAAAAATAATAACGGCGAATAAAATAATAATCTAAAAGACTAAAACCAATCATGCTATCATCAACAATTCGTACCTGCACCAGCGACGATCACCCCCGGAACAATAAACGAATATCCCCAATTATCGTTCACCCACACGCCGGCAATCACCGCACCGAGAATGTTCCCCACCGAGGTGTGTGAATTCCAGATGCCAAAAATCAACCCCAACCGTTTTTTCCCGAACCAATTTCCCATCAGCGTAACGACGCTGGGCCATCCTGTTGCCTGGAAGATGCCACCAAATACCTGCACGGCCACGAAATACGAGAAGCTGTGAATCTCCCAGAAATATGCTAGTCCGAAACAGATCGTCCAGAATCCGGCCATAATCATCCCGGAAGCCAGGAAATTCCGCAAATTGGTACGCTCTGCGATATGACCCACCACGAACATCCCAATCGCATAGGCCAACCAATAGGTGAAGTCCAGACTAGAAAAAAGTTCCTGGTAGTTATCCTTGTCAAAGGGAGCCCAGTCGCACCAGGTGCCATTGCGGTTGGGATCGATCACCGGTGGCGGAGGGAGTTCGGAGCAACTACGGTGGAGGACGTTCTTGGCAATTCCCAGGGGACGACGTGAGAGGTGGTATGTGGCGTAGAAGAAGAATGTGAGAACGAGAATGTAGAGACGATACCACACGATCCGGTTCACGACTGTAGGAATGCATAATCTCTGGAAAAAAACCCAAAAGCAACGAATTAAAACCAATCGTAACCTTATATTTCAAGACACAGAATAAGAGCCATCAAAATAAATGACGGAACACTATTAATTTCATGCAGCTGGTTTAACGAGTACGTAATTTCACTTAAAATACTTGCACAATAAAACATTAATTTTACTGTATTAATTTTCCGTTTTTAACTGACCTTGAAACTTTCATATTCCTAAAAGCATCCCATTTTAATAATTCAAATCTTAATTGAAAAACAGCTAGGAGGTCCAGGATGGGTTAAAAAAGTACAGGTAAGCGTAACGGACAAATACATCAAGAAATAACGGCGACCGAAACATAACTGGAAATAACAGCGAAATGGATGACAGAGAAACGTATTATATTATTATGGACAGGACATACCTGGACAATCCGCACTCCCAGTGGGATATTCTTATTCGAGCCCCGCAACATTCTCCAGCGCTCTTTAGAAACTGAGCTTTTCCTGCGTGAATTGAGGAAGGTGGTGGTTTCCGACGGCTCACCGTTGGCATCGTTGATGCTGCTGTCATAATGGCGATCCATTGATATGACGGTGGTGTACGGCGGCTGACTCTTAAACGATGGCCTGAACTTTAGACCACTTTCCGACGATATCTGTGCGGGTGAATACATGAAGATTGTCAAACGGCAGAAGTTTGTCAAGGTGCGATAAAAAACCAGATTACGAGTAAGTGTAAACGATAATGCGTACACATTATCAGTCAAGTTTTTACAATGGTCGCCACGAGGCACGTTTGCAGTCTTTCTGATCACTTCTTACCAACAACCAACTGACCACCACTCACCTGAAATCAATTCTACAAGGTTGAAGAAACCACGTTGCAATTTTCATGAATACATTTTCAGGCCGTCTTTTGATGCGGGAATCGCTGAGATGGTGCCTTCTGCCGACGAAACCACTTCAGAAAAGGAAGTAAGCGCGATTATTTATTGGGCTGATTGGAAACACATCAAGAATACAGATAAATGAATAATATTATAACAGCATGCTACGCAGCTGCGGACTAAGATTATATGAACTATCAGCAGTACAAATGGACAAAAATGGATACAAATGGATTCCACCTCAAATGAATGATAATGAAAAAAGAGAAACAAACAGGAAGCTGAAAAAATCCATTTACCGTGATTTACGTAAGCGCTGCGCATGGTAGGCGTGACGTAAGTAGGCTACAGCCGAAGGGCATAAGCCGAATTTACTTACCTTCCCACTTTTCTGTTTGCAAGCAATTTTCCTACGTAGCTCAGCTCGACACTCGCCGGTGTTTCAGAAACCGGCCCAACAAAAATAGATTCACAAAATCCAGAACTGATGTTGTTATCGAATTTGATTTCTTTGTCGAAACTCGAAACTACGTAGCAGAGCTTTAATTGAACTGTTTTCCTGGGGGTTTCCTTGCAGGGTGATGTTTTGAAAATGCAACATTTTTTAATGCCTTTATATCCTTTAAAGGCTTATCTGCTTGTTTATAACATCTTGCAGTTCTGCGGGTGAGGGTAGTGTTTGGAACTTCGGATTATCATTTTATGCTAGCGTACGCGTAGCATCGCCATCAAGGTGTTTGTCAATTTACAGACTCATCCTCCAGTATTCTATTGTTTTCAGATGGACGGTAATCGGTTTTCAGATGCTCAGTTCATTCCGCTCGGGGAAAGATCTGTACGCATCCGTCAATCCTGCTCTCCAATTTTTCCAGACCCTTGCAGTTGCTGAGGTGCGTAGTTTGCGCTTCTGATTATTCATCATTATGATTATGTAGGTATGTAAGTTTTTCTCGAGTTTGCTGTTTGCTGTATTATTTGCGGTATGATCCTTTTTCCTATTTAATGCCTTTTCGCGGTAATACGCTGTCTTTGCATTTACAATTGTTAATCGTACAGTAATAACTCCATGTAATAAGCAGTAAGCATTAGCGTATTTACCGGGGCATATGCAACCAAATTACGAAAGTTTTGTAATTTGTTCAATAAATCCAACATTGTTAATTTGCATTAGCAGATTGTACATGCAGCTGTGGGCTTTGTTAAGTCCAGTCCATTGCTGACGGGGTTTCAGGTGTTTTCCCGTGTTTTCGTAGTATGGGCCGTGTTGGATTATTCTGTCGAGGTGAGGCTTTAGTCTCGGATGTAAAATCTAACCGCAAGTTACGAAAGTTGCGCATTTCACAAGATAGTTCATCGTATCGAATTTGCACGGTACTTTCAGGCGCGGGACAGCGTGGGATTTCCGATGCTCTTGATCTGCTGGACTTTGGCCGAAATGACGCGCTATGCTTTCTATGCAGCTAACCTAATCAACATGGACGCTCCGGTGTTGACATGGCTGCGCTACACAATGTTCATCGTTTTGTATCCGATCGGCATTACCGTATGTACTGTACCACTTGCCGGTTTTATTTGCTTCTGATTTTGTTGTTGATTCAAAATGTATTAATTCTTATGAGAAAATGGATGCTTAAAAGAATTATATCGCAAACTCAAATGGCTTAATCTTTTTGATAATTATTGTGATGGAGATACTGTAGTATTAGTAAATACTTTTCTAAGTCTGCACCAAACCACAATACAACTATGGGAAAATTCGTTGAGCGTACACGAATTGTTTAGCACCATTTCTTTTGTTTTTATTTACCAAGTATCAGGGATCGTATTTCCTTGTTTTTTTCTGTCCGATGATCTGTCTTTGTTTATAGGGCGAATTGTTAGCGACATGGCAGTCCATGAATAAAATTGTGGAAAAACGCCCATATTGCTACAGCGATAATGCGGTCAATTGGGTGTGGTATGTCTACGTTGGTCTGATGCTGACTTACATACCCGGTAAGGCTGTAATCAGCGAAGAAATGCTATTCTGAACGCGTTTTCTTTTTTAGTGTTTCCTAAATTATATCTGTACATGCTGCATCAGAGGAAAAAGGTCTTGGGACACAGTCGCCCAGCAAAAAGGGAAGGAAAAAAGGTGGAATAATTCCGTGACGCTATCCATGCTATCCAGTATTCTAGACGCAGTTGGTTTTAGTTCCAGTCATTTCAGGTGGCTTTGTGAACCCTGAAATGTTTTTGTAAATAGACTTCGAATGTTTTTGATGAATTTGCAATTCTATTGGATAACTGAATCATGTCTTTCATCAACTGCATTAATTACAATCTGTATTACGAATGGTTTATGTTGCTGTAAGATGTCTGCATTTTCAGAAAAGCAGAAGCTTTGTTCTGACAATGAGTTCGGTAAGAGCAAAGTATTACGTAATAATTAACAGTGAAAATACCAAATAGTACGCTTACTGCTTCCAGTACAAATGCACAAGAAGCGAAACAGACTGTAACAGCAACATGGTACAAACTCATCATTATTCATGGGATAAGATCTTTTTGCAGTCTGTAGTCTGCACTGTCGCACGCATCAGATATAAAACGACGTCAAAGAAATTCCAGATCTGACGTCAGGTCGATAAAAAATATTGAGACACTTGCATTTTCCTGCAAGGATTCTCCCACAGTGCGCAAAATGTACAACGGGTGCTTCACTTCCACTTACAATCATATTAAACAAAGAAAAATATTATCCACATTGTCATCGATAAAAAAGTTTAACCGGAATGAGACCACAATTCTGTTACGGTAAAATCGCGTGTGTTCACCTATTCGGCATATTACTGGATTTTAAACTTTTGGCTGTATTCAGTATTTGCATAAAATTGTTGTTTCCGGTAGGCACTTACTCCGTTACTCGCACTTGTCAGCTGTTCAGGTCGGCTTCCGTTCCGGTTCCGGGTTTTCGCAGCTGCTTGGACTTGTGTCAACTCAATCTCACGGTACGCGACTACAGTACATACCGACATATTTGTGCTTGACTAAATTTTCAAACATTTTTTTAGAGTAGTGAATTTGCGATGCCAGTACTTTTTGATAGAATTTCGAAATTAATCTTAATCATTCTGAGTTGCGATTACTTATAACTATTACAGTATTGTCAGAGAGAAGTTGTTTGTTTTCTGGAGAGATCTTGATGTCCGTGCGTGCGCCTTTTGGTCGAAAATTTGAAGTCGTTGAGTTTTTGGCTTGTTCGTGTGCAGCTCGGTGAAAACACCGTGTGCTTTTTTGTAATTATGGATAGTGTGGACCTGGTTGATCCTTCGGGAATTATCCGCTTTGCTAGGCTTATTCAGCCTTATTGCCAATGTCTATGCATGGATTGCACGTAAAAGTTGTAAAACATACGGTTTTACGGTGACATACCTATCATATATCACAGTACCAGGTGAGCACAGTATAAATACGCATAAAGTTATGAACTAATAGAAAGGGCTACATTTTTCCTCTGAAAATTTCTCGTTTTTAGTCTCCTAATCGTAATGGTCTGAGAAAAATTTGAGCAGGAAAAAATTTTGTGAGCTTGAAGTACTAGATGCATTGCCTAATTTCGTGTTTGATTGCGGATTTAGGCTTTTAGCGATCGATCGTCGTCAATGCTGTGATCAGCGGTGTACATATGAAAATGAAGGGAAAACCAATCGTCGTTTGTTTCCGTGCGGAATAATTTGTTTGCGAATTGTGCTCTAGTGCTATTTATACATGAATTTTCATGGTCAATATTTGAATGCATTTTCGTTGCGAAATTGACTCAGATTGAGCGCGCTTTGTCATGCGACTGATCGCAGGAAGCTCTTCGTGATCCATAAACTAGAAATGTGGGTATAATAATATTATTAATTAGTAATTGTTCGATTTTTCTTTAATCGGTTACGGCATTAGCTGATTTAATCGGTTACGGCATTATTCAAGCAGCAGGTAGATAAAAGAAGTTTATCACAGTAGCGGAGTGTCGCACAAACCTTTACGAATGTGACGTGCGCGGTTCGAGCATTTTGAAGACAGATATTAATCTGGGAAATCGTTTTTCTTGTTTTCTCAGTTATAATGAGTTATTGAATTTTTTGTGCGTACTTTATGGCACCTGCTTTATTTAAATTTTGCTGCTTCGAAAAAACTTAAAAAGTATTATACGAGTCTCGTCTCTTTTTTTTGGGAATGTGCGGGCACTGCTAATGTAGGCAAAAATTTAGTGTCACAGTATTACTTATTTGCTGAGCTGAAATTCTTACCGTAACTGAAGTTTTACGTATTTGCTGAAATTAAATGCTCTCTTTCTTCCCGTCTTATTTTTTTCGAGTTAATAATAACGAATTTGTTTCGAAATCTGTAGCTGCGTTAACATCCTTAATCATGAGTTCTCATGCCAGCTGCACGGTTTATACCGTGGTTTTGCCTGTAGGCTGTAGCTAGTTAATACACTTAAAAATGATGTCAAGCTGGACAAGAAGATCCAAAGCGAAGACATGTTTTAAGAAACTATGATTACTACTTACCAGATCCTACTTACCAGTTAGCAAGAGGAACTACGGATTCATACAAAGTTTATTGGTAATGTTAATTTCTGTTAAAAACCGCCAGTTTACGGATTTTAATTTTTCATAATTTTGAACCGGCGTGATCGAACGTACGGCGATCCTTGTTGCTAGCGTAGAAACACACGCCATACAGTTCCGTCGACCTCTGCATTCGCTGTCTTTGCACCGTGTTCACATAATGCTGAGAAAGCGGTATCGCACTAATCAACATGTGGTGATAGCGGAGTCTATCCAGTGCATTTTATTCTGGCATCAGCGTTTTTTGATAACCTTGTACTGTACTGTGATGTTGATGATTCGCTTGTATGGTATTCATCACTGTTCATAGTACAACAATTGCTGAGCGGAAGCAGTTGCGTGTGCGCATGTATCAAAATCCAGCCTGTTCTCATTGCAGGGGGATCGTAAATAGACGGTATTGTGATGGTAAATTTTGATGAGAAAAGGAACTGAAAGCTGGTAAATGGATCTCTTAATTCAATATCCAACCCTAGCCGCGTGACACATTCCCGCGTTTTCACAGGCTCATCCATTCCCTAAAATCTGCACAACAGGGCATCCAGCAGTATTCCATCTTGATTTGTATCGGGCGCGCGCCGAGTGGGGATTCTGAAATTGCTTTTTACCCGCCTCGGAGGCTCTCGCATTGACGAAGGTTATATATGCTGTGTATGGAGCCGGGGAGGAAAGATTTCCCACAATGTGGTGTTGATTCCGCAGGCCAAGTGGTAATTGAAGTCCAATAGCAAATTATTTTGTCGTCGCTCACCAGACGCTTCCTTGTTGCGGCGACTGTTGGCTGGCTGTCTGGCTGCTCCCTTCCTCACTCGGCTGTCGTGTTGGGGGAAGCTAATTACCATCTCGCCAGATATATATGTTACATGTCCGCAGCGTCATCCCCTGATCAGTATCGCATCGCTCGTTTCCTGGGCTATGGGCGGATTGTGTTACCAGCCGCAGCAGCAGCTTGTACCTCCGCTGACACTGTTCCTTCGCCTGCATCACATTCACATCATACCTACCTTAGGCTGTGCGCGGCAGCATTGCCTGGAAACGTTGTTGCTCTCCCGGCCGGGCAGACTGCTCGTTGAACAGTGAGGACAGAACTCCGTCGAATGTACGAATGCGTGTCCATATCTTATCGAATATTTTTCTTTGATTGTAATTATAGTACTGATAAAAGTGTTCACGGGTGTAGTTTAAGAAAATGGCATGGTTGCAGACTTTTCTATGTTTCCGTTGTTGGGCATTCGTGGACTGATGCGCACAAAGAAGATGAGCGCGGTGATTCCCCGTGGTGGGATTGCGAAGCGGGCTGTGATAATTGGATTAGTCTTCCTGGTGATGCTGTATTTGTCGTCATTCCTCTGGCCGCTCCAGTGTGTCACGGATGATGGCGTACGGCAGGGCTTTGTGATGGATAAGAACAATAAGAAAGTCTACAGTTATGACCACAACATTCCGCTAATATTCGTCGGTGGAATGCCGCGAAGCGGTAAGTTGAGTTGCCGGGTAAAATTGGGGCGTGTGAAGATGGTCATATCGTTTATGCGTTTGACAGTCACGTTTCTCAACTGGATCGCTATTAAATGTCCTAAATATACTACTGTACATGCATAGATGGCTGCTTTTTCTTTAATAATGGCTGCAATTTTACTTGAGTCAACTTGACGATATGGTGATGACGTTTTGTGAGGGAATTTTCGTTATGCACTCGTTAAAAATCATGCCAAAATGGCTGTAATGCTTTAACAATTTTGGTGACGTACAGCCTTTTATTACAGTCATGTTATGCGCTTTTATCAGAAGTGCCGATTTTGGTTAATTGTACACGAAAAAGGCGTTCAAGTGCGGAAGGCCATACACAATGCCCTCTCAAACTTTTCTGGACGAGTGCTAGGGAAATTCAATTTCATGAGCGGAATGGGCACGTTTTCAAACTACTGTTAGTTTCACATATGCGTGCGTGTACTTCGTGCAGTTATTCAGATGCATCGTTGGTTAAGTTTTGTATCGCTGTCACTTCCGATTGTTTTCAACATTTTCTTTCTTTTCATTTAAGTACTTTTGCAGTTGAATTTTGCCGCGATTTGCAGCGTACAGTGTTCACAAAAAACGAATGCTGAGTTTCCGCATGTGTGTGCTGCTAACTTCTTTCGTAAAAACGATTCGATAGTATCGTTATTTTACGCAGGGGAGTAGAGCGAACACAATGAAGGTATTTTGTGTTAATCTACCGCTGCTTTTAGTCTGCCGTATATTTTTTTCTCAACAAAATTCTTACTACACAACCATTTTCTTTCCGTACTGGTTTACGTTTACGTAATAAATACATAATGATAAATATTACAGATCGTTCATCCGCGCATAAAGGTTGTCGGACTTTCGAACTGCACTACTGCCTTCTGAAGTCGGCCTTGCAATTTCACAATCGGACACCTTTTACTATCCAGTTATACAGCGAACAGCTAGCGTTACTTAAACATTCGGAAGCACTATCAATAAACACTGGTTGAATTGCGGCTGACTTGTGAGTTACAGAGTTCCAACACTTAACTCTACGAACTTTTCTAATTAATACGTTTGATTATCCAGAACCGCAAACGCATTGTAGCAATGTAGACACTTTACAGTGTGAGAGGGTTTATGCGCTTTTAGTGACATAGCGAAATTTTTATTGAATGATAAATTTGAAAATACTTTGATGCTTATCCAACGTACATGATTGTAGATAGAAAATGTTCCCCATGAAAAAAAAATCGAATTCGAGTACATGGAGGTATATGGTCTTATTGTATCTGATAACATTTACTGTGATTAGAACGTATTCAGAGAATCACAAATGGATGTAACATTATTAAGCTTTCCTGCACTTACACTCTTAATTTGGGATAAGCCCATTGAGCATTAAATAAGGCTCGCATTCAGGCGTATCCCTAATCCTGTCTATATGGTAATTTCGCAGCTTTTCTTTCACGCCTGCCCTATTGATTCACCCTTTCCCCCGCTTAGTGAACAGCGAGTGAATTGAGATTAAAAAGCTCTTGGCATGTTTTGCATAAATATTTGACGTGTGATTTTGCCTGCCGGGCACAGGAACGACACTCATGCGCGCCATGCTGGACGCCCATCCCATGGTCCGCTGCGGTGAAGAGACCCGGGTGATTCCCCGCTTGCTAGCCCTCCGGCAGATGTGGCTTAAATCGGAAAAGGAATTGCGTCGGCTGAACAGTGCCGGTGTGACCGCGGACGTGATCAATCCGGCCTTTGCCGCTTTCATACTGGAGGTAAAAACTTGCAGAAACCTGGCCATGGTGTGTGTAGTCATAACAAATGTTATTTTGCCGTTCTTTCCAAGTGTTGACACTGTGCACAGTGTATGTAAAGTGTTTTTACCTTACTTTGTGTGGTAATGTTTGCGCATATATATTGAATGTACGCGAGGTCTAACAAATAGAAAGATACAGTCGTGTTATAATATTTTATCGATTAACCGTTTTCTCGGTGTGTCCAGATGGTTAATCGCTCTGCATGTTCCCATTTAAGTAGTGTGTATGTGCGGTAGCGGAAAAATAAGAGTTGTTGAAGGAAAAATGCCCCCATCACAGCACTTGGTGCGCCGAGGGCATGTAAGCGTATTGATTTTCGTTTTGTGATCGGAAATTATATATCTTCAACTTGGGTTGGTTTTGTCGGACGCGGGTGTGTTTTTTGCTCTCCCCCTTTGGTAGCTGGCTGGATTAAAACGCGCGTTTTATGGGTCTTTTGTGCTGTGTTAGGTTATTGTGCGGCATGGGGAGCCGGCTGAACGGTTCTGCAATAAGGATCCTTTTACGATGAAGAGCGCCGGCTATTTGTCGGAATTATTCCCGCATGCCAAATTCCTCTTTATGGTGCGGGACGGACGGGCCACGGTGCACTCAATCATAACCCGCAAAGTCACCATCACGGGATTCAAATTGGATAGTTACCGGTTAGCGACCAAATTAGCTTAATGTTTATGCCGTCCGTACAAAGTATCGCGTATCGTGAACGTAGCAAGCACCAGATGAAAGACCCTGGAGAAAGCCAAAAAGAAGGAAATTCTCTCAAATTTAAAACTTGCAGTAATGACATCCTATAGACAGCTACTTAATTTGGACTTGGTTACTCTGAAAAGATGCGTTCCACAATGACAGAAAATTTACCCCTAGGCCCTACGTAGTGAACAATAAGCAACGGACGGCGTTTTACTCAGTATTAGTGGTAATGAGCACCGCTCACTGGACGCAACTTAATCCCAGTTTGCATTTGCAATGACCGCGTCACCGTTTGCGGATCAATGTTTTTTTCAGTGGCTTGGAGAATTTTTGGCAGTTGCTGCTATTTGACTGTGACTTTGCTAAAAAGTTTAGAAAGACTCGCGCGCGTCGTAATTGGCGCGAGTCGTTCAGCTTATTTTCTGTTTCAAGTGCTTATATAAATAAAATATTATTTTCGTTAATCTTGTTTTTGTAGCATTTTTGGATTTTAGTCTTGTCTTGACTGACGAGTAAACAGATATATTACAACATCGGACCTATGCATTGCGTGCAATATAGTATTCGTATTCGTGAATGCGTATAAGTTTCCAAGTACAATACCATAAAGAATTTTTAAACCGTTCAATTGCAGGACATGGTTGCGTTTGTTTTATATCTGTACTACGCATATACAAGTATTGATGATATTTGTGTTTGGTTTTAGGGAATGCTTACAGAAGTGGAACTCCGCAATGGAGAATATGTTTGCTCAATGTCGACAAGTCGGTCCAGATCGTTGCATGCTGGTCTACTATGAACAGCTGGTTTTACATCCTAAAGTGTGGATGGAAAGGATTACAAAGTTTCTGGATCTGCCGTGGAGTGATGTTGTTCTGCATCATGAAGATCTTATCGGCAAACCGGGTGGAGTGGCTATATCCAAGTGAGTTAATCCTGATGACCGGGTGGTGACTAAATCCGTTTTTCGTCATGGCCTTGCCGCTTTATTACAAATGCAGTAGTTTAATGCCCATCAGATATACTAGATTTCAAAAATACAATAATTATGTTCAGTTTTACTTTATTCCTCCAAATAGTAGTGTCATTACCCATTAAGATAGTGTGAGCCGTCTCACAAGCCCAAAGGGTCTTGCAAATTGGAGGCTAGAACTAGAAGTACCACTACGACCTTGCTGTTTTGGGTATTCGACTAGTGCTAAGTTCCGGGAGCTTTTAATTAGTGAACATAGATTTTTTAATGAGTGTGACTTCTTTGTTTGACGATATTGCGTCTCTTGTGTTCATAGTTTCACAAGCCACCCTTTGTTGGTAGCCTAATGGTGGGCTTGTTTTTTTGTTTTTTTATGCTTTCGGTTCGATTACAGTAATTGCGGTATATTTAAATATCAAAATTGTTTTTTGCAAATTTACGTTTTGTGGCGATCTTTGTAGGAATTCATACTTGTACAGTACAGTTTTCTGTGTTAAAAGTTGAAGATATCCGATCTTGAATCGTGTAACGCTCCTTCTCAAGAGTTTTAGAGATGTAACGATGTCGTTTCCGTTCCTTTGCACAAGTATTCTTGTAACCGCATTAGCCAGTTTAAAAACGGATCGCTTAATTTGCAGTGTGGAGAGATCAACGGATCAAGTGATAAAGCCGATCAATATCGATGCTCTGGGCAAATGGGTCGGCAGTATCCCCCAGGATGTGCTGGATGATATGGCCAACCTGGCGCCTATGCTCCAGCGACTGGGCTATGATCCCTACACCAACGAAGCCAATTACGGGACACCGGATGGCTTTGTCCTCAACAATACTCATCTCGTCCATACGCAGCAGAATCACTGGCTGGAGAAGGCTAAATCCGTTGTGGCGCCGGATTCGGAAGCCGGGAAGATGCTTTTGGAGCTGGCCGCGAAGGATACCGTCATGGATCCACTGCGCGACGACAGCCAGAATCGGGATGACGAGGATAATGCGGCGGCTGGTGGCAACTGATGCATGTGCCCTTGCATTATCAGTGCAGCGCGGAGCAGACAACCAGGTGTTAATGGTGGTGGCTGGGGAAATTGTGATATAGAGAACGATGCATTCTGCCGGTGATTGTTTTCTTTTTGTATTTTCACGAAAACGTTCGATTTTTAAGGCAATGAATCTTGTCACCTTTAATTGGGTTCTTGTTTTTTTAATGTACGGTTACCCTTTCACATTAACAGAAGTCAGAAGATGTGTACATTTTCGACGTGTCCAAACTCCAAAGAAACTCAGATAAAAGCTACAAAGTTTGACGACGTTTTTGACTGTTGTGCTTTTACGGGGTGCAAGTACTTACGTACATCGGATCATTTGAGTATTTTTCTTCTGGTATTACACTAGTAACACTACCCTACTTATTTATCGCTAACTTTCTACATGCTTGCCAGACTGAATCAGTACAGTACTGTACTTATCTGCCTGTTCTGAAAGTGACGGGAAACCTACACAGGCAAACGTTACAGAAGAAATGGCGGGTTAACATTGCTGCGATTAGTGTGATACCAAGTACTTACTATAGTGTGAGCAAGTACTTACTATAGTTACTAGCTATAGTAAGTTCGTGGTGATACCTATAAAGTAAGGCCTTTTTCAGATTTTTTTTCCGTTGATATTCCCGTTCCGCATCACTGAAGGCGAAAGTTGGACAGATATGCCAGGCGTGTCGCAGTACGCACCAGCATTACTACTGGGCACTGGCTGCATAATAAATTTAATAATTGCAACGTATATAGCTCATATTAGTATTGTACTGTACTTAAAAAAAACCTTTATTGGTTTAGTTAGCAATTTAGCAGGCAGAGTTATAAGCATCACATTAGGAAACATTATAAAACGAAGTAAACAGCATTAAGAATTTATTTAAGACCATCAGAACATGGAACGGTGACAACCGCCGACGTTGCGGACACCACATTTCCCCGCTGTATTTCAGACGGTGCATCGAAAACTCGTAAGAGCATCTTTCAGCATCCTTTAACCGCATGTCCAGTTCGCGTAAAAAACTTAAAAAATGCTTGGCCGACACTGAAAATCTCAAAAGCTAAATGAATAAAATCGTACTCGTTAGCTAGGTATTCTTACTTTCAGAACCTTTTCTTCTTCCGCTCTCCGGCCGTTACTTTAACTGCTTTTCCGGCCTTGGTACTGCTACTGATGACATTAGATAAGGCAATTTTGTCCACGTATATGACAAGCCAGTCGTAGTCCGTTTCTCGTTTCTCCATGGTTCCACCAGGTCGACGGCCATGGAATATGCGAGAAGCGAAGGTGGCCAGTTGCCACGCTGCACGATAAAACAGTCCGAAAGGTGACTGCCCATGCCCATGAAGTAAGGGAAACCGAAAATTTGTGAAAAGGTCACGGTGGTCCCAAGCTGTTCCTCACCCGAAAGCGGAAACCATATGCAAATTGAACGATATAGATTACAGATTGTAAGCAAAAGGCTTAAACATGAGAAAAAGGCTGACGCAAGCTTTAACAAGACCGAATTCTATAAAATGTAACTATACGCCGGTAAAACGGACAGAACTTCATAACGCAATGAAACCATGAACGATTAAACTGGATAAGTACAGTAGTCTTATCGGTCCGACCGATAAGCGGTATTACAGTATATGTACGACCGATTCGGTCGTACATATACTTACTGTAATACCGCTACAATCAGGGATATGGCTGAACTCTCTACCTGTGCCTTCACTAGCTTGGAACGTTGATGTCGGATGAGAGCTTTTATGTAGCGACTGGACTACGAACCGGTGCGCTAATCTGTAGTAGTACATAGTTCTCCAACGTACATCTGCGTACTGACAGTCGTTTGCCTGTGGACGAATTTTGCGACCATGGACTTTCGTGCAAAAAGAGCGCGGGACGCTTCGTCCGACAATCATTGAACGAAGTGATTCGGAGAAGCTAGTCACCGCTAACACACCGGTTGCAACCCCGAGAGACCAAGATTTAATCTGAACGAGGACAACCTGCCTTCGATCTTTCTTTATAGTATCGCTTGGTGACCCATACGTATCGGATTGGTGAGTATTTTTCTTCTCGTATCTCCTGGTATTTGCAGCAGGAATTCTGTGGTCGGTCTTCGTGTTATGTTCACACCATCAACTTACTGTGCCAGTCTTCCCAACAGTGTAAAAAGAGAGTGCTCTACCGGTGTAAACACATTATGCGCGAAGCGCCGCCACCACTTATTTTGTTTACCAGAAAAAGGCCCGCGCTGGTGTTTTTTGGTAAAGGGTGGGGGCGGAAGGCCGCCGGGGGTGGTGTTTTGCCTAAAAACCGCTTGGGTGGCGGCCAGAAACTAGAGGAAGAGGGGCGCCATACTTTAAATGCGCCTCCCGGCGGTCAAAAACCGAAAAATCGCAGCCCCCCCGGCGGCCAAAAATCGAAAACTAGGGGGGAAGGCCGCCGCCCCTTCCCAAGGCTGCCGCCCCTTCCCCCCTCCAACGCGGGCGTGACCACGAAATATCGGTTTCAAGTTTCAACTGAAGAAAATCAGTCTGGACTGAGATATGATCCCACAAAGTTGACATGCAGTTTTAGAAGCAAGTAATGCTTTAATTGGGTTATTCATTAACATAGGTTAAAAGCAAAATTACGCAGTTCATCATTTAAACCCGTACACTTCGTCCAATAACATATCTTAAATTTCTTATGTTATTTTTATGTTAACTTAGGTTTCTTATGTTATTCTTATGTTATCTTAGGTGTCTTATGGTTTTGTTATGTTATCTTATGTTATCTTTGGAGTCTTAGTTTTCTCAGGTTTCTTAGGTTTCCCATGTTTCTTAGGTTTCTTAGGTTTCTTAGGTTTCTTAGATTTCTTAGGTTTCTTAGGTTATTTTTTAATGTTATCCTTGGTTATCTTAAGTTTCTCAGGTTTCTTAGGTTTCTTACGTTTTTTAGGTTTCTTAGGTTCTTAGGTTGCTCAAATGTTATCTTAGGTTTTTTAGGTTTCTTAAGTTTCTTAGGTTTCTTAGGTTTCCTTAGGTTTCTTAGGTTTCTCAGGTTATTCTTATGTTATTTTGGGTTATCTTAGGTTTCTTAGGTTATTCTTCGGTTATCCTAGGTTTTTTAGGTTATTCTTATGTTATCTTAAGTTTCTTAGCTTTCTTAGGCTTCTCAGGTTTCTTGGGCTACTCTTGGTTTATATCTTAAATTTCTTTTGTTATTTTTATGTTAACTTGTGTTCTTTATCGACAACAGCCAGTATTCATAACAACATGCCTGCGCTGATTTACACTAATAAAAATGATCGAATTTAAACATTAAAAAAGCATCCAAATCGTTATAGTCACTCGTGGCCTTCGGACGTGCAGGCAGTGTACCAAAAACAGCTGCAGCATTTCCACGGATTACAGCTAAACTAAATCGTTGTCTTAAAAAGGCGGTAGATTTGTTAGGCGATTAGGTTACTTGGGTTTTTTAGGTTTCTTAGGTTTCATAGGTTTCTTAGGTTTCTTAGGTTTCTTAGGTTTTTAAAGTTTCTAAGGTATCTTAGGCTTCTTTAGTTTCTTAGGTTTCTAGGTTTCTTAGTTTTCTTAGGTTATTCTTATGTTATTTTGGGTTATCTTAGGTTTCTTAGGTTATTTGCAGGTTTCTTAGGTTTCTTAGGTTTCTTAGGTTTCTTAGGTTTCTTAGGTTTCTTAGGTTTCTTAGGTTTCTTAGGTTTCTTAGGTTTCTTAGGTTTCTTAGATTTCTTAGATTTCTTAGGTTTCTTAGGTTTCTTAGGTTTCTTAGGTTTCTTAGGTTTCTTAGGTTTCTTAGGTTTCTTAGGTTTCTTAGGTTATTCTTATGTTATCTTAAGTTTCTTAGCTTTCTTAGGCTTCTCAGGTTTCTTGGGCTACTCTTGGTTTATATCTTAAATTTCTTATGTTATTTTTATGTTAACTTGTGTTCTTTATCGACAACAGCCAGTATTCATAACAACATGCCTGCGCTGATTTACACTAATAAAAATGATCGAATGTAAACATTAAAAAAGCATCCAAAATCATTATAGCCACTCGTAGCCTTCGGACGTGCAGGCAGTGTACTAAAAACAGCTGCAGCATTTCCACGGATTACAGCTAAACTAAATCGTTGTCTTAAAAAGGCGGTAGATCTAGGTTCGCCGGTAACTTCACGGATTTTTCTGCCGACGAAACGGATCAGCTCGGCAAAAGGCATTCCGAAAGTCCCGAACGTCTCGACTGCCAGCGGCTAAAACAGATATCCCATTTCTTCGATAAAATCGTATGTCCGACGCTTGCTTGCTTCGGCCAGTTGTGCTACACTTCCCGCTTTCTTCGAGCTGGCATGCACATGAGACACCGCCACAGTATCCCAGCAAGTCGCGTCCCACACAAGCGCTTTACCATCCCGCACAGGAATCAAGGTCATGCCGTCTGGCCGCTTGTTATTGCGTGCAGACAATCCGACCGGTTCGCTTTGGCAAGGATAACCCGCAATCTCCAAGCCCCGTTTAACTTCGTTGTTCAGTTCGACATGCCGCGACCATCTACCTTTGCTGCCTGAACAGGACAGTCCATGGTGACCGTTAATTTCCACATGACTCCCACAATTCACGCAGTCGTGTTCCTCTACAACAGGAAGCCCAAAGCGTAGAGCGACGCCCACTCTAACTTCCTCGTCTCGCAGGAATGTACGCAGATTAGGTGCTGGGAGGGCATTTAACCAAGCGCCAGAGTCGCGGTGCAGGGCAGCCAGTAATACGGCCTTTTCCGTTTTATTCGTGGCAGCTAATCTCAACGAGGATACGACACGGTCTATCGGTGGTCGATCCCATGTTTACTGGAACTTTCTGTTCTCTTCGGCTGGGGGCTCGCAAAGGGTGTACTTCGTCCACTGCTGTACTACAGGATCCAGGAGCGCCGCCGTCGCGGGCTGGTAGATTTCCGAGACTGACGCAATCACCGAATACGCCGATGCCAAAAAGGCAGGAAATACAAGCGATTCAGTGGTTCGCAGCCCCAGCCCACCATCCCTAACTGGCAACGTAATCTGGCTCCACTGCAGATCATTTCGTAGGTTATTATAGGTTTCTCATTTTTCTTAAGTTATTTTAGGTTTCTTAGGTTTCTTAGGTTATTCTTATGCTATTTTGGGTTTTCTTAGGTTTCTTAATTTATTTTCAGGTTATCTTAGGTTTCTTAGGTTATTCTTCGGTTATCTCAGGTTTCTTATGTTATTCTTATGTTATCCTAGGTTTCTTAGATTATTCTTATGTTATCTTAGGTTATCTTACGTTTCTTAGCTTTCTTAGGCTTCTCAGGTTTCTTGGGCTATTCTTGGGTTATATCTTAAATTTCTTATGTTATTTTTATGTTAACTTATTTTTCTTATGTTATTCTTATGTTATCTTAGATGTCTTATGGTTTTGTAATTTTATCTTATGTTATCTTTGGTGTCTTAGTTTTCTTAGGTTTCTTAGGTTTCTTAGGTTTCTTAGGTTTCTTAGGTTTCTTAGGTTTCTCAGGTTTCTCAGGTATCTTAGGTATCTTAGGTTTCTTAGGTTATTCTTCGGTTATCTTAGGTTTTTTAGGTTTCTTAGGTTATTCTTATGTTGTCTTAGGTTATCTTAAGTTTCTTAGGTTTCTTTGGTTATCTTAGGTTTTTTTAGGTTATTCTTAGGTTTCTTACGTTATTCTTTGGGTTTTTAGGTTTTCTTAGGTTTTTTGGATTTCTTAGGTTTCTTATGTTTTCTTAGGGTTTCTTCGTTTTTCTTAGATTTTCTTATGTTATTCTTGGTATTGGTTGGTTATTTTAGGTTATTTGGCTTTCTTAATTTTTCTATGGGTCTCTTAAGTTTTCTAAGACTTTTTGAATTATGTTAGAATTTGTTGGGTTTTCTTAAGATTTTTTGTTTTTTAAATCCAAGGACGGTGGGGTTCATTCGATGGCCTGTAGTTTCTTAGATATCTTCGAACCATTGTTTGAGTTTCTTCTGAATGTCTCACTGTCTGTCTGTGTTAAATTGCTAATTTTTGATAATGATTGTCTTTCTTAGTTCTGTTCATTTTTTACTCATTCCAGGACTGGATGTCAATCAAAGGTCATTTTTTTAGATTTTTCTGGATTTAAATTACTATGTCAAAGTTACATCGGAATTAAGGCTTTCTGCACAAATTAAGTTTAACTGAGGGTTTGCCGAAATGAACTGTGGCCGAAGTGATCGGCGGCCGAAGTGAACGGCGGCCGAAATGAACGCGGATGAAATGAAAACGGCCGAAGTGATCGGTAGCCTTTTATAGTTTATACAGGCACAAAATAACAAGCAGCAAATATTGAATCTCATTCTCAGAGTATAAATGCCAGAAACTTTTCAAAGGGGAATGAGGCAACGTACGAAAACCGCTTAGCACTTCAGGCTGACGTGGGCAGTCCTGCGTCCACCTTCGGCTGGCTGACACTGCGGTGACGGCACAACAGCAAAGATGACGACCAATCAGAAGGAAATCATGTAACGTAGATCACGAGTTCACACCTGTTTCGCCGACTCACTACTGATAATCACCTTGATTTTAACATTTAAAAATAAACAGCGATTGTCAAATTTTATACTCGAAAAATCTGTTTGCCCCCCTGTTAAATTTTCGGCTTTTCGGAAACGAATTTGGCCCTTCAAACTTTGACCCCCCTTTTCGCCAGATTTTGACGCCCCCTGCCTCACTGGTTCTGCTGCTACCCGCACGATATTGCCCAAACTGTATCTTTACTTTTTAATGATGGTGCACCTTCGAACATCTGGAGTCCTGAACGTTGTCGGTTAAGCATTTGTCATCCAAAAACGCTATGCATTTTTGCTGTCCTTATTGCAGATTTAAAACTTTCTTTCAGGAACTGGTTACTGACTGCTCTGATTGGCCAATGTTTGCGAATAGGCAGTAAGGTTCATGATTCACCGCGGCTGGCGATTGGTTCGGTTCGACTCGAGTGGTGACGGCTGGATCGGTGTTGACCGTACAATCGCCTTTCCCTGCTGCGGCTGAAATAGCAACAAACATTTCAAACGTGTTGATTCCTTTTCGGTGTTTTCGAATTTTTTCCTACACGAAAATTTATTTTTTCATTGATATACTATGTACGGACTCGGTTCTGTAGAAAAACTACTTGAAATGCTGTAATCGTATCATTTTGCATTTGAATTTATTGTACTGGGTGGTTATTGGTGCTTGCACTGCAGAGGTAAGCAAGAAGTGAAATAACAGGTGGCGAATCTACGGCAGTGCATTCCAGTGTATCACGTCTGCTGTAATGCCGTTTGAGTGTGCAGCGTCGTAGTCGGTGGTCGTACCCAGCCATAAAATCCTCCACGTATCGGATTACATGGTACCGCTCGTGTACACAACGTCTACAAAAATTTCATACGTGAGTGTCCGTGAAAAGTGTAGCCAGTACTCTGCATGTAAAAAGAGCGAGAAACGAAGATTCAGTTCCAAGTGAAAGAGAGAGAGATGTTTGAATATGTGCTGACGCCGCGAGCATTTTCGCCATACTAGCTTGGGTGGCCACCACTAACTGCTCAGACCGTTTTTCTCCCCAGCGTACGTTTTCTACTGTTGTTGTCCGCTGTTAAAAAGATTTTATCCGGTTTGACTGTTGTGCGTTTGTGCGTAGCGGTGATGCGAGATCAATTGACGAACACTTCCTGGTCGTTCAAGGTTCTTCAATGAACGTTGTTGTTGTTTGCTGGTTTGTAGACTGTGCCGTTACATCCGCAAGAGAGAGCAAAATACTATCCCTTTCCCGGCTTTCCGTAATCTGATTTATCCCCGTGTTGTGGCGGCGTCATGGCCACCCTGTCGGAGGATAATCTGGCCATGAAATATCTGGCGGTGGAGAATAAGAACTTCGCCAATGATCCCGCCACGCAGACAGAATGGGCCGCCAAGAAGCTGGTCTGGGTCCCCCACGAAAAGGAAGGCTTCGTGGCAGCCAGTATAAAAGCTGAATTGAAGGATGATAAATACGAGGTGGTCCTGGAGGAGTCGGGTAAGAAGACCGTGGTGAATAAGGCCGACGTCCAGAAGATGAATCCTCCCAAGTTCAATAAAGTGGAGGATATGGCGGAACTTACCTGCTTGAACGAAGCCAGTGTGTTGTTCAATCTCAAAGACCGTTATTATTCGGGACTGATATATGTAAGTGTATTGTTCGATGTCCATGGGACTTTTGAATTTTCCAGTAACAATTTTAATATGTATACCTGTATGATCTGCTGAACGTTTAGAATTTGTCTGATCCTAATTTCTACGTTGACTGTAAGACTTTGATTGTTAATACAGATAATGGTAAATATGAACTGCCATACGCATTGTGAATTATGAATTAATTATGACAAGTAATAATACCTCAGTTAAAAAAAAATTAGACTGACAAATAGAAATTCAAAGTAATTTTCTTCCTGCCTAAAACTGTTAATGCCCGCACTTATGTATATTAAAATTTGGCGCCCGCACTTAGCGTGTTCGGACTTCGGACTGGGGATGTTTGGCAGCAGTCAGTTGTTTTTATTTTGATTGTTAAAAAATTCCCAGTTGTTAAATTTTTGGGAATCAAAATTAACTAAGACAGTTAATTTTGATTCCCAAAAAAAACTGTCTTGAATGCCGATTGCTTCAGAAATCGTTCTAATTGTTTTGAGCTGTGATCTGAGCAGTGCGATGTGAAATGCAAATAGTCATTTCGCTTTCATCGGATATGAAACCAAAGGTAGAAGTATAGAGTTGGGCTGAAGAATCAATGCGAAGAAAAACCTGTTATGATTTTTAAAATTGCCCATCGCTCGTGAGTATAGTTCTTTGAACTTCCTTCCTATTGATGCTCTTGAATTTACTAGTGCGGAGAGAAGCTAAAGGATCGTTAAAGAAAACTTTCGGTTTTATATCGTATGCGTTATAATTTTTATGGGTATATTTGGCGCGCAGAAAATCTAATTGTAAGTTGGCATTTGCCGGATTTCATATGCTGCGTGCATAATAGACTTCGTCTCTTTGGTTTCCGTTACGAGCGTTTGTTTGTTGTTAGTTAAACAAAATTGAATTGCTTGACTTCACAAGAGATCGATATGGTGTGTGACCGACTTATCCGAATGACAAGTCCACCTCTTTTTGGGGAAAAATCTCCAAGTTGCCGTTTATGGCGAATAATCATCGCACACAGGATGGGAATGTGACTCATGCGTTCGAGTAGCGTTTTATCTCTTCTCATCAAACGATGACGTTGTTTGTTGTTTGACAAAATAAGTACTATTTTGTATCGTTAGGAGAAAAATGTTATAATTCATCGTTGCAGTTTAACCAGGGATTATTCAATCGCAGTAATATGTTTATAATACAGCAGGATCGCATATGTTTAGCTAACTAACTGCCACGCTCTTTGTGAAGGTGACTTGGGGTCATTGGGTTGTCAGCGCACCGGCAGCACAAACTGAGCCGGAAAACGTCTGCTGGAAAATTAGATCAGTTATTTTTGATCAGAGAGCCGCAGTTGCAAAAATGGAATATATATATATTTGATAAGAAACCGTGTCAGGTTGTTTTTTATTTGCAGAAGCAATTGCTTCTCTCTGTAAAAATATTTTTGTAGCAGTTATCCTCACCATCGAAGTTCAGTTAATCTTTTGTTGGTTAGCATGTCCGTTATTTATTAGAACATCAGAGCTATAGTTATGTTTTATCATGTTTACGGTTTCTGCTTTATTTTATGAACTTGTAAAATTGTCTATTGCTGTTTTTCTTCGGTCGAGCGATTGTCTTGTCGTAGCGTTTCAATGGGTTCATGTCATATATCACTAATCACTGGAAGATACATATTTGCATACTTAAGTGGCTACCAAAAAGAGAATGAGGCCACGCTTCTGTCATTGGTGGCGGTGATGCTCTTTTCACACAAGTATACAGAGTACTTGCACGTTTCGGTGCTGATGTTTTTTGGGGGGTGTGTGTAGGAATGTAAAAAGAACGGCAAAAGAATGTAGCAATGTGGGCTTGATGCTGTACTGTGGCATAATTTTTTCGTTATTGACGCAAGTAATTTGTTTACATTATTATGCGCAATGAAAAAAATTAAACGCTTCACAAACAAATACAAATAACTGGATTCTAAGGAAATATCTGTTGCTTGTTGCTCGTTCTTTTCGTGTTTGGTTTCATAAAAGCATAAAAATAAAACTAAGAATTCAGATTTTGGAAATGGAAAATGAAGGAAACTGAAAAAGCTGAAAAATATTTGCGTGATGTTGCTGTATATCAAATAATTTATGGAATCAAACGCATTCAAGCCATCGCATTTAGGTATACTCTGAAGTTCTTAAGGAGTTACGATTATGCTCTTTGTTATTGTTTGTATAACATGTGTTTGATTCAAATTGATTATTTATACAGGAATTCGTTCTTACTTTTATATTCTTTAGACATACTCCGGCCTCTTTTGCGTCGTGGTCAATCCGTACAAAAAACTGCCAATCTACACGGAACGTGTGATTGAGATGTACAAGGGGAAGAAGCGACATGAAATGCCACCTCATGTCTTCGCCATTACGGATACCGCATACCGATCGATGCTGCAAGGTGGGTTTCGCTCGTCTGCTAGGCCTGAGTGGTTGATTCACAATGGAGATGAAATGACTCGTTCATAGCCATCTGGCTCATATTCAATAACTGACACTTGTGCTCAACCTTTGAACCGCCGCTCCACCGAGAATAATGGCGGAAAGTGTATCTTCCGCGAAGTTTTTGATAGACGGCAAGTAAATAGTCGTTTTTGGTGATTGCGGCTTGTGGAATGCAAACGCGACAGCGGGATTCGTAAAGTTTAAATCGTTAGAAGCCGGGGACACTTTCTCGTGGCCGATAGGACATGCTGTGTGAAAAAATAAACTGTCTGTTGAAGCAGTGCGAAGATTTTCCCTGATATAGCCGCTGTGTGGATTTTCGTTGTTGAAATTTTTAGTTGAGTTGACACTTATCGTACCGAAAGGATGTTTGACTTAGTTTCCGTGTTGAGACCATTTGGTTGATCCTTGTTGGTACAGGGCTAAGTTTTCTCATATTAGAGCCAAATTCGGCGTAATTTAGCTCAAAAGAACTAAAAAATTAGCGATAAATTTGTAGATCACGGTAACCCTTTAATCGTTTGAGCAATAAGTTGCCTTTATTTTCCATAAAATTTAGACTAACTTGTAAGTAGTTTGAGAACTATTCTAAAATGAGTTTTATGTGATTTTTGTGTGATTTGACTATCAGGACTGTCAGCCATTGTTGTATTACAGAAATGAGCATATCTCCAGCGATTTTGTTGGGCATTATTGTAGTTGCTATATTATTATCATCGTATTTTGTTTACTTGCAATATCGAATTAATAATGTACGAGTACTATCGATAGACCTTGATCGCATAAAAGATCAGTTTTGCAAGAAGCGCAGTCACATTCCTGTAGGTACGGCGTTAAATAATTTGCGCTCAGCCGGCATTTTTATTTGGCACGTAAGCTGTTTAGTCGTGAGAATGCTGTTAACTATCTCCAGTACGCGGAGACCTGTCATGGACATAATTTTCGGGTTGTTAAGCTCGTCGGCAGTGAACTAGATAACTTGAAATGATATAAGAGCAATAAAGCTTTACGGTATGAGAAAGTCAAGAGTGTATGGAATCTTTGTGAAGTTCTTTATGATGGTATCAGTAATCTGAGTTAAAAGAACATTTTTTAACAGTATTAACTATTTTGATCGATATGGAAAATCGCCCGGACATAAAATTTTATATTAGTTTAAATAATTATTTTCAGTTTCAGTAGAGTGTGAACACTTGTTTATATTTGTCGTATTTGTCTCGCCGGAAAACTACAACAACGCTTTCCACATTTTCTGTATACTTGCATCTGTCCCTTATTCGGGCAGCGCTGCGAAATCGTCAATCTTACCACATGATCAGCTGTTTAAAGTATGTCAAGAATACTCCGAATCGATTATATTCGTAACACGGATCGATTTCCGTTTAGCGCGTTTGTGGATTAGAAAAATCTTCAATGTTTTTCTTACGGACCCATTCCCCGGCCTGTGCCAGTAAAAAAGTAGGCCGGGCTGGTTCTGGAGCGCTCCGCGCGGTGGTGGTCGTTGCTCCCGCAGCTGACTTGTGAGTCAGAATGCGACACCGCGGCAGCCCCGGAAGTGTGACAGCTTTTGTTTACGAGGCCAATTTTTTGGTGTATTGATAAATTGGGTTGGGTAATGTGATGTGTATCGTGCCGTACACTCTTATTATTCTTCACTTATCCAGAATCATTGCGACACTGCAACCGGGGCCTGCATTGCGCGAAGGGAGGAATAGGTCATTACCGCATTTGAAAGAGTTATTTTGTGCGGACATCATAAAATGCAGCTGACGGGCATTCATCCTGTTTAGGGATAAATGTAGCGTCATAATAAACGACATCTGCGAGAAAAAACGTTCACATCCAAGATGTAAAACTTCATTTGTTTCAAGTAATTTATCTTGTTCAAATGGAGTGAAATAGTTTATAGAAAACGCTTTCTCGCGATTTTTTTGCAGTCTTGCGATAAATGTTATCAAATCCAGGCACTCTAACTTCACCGCCCCTGTTAGTACATATTCTGTCTTTCTTCTCTGAAGATCTATCCATTCGAGTACGAGTATAACTAAAGTACTGATCGCATTTATTACACTTTTTTTAATACTCGTAATAAAGCACGGTCGATAGCTTGGAAGTTTGGGTTATGACGCGATGTGCCTGTTCGGGATATTACTTGCTTTAATTTTATTATATTATTTGTTTGCTACCGTTGTAAAAATAAGTATATTTTATTTTCAGATCGGGAAGACCAGTCCATTTTGTGCACGTAAGTTCACTGCATAGTTTATTTTTTTCTCTGCCGACGTGAATCGTTTAAATTTCAAATTTGTCATTACGAATACGTGCATATCGCAGATCTCTTCCATCTGGTTACACTTGTTCTAAATATGGACATTGTTTCGTATTGCTTTAAGAGATTCAAATTTGGGATTCAAATTTGGAGATTCAAATTCAAATTTGGATTCAAATTTGCAGCTGATTTTTTGTAGGGGAGAATCTGGAGCCGGAAAAACCGAAAACACGAAGAAAGTCATACAGTATTTGGCCTGCGTGGCCGCTTCCAAACAGAAAAGTTCATCTGCCTCAAATTCTTCGCTACACGCGGTACGTTTCGGTTTCCTTTTTGGGAATTTGGTCTTTTATCTGTTTCATCCTGATTTTGTATTGATTTCAATATTTGTTGGCCAATCTGCCTGATTGCCTGATTTTTTTCATTTTCTATGTTTTCTGCCCATTTTTCAGCATGTCACCTCGACCCTTTCTTCCAATGTTGTGAGTAGCCTCCCTGCACGCTTAATATTGTTGATTTTAATTTTCCATATTGAAGCCATGTTTTGTTGCATGTTAATTGCTGATTAATGTTTGCTTACAGGGCGAGCTTGAGCAGCAGTTGCTGCAGGCCAATCCTATTTTGGAGGCGTTTGGTAACGCCAAGACAGTCAAGAACGACAACTCATCTCGATTTGTATGACTCGATTGTCTTATGGTGTGCCGGTTTGATCGCTTAAGTGAGGATTGCGTGTTTTTTTCTCTGCAGGGTAAATTCATCAGAATTAATTTTGATATCAGCGGCTACATCTCGGGTGCTAATATTGAGACTTACCTGCTGGAAAAATCCCGTGCTATTCGGCAGGCTAAGGATGAGCGTACATTCCATATTTTTTACCAGTTTCTCCTCGGGTCCAGCAAAGCTCAGCGCGGTAAATACGCTAAAACAATTTGCAACTAGAGTAGGTTTTATACAAAAGAACTTGTTGTTTTATGAATTAGATTTAAATCTAATTAATAAGCGTTAAACTTCTTAATTAATTTAAATCTAGTTCATAAAACAACAAATTCTTTTGTTGTTATTCATAAAACAACTTAACGACGTAAACACATTTCCAGCGTTAGACTGGAAATGTGTTTACGCCTAAATTTACTTTATAATTTGAATGCCTGTAAAATTGTAGGAAATCTGTAAACTGGAGTGGTGTTGTAAGTGCATATCTGTTTCTAGATGAGTTTTTGCTGGAAGATTTCAAAAACTACCGGTTCCTGTCCAACGGGAATCTGCCGGTTCCCGGTGTGGACGATAATTTGGAATTCCAGAACACTGTGAAGGCCATGCAGATCATGGGCATGAACCAGGAAGATGTCTCTTCCGTGCTCAAAATTGTGTCGGCCGTGCTGCAATTTGGCAATCTACACTTCAAGCAGGAGAAGAATTCAGATCAAGCAATCCTTCCAGATGATACCGGTAAAAAATTGGCTTTCATTATCTACTATCTGAACGGCTTTTACTGAACGGCCGATAATTTTGTCTAGACTTATTTCATATTCCTTCACAACTTTGATTTATGGATCCACTAATATGAAGCAACCCTGATCAAACATAATTTGTTTTCTATTTTTGCCTGTAATTGGTTTACGTAGGTTTTCTATTGAGTAGATGTTCGGGTTCATAAAAACACTGATGTCATTAATCATAGTTAGAGGTTAATTATATGCGCGCAACATCAGTTTGTCTTGCCTGCAGTGATGCAAAAGATCAGCCACATGCTAGGAACGAACGTTATCGAACTGACCCGCGCCATTCTCAAGCCCAAGATTAAAGTCGGTCGGGATTTTGTGACGAAAGCCCAGACAAAAGAGCAAGCGGAGTTCTCCACCGAAGCCATCGCTAAAGCCTGCTATGAGCGCATGTTTAAATGGCTGGTGATGCGCATCAACAAATCGCTGGATCGCACTAAACGCCAAGGCACATCCTTCATTGGTATTCTGGATATTGCGGGCTTCGAGATTTTCGAGGTAAGTCAAGGGAGGAAACCATCGTCGGCTATTTTATAACTGAATTGCGCATTTGTTGATTGTGTGCGGTACAATTGTAGGTTAACTCGTTTGAGCAGTTGTGCATAAATTACACGAATGAGAAACTGCAGCAGCTGTTCAACCATACCATGTTCGTACTGGAGCAAGAAGAATACCAGAAAGAGAACATCAAGTGGACGTTCATTGATTTCGGTTTGGATCTGCAGCCGACCATTGACTTAATTGAGAAGCCAACAGGAATATTCAGTCTACTGGACGATGAATGTATGCTTCCAAAGACCACCGACAAATCCTTTGTGGAGAAACTGTCCACAGAGCCTTTCACTCGTGATCACCCCAAATTCAGTCGCACGGATTTCCGTTCCGTAGCGCATTTCAGCATTGTCCACTACGCTGGCCGCGTGGATTACTCCGCGGACATGTGGCTGATGAAGAATATGGATCCGTTGAATGAAAACATTGTGCAGTTACTGCAGAGTTCACAGGATCCCTTTGTGGCGTCCATCTGGAAGGATGCGGATATTGTGGGAATGGGTGCGGCCGTGGGTATGGAAACGCAGTTTGGCGCACGTACCCGCAAGGGCATGTTCCGCACTGTCGGGCAGACGTACAAAGAACAGCTGGCCAAGTTGATGAACACCCTACGTGAGACCAATCCCAACTTTGTCCGCTGTATCTTGCCCAATTTGGAGAAACGACACGGAAAGATTGATGCCATTCTGGTGCTGGATCAGCTGCGGTGTAATGGTGTTTTGGAGGGGATCAGAATCTGTCGGCAGGGCTTTCCCAATCGGATTCCTTTCCAGGAATTCCGACAGCGCTATGAGCTGCTCACCCCCAACATCATCCCCAAGGGATTCATGGATGGACGCCGGGCGGTGGAGATGATGATCAATGCGCTGGAGCTGAAGGATACGCTATATCGGATCGGGCGGAGTAAGATCTTCTTCCGGGGCGGCGTACTGGCGCATTTGGAAGAGGAGCGCGATGCCAAGCTTTCCCAGTTGATTACCCATATCCAGGCGTTTTGCCGTGGGTTCTTGTCACGGAAGAATTATCAGAAGCGGCTGCAGCAGCTGAATGCCATACGGGTTATTCAGCGTAACTGTGCGGCATATTTGAAGTTACGCAACTGGGAATGGTGGCGGTTGTTTACCAAGGTTAAGCCGCTACTGCAGGTATGGATTTTCGCTGTTTCTCTGAATTGATTTGCATTGAATCGAGTTTATTTGGTAAACTAAAATGATGATGTTCGAGGGCGTTTTATGTCCACTTTGATTTTATGGGGTGTAGATTCCTTACAGTTGTTCTTCTGCAGTGTGCTAGCTTCGCTGAGTTCGCACCCGTGTCTTTTTCCATTTGAAGTTTGACATTGCTTATCATTGTTGGAATATTTTTTGTATGGTAAAAATAAGATTGTTTTTGTATATGTTTACCAAATTGAAATTTGATTGTTCACTTGTACGTGCAGAAGGATTTTTTATTTTGGGCAACAAAGCTTCGAAAATTGTGTTTCAGGTTACGAATGCCGAAGAGAAAGTCCATGTTAAGGAAGAGGAATTGAAGGCAACGAAAGAAAAGCTTGATCGACTGTCCCTAGATATTGTTGATTTCGAAAAACGCTGCGAGCAACTGCAAGAAGAAAAGGCCGTCCTTAGCGAACAGCTGCAGTCGGAAACCGAAGCCTGTGCGGAAGCAGAAGAGATGCGCGCCCGCACCCAGACACGCCTACAGGAGCTGGAGGAAGTGCTGCATGATACCGAGAGCCGGTTGGAAGAGGAAGAAAACCGGACCAATGGTCTCACCCAGGAGAAGAAGAAGATGCAGGAGACCATCCGTGATTTGGAAGAGGAGCTGGAGGAGGAGCAGAATGCCAAGCAGAAGCTTCTCCTGGAGAAATCCCACATGGAATCACTCAAGAAGAAGATGGATGATGATTTGGCCGGCAGTCAGAGTATGCTCGATCGGCTGCAAAGAGAGAAGAAGGCGCTGGAAGATCGCATTGCTGAGCTAACGCAGCAGCTGGCCGAGGAGGTCGAAAAAGGTGACTGTTTTCTTCGATTTTTTTGGGCGCTGGTTGTGTTATTCATTTCTCGTTTCGAGTGTAACTTTTTAGGTGTGCACTAATTTGCTTGGTTAGCGTCTTATTTATCTTTTCATGAAGAGTATTTTCTTGCTTTTGTGTTTTAGGCAAAGTGTTACTCAAGCAGAAACAGAAACTGGAAAGCACTGTAGCGGAAATGGAAGAGCGCCTTCAGCGAGAAACTGCAGCACGGCAAGAACTTGACCGTCTCCGACGGAAAGCCGACGCCGAAGTGGGTGACCTGCGCGAACACCTGACCGAAAAACGCAACCAGTTGGACGAAATCCAGATTGCTCTGGCCCGCAAGGAAGAAGAACTGGCCCAGTCCATGACGAAGGTGGACGAGGAAGCGGCCACACGGTTAGCCGCGCAGAAACAGCTACGCGAAATTCAGAATCAGCTCACGGAAACCCTGGAAGACCTGGAAACGGAGAAGGATGCTCGCAACAAGGCAGAGCGCCAAAAACGAGATCTCAGTGAAGAGCTGGAAGCCCTGAAGATGGAACTGATGGAATCGGTGGATGTGGGTACGTCTCAGGGAGATCTTCTGAAGAAGCGCGAGGAGGAAGTAAAGTTGATTAAGAAGAATGCCGACGAAGAGGCCAAGGTTCATGAAGCCACACTAATGGAAGTACGGCATCGGTATAATAGTCAGCTTGAACAACTGACGGAGCAGTTGGAAGCGGCGAAACGCGCCAAAGCCTCAGTGGAAAAAGACAAAAACCGTCTGGAAGCAGATGCCGTTGATATGGCAAATGAGATCAAGACATTAACCACTCAGAAAACTGAGTCCGAGAAACGCCGCAAACAAACGGAAGCCCAGGCCCAAGAGTGGTCGTTGAAGTTTGCCGAAATGGAAAAACAGCGTGCCGATGTGGTGGAAAAGAGCGCTCGCTTGGCCTTGGAACTCGATACAGCAAATTCACAGATTGCGGAGATTGATAAACGGGCAACCAAGGTTATGAAGAATGAGGAGAATCTGGCGGTACAGATTGTGGAACTGCAGCGCCGATTAGAGGAAGAAAGCAATCAGAAGCTGGCCTACTACGCCAGAGTTCGTGCTTTAGAACCGGAAATCGATACATTTAAGGTAAATCGCTTTTTCAGATTTGATTTTGTTTCCTTATGTTTTTGTTCCTTTTCATTTGGACTGGTTTTTAATTTTCGTCAGCCGAGACAAATTGTTAAACGAATTAGGTTAAATGTGCACCATTGATTTCAAAAACAGTTTCTTTTCCGCACATGTATGTTAAGACAAGTTTGGCATATAGTTTCTCTTTGGAGTCTACTACCTGCTAGCCGCGATAATTCTTGTTTTGGCAAATTTTTTCAATTCTGTTTGCTTTGATTTGATTTTACTTTCTCCCACTTCTGCATATTCACGATAAAACAGAGACTTTATCAAAAACAGGAGCTGCTGGAAGAAGAAGAGAACGCCAAAAAAAACCTGGAGCGCCTGGTCGAGGATGAGAAGCGTAAAAATACTGAATTACGCCGGAAACTCGACGACGACACGCAGGTCCGCGAATCCGTGGAAACCATGCGCAAGTCGATGCAAAAAGAAATGGACGAGCTGCACCATCGTCTCCAGGATGTGGAATCCGCCCGTGAAAAGGCCGAGAAAGGTCAGCGCAACGCTCAAACCGAACTGGAGGATGCCCAGCACGAGCTGGAGAATTTCCGTGCCACGTTCAGCAATATTGACCGGAAGCAGCGCAAATTTGACCAGATGATCGCCGAAGAAAAAGCCCGCACAGAGAAACTCATCCAAGAAAAGGACAATGTGGAGCGGGATGTGCGCGAGAAGGAAACTCGCCTCCTGTCGCTGCAGCGGGAGTTTGACGATATCCGCGACAAACTGGACGAAAGTGAACGTATTCGTAAACAGCAGCAAGGAGAGCTGGAATCGCTGATGGATAGTAAGGATATGACAGGAAAGAGTGTCATGGAGCTGGATCGGGCCAAACGTCAACTAGAGCAGCAGCTTGAAGAGCAGCGCCTACGTTTGGAAGAGCTGGAAGATGACTACACGATGGCGGAAGACGCTAAGCTGCGCGTGGAAGTTAATTTCCAAGCTGCTAAGGCGCAATACGAACGGGAACTGGTCATACGCGAAGAACAGGCCGAAGACAAACGGAAGGGCTTGGTTAAGCAGGTGCGCTTTGCAGAGAAACATAGGGTTGATATTATTGCCGATTGAGTTGGCTGCCTCGAGGCATCAGTTTTTTATTTTGACGGCACTACACAAACTGCAGTGATTACGCTCTTTTGATGTTCATTTAATTTTACCTTTTTGACTTGGCGTCAGGGATTTATTTGAAGTTTAAAAATTCCGTTCTCGTGGCCGCTACAGCCACAGATCAGCCAATGATTGCTATTTTAACAACAGGTACGCGACATGGAGCTGGAGCTGGAACAGGAGCGAAAAGAGCGTGCTAGTGCCTTGGCGGCCAAGAAGAAAGCCGAGACGGACATGAAGGATCTGGAGCAGCAGCTGGAGCTGGTCAGTCGTGTGCGTGATGATTCCGTCAAACATCTTAAAAAATTGCAGAACCAGATCAAGGACTACCAGAGAGAAATTGATGAATTCAAAGCACAAAAGGATCAGACGGGCGGCGTGTATAAAGACTTAGAAAAGCGGTATAAAGTGCTGGAAAACCAGTGTGCACAGTACCAAGAAGCAGCCATTGCCGCTGAGAAGGCACGCCGCGCCGCCGAATCCGAACGGGAGGACATGGAAGGGGAACTGCAAAGCATCATTACGATGCGGTAGGTGCATTACATAATATGATTAAGTGTTTAATGGGGAGATCTGCCTACTAAAATTTGCTTCGGTTGCTAGCTGTATTCTTGTTGCTGCTTGTTGTTATTGCTTAATGAACTGGCAAAACAGTTTATTTTCTGGTGGCGGCAGTCAGGTTTTCTGTATGACACATTTTCAGCGTTTAGTTGGAATTAATTTAACAATTAAGTGGAACTTTCTAGTTTCATATGTTCGGTTGCCAGTTCAGTTATTTGTTAAATTATGGCCACATATTGTTTCATTATGGCCACTAGAATGGTCACATATTGTTTCATTGACTTCGCGTGCTCAGTAGGTAGCTAAAGTTTTTGCGCTTTCAGGAATAATCTGACCGACGAGAAACGTCGGCTGGAAGGTCGTATTGCCCAGTTGGAAGAGGAACTGGAGGACAAGCAGACCGATAACGATATGATGATGGAGGCTCGCAACAAGCTTACCCAGGAGCGCGATAAAATCAATGCCGAGCTGGCTAATGAGCGACTGCGTATCCAGACACTGGAGTCCGAACGCTCAGCAGCGGAACGGGCTGCCCGCGAACTGCGTATCAAACTGGAAGAAGCGGAAGCACAAGGACGCGGCAAACTCCGAGCCCAGTTGGGGCAAATGGAACTGCAAATACAGAATCTGGAGTCGCAGCTGGAAGCCGAAACCCGGGAGAAACAGATCTTGTCCAAGAATGTTCGGAAGCAAGAAAAGCGCATGAGAGAACTCTCTTTGCAGGTAAGCAGTATATTGGTGCAAATATTTTTTAGTATGCAGTTTTGTATGTAACGCATTTTGCAGAGAAACTTTACATGTATTTTTTAGACTTTAAATCTGAATTTTGTGATTTGCTTGTGCTTTCCAGTTATGTTTTTCTTCTCTGAAGTCACCGGTTAGCATCGATACTGTTTTTACTTTTGTGGAATTTGAATTAGCCGTGCGAAATGTTATCGCTGTTACTGCTTCGGTCTTGGTGTAAATCAGTAATTTTGCATTTGATTGTAGGCCGAGGATGAGCGACGCAACGGTGACCAGCAGCGTGATTTGTGCGAAAAAACAAACCAAAGAGTCAAGGCTTTGAAGCAGCAGCTAGAGGACACTGAGGTTGAATATAATCGTGAACGGGAGAAACGTCGAAAGATCCAGAACGAATATGATGAGGCGCATGCCGATAAGGAGAAGCTGAGCAACGAGCTGAACGCCCTGAAACTCAAAATGAGGTACCTTTTAAATATTTTGAGAGACCATGTTTGCTAGTTTGGATAAGTGAAATTCTTAGTCAGAAATAGGTTGTTTTAGAACACATACGCATATTGATTAGTCTTGCATATTTGGCTTAAGTGTGTTTATTTGATGCAGTAAATTCCGTTATGCTACTGATAGTTTGTGTCATTACTGCTGTACATTCACGTTTGATATCGTTTCTTAACAGCGTTTACTTTGCAGACGTGGAACAGGTGTTTCTCTGGGCACACCGCGCAGCTACTCGATTAACAATGGCGCCGGCCGTTCCCAAGGCACACCGCATGGCGACGGGGAATCTGGATCGCTGAACCTGTCGGGTTCATCGTCGCTCGTCGATGATGAGTCCATCAATGGCGACGAGAAAGACTGAGGGGGAGATTTGATTACTGAAGGACCATTTTCTTGTAAATCAGCCGCCACATTTCTGATCGTTTTATTTTTTTAACAAGTGTTGGATGTGTTACAATAATATTATATTATGAGTCGTATGGTATTATTAAATTTGAGAAATCGTTTTCCCGTAGGATTTCGACAAGTGTGGACAGTGCTGGAACTGTGTCCCGTGATTGGATTGATGCCTACAGAATGCAGAAATGAAACTTATTAATGCTTTTCTCATTTCACTATGTCTTCGTTTGGTGTTTTGCCATTTTTTTATCAAAGGTTGGATTTTTTGCGCAGTGGGGAGGCGGATATTGGGCGGCGTTTGTTTAAAGCTTCCCTTATTGATTTCTTCATTGGGTGTGACCAAGTTGATGGATGCCTGTTGCACATTTCCAGCTGTAATTTCCTGTTTTTTAATATTGCTCCATTTTGTAACAGCTGTTGCGCTTAATTTCCTTTTCATTAAAATGTTTAGATTTTTTTAAGCGTTTGATTGAATTTAGCGGCTTGCGTCTGACAGTGAGCAGTTAAGCATGTTTTACGAATGAATTTTGTTTTGATATATACGAATATATATGGGATGCTTTGTATGTTGGCAGCTATTTTTCGGAGTGCCCAATAAGCAGTAACGTACTGACAGCATGTTGATTTGTTGTATTAAACGTTCAGTTCAAATTTTGTGTTTTCGGTCGTGAAAATTAACACAAAATTTTGGAAACAACAAAGTGTGTAGAAACAAATAACCAAGTACCAACACCTCAAAGTGCAGATTTTCTTAGCAAATAATTAACAAACTCACCAAAAATATCATCAAATAACGCGAAAGAATATCAAGTTTTAAGTACTGTAACACAACGGCGTTTCCGGCAACACAGTAGTGAGTCGGCGAAGTCCGCCGTAAACCGTAAAACGGGCACCGCTTTTAATCAAGAGTACAGAGTTAGACAGAGCGTGTGTCTAACGAATTTCTGTCTGCTCCCTTGATTAAATGCGTTTCACGGCGCCCGGTCGCCTGCCCAGGCGGACTTCGCCGACTCACTAGTAGTATAAACTCGCCGAGCCACTCTCAACAAACCAAAGATACTGTGGAAATTTCGTTGCAAACGAAAATCAATAAAATTTATTTATCAATCAGCGATTGATCCTGTTCAGAACTTGTAGAACTAAGCACGTTCGTTCAGAACTTGTAGAACTAAAAACGTTCGCAACTCGCACGCATCGCTACAAACTGTTTGAAAATTTAACACAGATCACATGCGCGCGCGATGCAGCTGACTGCTAGTAGTAGAAACTATATGAATTCACAAAAAATATTAAAATAACGTATTACGAGCCCAGCGCCCCAAGGTTACACCCATCAAGATCATGTCTAGTTCAAAATTATCACCGGTGTGTCACACCGCTCCGGATCCCAGCGACTAAACCCACAATATAATTATTAACATTTTTCCAAAAAAACTACGGTGCCGGTCAACGCGACGAGGCTCAGCAACAATCCCAATTGTACGCCACTTTCGAAAAATCTCGTTTCTCCAGATCTTCCGGCCGGATGAAGAAATTCCCCACTCCCATGTCGCCCCACATGATCCCGTTCGTTCCGTCACTATCCAGCTGGAACAAGAGCTCATAGCCGCGCAGATCGCTGGAGCCCGTCCGGGGATCTTCCTGCGTGAAGACGGGATACCCGCCGATCTGGTGTCCGTTTGACCGCAGATGCTCATCGAAGGCCTCGTACGCCTCGGGGCGGGTGTCGTACGTCTCACCCCCAAAAATCTCTTCCCGACGGTAATCATTGGGCGTCATGTACTGCTGGAAGGGCTGGAACTCCATGGCCAACTCCACGTTTCGCTCCAGCGGCCAGTACATCTGCGATTCTTTCCCGGACGCGACGTCCACGATGTTCTCGCCCTCAATGCGGAACGGCAGTTCGGTCTGCAGCTGCGATGCATCTTCTGTCACATCAGGGAAATACTGGACACGGAACAAATCCTGTTCGGTGGTACTAGCATTGGAATTCAGATTCAGCCCCATCATATCGTCCGTGGGATCGATGAAGAACTGCAGGATTCCCTTGTCCGGATAACCGCTGAGACGGGGTGTTTCGGCGAAGTTGATCTGCGCCAGTAAGAGCAACGCGCTGCCCGCAGAACTACGGGGGTATTCGGCTGATTTAGGGAGGTACGGCGTTCCGCCCACTTTGCTCTGCCACGGCTGCAAGTTTTTGGCCGGGTGCAGTTTGATGTTGACGGCATCCTTCAGCGTCGCGCGGATCTTCTCAGCGAAGGGAGCCAGTTCAGGCGGAATGACGGGTAATGCCCGGGAATCCATGGGAATGTGTGGCTGCTTCAGTGTCTTCTTAAAACTCAATCTTACAAGTTACAAGTTAATCTGATTCCGAAGCACCACCAAACGAAGTCAATTGTTAAAACGCTGACTAGACAGATACTTGTACACTTAATAAGTATGAACAGGTATCGTATGTACAAAGCTGCAAAACGACAGTACAATAAATTAAAAATAAAAATATCGATAGAAATCAGCTTTTAACATCCGAGGCAGCTGCAGTTATACGAGAGTGAGAAGTGGAGAAAAGCAATTCGGCTTTTATCTAAGCGCATACTACGAGATAATATTATTTAGTCCATTTTTTTCTGATTTATTTTTTTTGTTTGCAGATTTAGTGCAGGTGTAGCAGTAGCATGCTGTATGTAAATCTTCAAAATCGTAACTTTGTTTAAATTTTAATGAGTTTAAAATTAAATAACGCATACTATTAGGCAAAACAAATGTTTTTTCGTTTTTATTTTCGGGTTATTCATTGTGAGCCTGTGCTGTTAACATACCTGCCTATGGAGAACTCATTCGAGATTTCTTATAGGCGGCTATGCTAACCACGTATGCTCTCAGTGCCAAACCTCAAGACGAAACCAAAAAATCAATTGTTCTGCCTAATAGTATGCGTCATTCTGTATTTTTTAAGCTCATACAGAAAAATTTAACACGGAAACTATCAAAGTTACGAATTTTTGAAGATTTACATTCCAGCAGCGTGCTGCATAGGCCACCGCACGCGTACTGCAGCTACGTTGCTGCTAGACAGCTGGCGAAAACTTTGCCACTAGTAAAGCAAACAAAATAGGCAATAAATTCAAGAAAAAAGAATGGACTGCTCTGTAAATAGTATTGCTCTCGCACGGGCATATTGCAGACATGCTACAACATGTTGCATCTCGTTGTTTTGTGCTGTCGATGCATGTATCTGTTAGTTGTACTTGTCATAAAAACGTTTGGGTAGGTGATTCACCATATCGTCATCAGAGCCTGTTTTATTTGACTAGTTACTACGCTAAACTACCCCATGAAGTTTCGTGACGGGCACTGACGGCGATGTTTCTGTTCAGCAAGCCTTTTATAGCGTATTAATGTGACCGGAAGTGAGTGACCGTTTCAGCTGGTAAGTGTTCCCGTAACTGGGGACGGAGATCCATGAATAGTACAAATACCATTATTTATCTTGAAATATATATATATTTCATATATATATATTGAAATATATATATATTACGTAATGTGCAATAACACACTAATCTACACTAGTTTACTAATGGTAAGTACACAGTATATAGATATTTGATAGTATACACCAAGTGCGGTAAGTTGCTTCAAAAATTCTGAAACACACGACTGTGCTATCGGCTTTGCCATAATAGTCGAAATATAGAAAGTTGTAGCTTTTAACACGATATTTCAACTTTCAAGCTTTGACCACGTGGTCAAAGTTGGAAAGTTAATGTGGATTACTTCCTAATTCGCTGCAAATACTACTACCGGTTGTGTTTATTGTCATATTCTTATTTCGTTTCTAGGTTGTCTTCCCTTTTCGGTGCTCTTCGCACACCAGTTTCGGTGATAGTTGTGTTAACAAGCTCAAAAGAAAATTACGTATTCCTCAACCACGTATACGCACGTATATATTAATAGCGTAAAAGTATGGAAAACACATACCTAAATGCAATTAAACCTTTTCCAGACAAATTGCTACAATAACTGACCATGCCGAGCCGTTGCAAATGGACTGTTGTAAACATCTTTTCTTTCTTCAAAAGTGCCTTTATGGTGATCATGCGTTGCTCGACCACGCCCACGTGGGCGTTTGCGACGACCGCCGTAATTCTTGGCTTCCTTCTGACCGTTTCGCGCAAAGGGCTCCCGATTAACAGTAGTTACAGTACCATGACCTTTCGATGCACGTTGGCTTGTGTGATTACTTCCGGTGCTCCAGGGCGATGTGCCGTTTCTACCCGGAACACTCATGACTGGATCGTCAAGGTTAGCGCTGGTTTTTGCAAGCCTAGGCCCATTTGATCTGAAACCATTTGCGGGACTCGGAAGGGAGTATTCGCCGATGGGATACGCATGCGGTAACCTGAAAGGGGGAACATGGTGTTCACCACCATGACCTCTTGGGCGATATGGTGGCGTCCGCGGAATTTCGCCTTCCTGAAACAGTCTCCCCGGAGCGTTCCGGAAACCGTGCAACATGCTGGGCGTGTCTTGATCCAGACTTCCGGGTAGGCTAACATGCACAGGAGACGTTTTGCCGTGGTTAGAACTAACAGCGGCATCCTGCTCTGTTTTATCCGACCAACTATTAGACACATGCGGGTTCGGAATGAGATTATATCCGTCAATAGGCGGTCGATTGTCGTCAGCATTTGGACGCTGGAATCCATCACCGTTAATAACTGATGCATCAAGAACCTCACTGCGCGCATCGGAATTAATATACTGGTTAGAGCTATCGCCAGGCTCAGCGATGCCGTTAAAATTGTGCATCCCGTTGTCAGAAGTTGAAGAATCATCGCCAACATCGTCCGAATTCGGTCCAGCCGAAAGGTCAGTGTCACCGTTCGCATTTTGGTTGGTGTTGCCATTCGCGTGTATAAAATCTAAAAGGTCACCTGTGTGCTGCACACCAAGATTTTGTAGAAAAGCTGAAGAGTTTGGCGGAAAATAATTAAAATTCGGGTTGGAGTTGTCATCCAATATCGAGAATACATCAAGAATATCGGCAGGAGCTTCGTCGGAGTTCAGTTCATTGTACGCATCGGCATTGCTATCGTTAGAAGCGTAACTACTGGCTTCTTTGTCGATGTCAGTCATAAAAAAATTCGAAACGGATTTTGAAGAATTGTGGAAACTGGACTGACTAGCATTAAAGGTTGTTTTATCCGTTGTGGCAGCGGAATTAAGGTCTTCTATGCCCACAGTTCTCCAGGTTTCCGTCGATGAGCTGTCGGTAACTATCGCCTTGTTCGTACTGGTGTCGCCGGAATATATGGAATTTTCGGTGGATAAAGTGTTTTCTGTGCTGTCGTACGGCTCAGTTTGAGCGAATATACTGGACGCTAACGTTTCCATTTGGCGTGCCATCTCAAAAAGAGGATGCTCTGCATCGTTTCGGTAAAACAACGCTGTAAACACCAGAATCTGCACGATTAGCTGGGAGAGCGACGCTGTCATATTCTCACGATCAGTTTGCTGCAGTGATATTAATACTGGCGATGCTGCAGTCCGATGGCTCTCGTAATTTAACCGAATGAGCAGCGTTTTTGAACGCTTGCGCGTGAAATAAGACAATGGACATTCTTATTATGTACCTCTTTTTATTTTGCGCAATTTTTTGCAAAGAACTGAGTATAACGAAAAAATTGTATATTAATAATATTAAACGCATCGTTCTCGCCTCAGGTAGTAGGATGGTAAAACGTAAACTTATAAAGTTCTTGCACACGATGATAAGTACATTATGTAAAGATTATTATTGTCTCGGTAAGTGAAAGTTTTATCCGTTCGCATAGAAACTAACACGCACAGCAGGCAGGTGCATATTTTTTTATACGACTGTGTACTGTCTGTAGTGCTCTGTACTACTCTGAATGTTTCTGTTTGTTTTCTGATGAACAATATGCATGCATTATAGCGTAGAGCACTTGTTAATTATTAAACCCTAATCAAATCGGAACACGTCAAAGACGCTTTAAAGAGGTGTGTTAATTGTTCGCTTTCTAACGATATTGATTTATTACGTAATTAGAATATTAACGAAACTATATAATCACGCTCAGCTCAGACGTCAACAACGAACAAAATCCCATCAAACCAACGGCCAAGTAACAAAACAAAACAAAGGCAAGAAAATGGGGATAAGTTATAAATCTATAACTAGGGAAATCAGAAAATCAAGTACTCGTACCTATGAGCGTCACATTTCTTTGGTATCACAGAGAACCGACGCGGTTCGCTCAGTGCGCCACATTACATGCGGCAAGGTATTCCTTCCTCAACGGTCCACTGACGAACTCCTCAAACACCCTGAACAAGCACCGTTTTCTCTCCCGATCACATTCCGCTGCAAAGAGCGTTTTGAGCGTAATATCCTCCCCGTTATACATCACACGCACAAATTTTTCCTCTTCCCCATTCACCGCATATACTTCGACCGCTACATGACTGGCATAGGGAATAACAATCTTGAACGGCAGCCCCAGACTATGAATGATGGGAACCACGGTAGAATCATGGGCAGAAAACAGGGTAAACCGCATTGTCGCATTGGCCCGCCCCTCCACGACGTCTTTCAGATTCTCCACCATCTTCCGCAGCAATCCGTACCCATCCACCACCGAGTACAGCCGCACCGCTGGCTCGTCCGACAACTTCTTTGCCAACCGCTCCATAACTTCAATCACCTCGATCAGTTCACTGAAAGTGATGCAGGTGCCATCGTAGCACGGCAGATGTCCGCCGTGACAGGCAAACTGCAGCATCACATCAAAGACGTGCGTGGGCCACACGTGGAGGGGCTTTTCCAGATGACCGGTGAGAATTTCCCGGATGCGTGTAATCAGCGCGATGCTTTCCAGGTCTTTTTTAAAGAAATCCATCTTCAGGCGGAAATATTCGTCCATCAGTCGACTGGTGGTCACGCATTCGCATGTCCCGGCTAATGTGCAGAACATGGTGTCATGGGGTGGAGCGAAAGAAGTTTTGTGCGGAATGTGCCGATCAGCGGCCGGGTTTAGACCGTACATGAAAGCCTGCAAAACAGAATTTACTGCCGCATTGCAAACATCACAGATTCACAGTTGAACCTTGGCTTGATTTGAGCAATTCGGACACAAATTATGTCAATAATCGGAGACAGCAATTGTTTGAACACCTCGAAAGAGTTTGCTTGTCCGGTAAAATTTGCTTTGCTCCACTCCTTGATATACCAAAATAATTACAATCATACAATAATAGCCACAATTACCTCAATAAAAAGGCAATTAAAAGGAACGGTTTTCACAAAATAAAATAAGATGGCGACCTGATTACATCTTACCAATGCGCTTTGGTAAGTCCTGGGATACAACGTGGAATACACAGGTGTATCAGCGGAGATCCATTGCCCAGCCGCCTCACCCAGTCGCTGACGCACTGCCGCGCCTAAATCCAAATGTTGCGACACGCCTTTACTGGTCAACTGACCATTCAGGCATACGGATTTTTCCGGCACGAAATGGAAGTCGGGATGATAATTTCCCGGTTTCTGAAATAACTGTACCGCATTGTAATAGGAGTCCACCACACTGGAATGGGAGAATGATTCGTCATAAGGGCAGTATTTGTGGGAAGAATCCTTCATGTTGAACAGCGCTCCCCGGTCTCCATGACGAATCAGCACCTGCATGCCCAGTATTTCCTGGTTTTTCGGAACGGACGCTAGAAAGTAATAAACTATAAATTCACCACAGAAATCATAAATCACTAAACTGGCGACACGAAAAGCAGTCAACAAAGGATGAAGGAATGAGACCACAAAAATAAATTTTAACGTAAAATAAATACTTAGAAAAATCAGAAAAACATCCACGAGCAATTATGGGTTTTGCACGAGCAATTCTGGATTAAAAGCAAGAAAATTCTGGAACAAAAACTACAAGAAAACACAGATGCTACCATTATAAAGTACTAGTAATAAAACGGTAAAACATTATACAGTAAGCAAACATTCGCAAGGCAATGAAATGCCAAACTTCGCTCTTCGCAGTTCCTACCATTGAATTTCGGTGCTTCACAGTAATAATCGATGCGGTGATAATCTTCAGTATCTGCGCTGCGCTTCAACTGCGAGATCCACGGACCCTGACGCGATTCGTGCCAACCCAACCATGACAAGGGAAATGCGACAGCTTTCAGCAATGCGGCTACTGCATCCTGCGCGCCTGCAACATAGAAACACTGGCGCACGTCCAACCGAACAGCATGCAGCTTGACCTGCCTCTGTTTTGGAACAGAAAGGGAACACCCGGAAAATATTTCAATACCGTCCACAGCAATGCGAAGAATAATATCGTCGTCAGAACCCGCCGAGGTTTGCAAATCATTTCCAGCCGCATCGAGTGTTTAATAGCGGAGTGGTAAAGAAAAAGTGCGGCGAAACGATCTTACAAACACAAAGATCGAAGCATATCACCGCAATCCACACAGATCTATCGTTGGTTCAATACAATAGACCCGGACCAAGCAAAGATATTACAAGATCCGAGTGCTTACAGGCTGCAGGAAAACTGACAGTGAAAAGTCAAAGACTCTAACGGTAAAGTCAAAAGAAACAAATCACAAATGCAATAATGAGGAAAAATAGACTTTAAAGTCTTTAATGTATGTATGTATAAGCATCAAGACTCACGTGTTATCGCTTATCAACCTTGCATCCGTACCAGGATGGCTGCGAGCCGAGCACGCTTAACCGTAGCCGGCCTACCAGAGACGGTGGTCGAAAGTGGAGCACTCTTCTATTTGCATCCGAATAAATGTAAGTACTAACGAGTATTTTCCCAGGTAAGTAAGTAAGTACTGTATTGTATAGGAGTGTTTACGTTTAGAATTAGTACGAGTACTGTAATCTTGCCTTACACTAGCGGTGGTTGCGAACCACATTATTGCACGAGCGCGAGCGCCAGTACCCCTGGGAAATGGTATTGGGATTGTGGAATTGGAAAAGCGTGACGTACGCTCTTCGTGGCTTCAGACAAATGACGAATGACGAAGCTCTTGACGAAGACTCAAGCTCTTGACGAAGACTCTTGACGATTAATGCTCTTGACGAAGACTTATTGCAGCACCTGGCGCTTCGCGCTCGGTGCAAAATAATATAGAAATGTGCTTCTGGTACTGGTATAAAAATACTTCATTGTAAAAACAAAGAATAATTGTAAGAGTTTCTGCGCGTTGTATACGAAGTTACAAACGGGGTTAGGGAAGAATTCGAAGGTCGTATGAAATACGAATTTGGTAATCATTGGCTCAGCTTAACCATAAGTAGCTGCTAACGGGAACACTATTTTACACTGACCTTTTTGTAAGCCTGTCTACCCCGTCGGCGCTGTGCAATAAGAATTAATAATTAATAGAGCCTTGATAATTTTGATAGTTTTAATAGTTTTGCCTTGATTGTCAGTTTTCATACTTTGTAGTTTCAATGCGCCAAAACACCAGTTGGTCGTAAACTCTATTGCAACATAAATTTGCAAAGCGCTGATCATAATTACTGGAGAGCAAATCAAACCACCGCTGGACTGAAGGCGGGAGCAGCAGTGGCCGGATTAGGCGAACTGTTGTGTGCAGTGTCGTTCCCAGCGGATCCGATTGCCGCTGCAGTCGGATTCTCATTCTCCCGGCCCACTTTGTCCTTGATTGCCGGGTGCATCGGAGCAGGTGATCCGCTCCCATGTCCTTCTTCAGGTCGTTTTTGATCAGTGGAACCGCCCACCGCCGGCTCAATCTGGACCTGATTGTCGTCGCGGCCGTTGTCCTTGTCGGTGAATTTGGAAAAAGAACTCAAGATTCTCGACAACTTGTCGGCCATTTCGCTGATATCTAAAAACATGGCGCTGAGTTTTCTAGCATCGGGTAGACGAGAATTGCGCCCTTTCGGTTTCCCTGCATGTGGCAAGTCGTGCGCATCGTCGTTGTCATGCGCGAAAGGCCAAAATTTTCCTATTGGTTTCTTTCGCTCCTTCGGGACGTCCGCGTCGCCAAAGTCGCCCTCCGCAACGGACTCAGGATTGACCGGGCGTATGTGCACGCTTGGTAAGCCGGCATGTAAATTGGCAGTTTGCGGCTCATTTCTGCTACCGGAAGCTGACTGAACCCAACACACAACAAATGTCGTCGCACATAAAGTGCAAAAGATTCCTGAGGTCATATTCAACAATCCAATAGAATTAGTTGGTTTACACGTCAGGAGTACGCGTTAAATACTTCCAGGACCAAGTGTGGCTAATATGACGTATAAAATTCTTTCGGTGGTTTTTGGTGGCAGAGATCTGACAGGGTACACCGTTGCTTGCAGATTAAGTACTAGCTCTGTTTCGCCGATATGTTAGCATTTTTTCACTACTTACTGGAATCTAAAGGTCACAGCTCTGTTTGACATGTATCCAGAGCAACAGGTTCTCTCCATTGATATCGATTATGCAAGTGTACAAAAGCATATTAGAATATTACACTGTATGTATCTATTATTTACGGTATTATAGTAAGTACTACATTTTTTGCCTCAGGGGATATCCCGACGCAGTCGCCAACCACGCATTCGCAACTTCAAGAATTATGTAATTATTAACTCTGCAAGAACTATGCCATAGAAAAAAGTTTATACGTGCACCGTAAAAAACGAACAGTTTTTGTTTTCCCGAGCATATAGCACATGTAGCGTATCTTTATTATAAAGCAGGTGGGAGAATTTTTCTATTTCGATTGTTTTTAACTCACAGTGCTTTTCCCACCAAGTCCAACCAAGCGGCATATTAACAAAACAATAATTCAGATATAAACCTTACTGACAACTGTAGTAAAAGATACTTACATTATACGCGTACGGCGTAATGTGTGCGTTGTAACCAAAATTCAAGTCCGTCACGTTATAGTTTATGTAATTAACGTAATCATGACCCCACCTGCGTGAACGACACGTATGTAGCCGAAATGGTATTTCTATCACAATTCACATGTATAGTTACGGTAGGCTTATAAAAAAACGAAAAGCACAATCAAGTACGGAAGTAAATTACGTTTTTTCTTAATTGCTGCAACCCGCTTATTAAAAACCATCACACAGGTATGTGGCAGTTCTGTAGCGAAGTCGCCACACATATTTATTTTGGAGCTACGACCCTAAGAACACTCCGATCGTCATAGAAAACCGTTGGAAGACTGCTCAGGAAGCGTGAGAACGATGAAACGATAATCCAGAAACATGAGCTCAAGCATGCGCATATTTCTACAATCTACGTCGCATGCGCATAAAAACTAATTACACAATCCAGCGATGCGCAATGGAAGCCACATATCCGCACATCCATGATTAACCGCTTACACAACGACCGTGTCTTGCACAAGAAGCCTTTAAAAATTAATCAGGAAGAGTGTCAATCAACCGGGGTCACAGTTTCAGCTCCTCGAGAAAACTCAACCCGGCCGGCAAATTTAGACTAGCGCGCCTAATGGCTCATCATCACTCAAGCATGCGAAGCGCTTGGTTGTTCCCTTGAAATTAGAGGCGGCTAGAAAACGATGGGGGAGTCGCCACGGCCGGTGTCATGACAAGACAGATGCACTGTTTACCGAGTTAGACACGGTGCCGTAATCAGGAGCTGCAAAAAATAGCAGTTAATCGTTAAGTGGCCACGCCTAACCCAAACAGACTCATTCATGACTGCAGCACAAGTTATATTGCCGACGCAGCACCGTACGGTCCCGCATCACACGCTGCGACCACGCAGACGGATCTCGTTATTTTTATTTATTATTTCAGCCAGTTGCGAAGAAATGCGCTCATTAATTTTGTTTGTTATTGCTTAACCCAACCGGGATAATTATTTAACTGCGTCGGTCTGCAGAGGAAGTTATTTATCAGTAGTTTACGTTTTTATGATTTGCATAATATTACAGGAAAAAACTATTTCTGTGCATGCAGCGCACTTTCGAATTCCCTTCGCGCACGTTACAGTAAATACATACAGTATCGTTGTCGGCTGGTCGTAGCGAGTTGCCTGACGCAAATGGTCGCTGCGTGTCAGACTATATGTTGCCGTGGTGTGCGGATGTTTTCATCATGACTCACAGGATCCGGAAGCACAGCGCCAGGTTTTCTATAACAGCACTGGATGCAAGCCGCTTTAAATGATCGTAAAAAAGGAAAAGCGATCTTTTGTGTTGAGTGACTTGTGCGAGTTGTGCTCGGTCACGCAGCGAGGAACTGAATTATTGGTACAGTGCTCTCCCGCTTAATGCAGATCCGTGATCGAATGAGTTTTGGCCGTGTGTGTTTATTTGTTAATGGTGTACTTTTTTGAAATTGTGGGATCATAAATATTTGCATACTTTTGCTCGTTACAACTTACCACAAGTTACCGTGTTGTGTCCGTGCGTACCACGAATAGTACTGCTGCATTTATTGTGATATCTTCGTTCGTGGCTGCCGCATTTTTACTGGCGTACACGAAACCAGTTTTTTGCCGGTTGACTTTGGTTTCGAGTGGCTTCGAGATTCTGCTCATGTCATCACTTTCCCCAAAAAGACCTTGTGTGATTGTTTAAATTTACACACACACAATACTCCTGACCCATTGATGAATTAATCGCCAAATCAAAGTTGCCGATTAAGCAATGTCCAGTCAGACTGCACCACAAAGCAACAATGCGTCAGCGGTTAATCCAGGGTCAGTGGATTCCGTGTGCGGCTGGACGCCACTGCAGCAGTCCAACAATACTGATGCGGCAGACCTTTTTATACAGGTGGATTTGGTCTTGTTTCCATTCTTTTTGGGTTTGTCCACCTTTGGCAACATACTGAACCTGATTGTTTTGCTGCGGGAGAAGTCCTTCGGAGGAAAAAACGCGTATCTAGTTTCCATTGCGATTATTGACACCATTTATATGTGAGCAAACTATGAAAAATTACAAATTACAAAATGTAAAACTATTGCACTACACGGCCCGAGAATGATTTATAGTAATGCACATGTATTCGTTCTGTACTTATTATATATTTATTATATTAAATTTTTATTATTTCTATACTTATTATTTACAAGAAAGTTTTTTTTTTTATTTTTATGGAAGTATTTTAATTTACAGTTAAAATGGGTACTTCTTATCAGTTCTTCAATAACATGCAAAAGAAACATGCTTTTTTATGTTTCAGATTTCATTGTTGAATGATTAGTAAATGCAGGAATTTAGCTCATGATTTACTTACGGTTTACTAAGAATAGCATTTTATCGTACAACGTTTTTAGGTGGTGTGCGCTGTGGTCTTACACGATCAACTACGACCAAGTCCTTCACGATGGCGCCCTCCGCCCGTCGCTGAAGGCGGCATTTGATCGCGTAGCCGGACTTGTAATGTTCCTGCAAGAAACCGCGGTGTTTTCCTCCTCATGGCTCATAATAGCTTTCAGTATGGAAAGGTTACTAGCCATCCGGTTTCCTTTGCGTTACTTAACCGGAAGTAACTTGAAACGCACAGCTATCATTATCGCCACAATCATAGCAGTGGCGGTTTTGTTAACCTGTTTCCGCTTGGTGGACTATTACTGGTTCTATGACAACTTCCTTCGTTTACGCCCCAGACCCAAAATAAGACCACCGCGACCTTATGGGCTTATGATTTGGAGCAAAGCATATACTTGGGGACAGGTCAGTCGAACTGCCTAGTATTTACCAGAGATGCGAGTGTTTGTAGAAGAAAGTACATAAAATGTATGTCCCTATAATATCCATATTAACAATAATAAATACTAACTACTGTAACTGGATTTGCCCGGGATGCGCTTGCTTTGATAAAGTATTCTCGCTGTTTTTTGTGTACTCACCTACAATTTGTCAGGCTTGTACAGATTGAAAGCAAGGTTTCTGCTATGCACATAGTAAAGTATTTTGTGTTTTGGTTAAGTGGTACAAATATGTATTTCATTGTACTTTATTTTGTTTCATAGCGGCAAAATGGCAGTTTTCATGTTTTTCATGTGATTCTGGTACCATCTTATTCGGGTAGAAGTATACAGTACTTACTCGTGTACAGAGTACAAGTCTCTGGTTCTTCTCTTCAGATGTTACAAACGTGCGAATATTATAAGTACCAGTGTGGCAGTGTCCAGAAAAAAATTAATTGTAGGTTTTCATTCAAGTGTTCACATTCCTGGCCATTCTGATCGTGAACACTGTTTTATTACTGACAATTTTCCAACAACGGAAGCGTCGCGAAAAGAAGCTGCAGGCTGTGTCCTCAAAGGAAAAGGCATATGCCGAATGGTATGTTTCCTTATGGTTAAGCGTTTCGGGCGCACTATTTTTACTTGTTGACGCACCTAAATTAGCATATTTTTCTTTTAACGATACATACCACAATAACAGCTGCCATAAATAATTAGGTATGCACTGCCGATGCTGGCCGCGTGCGTGATACTATACTTGGCGACGCAGTTCCCGGGATTTATCGACAATTTGACGTATTTGTTGGAAAAGACCTGCACTTTTCAGCGGAACCCCAACATGCAGGCTGTTATGCGACCTTTACAGAACATCGCCATGAACATTAATTTCTCAGTCAATTTTCTTTTATACTGCGGAGTTAGTGCGAAATTTCGTGACACCGTCAAAAAGATGATGGTGGTGGACTTTTTTCGGAGCGTCAAACGCCGCTTATCGGAGGATTCCAACAAATCAATTACTACTGTGATACGAAACCGCACCAAAGCATCGCCTGTCAGCTTATAACTCTGTACAGAACTTTTTTTATATCTATAGTATTCACCTGGTTGGATTTAGTATTGCCACCTGTAGCTGCGCTGTGCCGCTAATGTAAACCTCACAACTCAGTAGGAAGGGGATGATACTATTAGTATATTGTACATACAGATACGCCGATATAAACAAAATCATAGACTTTCCGTTAGTTTTACTTTTGGAAACCACGTGCACACCTGCCCTAAGAACACTAGATACTTCATACTCGTACTGTAGATTGTCTGAGTACAGCCTACACTCACCGTCAGCTGGTGGACTGTGGTTTTGTAACACTTGTAATTTGTTGGACAAAGACACAGGCTTTTCAGTTTAATTACACTGTAGTTACATTATTTTTGTTCGTAAAGTTTTGTTCGAGTGACTTTACAGTTTATGACTGACCTCAATAAAAAAATTAGTGATAGACTGTTCGAAGTGAGTGTGAATAAAACTTCATCGTGTTGATCAAATTATACAACTTGCAACGTGGCATCTTTCGTGCGATCAGCGTACAGCTGCAGTTAACAAGCTTAAAGCTTCTCGTTCTTTGCTGTTTCTGCTCATAAAGGTCGTTTAAAACAACTTCGCCTATTATTTTGCAGATTAAAAAAATCTTCCGCGCGTGAAAGTGATGCCTTTTATTTCTCTTTAGACGACCTGCACTAATAGTCTTCCTGGTAGAAATCACGATCGATGTATGCGGTAACTGCTCTTTATTAAATATTAGTTTATAATCTAACTACTGCAGTCTTTTTAAAAAACAATACGGTAACTTAAATCCAGCATTTTTTATTGACCACAAAATTTCCTCATTCTCTTTCGGCTTCCTTAATGACTTCCCCAGATTCCGCATCACGACATCCCAAACCATCTCCTGCAGTGTAGGCACCGTCAACCACACCTTGAACACCGTATTGCACCGCCGATCCCCGATCTTGCACATGACCCCACCAAAAACAAACATACAACCGGATGGCGTGCAGGCAGCAGCATGGAAGTACACCGGAAAAGGCAGTTCCTGTGGCAGTCGCTCCCACTGCCGCTGTCGGAGATGCAGCCGCCAGATATCGTCCAGCACATCTGTCCCTGTATGGCCCCCGCAGATGTACGCCCACTCACCCCACTGCACTGCAGAGTGGAATTTCCGGGGAGCGGGATACTCACCGGATTTTCGGCAAGGCTGCGAGGTCACCGTCTTCCACCCTTGGTTTTTCATGTTAAACACGCAGATGTCGATGAAGGAGAAGGCGCTCATATCCGCTGCTCCACCGCCCAGCACAAACAAGCAATCATCCAGCACAGCCACCTCGTGGCGGTAGCGCGGGAGGGGCTGCTCTTCGGCTTCCGGTTGGATGCGCTCGTACTCCAGGTGCTTGAGGTTAAGTATGTATGCGTCCATGTTGTAGTCCACCCCGTTAGTTCCACCGACGATGTACAGCTTTCCGGCGAAATACGTCGCGCTCTGCCCGTACCGCGGTGTCGGGACGTCACCGGCACACTCCACATCCTGCATCCACGTTTTGGAAGGGATATGGAAAAAGTGCAGCCGGTTGCTCAAACAGCGTCCCCACGGATAAGCGGTGCCGCCCCAGATTAGCAAAAAATCTCCCAGCAAAATCATGGAATGGGACGCGGCCTCTGGAGGGCCATCACGAGAGAGACAGTCCCATTTCTGCGTTGAGATGTTGTACCGCCACAATTCGGCCAACATCCCGTTAGGCGGAAATAGATTGCTGGGATTATATCCGCCATAACTATATACGTAATTGTCGTCGCTTACTATTCGGTGACCGGATCGCGGGATCGGCTTGCCACGACCTTTACCCGTATCTGCCAAAACACAATCACAAGAAAAATTGTACAGGCTGGATTCGACCGGAGCAGATGATGGAATACACATGCGCAATGACAAGGCTGATTCAGATTCCATTATGCTGCTATGCATAAATTGCGTCAAAAGTTACCACCATACTGTTTTACATCGTAATATTACACTAATACAGACAAAAATTAGGCTGATCAATTAGTAATTGTAAATTACATCATCCGGGTCCACGCAGCTGGAGCAGGTGAAGAAAATCAAGATTAGAAGCAGTTAAATAGATGCAATCGGGATCTGCGCCGGCTGACAGACATCAGGAGCACGATGACATGACTGTATTATCACCCAGTGTTATGATCTCATAGACTACCCTAGCAGTACTTCTATACATACAGATACTGGTACAGAAGGCACTCCTACACGTACGCTGTAAATCTTGTGTTGTAATGCCGTGTTTCCAATTTAAAAAGCATTGTGCACTAATTTTTGCGTATTATCTTATCATGAAGTTATCGAAATATTTTCCAAAAAACAAGACTAAAACGATATGCAGCATTTATTAGAATATTTGCGTTAATTATTTTTGTGTCAACAGAGCAAGTAATTATTATTAACAGCGCCAAATTAATCGCCAGTAATGAAGTATTAATAATGACGTCATGACGCTTTTTTCAAAGATGCAGTATCATCATCAATATTATTATACAATTAATGCATTTTAAGTTGCAGTTTGATTACAGTACGAATTTTAAAGGAAGAGTATTCGTACTCCCACCGTTTCTGTATCAGAACTTAAAGGTCAAGTACATATTTTTACTAGGTACCTTAGGAAGTACTAGAGACTGGTATTGTATTTAATACCGCGCAGAAATTAATGAAATCTGATACACGGCTTTGATTACGGAAGAATCGTGCAAGAGAGAGGAAATAATCATAACTAAGTACGGTAAATAGTCTGTTGCCTTTAAAGAAAACGTGCTGTACACTACACTCGGTTGCTACGTGACAAAAGAATACTGTTACTTATTCGAGCCAATACTATGCTGTAATTAAAAACACTGATTGCGCAAAAATTGCTTTACCGAATATTGCTTACTGATTTTAAAAGTGCTTAACGAATAACGGTAGTACCACGCAACACTATTACAAGCAGCCATTGCTCCATTAAGTACTTAAATACTCAGATGACGGCAGGTCACATCGGGCAATATGAGTACAGACTGTACAGTAACTTTTGCACATAATAAGAATTGTCTTTACAATACAATAATAAGCGGCAAATCTTTAGGAACACCGAATTAATTCAAAACTCTTAGTTTTCTGCACGGTGTACATAGACTGTTGCTCTAAGTGCTGCACGGTCTGTACTCTGTAAGTACCTATGTAGTTTTATATTGTAGGTCATAACGTTTTAAACAAAACATTTCCGGTTTGGTTGTGGAAAATCAAAACGAAACTGAAGAGTTACGGTAAATCGAAGGTATGCAGACGCTGAGACGCAGTAATACGTAGGCTAATTACTGCTAATAAAATTTTATCATCGCCAAATGAGTTAGACTATTGAGTCATTTTTTTAACGAAAGTGCTATGCGCCATGAAATTTCCTGGCGCATACAAGTGACCTTTTTTTAAATAAAATATGTAAATGTATCCAATTCAGAGGAGTCGGTCGCAGTATACTGACTTACTGAGTATATTCACCATTCACCAACACCAATAATTTTTCACCTCCACGACTCAGACAGAAATTCTTGATGTCGATTTTAGCATTTTAACCTCATTAATTAACTTGTGCACATACTTTTGGTTTGAGGTAAATGCTTAGGTAAATCCAACACTAGCCGTAACTCGTAAGGAAAATCTTCCATTTTTTCTTCGCAAGATTGTGTTCCGGCAACAGGCCCATCCACTTCCGACAGCGACGATACGCAAAGCCGCAAACGGAGGAAATACAAGTACCACACGTAGTCGCGCATCCAAGGGGTCTGCCTGCCGTGAAATAATAGCTGACTGCAAAATGCTGCCAGAATTTATGCGGACACGTCAGTCGCCAGTTGTTGTTTGCGTTTTCTCATTTCTGTTTGTTTCATAAGTTTTCCGTTGATTCACTTTTGTTTTCTGATTTACAGCATAAAGTTTTGCCGAATGAGATAAAGCAAAACTTTTATTTATTTTTTTAAAATTTTACCAAATCTTATTTGCCAGAGGTGACTGAGCATGGATCTGAAGTCCGGATCAAGTGTACTGGAAAAGCAAGCAGGTACTGTAGGTTGAGAACGCCAGCTGGCATGACTGTTTTAGACGAAGTCCACATAGCTTTCTTGTTGTCGCAACTGATGGGGTTGCCAATCTAATTAATCCTGATTGTGGTTTACTAGCTGCGTTGAAGCGCATGCTGACCATCTCCACGGGAAGTGGGACGAAATCTCATGCAGCTGCTCCGGAGCCGTCTTGGAAGGTTCGTCGGAAATCACGTGCGAAGTTGCTGCGAGCACGAATGTTTCCACTTGAGTGTGAATGTGTATGGGTGTCACCGTTTAGATTCTGGTGTACGACAATGCAGGGAAGGATATCATTTCGCCCATCCTTTCTGTTCGAGATCTGCAGGACCTGGGCGTCACTTTGCACCTGTACAGTGCTTTACTCGCTTCACTTCGCAGCTTTTATTTGTTGACGTACCGCCGCACTCTCATTAAGTTTTGTTCTGACTAGGAATTTGTTGTCGGAGCGGGATGCCATTCCTGACGTATCCGCGGTGTACTTTGTTATGCCGACATCGGACAACGTTCGCAAAATATGCGAGGTTTGTAGCGGCAACTGACTGCTGTTTTTCAAGCTGTTTTACTCGACCTGATTAAAAAATCAGCATACTTTGCATATTTGCTCTTTATTTTTGCATTTATAATATTATTATCGTTATTGTACGAGTATTTGTTACTACAATTGTTTTATTTTTTGGAAGCGATTTTGCTTTTGGCTTTTTTATGAATTGGTTATTCTTGACGTTTTTCCTCGGAGCTGCTGTTCCTAGAAACTGGGTTGATACTCAGTTTCACATATTGTGTCTTTTTTGATTATGGGTCTCTGTAGGTTTATCGTTTTTATGCTCACTTCTACAGATGGCTCATTTGATCTGCACTATTCAGCTAGCGATAGTAATAATTATTAATCAACTTCCAAAACGTGCATTTCTGTAAGCGGACTAGCTTATTCGTTGTAACTAAATTTTCTCTTGCCAGGATATTCGCAACCAAATGTACGATACATATCATTTGAACTTCATTTCTCCCATTCCGAGAGAACTGCTGGAATTGATCGCTGGCGCTGCCGTTGACGGGAATTGTGTGTCGCAGGTTGCGAAGGTTGGTCTAATTTAGTTGTCTTGTATCTTTGTCCTTTAATTTCGGGTTCTCTTCGGTCGCGAAGAACAACAGATTTTCCAGTAGTACTTTTTTTCGCCTTTAAAATTTCCAGGTTACTTTTCTTAGTATAATCTCCAATGTTTTCGCAGGTGTACGATCAATATGGCAATTTTATCAGTCTGGATGACGACTTATACGTGCTGAAGAAGAAAGCCAATGAATTATCATATTTTGGTTGGTGCTTATGACCTTGCGTCTAGCGTTCCGTTTAATGTATTCTGTATGTTGTAGCTTTGAATAGTAACGAAATAAAGGATACTGAGATGAGTTTGCTGATTGATGGCATCGTCGATGGACTGTTCTCGGTTTTTGTGACAATGGGTATGAAATGCTCTGATGGACCATCTCGCTCTCGGATAGTTCTGGCATTTCTTTTTTAAAGGTGTCGTGCCTATCATACGAGCTCCACGCAACAATGCTGCCGCCATGGTAGCCGAAGTGAGTAGTTGAGAACTTTCGTTTACAGACTTTTGACAAAATGTTGTAATTGAACTCTTCATATGCTTTACGATGGTGCATCAACATCGTTCGTTGTTTTTCAATAGCGCCTGGACCAGAAGATTAGGGAAAATCTCCGTGATCCCCGGAACAATCTTTTCACAGCTGAAAATGCTCAACATGGTCAATTTAGGTAGGGTCGCTTACTTTAGTAGTCAATTTAATTGGGAATTTTTGTGTTTCAAACGGATGGCTTCCTGAACAGCGCATTGAAATAACCAATAAATTTTAAAATGCTGCCAAAATGCAAGTTCGCTTTTTGCAGTTTTCACCGACCTCTGCTCATCGTGATTGATCGAAATGTGGATATTGCAACCCCATTGCATCATTCTTGGACATATCAGGCTTTGGTGCACGACATTTTGGTACGTGCAGTGGTGCTTTATGATATCTTTAGCAGTGGTGCTTTATGCGGTATCTCAATGATTGATCTGTACAATCTTATTGTTGACTAAAAATTTGTTTTTTTGGTCAGTATTTGGTATTTCTTTAGCAAGTTTTTGTTTGTGCACTGAGCCCTTTCGGGTTTGTAGGATTACCAGCTGAACTGCGTTACCCTGGACGATGCAAAACCTGCTGAGATTATCAAAAACAAAAGGAAACCGAAATCGTATGATTTGGGCTCTCGTGATAAATTTTGGCAGACACAAAAGGGCAGGTACATCGACTGTGCGCTTTCGTTCAGTTATGAGTATTGCATTTAATTGAGTTTCGGTTTTGTTTCAGTCCTTTTCCAGCTGTAGCTCAAGCCGTTCAAGAGGAATTAGAAAAATATAAAAGCTCCGAGGAAGATGTGTTGCGGTTAAAGCACGAAATGGTACGTACGCTGGTTGCACTGGTCATTTAAACAGAGATTGTCAGTTAGTAAGCAATAAATTAGCTTTGCGTTTTCTAGGGTCTTGATAATGAAACAGATGAGACGGTGTTTCTTCTGTCCGATAATACCGCCAAACTGACGTCCGCTGTAACGTAAGCTTATTTTCGCTTTTCGCTTGTGAAAAATTTGAGATCTTTTCGGCTGCTCCAGATCGCTACCTGAACTACTTGAGCGGAAAAAGAACATCAATCTCCATACTGAACTGGCCACTGCTCTGCTGGAAAGAATTAAGGTGAATACATTTTATAAAAAAAATTTCTAGGATCAGTATAATACACTGAGTATATTTCGACTGTGCTAATGTGCTGTTTTTCTGTTATTATTCTTCAAAAAAGTTAACTCACCTGCTGATTTTGTTCGGATTTTTTGTATCTGATTACGCTTAATTTTTTGGGGGCTCTTCTTAGATGAGAAAGCTCGATATACTGTTCGAAATGGAGGAAAAACTTATGGCCAGACGTACTACAGTAAGTAAATAATAAATTGCCTATGAAAAATTTGAGTACTTACTGTATATAAATTGTCTGTTTACAATAATTCAGATCTATGTGAATGGAATGGCAGTGGCATTTTTTTATAGGATGAATCTTTCGTGGAATTACTTTCCGATCCTCTTGGTAAATGCACCATTAAGCAGCTGGCTGTCTTGGTCCGCAGGAATATAGTGTTGTGATTCTAGCCGGAACCCCCGAGGATAAGATGCGCCTTTTTTTGATCGCCTACGTCTGTGGTCCCACAATGTCTGACGTAAGTTGGGGCCTAAGTGCGTAGGTAGTGAACTATCTGTAGTGATAATGATATGAGTAACTTGTAGTTACAGTTGTTCTACTCGCCAGTCAGTCTTACATTCTTTCCATATCATTGCATGTAGTTAATTGCATATCTTTGCATGCCCTTTTTAGTTTTACACGTGCTGAATTTATATTTCGGTGCTGTCAAGCGGTGCGTGTGAATGCATATATTTCTGCTGTTTTCGTAGGCATTGGTGAAGCAGTGTACAGATCTACTAGAGAAAAACGGCTGTGATATGCTCCCGTTCCATTATATTCGTCAGTGGAAGTGAGTCTTGTGGCGCGGCGCTGATTATTTCTTTCAAACTAGTTTACTTACGATTCCTGGATAACTTATTTTAGAACCTTCAGTAAAGTTGCTGTCGCAACGCAAGTCCAGTATGGAGGCGGGGGCACAACTTCTGTCCAGTAAGTAAAAATTGGTTTTTGTTTTATTACAGTAATCTGTTATTTTGAAGTGTGCGCATTCATTGGAATATTTCAGAATGTTTTCGAAATTGATGTCTCAAGGCTCACAGTTCGTGATGGAAGGTGTGAAGAATTTTGTAGTGAAAAAGCACGTACGTGAACTCTCCCTTCCTTATAATTTTCGGAAATATTTGGATGTCATAAGTGATAATCTGCTGTGTCGTTTTACGTTGCGCTGCAGGATCTTCCTATAACACGTATAGTGGATGCCCTCTTAGAGCGGAAATCGTTGCCGGAAGTGGAAGACTATCAGTATTTAGACCCGAAAGCGATAAGAGCACCCGATCCGTAAATAGTCAACTGGAAGCGTCGTGAATTGCTTTGACTGGCCCCAATCCTTTGCTTGTCTTTTCAGATCTACACTCGCCAAGAATCGGCAGAACTTCCCGGAAGCGTTTGTTTTTGTTGTTGGCGGAGGAAGTTTCGTAGAATATCAGAATCTGGTTGACTATAAAGTGAGCGCAAAACCGTATCTAAAACAATTTACACTGGGATTCAGGACAAAATGGCTTCGTATTTCAAAATGGGTAAGGGTACGCTACGAGAGATTGCTTTCTCTTCACAGAATAAATCCCAGAGTACAGCAAAAAGGATAACGTACGGTTGTACGGAATTGATGAACGCTTCAATTTTTCTTAATCAGGTAAGCACAATCATCTGAGCACACTGAAACCAAAAAAGAAAAACACATATGTTTCGTTCGAAGTAAAAATTATTTTGCATTAAATGTAGTACAGCAGCGATATAAAGTGATAAATAAGCGAAGAAACCTTATCCTTTTCGCTTTTACAGCTCTCCGCCTTGGGAAAACAAAAGCACTGAAGCAGTGCAAAGGGAACGTTTATCTATCTGAATTCTAAAACTATTTTTCGTATTTTTCTTGCAATTTTATCTTGACTTTGTACCCGGTTTTACAAGAGAATAAAGTATACTTCGATGTCGCATGCCGCAAAAATGCATTTGTTCTTTTAGAATGTTGAACTGTTTCTAATTCAGATAACGCAGATAACGATGTCTCTTCTGTAAAAATTATTACACAAAATGGACTGTTGAAATCTGTCATGGATCTAGTCATCGATTCGGACACCGTAGGTTATTTTGGTCATCCCAAAAATGGCATTAATTTTTGAAGTAGGCAACATTTAATCGCCACCAGTCATGACATAGCGGTACGGTGATATACTTATAAAACATTTATTCTCCACGGTGAATGACCGGAAACTTCACCCTTGAACAACGACCATAAAAACTTTGAGGTTTCTCATGGCGAAGAAATCTATCGGTGTGATTAAGCCTGCTTGATCGTCTCGGCATCCAAAATATCCATAATATTTCGAGAAGCAGAGATATTTTTTCATCAGTGGAAATGGCTTTAACCGGGGAAAGTCTTTCACGTGAATTTACGTATTTGAACTACTTCCAAGTATGTATGAATAAATTACATTTGCCGCATATCCTTCGAAACCGTGGCAGTCGCAATGACAACCCTCTACAATGCGGTTGTGTGTTCAATGGAAAGACTGCGGTACGTATACCACACCACGGTCCTAGCATTTCAAACCGTTTTCGTAAAACCATACTCGTATGAAAGTTTGTTTATGCCGTTATATTATTCCAGTTATATGTTCTTTGAACGAAGTTTCAAGACTGGTTTAATATCTGGAGGTTAAGTTGTTGTTTGTATAAGTGTTTTTCTCTGTCTTCCTATGGTAGCGAACGGAATACAACATTCTACCCTGATTGCACTGTTGGAGTAGAGCAGACTCATTCTAGCTGTGAAGTAGAAGTAGCGCTGCGCACCAACCGCGTTTGCGCACAACGCCGCTTCCTATGCCCATTCCACAGCGGCGCACCATGTCGACGAGCTCAGCGGCAGCGGCTGCGTCGTCGTCAGCACCATCGCGAGCGACCAACACGGTCGTGCTGGATTTGGGCGGATATACGGCCAAGATTGGCTTGGCTAGCGACGCAGAGCCGCGCGTCCTGCCCAACTGCATCTACAAGGCCAAGAGCGAGAAGAAGCGCCAGTTCATCTCCAATCAGATCAGCGAGTGCAAAGACCAGCACCAGCTGTTCCATATGTATCCCTTCAATAACGGGTTCCTGACCAACTGGGAACTGGAGGAGCGAGTGTTGGATTATTTCTTCGGCTCGGAAGTGTTGAATATCGACACAACTCAGACGAAGCTCCTCATCACGGAGCCCTACTTCAACTTTCAGACTCTGAAACGATACTTCGCGGAGGCCATTTTTGAAGGTTGGTGGCTTTCTTGCAAAAATGTGCTTAGTGTCTAATTTTCGAACCCACGTTATTTTACGAGCCAATTTCATGCGCTCTCGCATGAAACGTCTGAATTTATGGAATGTTTGGTTTGCCTTTTGCGTAGAGATTTCTGCCATTGATTGATTTTTTTTGCATGATCGACTACTCGTGGAATTTATTTGATTTAATGTAATGTGAAATTTTATGTTCGTATACTTCGAAGTTTTTCAAGTTTTCCTGGTAATCTATAATTTTTTTGAAATGTATTTAATGATGGGTTGATATTTCAAAAAGTATTTATAACTAGTGCCACTGTTTTCCCTATTTTTTATGATGATTAAGAAAGGAATATTATTAAGCGAATTAATTTGATTGATTGATTGATTGATGGTCGTAGATTACGGGTTCGAAGCGGCGTTCATCTGTCCGCCGGCCCACCTTGCCGCCTTCCAATTCCGCCGCGACAACCCCCAGGAACCCACCTGCTTGGTGGTGGACTCTGGCCACTCCTTCACCCACATCGTGCCCGTCATCGACGGTCGCATCAGCTGGGACAGCGTGATCCGCGTCCCGGTGGGCGGGAAGATCCTCACCAATCACCTGAAGCAGCGCATCACCTTCCAGCAGCTCAACGTCATGGACGAGACGCACGTGATCAACCATCTGAAAGAGCTGACCTGCTTCGTCTCCACCGATCTCACCCGCGATTTCCAGCGGGCCCGCGACGCCTTCGACCAGCCGGAGACGGGTGCCGCTCGCACCTTCGTCCTCCCCGACTACAACGCCATTTTCGAGGGATTCTTAAAACCAGTCGAACAGACCTTCGACCGCCCCGGGGAGCACGAACAGAGCATCCGTCTGACCGCCGATCGCTTCGTCGTCCCAGAGATCCTCTTCCGGCCGTCGGCGGTGGGCGACACGCGCATGGGGGTGGGGGAAGCGGCGGTGGAGGCCATTCGGCGGGCGCCGGAGGATAAGCGGTTGTATCTCTTCCGTAATATGGTGCTCACCGGGGGGAATTGTCGGCTGCCGGGGTTTCGAGAACGGTTCATGCAGGAGGTGGCCCCGGAAGTGCCGGAGTTCGGGGAAGCGGAGCTTATGCCGGTTAAGGATCCCATCGCGGCGGCCTGGTTCGGGGGGAAGAGCATGGTAGAAAGTGGGGTGTATGATAAACTGTGTGTGACGAAGGCAGAGTACATGGAACACGGGGAGAATGTCTGTGAGCGGAAGTTTGTTCGCAGTTGCCCGAAGAGACGGTCGAACGGGAATTAAACCGGCGTTGTTTAAGTGTGTTGAACGGTCTGTGATAGCGATCGTTGTTGCATTTACACGGTTTAGTCTACGCAGGGTACATAAACCTCTGTTTTGGATGTGCAATACAGCGAACACTGCAGGTTTTTGTGTTTTCTGTACAAAAATTTCCAAATTTTGTTGTATGTATTTTTCCTAATGTGCATTAACTGTTGGCTATGTGGCTTATGTTTTCGTGCTTATTAAGTAAACGCGGATAACAGTATAATGAATAATAAGAACATCTAGATAAAATTCACGGAATTTTATTGAGCGCACGGAAAGCTCGTGCATTATTTTGAAACTAATCCATGCACATTGGCCCGATCGTACACATTATAGGGATATTGCTGGGGACCCGTGTAAGAATTCTGCGAGTATGTGGGCGGAAATTCCGGCTGGGTAGCTCGCGCGCCCGGATCCGCATAAGCCGCTCCGTATGGGGCGTCTGACGCCGCCGCCGGTAGCGCTCCCAAGCGAGGAAGATAGGGGGACGCATAGCCGGCCGATGGTGGTCCTGGAGGCCGGTAGGCGGGTGGTCCGGGGGGCGGTACATAGCTCTGACCGTACGGTGGAGGCCGGCGAACGGGTGGGGGATAATAGCGAGGCGGTGGGTAGTACGGAATATTGTACGAGGTGAAATTCACTGGCGGCAGCGTGACGTCCATGCCCGTGAAGGAACTGGACACTAGTTTGACGACGATGGCCTGTGGGATGGTGTAGTTGTAGGAGCAAGTGGTGTAACTGGCGTTGTAGGCACTGCTGTTGTAGCCGTAACCTCCGTATCCGCCACCGTATCCACCGTAACCTCCGCCGTAGCCTCCGTATGGTGGATATGCTCCGTACTGCTGAGAGCCGTAGCTGCGAATGCGTAACGAATAAATTAAACACAGACTTTCCATTCGCTTAACCTTAACTACACGTACGTTGTACATTAGTACTTCTTATGGGATATCGATACCGTTCTTATGACCTTTCATGAATGATATTCCCTAAGAAACAAGTTTATAAGTAACAATCAAAGTCACTATACTTAATACGTATATATTTAACGCACCTAAGCTTGCACGTGCTAGATTATTCGCATATCGCATTTGAAAACAAATTGTTTGTGGGTTAACTATAGCTTTGAATGCAGAAATAGAAAAGTTTGAATTACGCATTTCTATAACAAATACTATGTACTGTACACATATTGATCGCTTGGTTATGTTGGAATAAGCATCACTATTTTACAATAAGCTGGCATCATTAATGTTATACGAGAATAAGCAACTGCCAGAGCGCTTACCATCCCGGCGGGAGCCCATATCCGTAACCTCCACCGCCATAACCCGGATATCCACCACCGTAGCCGCCATATCCTCCGTAACCACCGCCGCCGTAGGGAGCACCACCTGCGGGAACGAAGTATCCCGCTTGACCGTAAACATAGTACAGCAACGCTGCTGCAAAGGTTAAGCGCACTATAATCACAGTATGCCGGCACATGGTGAATTAAACGACTGCTGTGCTAGTGGTGCATAATGAGAAACGACAAATCCGCAACAGTCGTACCCGCTCTTCATATATATCGACCAAACTGAATCACTGTCGATAGGCTACAGAATTTACGAGGTCACGATTATCATTTTTCGCCAGAGTACCTGTGTTATTTAATAAAAAATAATTATATATTTAGAAGCTGCGTTTGTATGTAAGCGGTATTGCTCTAACATAATTTTTGGTGACAAAGACTCTGTCTGATGGTTAATGATATTGTATCGTTACCTGTTAAACAGCGGTTTGATGCGGTGCATCACCGATGCACTTTTACACCACAAAATGTAAGTTAACGTTTCTATGACCTGTACGCAGACCCGGTAGTTTGCATAAATGTTAACAAAAACAAGGCACAATTTTAACTAACCATAAGTGCACCAGTAAATCGATGCGGTAATCAGTACACAAATTGACTACGTCATCGAATCCCGCATCATACATACGACTGATACGAGTATATATCGTAGGCCTGCAGCTGCGCCCGCTGTGGAGTAAAATTGATTTTAAATAAAACGCCACTTCATGCGCCGGACTATGACCGGAAATGTCGCACTGGCTTTAGTCTAACAATGTGCTGGATATGTTCTCTGGAAAATGTATGTCTGTGTCTTATGCTGTCGCATCCATTTAGAATACGAGTGCATCGCCGTTGTGTAAGCGTCAGCAGTTATCTATCCGTCCGCAGTGTATACGTAGCCCATTTTCCTGATCATTACGGTAGTACTATAGAGTAGTTTTGGAGAATCTTCGGCCTACACATCACATCACTCAATGGTAGTTTTGCACAACATTTGAAGACGGTTAAAATTTACAGCGATCGTACATGGCAGAGGCGAATATTATTTATTCAATGTCAGTGATCTGGCTGTCAGTTGTGATATCCCGCAATCATATGTAATTCTCTAAAATGTCATGGCACATCAGGAGAAGTGTACGAGCGTCCTATTGCGCAGTATTCAGGATACATTTACTAAGTAAGTCGATAATTTCGGGATTGTAAGAGTATTGTTTCATGAGAATGAAGCGCTTTCCGGCACTAATTTTAAGCGCTAAATAATCAAATCTTCGAAAATCTTTTTTATTGTACGTACAGCCAAATTATACATACCTGCTTTTGCAGTTAAAATTAACGAAAGATGTACGCTTCTTGTAAAGACAGCCCCATCATGAAGAGTACGTTGACGCGTTATTTCACTTCCTGGCAGGAAGTTTCTGACGGTGCTACTGTAAATTTGGTTTGGCTGTAATCAATTCACGCACAAACAACATACGAGCTTTTAATAGTTCAAGATAGGATGTACAGCGCATAAAGACCTACAACATTTACTCGTAGAAAGCGGAGAAAGTAAAAGAACAATTACATTTACAGGTGCTTGGATCCTTGTGATCATATGCATGAAAAATGTGCGCAGTGACGGCTGATGAAATAGACGTATTTACTTCTTTTTAGGTACGAAACAGCGCGAAGTGTGCGCTTTCACTCACCGGTAGTCGCACTTTGCAACCGTTTGATCCAGGGGACCGTTATTGCGTATATCATTATGTAAGTGACCCTGTCCTTTGCTAAAATGGTTTTCTTCGAGGGCGCCAGCTAACGGTAAGCATATTTTATGAAATCCGCCTTACTACACGTTTAAACAATGATAACACCGTATTTCAATTTTACTGATATATACTACGTAGCAAACTCAAACGGAAGGAAGTCAAAACAATGTTATATTTTGTGAATATTTCCGTTTGTTGAAATTATGTATATCCAGTTGGGCAATACGCAGAGCTAAAAGTAAATATTGCACAGTCTTGCATTTTTTTAATTAGTAAGTAGTGGTTTTAAAAAAAACCGAATAATACGGGTGCAAGTGTCCAGCAGCAAAGAAAGCCGCGAATAGAATGGTTGTACTCTATTTTCGCACTTATTTTATTACTTCGACTCCAAAAATCCCCTGCAGGTAGTACATAATATGCCCTACTCCTGCCAATGCTCGTACATGTACATTGGTGCAAATATAAAATATCCAATTGGACCTTAACCCCGTCTGTATCCTACAGAGTGGTATTCCTGTTTGATAAAGGATATCAACTGCAAGAGCAAGGCGAAAGCAGTGTTGTGGCCAAGGTGGTTGGACTGCAGCGTAACCTGAAAAAAGACTTCCATGACAATACGTCAACGTTCGAAGCGCTGGCATTAACATGGGATTCCAGTGACACTGTTGTTCCGCCACTGGTAAAATTGTTCATAAATTAAGGCACCGGAACGTTTTGTACATGGGAATTTTTATTACTACATGACGCGAACGTCATACTACGAATCTATCAATTTTTATTAACCATGTACGATCTGCACTCCCAAAACCATGCAATCTGCACTCCCAAAAAATTAACCTCAGTTACAAATTAACAGCATAATTTTAATATGTAAATCTGGAACATCTTGTGGCAACTGACCAGTATTTTCAGCCGCACCGATTATACAGGAAAACGACGCCGTGTTTATAACCACGAAGCTGACGGCCACGCCCAAGCAAGTACAGACCGTGTGTCCAGAGGTGGGAGCACGAACAATAAATGTCGGAATCTAAAGGAAATTAACATCAAGAAAGCTGACAGTGCCGAATCTGGCGATATCTGCAGGATAAGGACGTGGGCGCAAACTGCCAGACGAATGCCGATTGCCGGATTGGACGTTCCATTCATCTGGGTCACGGCCATTTAGCCGGTACATGCAATGGATCTACCGGCACCTGCGATGTCCATGCATGGTGCCCTTTAGAAAATGAAAATCGACGGTAAGCTGTTCGCTGATACATGAATCAATTAAAGGTTATTACTTGGATATCAATGCAGTATAGTTTTGACAGATAGTTAACATCGTTAATAAATAAAACATCTTATTGCAGATCAGTTGAATTAACCGGAGGAAGGGATTTGGTAGTTCTGGTGAAGAATTACATCTTATTCCCTAAATACCGAATACGAAGGTAAGTGTCGCGAGAGCGTTCACAAGTCATGTAAACCTTGTTGCCATCGACCGTGTAAGGATGATTAAAATGGCGGTTTTGTAGGAGAAACATTGGGGAATTAGACGATGACTACGTAAAGAGCTGTGCATTCAACGTCAAAACTGATCCATATTGTCCTGCATTCAATCTCGGATATATAATAGAACAGGCGGGGGAGGATTATAATGAAATGGCAGATATTGTACGCTTCCGTACCAAACGTACCGTAATGCTGTTTAATGCAATGCAATGCGGCCTACCTTAGGCCAATTCGTCGATTGCTGCGCTTAAATAACTGATGATTTCTAAAGACGTTGAAAGAAATATATGTATACTAGCATTTAAAAAATTGTAGTGATAAAACTGTACTTACTACTGGGTGAGCGTTTTATAATTACAAAACTTCATGATTACGTAGCCTGCCCAAAAGTGAAGCAGGAACGATGGATATTATTAGGGTATAATAGGGTTTATAAAAAAGTTGCCAAGAATATGACTGGTAAAATTATGATGACATGATGAAATATGACCGCAAAGGACGATTCCAGTAAACAATGATATACAAAGCTGGTTCATAAATACACTAATAGGAATATCATATATAAAATAATTACGGAAATACAACTACATGCACGTGCACAGTAAACGTGTTTTTTTCGTGATAGGGTGCCGTACTGAGCTTTGCCATACGATGGGATTGCAATTTGGACTATCATATCCGCCACTGCGTGCCAAAGTACTCCTTTCGTCGACTGGATGAAAAGAAAGGCGGCAGTTTTCCTGGTTGGAACTACCGGTTAGTTAATCGGATGTAAACTTCCTGAAAGCACTATTTGCAGTGCACATTGTTGTTCTCTTTTGGGCCGTAGACGGACGGGATATTGGGAGGAAAACGGCAGACAAATTCGTTATCTCCTGAAACATACCGGCATCCGCATAGTCTTCAATGTTTACGCCGTGGCCGGCAAATTTAGTTTTGTTCGTTTTACTATGAATCTGGGCTCCGGACTCGGTTTACTGGGAACGGTAAATAATTAATTACTCTCGTTGACCTTTTAAATTTCAACATATGTCCAATCAGTGCGACACATACAAATGCTGTATAAATGACGTAAAATGCTTAACTTGTATGGTATACAATACTTCTATGCGTGCATAACTGCATATGTACAATAACATACCCGATTATATGATTTGCATGTATTTACTTCCGGACCAGCATCTCGTGGATTAATTACTAACTTTTGTTTTTAGGCAACAATACTTTGTGATTTTTTAATTTATCAATGCGCCAGGAGAAATACAAAGGATTTTCGCACGCAAGCAGCAACACTGATCGCGGAGAACGAATTGCGCGATGCCAAATTGAACGGAGAAGTTTACTAATAATTGGAATTTTGTGATATAGTATAAACTGGCTTTGTTTATTAGCTTTATTGTAATTTAATATCCGATTTTCATCTATTTTAAAAGGGTCGATTTTAAATCAAACCAAAATGGATCAGAAAATGCGCGGCAAGCTAAAAAGAGCAGTAAATAACCTGCGATAGGATGGATAGCGGCAGTATCACGTAGCGTTAAACATCTCCCACAATGTTTTTGTACTGTCACGAACTCATAAAAAGCTGTGTTACAAATTACAGTTTTTAAGGATGATGGGTTACTATTTAGTTAGTAGTTCTATTGATCAAATAAGAGGATACGCACCCAAATGAATTTACAACCTGAATTGCGAACCTTACTTTTTAACGTTATTAGAATTAGCGTTAAAAAATAAAGTTCGTAAATATTTAAAGTTTTTTATTAAAAAAAACAGTGTAAAACTAGTAACTTTCTTGCCGGTTCTGTAATTAAAAATAGCTATAGGTATTTGTAAAATGCATGCAGCATGAGAAAACAAAGTAGTAAGACAAGTCTACGCTTATTTATGCCTATAGGCAAACATTTCATGTGAGTGTTCTTTCACGAATGTTAAAAAATTCGTAAATTTGGCATATGTAATTACAAAAAAAGACTGTTCTGTACAGTGTTGCAAGCCCAGGTAAAATTCTATGATTCCGAGTGCTTGCCATTCCATTCTGTGAGTTCAAGTCGACCGCTCAGACACTTAGATTAAGTGTTATCAAGACTCAAGAGCGACATGTGAATAATTGATATTTACAAGCATCGTGCATGTTCAAGCACAGAACTCAAAACTAGTGATTAGCAATAGACGAGTTTTTAGCATCTGGCTTTTATTATCAGCGGTTCCCAGTATCGTAAAATGGTATGGATACTAGTAGTCTCTTACGTCTAACTTGCAAAATTAACACCAACTTGTAGTACAGGCTCCGTGATGTCCCATACAGATACCTCGTACATCTATAAAATTTAGAAATCCCACAGAATTATGATTCTCGATAATGTGCACAAAATATTCAATAATGTAGATTCATCTCAACTCTGCATTGACGAACTGGACATCCCGCTTTGTCATGCGCCACCACCGGAACCACAGAAAATAGCAAGCATTAACTGGGAAAGCCGACTGTTTACGGAAGTTTAGTACTCTGTTATTCCGCAGGCGTCCACAATTGGCTGTCTGCACTGCGTAAAAACTGCACTTTTTATTCAGATAAAGTTAACTCATTACAATAGAAAATGTAATTACAGAGCAAATTGCAGAGCATTAAACTTATTCGGCCATTTCAATGTACACAATTACCCGGCTACCCACCGAGAGGAGCTGGGGCTACGTATGCATTTGTACGGACTTACTACTTTGTACATATACAGAACTTAAACGTATTATACAGAAGGGAAAAATCAAACTACAACACCGACTTATCCATCCAGTTTTACGAGTATACAACTACAACGATATACAGTGTAGTACAAAAATAACTGCTGCAGTTGCAAGACTACTAACTGTGCTTAAAATAATAAACCAGTGCTTAAAAGAAAATTTTTTTTTAAATTTCGCCACGATTATTTTCATTGCAGGTGAAAGATTTATTGACTCCAACCAACTTTCAACCCTATTATTTTAACATAATTATGTAGCACTAGGAAAAGTAAACTCGTACAACAGTAATAATTGGTACATTGCATGAAGTTATATAAATTCTGCATTAGCAGATTTTTCTAGAAAACAGAAGCCCATCTGAATAAAAGACGATATGAGGAGAGTTGGAAGGAAACGAGCTAATTGAAGGATTAACATTTGCCATCCGCCGCGGCGGAAGTGGAGAAACCTCCACACTGCAGCGCCTGCCCGGGCACGCGCACTGATTGACAGACAGATTGGCAGACAAAACGCCGTGGATGGAGCTGTTACACTAGCTCGTCCCACGCGATAGTTTCTGAGTTTTTCCTCGATGGCTCTTTATGAGCGGGCTTAAAAAAACTGACGATATTGCGTGCTGTTGCATAAGCCAATGAGGGCATACTTTTGGATCCGAAAACTTGCTAAGCGGTTAATTAAGCGGGCAGCATCGTGCTCAGGATTTATCATCTCGGTTGTTAATACTGCAATTGATTTTTTCATGCAGATGCCACAACAATTTCCTAAAGGCTGAATGCTCAGGGGTCAGATACGCTTCTTTGAGTACAAGCGATGATCTGCCGTTGTATGCCAATGCAGCAGGTTAGAGTATGCATATAAATTGGCCCGAGTGGAATATTATCACCATTGTTATCGGTGCATCATCCGTAATTGGTCGATTATAAATGGCGTCTCGTCCCGGGTCAGTGTTTTGGAGGAATTGTCTCGATACCTTTACCAAGTAAGCCTTGCGAGTTGCAGTTATCGTTTACATATGATTTAATTACATATCGAATATTATATACAGAGCATATGCATTATGAAGGACTGAAATATTATCGCACATGCCAAATTCATTACCATACAGTAGACCGCCAGTAATTCTGGGTAACTTATAGATATGAGACCGGAAGAACAGCTCGCTTTAACGAACCTTTTATAGCCATCTGCAACAGGATCATCCAATGCATCATCTTGGTATATGTATTCGGGTAAGTGCTCTCAGAAACTATTATAATATCATGTTAAATTACTTACGCGTTTTTAAACCCGCGGTGCACTGAAACTAACTTAGTACTTACAGTACAAGACCGAACAATGGAAAAAATAGGAAAGGTCTCTTTTGTAAATAGCAGTTTGTTCGTTTTACAAGGTATATAGACCGTCAGTGCATTATATTAGCAGCTTGACAATAGCAGTGTAATTTGCAATGACATTATTATGAACCATGCTAAGTACACACCGACATTCTCAATAATAAAACTATATGTGTTATGTAATTATGTTATCCCTCTCTAAACTGGGTAATGCTTTTGTTAAGGTTACGACCATTTTGTGTAACAAAACCATTTCATATTTGTGCAAAATAATAATCGGATAGCTGCAAATAGTACGGTACTTATGTAGATATATTGCTTACAGCACTTAGATATATTGCATTGCTGCACTCAGATGTATTACATTTCGTGGAATTATATACTGTAGCAGTAATAATAGCACTGTACATTATATAGTTCAGCTAGGCGTCATAATACTTTGTATATTTTTTACTTAGCGGTGGCGAATATCTTTCATATTGATTACAGCAAAGATATGATCATACTTATGGCTGCAGCTAGCACATGATGTCATCTGGTATGTAATTAAAAGATTGACCATTGAATGTTGTCCTTTTTTCGACCGTATCTAAAGGTATGTGCTGCTGGCCGACAAAGGATACCAGGAGATTGACAATGGCGAGAGTAGCGTGGTTACCAAGGTCAAAGGAAACCAGAAGAACATCCGCCGCGGTCACACTGGCCAGAACATGTTTTCTCCCACAGAGGGCATAACGTGGGATGCCGCCGATTACGTTTATCCGCCATTAGTAAGCTGCAGCGCTGTGATTCGTATCGATCTAAACTGCATTTTTCAGTAGCTATACGTGCAAACGTACGCATCCTATATTTACTGGATTTATTTTTATTTTATAGGAAAATAATGCGCTCTTTATTATGACTAGATTTACCATCACAGAAAAACAGAATCAAGGCAAGTGCGCCGAGGTAAGTTAAGCATATGCTCTGTACTGCATCCCAGCTCTATAAATCATGCATGTATCGCCTTGAAGCGCACAGTAATCATTTCACTGACGGCTTCGCAAAAATTTATCTCAGATTATCTCTCAAAAAGCTCAGAAATTTATCTCTCAAAAATTTATCTCAGGCCGCAGTTTCATAATTACTAAAAATGTTTATAAAAAATAAGTTTGTTGCAGCGTAATGATCCATCAACACAAAAGGAGGCCCGCTGTGTCGATCATACCGATTGTCTGCTGGGCAAACCAGTGCATCTCGGGCATGGATTTCATACCGGGAAATGTGTATATTCCACCGGAACCTGCGAAGTTTTTGCGTGGTGCCCAATAGAAAAAGATACAAATGAAGCGTAGGTGACTTTGCTTTAGTTAATAGTGCGTTGTATTCCCGTTGCAATGTACTCGTACATACTGTGCGTTTGCGGTTTTGTTACAGTAATACTCGCTAGAATCAATTATCGTGCGACGTGCAGTATGTTTATTACTTATGATCTTTTCTTGATACAGATTTGTCTGGTTGGATGGCGGACAAAATTTGACCATTCTTGTAAAAAATTTTGTTCTGTTTCCAAAATGGGGAATTCGCCGGTAAGCTATGAAGCAATCATAAATACATAGGCCAGAAAAGTACGCAGCTAGACGATGAAATTAAGAAAATGCTCTCTGAATTCATTATCGTAAACCACACGAAAGCTTTCCTATTTAGGAAGGTTTTCCTATATTTAGTACGAGTTATTGTTTTTTATCGTAAATCACACGAAGCCCGTCCTCTATTCTATTTTATTGTAATATCCAGGAGGAATATTGGTGACCTCAGTGCCACTCACCTCAAGGACTGCAAATATAAACCAAAGAAGGATCCGCTTTGTCCCATATTTGTTCTAGGCGATATCGTTGAATTAGCCAAAGAAAACTTTACCGAAATGGCTCTTCATGTACGTGGAGAAATTTTTGACGATCTAAACAATAGGCTAATATGCACTTGCAGTACCCGTTTTTGTCTACATATGCCCTTTAATGTCAAAGCAATTATTAAGATCGGTTCATTTGCATATAGTTATTCGAAAAAACCGTTTAATTATGATTTTAACTTGAACTTTCGGCTCATGAAAAGACATGATATACGTCTGCAATTGCACCTTGCTAACACTTTGATCTTCTATAGATATTGCTGTATAGTGTCTATTAAATATCTGGCTGGTGCCTTAACAGCGCTTAATTTTACATGTTAAGATATATGGTGCACATCAAAAGTTTTCGCCTTAAGCTTGCGATATTGTACAGGGTGCTATACTGAACTTTGCGATTACCTGGGACTGCAACCTGGACCGGCACATCCAGAACTGCGTGCCTCAATATTCATTTCGCCGACTGGACAACGGCCGGGAAGCGGTTGCTCCTGGGTGGGATTTCTGGTAAGGAAATAAATTTTCGAAAGGGCACTTGATATCAGTGCAGGTTGTAGTGCAATGTGATAAATTACGAGTATTATTGTACTTTAGCTTATGTATTGTGCACACATCCTTGCATCAATGATCAGGGTATTTCAGTTGTTAATCTGTGCCGGGTCGAAGTTTCAATTTTTGATTCGCAGGTACTCGGGATATTGGCTGGACAAGGATAACGAGCCATCTCGCTTCCTCATCAAAGCCACTGGCATCCGGATCGTTTTTACTGTCTACGCTAAAGCCAGGAAATTTAGCATAGTGAAGACAACCATGAATCTGGGAGCAGGACTGGGTCTTCTTTTCATGGTATTAATTAAACATAATACGAGTAATGCATTGTTTGGAGTCATCCAATTTTTTAGCCGAGGCAGATTGCAGGTGCGGTTTATGTTAAAGGGTGTATGTTTTGTAGGGATATTGCTTCAAGTTCTCCCAGATATTGAGTTAGATACTTAATGAATACCTAGCTAGAAGTTTCTACATTTTTCCCGCGCCAGCTTTCAAAACGATGCCAAAAAATGAACTTCTTATTGAAATGTGTTTCTTCTTTAATTATTAACCAGATTATTAGAAAAAGCTCTGAAATAATTAGGGTTAGACTGCAAGTAATAGATTATGTGACCTGGAGTGCAACTGGTGTAAGTCGTTCGTAGAATCATAATCTGTGAACTTAACGTTTTCACAGGCGTCAATGATTTGTGACTATATGCTGTTTTATTGTGGGAGACCACGGGAGCGAGAGATTCGGGGTGCTTATGCGTCCGTGGATGCCGAAGAAATCAAGAACGAAAACGCCAGTAACAATCACAAAAATGGAAATTATCATTACCGCTATGACAACGGTGACCACCACAACGGAAACCCCGTATTCCTATAATATAATCAACCCTGAAAATATTTAAAAATATTTATGACTCTCCCGAGCTGCCGTCTTCTCACACAAAAATAGAAGTTGTTTGTTAAACAGAAAGAGCGCACATAAAATAGTGAAAATGGTAACCTCATGTCAGTTTGTTATGACTCTTATATTTCTACTTGTTTATGATATGCTGCTTCCTGTCTAGACCAGTTCTTAAAAATATTTCACAAAAAAGACAGTGTAAAAATTAATAAATACAGTATTAGCAGGCAACATGAACGCCTTCGTAAACGTTCTACCACCGTCAAAAAACATCTTAAACTAGTTTTGGCAAATTTGGCATAAGGTATTGAGCGTGTATGCAATATTCTACATGAGCAAAGCAATCTGTTGTATTCAGTTTTTAAGGTATTACGCGGCACAAGTGTAAAAATTTGCACTATACCTCTTTACAGAACTAATGCAGGACGTTGCACAAAATAGCATAACCGAGCGGTTCATCTGCACCTACTATGAATATATTTTTTTTATATAAACCGTATTTTACTTGCATATTAAAAAATTAATTGCGCAGTTTATAAATATGGTCAGTTAGACAGTTTCTAACATTTTATATACACGCGAACCTGATGATCACGCATTTAAATTACACTTCCGTTCGTTTTACCCTGTTGATACGATTACAAGTACATATGCCATATATGCATCCATGATAGTTTTCAATAAAATGCCTAATGCAAAGCCCCATATGTGAGGAAAAACAGCACCGGTTTAAGTAGTAATCGATAATGGACCAAATGGGCAATCGGCACTTTATATGGCAGCCATCGCGGGGAGGGGTGGGAATAACGCTGCAATCATTGCACATGGCTGCCGGCACTGTGTTCGCTTTAATGCGTTATATACCGGGGCGACGACAGACTTCAACGCCAACACATGTGCCGACTTCCGGTCTGACTGTCCAGTCGCGCGAACCACCATCTCGCCGATCATCACCCAGGAACAAAATTAACTTTACGTGTCGCCTGTCGCTGCTCGGACAGAGTCATGTCCCGTGTGTGAATTAGGCAATGGCGGCCACTTATGCTGATCATAATCACTGGAGCGTTTTCCTGCGCGGATTGCTCAACAAATTCACCAAGTACGATTTGTATCTGGGGCTTTTGTTATATCCGTTCATTCTATTAACCATTTTATGCTAGTGCGCACTAAGCACTGCGGTTTACAAAATTTGTACCGATTTGTTATAACCAGACCATTTTATATTGATTTAAATCGTTTTTGTTTTTGATGCCGCTTTGTTTTATTGTTCCGCTTTTATAATTTTGTAATTGTCAGCAATAATGTTTTCTAAAGCATAGTTAGCCCTATTTCATTTTTAAACAATGCGCACGGACTTCCATTCACAAACAAATTTTCTGTGTTTGGAGATATGAGACATCACGCGGAGTGGAATTCAAATCACCTGCCATTGGATTATGCAATCGTTTGGTGCAGTTGATTGTTCTGTCATATATTGTGGGGTAAGTTTAAAATACTTGCCACGAAATCATTTCCTCTGCGACTTGCTCTTCCAAAATCCTTATTCGGATTATGATTTACAAGTTTTACGGTGCTAGCTTCGGCATATTAAAATTCAGCTGACAGCCAATTCCATCATGACTTCCCGATTTTTATACCTGTATACACGGTATCAGAATATAGGCTATGCCGTCTTTTTAATTAATTATGCAGCTTCAGTACGTACACAGCGCTCTGTAGGGTGCCCAGACCCGCACCGCCATAGTTTATCGAGATGTAGTAGGTATATATACTCGTAGAGATAAATACCGAAACAAAATCGCCGACATTTGGTCACAATAAACGTCGAACGAGTTTGCATACAACGCTTTTTTCCGAAAAGCTTTCCTGTATGACCAAAGTTGTGTAAAAATTGTAATTTTGAAGGATTGTCTTTGTGGCCGACAAAGGTTACCAAGAATTCGATACGGGTGAAAGCAGCGTGGTGGCTAAGGTCAAGGGAAATCAAGCGCATATCAACAAAGACGCTGCCGCTGCTGACATGTTTAATGTCGAAGGTGGTGTGACATGGGACGCAACCGGTATATGGCAACAACTCTAGCTTACCCTACTTGTTACCGTTGATATCAATAATTTTAGAGTTTTTTTACATTAGATGTTGTCATCCCACCATTGGTAAGCCGGCATGGTATAGTTGGTATAATTCGGTCTTTAATGACGTATAAGAGTCTGCGTTTAAATATTCTTTGCAGTTTACGTTTGCGTTGTTACTATGCATTTTACAGGAAAACAACGCGTTGTTCATCATGACTAAAGTGTCCATGACGCCCAAACAGGTTCAAGGCAAGTGTCCAGAGGTATTTCGCTCCAAATTAGTTATACAAACATAATCTGCAAAATTGTCAATCAGCTTTCGTTTTCACAAATATTCGAAAAAGGCTGCAGTGTCATGCTGACGTACATTGACTTCCGTATATTCATTTCATTCCTTTAACTGTCAAAACGTTGCACATTGCAAGACCTGCCTTTCTTTCATGTTGCCCAGGATTTTTGTTACCGGAAATAAATTATACAAATAAATATAAAATAAGTGATTTTAAACTCATGAGTTTGAAAGCAGGATTCTTATCATCTGATCATTCCCTGTGCGCTCGATAGGAATTTCAAATTAACGTCAACGAAACAAAGTGCTACAAAGACGATGACTGCAAAATCGGGACCACAGTCCACTTCGGTCACGGCTTCCACTCAGGCAGCTGCGTGGCCTCCACCGGCACTTGTGAAGTGCACGCGTGGTGCCCGTTAGAGGACGATAAACGACGGTAGTGGTTGCCTGGATGAACCCCGCTAGCATGACACTTAATTACATCAGTCAGCACAAAATGTTATGTGCCGATTGCAGATCAATAGTCCTCTCGGGTGGGGAGAACTTAACGATACTCGTGAAGAATTTCGTAATGTTCCCGCGGATGCGAATTCGCAGGTAGGCAGCACATTAGACACACAATTGATGACGTCGTTAACCGCGCGGCAGAATTAATGTGATCAGTGACCGTATGTCTGTGTTGGCGTGGTTGTCAGGCGGAATTTGGGCGAACTGCCGGAGCGTTACGTTAAGCATTGCACGTACGATCCGGTTTCCGATCCATTGTGTCCCATCTTCGTATTGAAGGACATTGCACGTCTGGCTGGCGGGGATTTTCTCAGCATGGCAACGCATGTGAGCGCCCTTTCGCCAACGAGGATGCGCATCGTGTGACGATGCAACAGCTAGCTAATGTGATTTGTCACGAATATACGATGTGTACATTAATAATCCCACACAAATCGGTTTGGTCTGTTTAGTGTACTGACTCATCACGGAATCTTTGACATTATCTAGCAAATATTAGCATATTAATTGCTTTAGAATCACAGTTGTTCGATCACCTGGAACAATGTCTTTTGCGGGGTTTCCAGAATCCGATCCGGATGACCCTGCTAGCGCAAAATGTTATAATAACTTTTATCATATTTTTAGGGAGCTGTTGTGAGTTTTGCAATTCACTGGGATTGCAATTTGGATTTTCACATTCGCCACTGCATGCCAACATACTCGTTTCGTCGGTATGTAGAGTGCAATACACTTTGTAATAATACTCCGCGTAAACACTGTCTGCTTTTCTCCCGAACATTGTCTGCTGTGCGGTGCATTTTAGCATTTCCAAAAACTTACGACATAAATCTTAGCACTAAGGCAAGCAGTGGTAGCTGAATAAAATCTTTCTGTGTTAGGCTAGATGATCCCAAAGAAACCAACTCTCCTGGATGGTCTTTCCGGTGAGTCAACTGTCAGATCTGATTAATAATTGCTTAATGCAATTTTTCTACTATACAGCGAGTCAGAAACTTTGATTGTTCCGAAAATTTTGCCCTTTTAGAGGGCGCTAAATTCAGCAGTATTAGCCATAACATAAGAAATAACAATGAAATTTGCAGAATATCGGGATACTGGCTGGACAACGATGAACAAGCACGTTATTTGTTAAAGGCCACCGGGATTCGGATCGTTTTTAACGTATACGCTGTCGCCGGGCGTTTCAGTATTGTAAAGTTCACCATGAATCTGGGATCGGGACTGGGTCTTCTCGGCATGGTAACAAGCGTGTAACACATGTACACACATCGCACAACTCTCCACACATTAACATCGCAGCGTCATAACGTTGACCATTATTTATGCCATTTATCTATTAAACAGTAGTCACAGAAATTTGTCCACAGTATAATTGAATTTGCAGGCCACTCTATTATGTGATTACATCCTCTTCAACTGTGCTAGACCGGAAGTCAGGAGGGAACGAGAGCGTCTGGCGGTTGTCGACGTCGGGACAACTCCCATTCTGCGCCGTGACAGCCGACTGCCACGCTGACGTCGTTATTGTTTGACTGGGGAAATACGGACGAGCGGTGTTTGTATTAATAGAATGGATTATAAAGCGAGTGTACATTTTTCTTGTTTGTACCGAGCAAACTATTCTAAGATGCAATTTCCTAGGGTAGTGGTTAATTCCCGATAAACCGCTTATAAAAATCACGAACAATAAATTAAATTTTAAGGCAGTATTATTTTTCAGAGCAAACGCCCAGAAATTATTCCATAAATATATATAAAATGTTTTCAGCTGATTTATTTTTTTGTTCTACAGGGCCGCTTTGAGCAAACTGGAAACCTTTTTTGTTCCTTTTGTACATAAATATGCAGTAAATTTTTGATTAAGGCTCTATTTAAAAATAGATGCTACTTATCTTGTACGTTCTGTAATTTGCAAAACCAATTTGACATCAGAAGCGACACGGATCAGTTAAAACAATTAAAAAACCATATTAATAACAAACAAATCGGCAAAAATCTTTCGCAAGCCACTGGCATGATGACATCCATTACATTAAGCTGTTTGGTCCACCGGCTTTGTCTTATCCTGAATGTACTTTTCGGCCTTCTTCAGCAGTGCATCCGCTTCCACATAGCCGCTGACCTTTACCGCATCGCTCAATGGCAACCACCACGCCGCGTTATGTGCATCGCCGGTGACCTTAATATTCTTGGCATTGCCTTTACTCTTATCGTTATCCTTGGCTTTCTCTCCCGTTATGAACTCCGCCAAGCCGTACCAGATTTTCTTGATCTCCTTCCGCACTGAGTACTGCATCTTGAAGGAGAAGTCGTCGAACACCTTCAAATCGCGGCTCTCCAGCCCGGTTTCCTTCAGTGTCTCTTGAAGAGCTGCTTCTCGATCGTTTTCCGTTTCGATGTAGCCTGTTCAAACATAAAATGCCGTACTTCTATGGAATACAGAGCTGCTAACGGCGACCCATATTCCGGATAAAGGGAATCTTTTGTAACATCTGCGTGTTTGCTTTCCACCAAAATTTAAAGTGTTAACTACATAATTTTTCCAGTAAAAAAGCTGACTACTATAGAGTTGACAAAAAATTCACAAGTACGTCTGGGACTCTGCATATAAGAAGTGCATCTGATCGTGCTGGTGATGCGAGTTTCAAGCATAGATACTGTATACCCGTACAATCGTACTCGTAAATTAAGAACACAAAAATTAAAATGCGATTGTTTTGAGCACAGTGGTCGCAATTACTGACATCCAGTTTACAGTAGGTCTTACTTTACATGACAAGGCGTACAAGGACTGAAACATATACCTCGTAGTTTTACTTTTGCATTCAGTCGAGACACGTTTCAATATTGAAATTTGTCTACTAAAGTTATATTTACCGTACTTTGAAATATCTTTTAGGTAGCCTGTACAATGGCAGAATACAAGGTGGTGGTAACTGGCAATATTTTGTGGTGCAAGATCACACTACACAGTTATCGAGGTTTGGTGTATCATCTTTTGCAAGCATTCTACGGGCTATAATTTACGTATTCCTGTAATATAAAAACCTTTGGGTGGCGTCCAGTGTTTTTCTCCGAAATTCTCTTGCAGCAAGAGATATGATAATCCGCCATTTTCCGATCGGCGAAACACAACAAGCCCAGCTGCTCGGGTGCCGGTTGGACCTCGCGGGGTGTCTGATAAGAGAAGAAGGAAGTAGGACTATTGCAGTACTGTCATATAATAAGCCTCTAAATCCAAGATTTTTATTGAAATAATAAATCTAAGATGCATTAAAATATGTTTTATCATGTCATTGATGGTCGTGCGAGTACAGCGTACAGATAGTAGCTGCTCGTAATGTTTGCACCACTGACCATGAGAAACAAACACTTACTGTCCAGCTTATCCGAACCCAAATTCATTTTCTGGGAAAGGCTCATTTTTGGCAAAAGTATATAGAGCGTGCGATATAATCCAAAACCTATACAGGATGTAGGTTACGGAACTAAAAATGCATAAAATTTTTGTCAAGCTCTCATCTGCGGTTAAATTTCTGGATCAGAAAACTAATCCTAAAGGTAAGAACTGGCGAAAATGTACATCAATAATTTTTCGGGCAAGCAGTATATTCATAAGATTATAAATCCGAAATTGCGAAAGTGCGCAATGCAAGCATAGTATGTAAAAGGATCTTTGAATTTTGTTGCAAGAAGATTCGTAAGAAACACGGTAATACCGTCTTCGCTTACGTTGTCTGCATGTTCGCCTTACGCACCCACCCGAAAAAATATATGCAGCTTAAAATATCCATGCGCTTACGTCAACTAAAAAACGGTTGCAGTTAACGAGCGCTCCCAGTAATTGCAAGTTGGAACGCCTTCTGCAACATTTTGAACAACTGTGTGTTGTCAGACTCCGCAGAGTTCGCGCTTGCCGGTATGTAATTATTACTGTGTCATTGCTGTGTGCAGAAGATTCGTATGACCAGCATATCTGAAACAAAAATCCTTAACGAAGTGAGTAAATACGTTTCCATCCACAACAGACACAGATGCGAATGCTGGGCAATTCTCAAGCCTGGCAATACAAATAATTTTGTACCCGCAATATACCATGGAGTCTGCGATGCGATCGTACAGTACCAAGCTACGAAAACAGAATTGTTTTTAAAATGTATTATCCCGAACGCGCACATTTCCCTAAAGCGATTATTATTATTAATTAGCAGCTTTTGTTTCGTACGGTAGCTTCGTATATTTATCTCTTCATTATATACGAAGCAAAAGCTAAATTTGCAAAAGCTACCTAAAATCATTCTGTAGCTAAATTTTCTTCTACTTGTATACAATGAAGATCATACAATGAAAATATCACTGTCAACGAAACGAAGCCACTTTCTGCAGTTTATTGGTAGTTCTTGATACAAAAGCTGAACTCACCAAATCGCACAACCTTTCACATCGTGGATGTAGCAAATGCGCAATTACAACAGTCATGTTAAACCGTTTAATAATAAACTGCAACAATTCTCGTGGATACTCGATACAAAAAAATAACTCTCTCACACTAGCGCTGATCAATGTCGACGGTCATAATCCCTGGAACTGCGATAATCCACTGAGCGACTGCGGGACCGACGTCGACCGTCTTTGACGACATCCGGCGATCGTCGACGTCCCGGCTGGCGGTCATCGCCACGGACCTTCCGCCGATGAGGCGAACTGTGCCGTGGTGATTTACGATCACGGGAAATAGTTTGTCGAGGTGACCGCGACCGGCGGCGCTTTTTCTCCTTGCGTTCATTCGACCGGCTCCGTTGTCGTCTGTGTTCATGGTCGCGCGAGCGACGCTCATCTCGACTATTTCTACGGTCATCTTTGCGGTTGTATTCTGTAATTAGCACACCAGAAGACACTACGTACTGCACACTGTGACAAACCATATATCTGCTGATTAGTTGATTTATAAAAACTAAAAATTTTGTCGAGCTATTCATACCTCTAGGACGCACTTCCGGAGATATGTGGGTACTATCGGGTGTTTTATCATCCTCCTGCCCCACAACACCGGCTAGAGGCCCCTTAGCACGGGTGTCGGCCACAGCTGCACGTAAAGCATCAACTTTCTCCAATATATCCGCAATCGGTGGCTAGAAAAACCAGCAAATTTGTTGTACTCTTTCGCATCGGATCTTCAATAATCGTATGATGTAATACAAAAGCTTTATTATTTTGATCATGACAAGCACTTACCAATTTGATGGAATACAGCAGCAGAATATTGGTAGCGATATCCACCAAGGCATCCGCGGTAACTGCTAGTAGCTGAAACCAACTCGTCTTCCTAGGCAGCGGTATCTATATAAAAAATTAGGATGAAAAACTATACAAAAACTGAAGTCTGGCTACGCAAATTTCCGTTAATCATCGAGAAAGACAAAACACGGCCAACACTTGCAAAATTCAAGAAAGTTCAGGCTATTGTTTCAACGGAAAAGAGCAAATTTTGTAGTGTTATTTTGCCACAGTTTATGCAATCGTATGTTTGGGCGCATCATGACAGATATAAAACGTTTGAAAACCCCACATCCATATGACCATCGGCAAGACATTTCTTTTCTCGTCCCCAGGAAAGGTAACCCCTGGAACAGGAAGTTCCGGCCATCCACTTCAATTAATGGTCTTCGAACACTGTGCAACCTGGCAATATACAGGGCTAAATACAAGCAACAGAATCACATATACACTATTCCCTCAGATTTCCATCGACAGAATATAACCAACTGCAACCGAACATATTCTCGTTTCAGCGCATCCTGATCCCTTCCGCTTTATCTGATTATTATTCATAACTACCAAAGCCTCGAATGAGCAGGCAAAACGCATTCGCTATGTTAGCTTGCCACAAAAACTCTTTTCGAGACCTAAAGCAGGCTGGGGTCGCCATTAATCACAAGCAAAACTATCGTACAAAACAGCAACTTCGTTAAAAGCGACTTTCAACTCACCACGCGGAGTAATGGTTAAAAGCAAACATCGAGTCATGCAAATTTCGACAAAAAATATTGCCCCAACTACATGGCGTTCAATTAGGGCCTATAAGTTTCCTCATTAAAACGAAGAAAACTCTGAAACAGCAACAAAGCTCCACAAACGTTTACCCAGTTCTTTTTTCTAAATGTCTTTCTCGATGATTTCGGATTATTTAGAAAGTAATGGCAATAATATTTACCTGCAATGCTCGGGCAGCTAGAAAAATACAGCCACAAGCTACCGCTTCCGGCGAATAACGTACAAAGAGATCAGTGCGCAGACTATCGTTCATGTAATTCCTGCAATGGAACATCAATGTTAGTTATGTTATTCTTTATCACTTACCGCCATCGCCCCATCCGGTACACAATCAGAGTGTGGTCGAAACGAAGCCGGAACCCAGAGTGTCCAACCCGCACAGAATTATGTACATTTGTGTTTTTGCTCTGTGTGTACATAAAACCAATCAACTGTCAAAGAACCACCAAGACCATACACAAACCTCGATCTAACACGAAAATCGACAGATTGTGTGTGTCGGTCAGGGCGGCAGTTTAGGGTATCATCGGATGGCAAATGATGACCCCGACACTCATTTGGCGTTCCCGATCTGCTTTCGCCACAATCTGGTAGAAAACACGTATTAGCAAGTGCTGTCACACACATTGCATGCCTACTGGATGCTGCCCAACCTCCCGGTTTCTTTAAAGAATTAGGCGCTTCAAAACCCAACTCTTACCAAAACCATGTTAACACAAAGCAAAAATGCGGCTTATAAGGTTGACACTTCACACTGAATTTGCCCCAAATAACTGAGAGTAATATCAAAATTTTTAATCTTTCCACCGTTATCATAAATTTCATGACATACAGATTCCTCAATTAAGGTGGGGTGGTTAAAGAAAAAAACTATTGTATGGATCACCAGGGTATGGTTTCAAATAAATTTCGAAATATATGGATCAATTGATATTATTAATCAAACCGCATTTTGTCGGAAAAATAAAAAATTTACAATTGAAAACTGGAACGTGCATGACTGATCCCAAATGAATAGCACCAAGAAGCGTAATAAGCGACTTTCCACTCCCGAAAATTAAAGGAAACAATTTCTGTAAGTTTTTCACAAGCAAGAAAATCCTGCAAATATTGCACAAAAAAGCCAACTAACTGTTTAAACTTACCAAGCTTTCTGCACGAACACTGCATTCTTGTCCATGTCCAACAGCTGCAGATACATTACTATCAACTGCAAAAATAGGCAAATTTTATGTATTGTGTTTCACTTCAGAAACACAAGTAAAATATCATCATCAACCGAAGAGACAAACTGCAATAAGTAAATTCCGTAATGAAATCTACAAAAACATCAGGAATTGCGCAAGATTCGCGCCAATAAAACAAACACGAAATCAGAAATCCCGAGCGCTCAAGTACGTTAGTCTTGTCCAATTTAATCATAGGCTAACTCACGGCAAAGGTGCGCTATAATCTAATCTCAACTCAACCCTAATGATAACTTTTCCCCTTTCATACAATTTTTTGTATAAAAATAAATCACGAACATTTACGAGTCGATTGCGAATTACCACACGAATAAAAATATGAGGCGGCCTACCTTATGCGGGTGTTTGACGTGAACGCAGAAGCCCAATTCCTTCAACAGGCGTCGCTCACATTTAATCACCTGGTTCTTGAGATTCACGTAGCTTTCAATCACTAACACGGGCTCAATGGGCCTGAAACAAAAACAACGTTCAAATAAAGCAGTTCTGCCGCTGTGGTTATTTATCGAAAAGTCAAAAACAGCCAACACTACGAATGTCAGTGATCAATAATCACACTCACTCTCCACATAATGTCTGGCGAATGTGGGTGAATACGTTGATGATATCCCTCAGACGTCTCGGGGATTCTTCCACTTTGGATGACAGATACACACAAGCCATTCCCATCGTCTACAACGCATGATAGTGAACACAACTTCCATCACGTTTGGCAACTATACTGCTACAGCGACTGCTTGGACATAAATAACTACTGGAACGTAATACTGTTGAGAGGCGTTCGTCCACAAAACCAAAACGCATATTATTCTATTACTGAATCTCATATGGATCACCATGACTTACCAGGTAGTCATTTTTAATGAAAGATTTGGCGTAGTAAAAGCGCTGATAGAGGACCTGCGCCGTGGCCGCCGCCGTCTGCGGCAGTTTCAACAGAATGCCCGCATGTTGGATGATATCACAGCCAAGTCGCCGCAGATACCATTCCGTCCGCACATCCAAGCCTTCCGTCATGGATGGTGTGGGAAAGAGTTTATCAGCGGGTAATATACAGTTCTCCAGCGAGATGACCACCTTCCCGAAGGTGCGCTGCAGGACGGAGGAATGGGTCTCCACATGAGGATTAGGTGAAACGGACTGTGAAATGGCGACGATCTGCACATCTTTGCTGTCACGTCGCTCCGTGACAATCTCGGATTTATCGGTTTTTAGCTTCACACGAACTTCAGTTGACTTAATAATCAGTGTGGATTTCTTTCGCGAAGGCTCCATCGCACCAAGGGCAATCCGCTTATCCACTCGCGACGACTTGTACAGGTGATGTTCCACCATAACGAAACTTCATCCACTCAGCTCCAAGGGTTTCTTAAATCTCTTGTATCACCCAGTGACAAATCTATCAACGTGATCAAATGTTCTCCTTTACTCATTAGTCAATACAAATACAAATAAAATATTAAATCAAATTTTGGTCGCGGAGTTAAAAAGTAAATCCTGCAGCAGTCGTTACAGTAACGTAGGCTGCGACTGCAACAAAATGCTGCATCACAGTCTGTGCAGATAAAGCTTGAAGCATTGCCAGCTTTCGTCTTGGTAACACGTGGCGCCCTCTTTAACGAGCGGACCGCCTGGGCAGGCGTCAACGTTAACTGTCGCAAACGCATACAGCCGATACAACGGTCAAGGAGTTGCAAGACGGTGAAGACGCTTCTATATTACTAGTACATGTTGTGCCATATAAGGGGAAAAATGTGTCTAGCCGAACCAATCCCTTGTACTTCTGATGTGAGCCAGCTGGTGGTTTACGTTGTGGCTTGACGGTGTTTTATGTAAAGCGCTGCTATTTAGATTGCAGGTACTGATAACAGGTAAGCGGCACTCGTACAACTGCAGGTAAACAGGCTAAAAGTGTATTATAGCACGGACCTGCCTGGTGCAGTTAATACCACATGTACCGTCAATGCCGCACAGCCTTAATAGCAGCGCTTTACATAAAACGCTGTGCAGCCACAACGTAAACCACCAGCTGGCTTACATCAGAAGTACAAGGGATTGGTTCGGCTAGACACATTTTTCCCCCTATATAAATCTGATAACCATTGGGAATTGGGAGTGACCAAGGTGAGAGCTTATGGTTAGAACAGGTACCTGTGTGCTGCAGTGTGCAAACTTTTACCAATAAAATACTTTTAATTCAGTACCGAGAAAAAGATTACTAAATTTAAAAAAATAGATTACAAAAAGTGGCTCCAGGGGGGATCGAACCCACGACATCCGCGTTATTAGCACGGCGCTCTAACCAACTGAGCTATGGAGCCTCGCCAAAAGTTAGAAATTTTTTTGTACAAGAATTGTTCTTAAACGCTGTGCATTAGCTTCGCTTTGATTTAATACCAGTAGTTAGTAACTTGCAATTGGTAATCTACGTAATTGGTTTCCGCAGAAATTCGTATTCCGCAATCCGCAAGTACTCCGCAGTTTTTCACTCACACCCGTCCATGTGCCCGGCAGGTGTATAACCGTGTATTTAATCATTCAAAATTTCTTAAAACTTCACACTGGCACTGAATTTATTATTATCTAGCGTTCGTTCCTCCTCAGTTTGTTTTCCTTTAATCTGCTTGAACATTTTGTCGGAAAAATTGAGCTGAAATGTTAAAACTTTATGTTCTAACCACTTCCGGTCAGACTCTCCTTTGTGCGTCTTTTGTGCAGTAGAGTACAAGTAGCAGTTCCGAAGGCAGTGTAGGTTGTGTATTGCACGTGCAAATACTGTAGTGACCGTTTGCACAAAAAGAAAAGAAGCCACTGGCCCGCTATATCCATCAAATTTTAAAATCCGACTTTTAAAAACGAACTCACTTCATAATTTCCAGTCTAGCTTCGTTAGCAAGATTTAAAGGTAGAAAATGACATTATTGTACATGCACATCCGCCTCTAGTGCATGTAGGGTATCCAAGCGGGTCATTCGTTTGAATTTCCGCCGCTCCTTTCGACTATTATGAGTACTTCTATACTTGCGACGGTATTTGTAGTATTCTGTACTCCCGGAGTACTACTCCGGGATTATTGCGAAACTAAGGTGACTCACCGGCGGCGGAGTGTGCATCGATCACGGATCTCGAATTTCATAACGCTACCGCACCGTCGATTTCATTCATTCGACTTGCGGTCACTTGCCAGATCAAACTGATCAGTGATCTGGTATTGTGAGTTGACTATCATCAGTCGAAAATTTCCCACAATATTCTACACATTAATATTTTCGCCAACTGTTTTATAAATAATAACAACCATGTTTTCGTTTTAATTTTCGCAGGCGTTGTACGTACTAATTGCTGTTCACTATTTACTAATATAGTTGCTGACAGGCGGATGGCGTGACTGTGATTTATCGTACGAACATCCGCATTTTTGTTTCAGTCGCACGTGTTGGGTGACAGCCGTCCATTAATACCATGGAGAAAGTCCCTAGCGATTTGCTGGACATTACAGTGGCCACATGGACCGTCAACGACGTGTCCAAATGGCTGGAATTGCAGGGTTTCGGTACGGATCTCCGCGATCTCTTCTCCACGCATGAAATCGACGGCTACACACTGCTGCGCATCAGCGAGAATGATCTTCGGCAGCCTCCTGTATCTCTGGTGAAATTGGGCACCATTAAACATCTGATCGGGGCCATCGCGGATCTCAAACGCACCATCATCGCCAAGGTGGACGTCAGTAAGCCGGGGATGCCCGTGGCGGAGGAGGACGCTGAGGGGCGGTTGGGGGGAGGGGGCGGCGCGTTGGGCCCGACTAAGACGGGCACGACGGACACGGTGTTGGCGCACCAGTTGGGAGTGAGTAGCGACGGGGGGCTGGATACGTCGGATAGCGATACGGAGGAGACGGAGAGCCCCACCGCCAGTCAGGCGTCCCGTGGGCCGTCACTCAAGTTTCCTTCTCAGCATCGCCGACTGCCGCCATTGAAGCCCGAGATTGGCAAAGCCGTGCTGGCGTTTGCGTAAGTGGTGATGTTGTGTAAGCGGTGTCGATGGTATTTAATCGATTGCATAATTTCCCATCAGCACAACTTGTACGTTATAATCTTATTGATATTGATCTGTTCATGAATTTTTACCAATTTTAAAAACTGTAAAACTGGTTAATTTGTTGGTTTTACTGTAGTTAACATTACCGACCAGAAACGCTGATGTCCCGTTAATCGGGATGTCTGCTCTTGATGTAAAAAGTAACAATAATAATAATAATATTATAGTACATTACGTATGAATTTTGTTGAATCATTTTGCAAGCTTCCGATTTCTTGTTTAAAACTGCGTTTACGATTTACGCGCCCTGTTCATAGTTACCACCAAAAAATGCTATATTGTGTTATTAGAAATATTGTTGTCTGGAAGCAGCAAATGCGTTTGCAGTCTTCTACGTCCTAGCTGGCTTTTTCAGTAACAAAATTTAATGTTTTTAAAATGGCTAATCATTTTGGGTGAAGATTCAATACGGTCACGTACGGTATGCTTTATTTCTCTCTATTTTCTCTGGCAGGTGAATGAGTTACCGGCACGCCTTAAACATAAATATTTTGTAATGGTTGTCTACAGATATCTGTAGCTAGCACAATAATTGTGAAACTGGTTTTTTGTAGATATTTCCTCATAGTGACAGTTGTCACATCCTTTGTAATGGTTATCGTACATGATCGTGTACCAGATATGGAAAAATATCCGCCGCTTCCTGATTTTGTACTGGATAATGTGCCGCTGATACCGTGGGCGTTTGATCTGTGCGAGGTCGCTGGATTTTTGTTGGCGGTTGTATGGACTTTCGTACTGCTCTTCCATAAATACCGGTAATTTCATGCATTTGAAAGCAATTTCATGCATTTAAGTGCATTTTTAAAATTGCATTTAAATGCAATTTCATGCATTTAAGTTAATAATGGGATGGAGTAATGTTTTTTGTTAAGGTCATTTCTCCAAATTATTTTATTTGAGGTACTGAGACAATTTAATGCAAATTATCTGAATACTAATTCTGAAAATGGCTGAGGAAAAAATTTTTACATGTCAGTTATTACGAGGTTGTTTGTCGAAACTGGAGAAAGATTGCTGATCATGGTTGGCAACTAATTTGTTCGTGGAGTCGTACAGGAACAAGAAGTCAGAGTCTAGCTTACTAGATTTTCGTATTGTTGCAGGTTCATACTGTTGCGCCGATTTTTTGTGTTGATGGGAACCATTTTCCTCCTGCGCAGCGTGTGTATGTTGATTACTTCCATGTCTGTGCCTGGACGCCATCTCAAGTGTGCTGGCAAGGTTTACTTGATTCAGCTAACAAATTTTGTTTTTCATCGACCATGCATAATTTGGTGAAATGATGTTCGCAGAACTTCGGAGATCTGCCAACGAAAGTGCAGCAGGCTCTAGTCATAGCGCGAGGATTTGGAATGTCCATTCAAGGTGTTCGTACCTGCGGCGATTATATGTTCAGTGGGCATACCGTGGTTATTACGGTTTTAAACCATTTCATTACAGAGTGTAAGTGTTAATTAGTAGTTTCTTTGCAAATTGTTGTAGGAGATGTTTCGTAGAAGTTGGAACAATGCCAAATAAGCCGGTTAATTCTGGATAACGCTTTCCGAAATTGTTTTATTGTTATGGTTATAAAACTTCATCGGAAAATTCGTCTTATCGGTGTTATTGACGTAGATACTCCTAAGCGGCACCGCTTAATCCACTTGTCTTCCTGGACATTGAATTTGTTCGGAATGTTCTTCATCCTTGCAGCGCACGAGGTAAAAAGCGTGCCAACAGTGTGATCTTCGCATGTGCACCGGAAAATAACTCTGATTTTTGCTTGAATAGCACTACTCGATCGACGTGTTCATTGCCTTCTACATTTCTTCCCGTTTGTTTCTTTACTATCACACGATGGCCAACACGGACATTCTCCGACGCCATCCTCGTCGCGCTAATCTATACTTCCCGTTATACGCTTTCTTTGAAGCGGAAGTCTACCGTGTTGTACCTAATGAATACGAATGGCCGTTCATGTTGTCGTGGCCATATGTCAAGTTCTTCCGGGAAGAGGAACAGATTGTGGATAATAACGGGAAACCGAAAGGATGCTAATACATCCACAATGTAACCTGCACAGGCACTGATTATTAGCAGTTTTACCGGTTTTCAAAATGAACTACATTTAGCTGGTTGAACCCAAAAATTGTAATAGATTATGTTATTTTCAGCTTAGTATGGAGTTGTCAAGCTGGACGAAGAATTTACTCGTGGTAGAAGTGGGCGCTTCTGCTTCCAACGACAGATTAATTTCCCTCGAGATTTAAAGTATCTCATTGCAAAGTGTTTGCGATTTACTCATTGCAAGTATTGACTATGATGAATGCCCAAAGCGTGCTGAGTTCCTACATGTGCTTCTAGTTATATACGTTCTTTACTGTGATTTCCTGAGGCGATTTGTAAATACCTGTGTTTTCTTTTAGACAATAGTTTTGCTTTTGCGTCGTTTTTCGTTATTTTTGGTTTATTTATTTTGTTTATAATTATATTTATTTGTTTTTGGCCCGATATGCAAATAAAGTTTGGATAATTTACAGAGAAATTCATTTTCATAGAGCATATCAAAATTGACTGAACTCCGACACAGGTTCGCTTTCGATGTATTCGAAATTTAGTTTCTCGCCGAAAGATTCAGTTTTGTACATCGGGTTGCTATGTGTCAGATTTGTCGCAGATCCGGCAGGCGATATGGGATCATCTCTCGGTACCACATCGCCCACACCCATTTCCAAAGTAAATGCGCTGGGTGCGGATGCACGCCGGCGATTTTTGGAATAGATGGTGACGTTTCTGTCGCGGATCCGTTTGGAATGGAGGTTATTCCGAATCACCATATTATGAAACATTTTGGGATATATTGAAAGACTTAAATCGCGATCCACTTGGTGCAATCGTGAGGGCAGGAAGTGATGAGTGACAGCGGTCAGCAAAACCTCCATCCAAAAATTACCAATGTCTGGCAACCCCAAAAGTACAGCGTATTAACAGCCAGCCAGTTTTCATCATATACAACGCCAATATCATTTACAGAAAGTTAAGTTTACCGTTGTTTTGCCGAATTAACTGCAGCCATTCGCTTGTAAGTTCACCGGGTATGCGCTGTCCGGCGTGGAGATACTCCCGGCACCGTGCCGCTAACCGGCGTACGGCTTTCATTAGGTCTTTCTCTTGTGGACCCATAGCCATCAGTCGATGCCGTTGCGTACGGCCACGTTTGATACCACCACCAAGTCCCAGTGACTCTGAAAGAAAACGATCCGACAGCCACTCCAGCTCTTCCTTGAGTTGTTCTGTGCTGCCTGATTGGACGATCAACTTGTGAACTTTTCGCAGTCGAGGGCCCAGTTTTGGACAAAAGTACCCGCCAACTTCTTCCGCCATTCGAATAATTTCCATTTTTGCTATCAAACCTATTATTGCGCAATGATTCTGATCAGCTACATATCTGCATCCACCAAGAAAAGCTTGTAGATATTAGTTTTTGATTTTATCGTGTTTACCTCTGCGTCGCACGCAAGTTTCCCATTCGCGCGTATAAAACGGAAACAGCACAAAAGCGTAATACAGCACATGAAAGATCATTCGTCCGGTGATCCATACAACCACCGGTACAGCAGTGACAACCACCACAAACTGATATGACGCCGTGGCGCACCATATTCCCAGCATTATCACGGTCTCCACGAACTGGAAGACGGTCACTACGCAGAACTGCCGGGTCAGGACCGCCCGCAACCGATGCTTCCACGATAAGAAATCCGTTGGCCACGCCTTATTCGTCGGCGGCAGAATCAACGAGGCAATGGACGCTTGCACATGCTCAAACCAATCGTCGCGGTAGCGGCGCGTCCCCCGAAAATCCCGGGCAGCCTGCCGATGATCCGGATGCTCGTTATCGGGCCGCGGAGCGGATAGCCAAAACCACAAAAATGCCGCTGTTAGATGGACCGAAAAGAAACCGATAGCTGGAACGTACACGAACGCGGTCGCATAGCCCACGGTCAGAAAGCAGCCAATGGCGATAACGCGCGGTATCACGAAAATGAAATCGAAAAAATTCTCCATGACAAAGTCGTAGACGGCCGGCTCGATGACGGTATCCAGATCGACGATCATGCCTTTCTGACCGTGCCGTGCACTGGGTTCGTAGCGCAGCACGAAGATGGCTGAAGAGCAGAGGGACAGCCAGCTACTGATGGGGATATCGTAGACGTTGGTGGCGATGGCCCGTTGCAGCATAATGTAGGACTGGATGATCAGCTGCGGGATGGCGCCGAAGTACACATCGAGATCGGAGGCGCGCGTCCGTTCACGATTACAGCGCAGGAATGTTCGCAGTTTGGTAATGTAGTTTTTGGCGTCGTCTGGAGTACTGATGTTGCGCTTGCAGGGTAAGGCACAGTACGCTTTGACCGTCTTCCATGACCTGAAGCATGACATATAAGGGGTTGATTGGTCATAAATCTTCAATCAGAATTATCTTACGCAACTTGAAGTGTGTGCACTGTGCGATAAATTAAGCCTATAACTGACGAATCTTACCGGAGTTTTGACAGGATAATCATCACCAACTGCTGTCACCAAAAGGCGTTGGTAACATATTTTGACTGCCTAAATCGGTACTTGCTCTTATTTACAAAATAACAAAAGCATTATAATATAATACTTATAATTATGCAATCATCATCCTCGCTTAAACTGATAATGATCATTACTAAAATCCTAGGCAAAACTATGACCGCGGAAGGAAGAATAAAATTTCTGTATTGCACATTTCCTAATGTGTGCTGCAAATAGAAATGCCGGTACTTTATACCAGCGCGCATTGACGTATACAACGTTGTATTGTTCCTTTCATTGTGAATAAGCATCTGCGTCTGCTTATGGTTAGATAAATTGCAATCGCAATGAACTCCGAATACCGAAATTTCGTGCCATTTTTTCAGGTTAAAATATATGGATTGTGGATGAATGAGCACCAGGCACTTAAAAAAACATAATCGATGCAATCACGTAGGTACGTAGGCAATCACAAACAAAACTGAATAGTTTGGTTTGCTAAATTTGTCCTAGTTTAACAAACCGAAACTGACATCTTAACAACAGCCTGCTGGCTTGTCATAATGATTCTCGATCACAAAATTATCATCATCATAAGTAATTTATTATTGGGTGTCATATCGCAACACTGCAGTTGATACCAAGCAGGCTACTCTAGAGTTTTTCAAAATATAATTCTATTAATATCGCTTATTTATTCATTTGTCAATAAAGGCCTGTACTTAAATTATGATAACAAAAGATGAAAAAACCCCAGTACAGAATATTTTTTGGCCCAACGAGTTTACTGTTGCCGGTATTCCGCCATGAGCGCTGGCTGGTTTACGGAGAAAGACGGCAGCTTCTGATCGACGGAAGTCCGGCGCACAGAAAGCACTTGAACAATGTCGAAATCAGCCTGCGTGCTGATTATCATCCAACTCGATTACAGTTTACGACCCAGACAAGCAGCTTACATACCAGTAGACCATTCCCGCCGGATAAACCTCAAAAATGGGCCGGCGCAAGGCAATCACAAAATACACAAAGGAGATCACGTAGGGCAGCGCAATAAACGACACAATGGCACTGGCCCAGAAATCATCACCCACACGATAATACTTGACCGCTTCCACCACATCCAGACCCACATCGACAAAGTAGGCGGCCAAACTGAACACCGCCCAGATGATCACCGTCCAGTGGGGATTACACACATCCGGCCAGCACAGAAACCATGTCTTAAACGTCCGCCGTTGCGCTGTCTGCCCCGTGGTGCCACACTGCAGCACCAGCGGCCGATACACAACCTGTTTGAGCGTGTTGGCTGGGCGGCCTGGTCGCTGTCCATCTTCCGAGTGTGTCTGGCTGTACTCCATAAAACAGGGGCAGTTTTCTATGGGGAAAACATGGGCAAGACAACTTAATTGCTGGAGCGTACTGACTGGCACATGTCGCATTGAGACTGTGACGGCGAAACATGCATTTTGTGTTTTCCGTGTCCGCGCAGTGCGCTGGGCCAGACATACTAGTTTCTTCGCAGAAAGGTTTGGTTAAGGATAATTACACACATCCGTCGATTGCTCCACCATCGGCATGTGGCGAATTTCAGCGCGGCATTTATTTATAGATTGGGAGGATTTCTAAGTGTAACAAAATCGCGCAATGATACAGCAAGTATTTTTTTATGACGAATCTGACTGACAAGGCATTGCAGACGAGAGGGAGAGGGCCCTTTTCTCGCGCGATCCTTCTTGGCTGTTAATTTGCTCAAACATTGAGACTGCGGAGCTGCTGCCCGGTTTGACATCAGCCTGTACCGACTTAAACAATTTACATGCATATGGTGAATCCATGCAAATCCACTTACAAATCCATCCCAAACTCAACAGAACTAAATATTTACACAAAAACAGAAAATTTGCATGATAGATCAATGACCCTTCATTAAGCTACAAAGCCTACAATGCAGTGGTTTGTTATAACCGTCGAACTCCATGCGGCTTGCGGACGGTATTCACAACAAGCATGAGAGCTCTCCCAGTTTTTAAACAACGTAAAAGCATTTTAATTGATTAGGACGGACGCTGGCTGTTTAATGTATTAAAAAATCATTACTCTAATAGCTAAAGTACGGCATGGTAGCATCTGTGCACGAACGTGTTCGCCAGAGCTGTGTTAAACGATGAGAGCACCAAATACCAATACGTACAATAATACAGCCTCCATAATAATTATGGCAACCTTTCGAAAATACCCACTTGCATAATTAATTGATTTGTAATCAACTTTATTGTGCATATTACAGTAACCTTTTCTAGTACTAGTAAGTACCGTACAGTCAGGTCCGTACTTATGTGAAGGCATCATATCATGATCGAATGCAATGTTTACCGTTAAAATGCACGTACATGGCTATGCTCACGAACGAAAAACAGTAGTACAATAAATGCACTCATTTTCTGTCAAACAATTGTTCACTTGGAACATAGTGAACACACAACACAGTGAAACAATTGTTCATAATCAGCCAACGTGAAAAGCGTTTTGTGCTCGTACACTGTTTGCGAATTCTTAATCTAAATGCTGTTGGTTCTGTCGCCTGGATGATCTGTTATAAACTTTTGATTGTTTTCCATTTGACCCAGTCCATTTTTGATTGTTTTCCATGATATTTGCTAAATATTTGTTAACCTTTTTAATGAAATTTAATGGTACGGCTCTCTAAATAACTAAATTCTAAAATATACACTGCCGAACAGTATACGGTTTAACTGTGGGAAACAACAATCCTTCCCCTGCATTAACATTCTTGCAGGTGATGAGTTGTATATTGATCGTTTGCCATAATATACGGTAACCAGATTAAGTAATACGAGTACTGAACCACATAAACAGGATGACCGCGTCGGCGTTACTTCGCTACTCGATCGAGTTGGATATCGCATGTAACACCAACACTAGGTAAACCATGTGTTTAATAACAGAATCTATAACGGCAGAGGTCAGATGCAGTACACCTACAAAAGTTGTAGAAACGTGAGTTCATCTACGAGTAACAAATCTGCAGCAACTAACAAATGTAAATACAAAAAAAGCGATATACAGAAAGTTTTCTTGATCTGTGTGATACGTAACACTTGCTGTGCATTATATATAAAGTTCAGATGAATTTTTAATTGGAATCAAGCAAACAAGTGCCAGCAATAACAATAACAATCTTGCAGACTTGAGAAACTGTACTACAGTAAATGAAAGAATGACTACGGTCCAACACCCATTGAGACAATGACAAGTAGCAACAAAGATCCCACTGACAATCTGACACTCAAGGCTTTACAAATAGTCAGATACAAACATTTTCCACAGTACAGTTAATTAATTTGATGTTTACCTTCGGAAACGACACAACGGCTAAAACCCTTTGAAATGAGCAAACAAAAACGGAGTGGTTCATGAGCATAATATGCTGTAATTGATCAGTTGAATTCTTACATAATTAGCGCAAAACTACCTATAGATATTCGCGGTAGTGAGAAGGTTGATATCAGTACTGCGATATATAATGCATATGTAGTTTTTGAAATTGCGACAGTCTGCTTAGCTGTAATTTGTTCGTGCTACAGCCAACCATGTATTCAGAACATGCTTTTAGTTACTACTCGGTTGTGGTGCTGGTGGTGGCATACTCCGTGATGGGGGCCGGCAAAAGGACGCAAAAGGTCAGCGCACTGGATGCTCTTAACGGTACGTGAAACCGATTGTAAATGTGCTACCGATCCTTTTGATTATTTTGTCGCTTTAATCGAATACGTGGGAAACTTGAACTGCGTTTTTTACAGATTCATCTCTAGCGATAAATAATCCCTTCACTCCGTTCCGTGTATGTGAAACCACCAAATCGGACGACGAAGGTCCTTTCTACAAAGTGTACGCACCAATCTACAAGATGGAGGATCTGGAGAATGTGGGCCGTATTGAAGTGTGTAAGACGAATGTGACCTACGGCCGTCTGCTGCTCAACGGAACCATCCGCCAGAGTTCGTACGAGAACCCCTGCGGGAAGCCGGTACGCGCCATGGTGGAGGTGTGGCAAGCCAATTCGCATGGATTGTACAGTGATGTCTCGTGGTCCAGCGGCGATTACGTAAGCTGTTACAAATACGCTCTAAACCATAAATCTCGTGTCGGTTTTCGGTTGTGTACTGATGCGTGCGTGTAGCTAGAATAATTGGATTCTTAATGACTTTTAATAGACATGTCGGGCGCGGCTAATTACCGGTAGCGACGGGTTCTATTCGTTTGCCACCCAGTATCCAGGAAGGTATCGTTATAACATGTAAGATTCTACAGGCGAAAATATTTACGGCGTTAATGAAAGCGTTAAAAGTTGAGCCTTTCTCAGGACTGGCCCGTTCCGTCCAGCGCATGTGCACTTCCGTATCACTCCGCTGGATGACAACTACGAAGCCACTGGCAACAGCTTAATTACGGCTCTGTATTTCCATCCAGGTAAGCCAAACCGCAGCGGATGGAAATCATTAGATCGTAGACGTTCGCACCGATAGAGTACTACGCTGTACTCTTAAATATTAATGATCCGTTTTACCGCTGCTACGGGAACTTGTATATTAACAGATGAGCTACCTGTATTACAAAGCAGCTGACAGAACTGTTTGCAATTGCAGATATTTTCCTGCGACCGAATGATGGCTGCACATTCTGCCGGTCCAATGAGCCTAGTTTAGGGATTTATGCCTCCAATAAGCGGGACCTAACCACGCTGGAAGGGACCTGGGATGTTCTTCTTGCTTAATCACCATCCAAAATAATTATATAAAAGTTTACTCATTCTCGCATTCTTTGATTGATGTACTTGCAACAGCTGTTTGTGGTGTGCGAGGATGCGGCAGTTACATTTTATACGGTGTGAGCACACTACACCTACTCTAGTTCACATTACCGATTACAGTAGCAGACTTAAATGTTATGCATACTAACAAGGGCGCGGTAAACTTACTCTAAATATTGTTCGAATGCAATAACAAAATAAACAGAAATATTATGAGAGGAATATCAATTACACAAGCATGCGGCAGCTTATCTGCATAAACGGTGCAGTGCATATTTAGCTTCGCGAGCAAAATGTAATATTTACGCCTAAGATGATAATTATAAGCCACTTAACGGCAATGGACGGTTTCAATCAGCGGCTTTTATTTTTAAATAACCTTTCTTTTAAAAAAATAACTGTCCTCCTCTGAGAAATCATCGGATGGCACTGTGGAACGGAATAAACATACGTCACAATGGCGGTAATGTTGTTACATATGCTAGTGTGCTTGTTTATGCTAGTACCTGGTATCTCGTTTCAGGGTAACAGTTTCCTTGCTGGTACTGTACACAGTCATGATGTTCCATAATGTATGTATGTAGATCTAGATCTGCTTGTGTAGGGAAACTTGGGCAGTCAATGAATTATCAGATTACCGGGTCCAACTGGTTGTGAGATGACAGTTTTTTTTTTGGTAAGCTGAATCCAAGTAAAAACCATCCCTTTCATGAAGAATGCACAAATCTCTCTCGGGAAAGTGATCAGATATCCCGAGACGCTGCGTTAGGCACGGCAAACGCATACCTTTCATCATGTACTATTGATGTATCACTTGCGCTGCTTATTCCGACAAATAGGCAACTTAATTGCGGCGTGCTTTATGGGGTCCTCAATCACGGTTGTTCTTTCGTAGAGGCTGAATTTCACTTCCGCATGCTCCGGGAAAAATCTTTGTTTAAGTTTCATGACAACAATTTTCTCAATATTTCTAATTGCTAACAGACACCTCAATATCCGCTCAAAGGTCTGCCTTAATTATTACATTCAAGAAATATGATCACACAATAAGAGTACTAGTAATTCTTCGCACCAACAACATGTCTGGCTTACAGTTGACTGATATACATGTACTCCTATGTTCCACACTTTTCGTCTATTATTTTTCCTCTCGTCAGCTCTTGTCAGCTTTTAAATTTAGTGCGCTGGATGTGGCGCTGTGGATATTTCTGAAATTAAGATGTTTTTCTTTATCTTTTTATCGTTATGGCAGCACGCTTCAGCACGACTGAATATTGTCACACTAACGGCTACACGCAACTGGGGCTCCGGTGCCGAACAAATGATCTCTACCTTCGAAATCGCCGCGGAACATATGGCCGAAAAGTACCCGGTATTGTACGCAAATTATACGAAAACCGATCTCATGTGGGAATTAAACGGACCAAATATATGCAAAGCGGAAGGTGATTGGCTGGTGCCAATTAGGCTAGCTGAATGGTATGGCGCCAATAAGTTCAGTGATGAGAACGGTGTTACCATTATTGCCACTTCAGGTTGGTGATGTTGGCCTTTTACAAAATACCTAGCTAGTAAACATAAATATCTTTCACATAAATACGTAGCTCTACTCTTTCAGAAAGAGTAGTAAAGCCTCCATTAATTACTACTTTGCGCATTTGTACTGTATATGCCGATATAAGTACAGTAATCGGAATTTCTCTGTTGTTTCAGTTTGCAATTGGGCGTTACCAGATGTTTTCGACTTTGCCAGAGGTAGAAACCTGACTTTAAGGAATATTTGTAACAACTCCATTATTTTGTGTATTTAGATTGTAATGTGCTATAGCTAAAAAGTAACTGGAAATAATTGTTAATGTACATTTGCCTGTAAAGTGTAGTAAAGTATAGATATATCGATTTGTCCTTAAATTGTTTTTAGCGCCACTGACATATTGTGAAAAGCGCACTAAAACAGAAATATTGTTAAGGTGCACACCAATTCAAATTCAGATTATTGCATATTAACATGCGCGGATTCATTGGCCACTCACTGCATTACGAAAATTTTCCAATACGAAAAATCCTGCCCAAGAGTGAAAAGTCGTCCGCTTTTACTCCTTGCACCGATGGGTTTTTGACTATTTTCCTTTTTACATGAATGTTTTTATCTTTGCAGAACTGGATCTCATGATTGTTCCATGGTATGAAACTAGCCAATCTAGACTGTTTCCAGTTTTTGACGACGGTTGTTCTGACCTTTAGCGCGGCGGGTGTGGCTATTAATAGGCAGCGTTCGCCGAATTCCGTCGCGATGGCTGCAGCCTCCTACATCATTTTTGGCGCCGCTATTGGGAAGATCATGGATAAGTACAACTGGCGCTACTTAGCAATTATCAGTGATAATCTAACAAGACTTCAAGAAGCCGGTCGGAGTATATCCGAATGCGATGGAATGTTCATTGACCTACGTAAACGGGCCATGGAGATCCAGCAAAAAGTCTTCGCAGTTGACTCGACAGATCCGGGGTTTTCCTTCAAAAACTCGTTGCAAGAAGCAGCGGAATATAGCCGAAGTACGTTCCTGCTTTTGGTCTAGTGCTGCTTAGGTCTAGTGGTCTTCTACGCATAGTACAGTCATCTGTGCGTTCATTGATGTAATGTTTTCTTTGTGTTTTGTTAGTCATCATGTGCTGCACGCTCTTTGAATCGATGAGAAAATTACTGGTAAACTGAAAGCAGAAACGACATGAACCAATGTAGCATGCATATGGTAACACTTATGTGACGGTGTAGGCGGATGCGTATGACTTGGGGATGACCAACGGGGATTTCGTAAGTGACAAACCGCAACTTTCTACCAAATGAATAAGTGTCAACCCAAGTGTTTTCAGTGAACATCATCCTTAAAGTACGGCGGACTTCGTTTTTATGTTTTGCCTGTTTATGTTTTTGTTAGGTATTTATGATGTTATATGAAGGAGAAATCCCAAAAGAGCCACCGATTGATGACTGGAATAAGGAAGGTGAACATGATGTTAACGAAGTATGTACGTCGATATTATTGCGTATGAAGCTTATGACCTTTGAGGCTACAATGAATGTGGCACGCGGCAAATGATGATTTTGTAGAAAGTCTATCAAGCACTGGACAATGTGCTTAACTTTCGCACACCCCATGCCGATTGGAAAAGGTTTAATGAAACGTCATGGAAAGTGAACAAAAGACGGGAAGCGAAATTTGGCACTCCGTTTAACGAAAGTTTAATCGTAAGGGCGCCCTTTGTGTTTATGGCACACCACCAAACGCATGCTAAAATATACGTTTAACTTTTCAGGTAAATGATTTTATCTTCCAATGCCACGAGGCAATAGAAATGGCTTCTCTGGTAAGGCGCCATGCTATGCATATACGAAGTCAACATGTTTACGAGAATCTTTTCCTTCCGTTAGGCTATCAATGAAACTCTGATGGACATGAACATCACAACAACGGAGGCTCTTGGTCGACATCTACCGGTAGCCGATATGATCCGTCGAATTTCTAATCGGACCCACGAACTCATGTTCGAAAATGTAACCGTAACACCGGCCAGTGACAAGGAGCCCATCATTTGGATTCAGCAATTCGACCGCGCAGTAAACCAGGCAGTGGTAAGCCATACGAAAAACTCGTTTCGTTTATTACCAAAACAAGCCATTCACCGAAACGTTCGTAGACGGTTCTACATTACGACTATCGAACCGAAAGCTACCCACTGGTCGATCCCAATCGACCCGTTAAATGGCGCCTCGGACATGTGCCACCTGATCGGCCGCCCTGCGGTCTGCATGGAGAAAAGTGCATAAGTGGGCTCAGCATAGGGTTAATTGTGGGCGTCGTTACGGCGGTTGTACTTTTGACGGTTGTTGGATTGGTTGCCTTCACTATTTGGTAAGTTACCCATTCGTATTCGTCATAACTGCTTTTTTGTGTGTTCTTAACATGAAGTAAATGAATGCTGTAGCAAAAACCATAACTGAGGTAAAGCTTTCACTTGAATTTTATGTTAAGCGATCTTGCACCGCGCGAGTAGAGCTGCTACCTGATTACTTAAACTTGATTATTTATCAGGAATGGTCAGCGGAAGACTAATATTAAGCAAACATGGTGGATTGTTCATCCGACCGATGTGGAGCAGGCCGGCAGCATCCTCAAAGCTTCCACAGGAAAAACCAGCATGTCGCAGATTTCGGCATCTACCAGACAAGGGGGTGAGAACTTTCAGCGACGTGTCGTCATGGTGCGGGGTGTCCAGGCGGTCAAGACGCCACTCTGGTGGAACGCGCACGGTCACAAACAGCCAAGTGTCAACAGCGCCTTCATTAACTTTCTCAACTCCGTAAGTTCCTGCACAATATCGATTAACACACTTTTAATTTACAGTAATACCCATCGCCTCTGAACATATTACCACTAATAATCACTAAGTACTTGTAAAAGTTACGTGGCACCAGTATTAAAGTAAATTTGTATTTACCGGTAAGTATAATATAAAACGTAGACCTTTATGAATCTTTTTGAGTTAAAAGTTTTTGCCGTTTACAGATCCGTAAACTGGATGCACCGCAAATTAACAAGCTTCTCGGCCTGGACATAACCGAACTTCCGCCGGCACTGTACTACGAATGGTGCAAACGCGGATCGTTGGAAGATCTGCTGCAAGCACAAGACCCGGACTGGACGCTTAAACTGTCTCTTCTACAAGATATGATTCAAGTATGACAATTTTGTGCAAAAGAATTTGTCTAATTAGGAACTGCCGTGTAAGAAGGTTGTGGTAAAAAATTACAGTGTCCCCTCTAATACGGGTCGTGTTTTAATAAGTAACGCTTTTGCTGAAAAAATGTACAGAGTAATATAATTACGAGTATTTCTAATTGCGCAATACAAATGGGCTAAGAACTATGCCGGTATATATTTCCCTGCACAGGGATTACGTTACATCCATACATCCGGAATTCGATTACACGGTAATCTCCGCCCCACCAAGTGCCTTCTAGATAGCCAACTGAGTCTGAAGATCTCCGACTATGGCCATCAGATTATCAGCCGTCTCCTGTCAGGATCGACGCTGCAGGCCATCCAGGACTCGCGTCCCTTCTTCCCACTGCACTCCTGGATGGCGCCGGAAGTTATGCGCGGGCAAACGGTTCTGCAGGCCAGTGATGTTTACGCAATGGGAATCATTGTGCAGCAGATTCTCATGGGTTACCAATCGTTTAATGCGTATGCATTTGGAAGCACTGAGGACCTGTTAGCCGATGGTAATGTCAATCCTGTTTCTGGCATACAGATTTGCCATTTGGCGGAAAGCTGTAAATGAAAGAAATGACTAGGAACATACAGATACGTACCAACCAGAAGAGTCAGCGAGAAACAACAAAAATAAATCGACCAATAATCAACGCCTCTTATAACATTATGACCTTTTATTGTACATGTATTAGGTGGTGTACGTGGTTTAATTTACGAGTTTCGGTTTACGAATTTACGGTTTCGTTAGTTGTATGTTGAAAACTTGATCACGTTTCCTTGCAGATGCGGATTATACTCCACCTCGACCAGAGTTCTCTGAAGTTTTGCGAAACGGATCACTGTCGGCCTTCATTACAATAATACAGCGCTGCTGGCAGGAAGACCCGACTGCACGCCCAACTATGCTGGATGTACAGAAAGTCTTTGCGGCGGTCACGGTTTCGGAAGGATTAAAAGGAACGTTGATTGAGAGGGTCCTGAAGCGGTTGGAGAAGTACAATGCCATACTGGAGAAGCAAGTTTTCGAAAAAACGGTTCAACTGCAACTTGAACAGCAACGGGCGGATGATCTTCTTAGAGAAATGCTTCCAGAGTAAGAAATTGTATCAAGTACCAACTGGCCACTGCAGTGTACGTAGAGACAAAACGTTCATTACACTACCGCTTCGATGAAGTCTTGCATAGAAAAATTAAAAAAAACAGTCGTGGAAGTCAGTTGGAATGCACATGAAAGTAGATACGATGGGCAAGAAAAAGGAAATTCTTAAATTAAAATAAAATTCGTAATTTAAATCATACAACGTATTGCGTACAAGAAGTACCAGGTATCACAGTACCAAAACGGTACATACTATGTCATCATGGTGTAGTACCTCGACTGGTACTGCTTACTACCAGTAGTATTACGATGCAGGGCTAAAGCAAGGCGTATTTAGAGAAATTGTGAGGAAACTTCGATCTGGCATCACTCCTGACCCGGAATACGTGGACGAAGTCAGTGTCCTTTTCAGTGATATTACAGGATTCACTGATTTCATCGCCGGATGTCCACCGGATGAGGCGCTACATTTCCTTCACAACACTTACACGCACTTTGATAAGGTCATCGCTCACGTTTCAGTCTACAAACTGGAAACCATCGGAAGCAGCTACGTGGTATGCGTAAACTGGCTTTCTGTCCACCTGTGACCTTTGGGCTTTTCATGCACCCGTTTTATTAGGCGGTTAGCGGTTTAGTGGAGCGGATCGGCAGTCGGCATGCCCATGAAATATGTCGCTTGGCGGTTTTATTACGGGAGGAATTCTATCGAGTCATCGACGATTCTCGACTGGGACTGCTGGTGGGACTGCACAGTGGGCCAGTGGCGGTGGGCGTGGTTGGGCTGAAACGACCGCGTTACTGCCTGTAAGTTTATCAGTGTTTGACTGCATTCACCATTTTTTATTCTCCTAAAATCGGTTCGCACGATGCTCACAAGTACACACTAGAGACCGAAAGTATAACGCTATGCCGCTGTATTATACCAGTCATCGTATGTACACCCAAATTTACCAAAATCAGAATCAGTATCGCGTTATTTGTTCGTTTGTCAGCTTTTTGACTTAAACACAACTGTACTCATAATTACAACAACAACAAAAACGCGTAGAATGTTGATGTTCAATAATTCTGCAAAGGTCTACTGGAAAGTAAAGGCCAGTGCTGGCGAGTACTGCTTTGAAAGGAGAGAAAGAAGTGTTATTTTAGACACAGTTAACACAATTGCAAATCATTACCTGCATCATGCATGTATTGCGTGGCGAATGGGGACTGTGAGATTGTATGTTGTAATGACAGTACATAATAGTCTTGAACCTACTAGTACTTAATTGGTAATAGTGGATAATAATTTTTTTTGGATAGCATTGCAATCGAGACTTGGACGTTTTACAGGTTTGGAGATACGGTCAACACCGCCTCTCGAATGGAAAGCAATGGACTTCCTGGAAAAATCCATGTTAGTCCAGATGTGGTTCCTATTGCCGAACAGTTTGGACATAACTTCGAGATTCGTGGCAAAATGGAAATCAAGGTACGCTAACTGTTGGTGATTGTGTAATCTGCGGACCGTATATGCGTGCTTACAGCTGTCCTTTCTGACAACAGGGGAAAGGACAGATTACCACCTACTGGTTGAACGACTAGCACCCGTTCGCACTCACCCACAGGAAATGCTGACAGAAGCACTCACCCGCAAGAAATGTTGGCAGAAGTTCTCTGGTATAATTGATTAAAACGTTATTTATATACACAAGGTTTTATTATTTGCATGGCTACTCGTACGATAAAGCCTTAATTTTGGAGAAAACAGCATTCTTGGAAATTACGTAGACGCTCCTTTTGACTTTTTGCGCTGAAGTTTTCGTTTTATCTTCTATTCCGTACATTTTACCTTGGATTCGATAAACAGAATATGCAACAACTAACAAGGACTGATTACGGCGGCTGAGCAGTTTTGTTCTGTACACCAGGTTTCTTGAAATTCGAAAGAAACAGAACATCGGAGAAATATTAATCGTAATGTCCATAGAAAATAAGAAATCAAATTAGTTTTTCCCATTCATCGAGAATAGTCAGCTTAAACGCTAAACATATTATTTATAACTTGTAAGTACCCCATTAGCGCCTGTCGGCATTCAAAATTAATGTTCCAAGCGAAAGATCAAAGAAGATAATAACTTAACCACCACTGAGTTCGCTCCATTTCCAAAACAAAAAGGTTAAAATGTTACACAAAATATGCTCTGTATATATCTTTCGCAAAGTGAATTAACACAGTTTCTTAACCAAGAAAACCGCCCTATCAATTAATAAAAGTCTCTTTCGCCTGATTAACCGCCACAGCCTCCCCATCCAATTTCTTCTCCTTTTCCGGATTCATGGCAATAACAATCCGATGTGGACCGGTATTTCCGCCCTCCGGAACGGGCGAGACGCCTTTGGCCGCCGGTGAACTGTCCTTCTTGTCTTTTTTCTCCGTCGATTTGTGTGCCGGCGTCTTAGTCTCGAGAAGATGAATGGCATCATGCACCCGCTTCACCGCCTTTTTCCGGGCATTCCGCACCTCATCCAGCCCCTCGGTGGTGACCACATCCAGCTTCAACACCGCCTGCGTGAGCAGTTCATCCAGCAGCCGGTATTCGTGGTCATCGCGGGTGCCGGTGAACTGATTTACCCGCGCCTCCAATTTCTGCACTTCACTGATGATCTCCTGGATGCGATCCAAGGGATTCTTAACCGGCGGTGGCGGTGGGGTGGTCTCGGTGGGTTTCGGTGGCGCCGAGGCTGACCGTGGCGTCTCCAACGGTTTCACCACGATCGGCACGCGGTGCACTTTGGCGTTGGGCTCTGGTTTGACTTTGTCGGGTTTCTGCGGCGGATCCATGGGTGCCGAGGACGGCCGGTCATAGCCCATGGGGATAGCCTCGCTGGGATTGCGCTGCTTGGGCAGGAAACCCATAGGAATGGGCTCGCCATCTTTGCGCCCGGGTGGCGCACTGTCCTGTGTCTGAACTTTCTCCGCTCGCATGGGCGGTTCAATGTCCACGGTTGGTTTCGGTTGGCGGAAGGTGGGCGGAGAGTGGGTGTCGCGGGACTGTCGGGGGAAGCGCTGAGGGAAAGAGGCTGAGCTGGCAGAGTCGGAAATATCAGATGGGCTGTTGGAGGCCGCTCGGTCGATGCCGCTGTCGGAGGCGTTGGATGGGAAGTTGCGTGCCGGCTGTTTATTGGGAAAAGAAGATGACAGGCCCGGAAAGCTGTTGAAACGACTGCCGGCTGGATGTTCGTTTGACGGCTGCGCTGAGGGCGCTTGCTGCTGTTGCGGTTGCTGGGGAGGAACAGGCTTAGGAACGGATGACGTCGTCTGGCGCATCAGATTGGATGCGTCATCTTCACTGAAGATGGGGATGTTGCGCACGTAGGAACTCCGTTCGTCTTCTTTGGGGATTTTGAACGCGCGCGGATGAAAGGCCGATTCCCGCTCACGATCAAACTAAAAAAAACATTTTTGATATCGTCACTGTGAAATATGGAAGACAATCAAGTGATATTAGTAGCCAAAGAAACGTGATGCGCTAACGATAGGAACAGTGTACTGCCAACACGTACGCTGAAAAATATTTCTGTCATGTGCAAGAAACAACGATACCGTTTAAATATTGTGTAAGTATATTATGATGATGTATCGATACCTAAACTGCTATGGTGCTACCGTCGTCAATGCGAGCACTAGCGCCACATTATTCATCGGATCGCAGGGCTTCGCACCACAAGCTTCTTTTCCATATAATATTATTATTTTAAAATGCAGTCCACCCACCATACAAGTAACAGAAATAAGTACAGTACTTGTTTACTTACTTTTTGTAAGCCACTAAACAGGCTCTAGATCTTTGATGGGGTAGCTAGCCAGCAGTCATAAATACGTAAAGTTATGCATAAATGTTACGCTTATTGATTTTATGGCATGTGAGGGCTTCGGAACACACAGTAATGACGCAGGTAAACCCGGCTTATAAAAGCAAAACTACATAACTTACCATCCAATTGATACTTGTATAGAATCTTTTATGACGCGCAAAGATAAAGAGATTGTTACAGATTACTTTGTACTCCGCAGTTACTAGTATGTACTACAAAGATTTGTAACACGAAATTTTCACCTTGCATACTACACTATTTACATAATTATTTCAAATTGCAAGCTCGATTAGGATTTAGAAGCCAAAACTTGTAATGAAAACTCAAACTTCAGTTACCAAAATCATTTTTAGTGAGATAAATTATTGCATACAGTGTTTTGACCACGGATCGGACCGGCTGAAATACTGCATCGCCGCGATATACACTGCTTAAATGAAGAAAGAGCAATCCTGAATCATACTCTCAGATCATTCTAGGTTTCTAGCCATTGCGCATGGCTAAAAACAGACTCACAGTTGCAATCAACGAAAATCAATAAAAACATCAATGCCAAAGCAGCAGACTCTGTCGCAGAAAAGAACGCGACCGGAAACATCCCGAATTCACGCAGCTGACTCGCTTTCAGCCGTAGTCAGAAGCATAGACGATATACTCAACCACGACATGCGGCGATATCAGCTGACGGGATAAGCTTTTATTTGCGGAATGCCTACTGCTGTACAAGGTCAATCATCGAGAGAGCTTGACGTGCTGCCCTAAATGTTAATGGAAAAGACTATACGGAAAAAATCGACAGGCGATAATTCGGTGCGGTTAACAACGATTACACCCGCGGCATCTTGTAATTGTTGAATCAATTTATTATTACAAAGAAAAATTGTAATTTAAGACAAGGGATTTCAACAGTCAGAGGAAGGTCGTATTAACGTTTACCGGTTGGCACCACTTATTATTACCAAGCAAACGTACACACGTATCAGAAAAATATTACAGTTGAATGGATACTTTACCGGTCAAGAATGCGCAGTTATTATTATCAGAAACGGCTTGAAGTCCAAGCGTCAGCAGAAAGTGCCGGTGATTCGCGGAGAAAGCAGAAGTTAAATAAATATGAAAATATTATCATACCGGTCGGTCTCAGGTCGGTGTCTATGCAGCATATACGGTAGTAGTCCCTCGAAATGGGTGTATCATTACGAGGATGCACGCAGTCGAACCGACAGTAAATTTTTTCAGCGATACCAACCGACAACCGTGCACATAGTGCAAGCGACTGCCCACCATCCACGGATGGCTGTCACCTATACCACGCATACAGTGCAAACCATACTGTAACAGTGGCCTATCTGGCTACTGTTCTAGTGGGGTGGCGATCAGCCTTTACCACGATTAAACGGCTGTTGGTGTGAAAGGTGGCACGACCGGCAACGATGCTGGCCGAGGACGCTCTTACAGATGTAACGCAATTACACAGGTGGCTCCGATTGGGATGACGCTAGTTCATCCCAAGCGGTCAAACGCAACAACGTAACTCAAGGCATGTTTAATGACAAGGGAATCAAGAACGCAGCAAGGTTGTAAGCAAGGGTTTCAGCAAGAGGAACAATCAAGTAGATGCAAGCTGTAGCAAGCGAGTGTCAAGACTGAATTCTAGAAATTCATGAGAAAGGAAACTAGCCGGTAAAGTGGACAAATTCATAACGCGATGGAATGATTCATCATAACTGGGCGGTCTTATCGTTGGTACAAATACTATCGCTACAATACCTTCCGTCCACGGGTAGCTGTTATGTGAAAAAATAATCTGCTTGTGTGCGTGGTTGTCGGTTGGTCTCGCTGAAAAAATTTACTGTCGGTTCGACTGCGCGCATCCTCGTATTCATTATGTTGTCGCACTTGCGAGATGAGAAATTATCGTCAGAATATTTGAGTTCTTAAATTATCGATCCCTTATAGTACAATAAAACGTCAAAAAACAGAACTATCTTTACACTAATAAAAGTCCGTCAATAAGTGTATGCTAATAAATTATGTAACCCGAATAAAGTTCGGCATCGATTAGGATTATATAAAAGCTAATTAAAATAACACAAACGCAATGGTATTCACAAATCAGCGCCAGATCGCAGACATGCATCGGTGTCACAACTACTCGTATTTGATAAATCATATTCGTTTGTCCGCTGAGAGCCAGCAGAAGCTGCACACAAAAACAAACCTGCCGGTAAATAAGTCACCGACGGTAAATACCACATATGAATCCAGAAATTCTTATCCACTTAACTGACCTAAGTATGCAAAAAATATGGTATCAGAATACCATGTGTTATTTTTAATAACTATCGTTCAGTACCGGACTCTGTAAGTATCAGACACTGATATTCATTTCCGATTCAGGATCGTGCTGAACAAACTTATTTTAAATTTTATGATTATAAAAAGTTTCGATGAGGAACACAGTTACCAAGGCAAGAAAGTTAAACAGTGCAATAATGGCGATGCAACGGTAACGACAGAAACTGTGACAGGAAATGACCGCGAAGGCATGGATGGTGTTTTTCGGTACACCGCGATATGCTTTATGACTCATTCGTAAACAGGTAGGATAAAAGCTGATTATCAGAAGGCGATTGTTGATAAGCAGCTTGTAATAGCTGCTCTTGAAAATATAATCCTAATTCCTATAGTCTTTTCTTGGAATTCCCAGCTACAGTATAGTCACGCTTTCCTTTCTCGTTCTAGCTATCATTTTAATCATCTCATTTTCATGAATGTTTTAATAATCAAATGAAGCACATACATGGTATGCGGTCAAACTGGCTGAACACTATTTACATTGATATACTGTCTATTAGACAGTGTCTAATGCCATGTCTAATCTTGAAATCTAAATTACCGCAACCGGAACTGAAGAATGATAAACTGAAAACGAAAATGTAGCAACTCGTAGGTTCCAGCAGTACAAAAAACATATACCTAACAATAAGCGCCTATCCGTACTGCAATTTACCGACGCATTTTCAAGAAAAAAACGCTGTCACCTACAATCACCCCAGTTGTGCTGTCAAGAATCTTGATACATACGCACTTATGCAGCACGCATAAATTACATACTCGAGTCTCGGACACATCGCATACAGATGAGGTCACACGATAAGCACAATAATATTCACGTAAACACCGAGCAGCGCCATCGACGATAGTTTACATTTAAACTGTTTAACGTAAACAACAGCTACCACTACCAATCGCCACCAGACAGCCAGAATCTTACCCATGCTTGATCAAATCCGTTATCCATTCGCATATTCCGCGCACGGTTATGGAAACGTTCCCGCATTCTGTCGAAATCATCGGTCATCATGGAATCCATGTCATCCCGGAAGGAGGTGTCGTTTCCGAATGTGAAACGCCGCGGTGCATTCATCGTGAACGAAATAATTATGACTTCAACACATCCAATAATAAATGCTTCAGACTAACACCAATTAATGTCTCGGAAATTCCAAAAATATTCTCGGAGTACAACTGATAGTCAAAAACAGAAATCAACTGGTCAGTGACGCATCAAATCACATGCTGAACCGAGAGAGAGAGATCTTTAACGTCAAGTAGAGAAAAAACAGGGACAAGATCTATTTGTTGGCTAATCGATGCTACTTTTCTCGGTTATGTAGAATAAAGAGCAGAAACAAACAAGCTGTCTGTGTGGTAAGATACCTGACTTGCTGCTACCTGTCGAACGAATTAAGTAGTTAAAATGGTCATATCTCAGCGCACACGGAACGAATGACTAATCTCACTCGAGCTCGGTTTTTGTTGTTCCAATCGGATGCCTCACGCGCGTCACGTACTGCAGGCCCGTCGACAGCGCCTTCTGTACGAGTACTGCACTGCGCCACAAACAGCCAATGTTATCCAAACTTGGTGCTGACATGGCACCACCCACGTATTTTCCGTCGCTAAAAATTGAAATATGCGACGTACGTTCGTCGTTGGCGGAACTGGAATCTTCGGCCGCGCTCGACGCCGGTATCATAATAATTATTATTTGATATTTCCTATCAGTAGTCAATACAAAGCGGTCGACCGGTGTTCTCATAACCGAAAGGAAAAAACACGTTATATAACTGAACATACAATGATACAAATGAGCTTCGCAAGCGCTTCGCGCGCGACGCGTTTTCGCCCCCGCTTCGACCGGCTCATCGATTGACAGTCTGTGCTTCCATGGTCTATACATACCCGGTACTGTATTACATGCTGATTTATTGTTACTACGGTATAAGAAATTTAGAACTATGAACACAGCGTGCGATGAAGGATATTCAATCAATGCTTTGATCCAGTGAGGAAATTCAGCTTATAAATGCTGCTTCCGGAGTGGGGATGCAACCTTCATTGAAGTCTTCTCGGTGGCAAGTGCCTATATATATTGCGTTTAATTCTTACAACGACAAGTGACAACTGACCACAAAGCCTCTTGCGACGACAGGAAAAAGAACAAAAAACACGACTTGAATTTTGTTGTTAGTATTAAGCCTGGTTCATTCGTTCGTTAACAAGTTTTAATTCAGTTTGGCGGTACAAAACAGTCATAAGTTTTCTACAAAAAAATGAAATATTTACAAATTTCACAGTCTTAGCCGACAACGGAAATAGGCGGGCTAAACTGCGCACAGAACATATCGTCTAAATAAGCCGATGCTGGTGCTGTTCCCATGACAAAGGCCGCAATCACGCGTTGGATTTCGATGCAGATCCGCTGCCGCAGGTATTCCGTCGCCCGCAATTTCCTGTTTCCTGTCGTATCATCTTCCCGAGTTCGGCGACCAAGCGAGAGGCGTCCGGTCCGACGAAGGTGCGATTAATTGATTAAACCGTCTTACTGCACGGAACACGTAGCCTTGAGGAATGTCCCGATATTTCGCCACTTTATTCTGCTCTGCAGCAGGCCGCGGCTGCCCCCGCTGGTTTCGATGTTGCCGCGATAAAATACCGTACACATACATATGACTTCCCAAGTTAACATTACTCCTCTTTCCCAAGGGACCAATCGCATTTCTTCTCGCCATTGGTTCGGGTTAGGCCAGCCGGTGGTTCCAGTTCCGTTTTAACACCAGCTGACGCGAAGGCGGCTTCATAAAGTGTTGTTAAAGCAGCAGTGTCTGGGCTTCCGGTCCCGGCTTTTTTGTAACAGACCCTGGTAACCTCGCGAGTCGGTCCATTAATGCAGTTGCAACGGTGTGGAGTGGTGATCGGTACTCCGAGACGATCGAAGGATTCGAAGCTAGGCCGAGAGCGATTCCGAGAAGTGAGTGTTGTGGTTTACTCGTGCACGTTATTGTTATGCATGTTGTACAAGTACAATCACTACAATGTACGTACTGGGCTGTAATTTTTATTCACGTAATGAGCAGCAAATTCTTCACACATTCTAGTGTAAATGAATCGTGAGAAAGAGAAAGCACAAGCGAGTTACACAGCAACATCTACGAACATAGGCGGGCGAATAACAGAATAGAATGATTTAGTCTAACAAAAATGTAAATTTGCGCCGGTGGTGCTGTTCGGGCTGTTCCCATTATACTATAATTATACAGATGCGGCGTTTCCTCGTCGAATCTGTGTATGCTGACCCGTTGACGCAGAACTCTATTGCTCGCAATTCGCCTGCTGCTGGATCATCTTTCCTGGCACGTTAAGCAGTCGGGTGGCTTCTGGTCCGAATGTTTCGTAGGTCCCGCAGCCCAGCTGCGAGAACCAGTAATCCTGGGTGATGTTGCAGTTCAATGCGGTATTTCTCGGTTTATTTCTTCGTATAAGTACGTATTAGTACGATACTGTACTAACAGTACTGTTTACCTGACTGCAGCTCACCACCTTGCGGGGGGTACCCTCGTGAATGTTATTATAATTGAATCTGTCGCCTATCGGCCAGTTTAGCAGGCCATTTTTCGGATTTTCCACCTAGCCACAAGCCACTCATGCGTGTCAAGGTCGTACGTGTGCCGTAACATGCGCTACGGAGTCATAGACCAAAGGAAGGTGAGCATACAGATATGTATATCGGTTGTTAGTCTGCATCTCTCTGTCCCCTACCTTTTCTTCACAGGATCTCTTTATGGACTTATGGTCAGTTATTGAAATGAACCTGTTGTCTTGTTTCGTCTTTATTCGTATATTCCATGTATAGTGCCTGGTGCTAGTGCAACTTGTTTATTGCAAGATCTAACGATTTCATCAGTTCCTTCGTAACTTTTAACTTGGAATCGCAGAATCAGATACAGTAGGTAAGTGCAGTACATCAACCTCTGCGGAAAGCTGCTTGCAATCCTTGCATACTGCGTGTTATTTTTTACCGTAGTCGTTTTTAACGATAAGTAAGTGGTACTAACATTTTAAACATTTAAGTGATTTTGGCGATTAATCGTCCATACTTCAAGTATCTTCCACACATTTAACGGTAGTTGGTTGGCAGTTGCCGTTGACACTGTGTAGCCTTTGTTTTCGTTTTTCTTCGGTTTTGTTGCTGCAGCTCGCAAGCTCCTTTTCGCAGAATATTATATGTCTTTGCAAAGTACTTAGAACTAGCTCGAGTATACGTTATTTGCAGAGGAATGGAATGCAGCGCAGTCATCTTCTAAAGCGGGATGTTTGGATTAAGCAAGAAGAAGGACAAGCAGAACGGCAAAAAGAATGATGCCAAATCCGGGAAGAGCCGTCCCGAGATCAGTGCACCGTCCAATTTCGAGCATCGCTTCCACACTGATTTCGATCCAGCCAAGGGGGGATTCGTGGGGCTGCCGCCACAAGTAAGCTTTTTAACAGTAAAATACTAAAATTGGAGTTTTATTTTAGCGTTCCAATATGTGTTCCCAATATTGCGCTGCTTGCAAACTCTTGTTAACTGTACTGAGTTTACTTGTATTGAAAACAGATTGATAATCATTGAAAAGTTAAATTATCACCGCTCAGTGACGAATTTATGTCGTGCTTCGTGCTTGAGCCTGATAAAAAATTTACAAACTTGTGCAAAAAAAATCGCAAGGTATTGTTACGTATTTTGTTAGCGCGAGAGTACACTTATCAACCATAATTACAGTGGGCCAGTATAATCGGTGCATCTGCGGACAACTCCGCTCGGAACCGCAAGAATGTACTGCTGTACAGCACATCCGATTCCACCCCTCCCCCAACCACCACCGCAGCCGTCCCGCCGACCCTGCCTTCCAACGGTTACCACGCCCAACCGGGACCGGGACAGGTTACCCACCATAAGGCCGCCATTCGCCCTCCCCTCCTCCCTCCGGGACCGCGTGTCACCTTCTCGCCCGCTCTGCCACAGCGCGCTCTGATCTCGCCGAATACTTCCACACCACGGCCCCACTACGTCCGTATTCCTGCAAATGCGGCGCAGAACTGCGTACCGGTGATCGCTGTTCCGCCCACTATGCACGGCGGCTCGAGTACGCTGGAGTACCGTCGTAACGGTGCGCTTCCCACTCAAACATTTGCGGATGCGAGGGTTCCCTTACAGCAGCTCCACACGGTGGATGGACGGATGCGGGAGGGTCTCGGGGGACCCAAAGTAAGGGTTCCTCCCCCGTACATGGACGCTATTGCTGCTCAGGTGTGTAGAATAGGATTATCGGCATAAAAAAGCATCGTTTTTTTCCCTGTATTTCTTAAAGAATTTTATTTTTCTTTACCGTTTGACTTTTCTGTGTTTGGACTTTTTGATTTTACACCGAGTTTACTCACTTGATTTGTAAACTTGGTGTGGAAGAAATAATACATTTTGATCGAAATTGAGTAAGTAAAAGTTTGTTTTATTACTTCCTTAATTATTCACGCCGTATACATATTATGAATGAAGACTGTCTCGCGAAATATTCGTCGTTTACTTTATCTTAGGACAGGAATGACTCTTAATTAGGAGACACTTGTCGGACAAGTTGCTGCCGCTGGGCGATGTCCGTTAGACTTTGCGTAGGCCGTCTGTCTGAGTACTTTGATTGATGTCTGACCTTCAGAAACGTGCATATCACCCATGGACAGCATGGCTTTAACCGTATTATAATCATCATAATTTATGTTATAGGCGCATCCCGGCCCCTTAAGTCCGCGTTACGTTCCGCCCAACACCGCATTCTTCCCTCCAGCAGTCAACGGAACCCTGCCTCGTCCAGCTTCTAACGGGATGGCTCCGCATTCAACACCCAATGGAATGATGCCGTATCCAGGGCCAAACGGAATGACGCCCCACCGACCGTCTGCCAACGGTGTCTCCAACGGCAAACCCGTGCCGAACGGGATTCTCCATGCTAAACCAGTATTGGTCTATCCGACCACGATCTCTTCCTTGGTGCCGATGCCGGCGGAACCGCGGAAATCGCCCCAGTTGCCGCCGTATCCGGATACCTATCCCCATCATGCGCGTATGCCGCAGTCGCAGTCGGCGCACGCCAGTCTGGGCCTGCAGCCGCAGCGAACGGAAATGCGCTTTGTGACGCCCGGTGGTGCCGTTCATGATATGAAGCCGATGTCGGATCACCTGCCATTGCCACCATTGTCATTACTGCAGCCGGAAGAAGAGAAGAAAGAGACGACTCAAGTGGGCAAGGTGTCACCGCCAAGACCACAGGAAGTGCCGAAATTGCCGGTTGGTGGCACTGCGTCAGAACGAATGGTGTCGAATACGGCCATGACGCCACAACAGATGCTTTCGCATGAGCAGTTTCGCGCTGCTCTCAGTGTAAGTGTTTTTATGTAAAAGTGGTTACGAATTTTATGCGTTAAGTTTTTTTACAGACTTGTGAACTGAATACCTTAAATATGAAGGAAACCGTAAATGAAATTATCAAAGCGCTCGAAAAAACGTTATTTCAACAAAGCTCGCGAAAAATTAAGGAACTATCGACTAACGTTAAGCAAGTGTTTAATTCTAATTTATGTCGCTGTGAAAATGCTGGGTAATATGCCGTAGGGAAAAGTATATAATTTATCATTGCACAATAGAGCGAATAAGATCTTAGTAAATGGCTGCCGTTTATTCGTGGCAGAAGCTTTACCAAAGCACTCTGTGAAATTCGATCATTTATTTGTGCAGTTGGTCGTCAATTCTGAAGACCCACGGGAAATCCTTACTGACTTTATGAAGATTGGAGAAGGTTCGACGGGAATTGTCTGCATCGCCAAGCAGACTGACGAGGACAACGGACGCATTGTCGCCGTCAAACGGATGGATCTGCGTAAACAACAACGGCGCGAACTGCTGTTCAATGAGGTATGTCTACTGAATTGCCAATTAGATGAACTGACTGCAGTGTCAGTGTGATTGGGGTTACAACGCGCGATGTTTACTTTGCACCCGTATCATGACACGAGGCACCCCAGATTTTGCATTGTTGTCTTGTCAACATGGAAATTACATTCGGATACATGATAACAATTATAGAAGGGTGTATTGTATTATCTTCGGAGCTTTTGAATCGCATTTTATACCCTCTGAAACCGAGTATCGGTCTCCGCTGAACGAAGTGTGTGTAGCATCCCACATCTGTAGAAAAAAGATATAAAATAATTTATGCGTTTTCGTTTCGTAGGTCGTCATTATGCGCGACTATCATCATCCTAACATTGTGGAAATGTATGATAGTTATCTGGTTGATGATGAACTGTGGGTGGTGATGGAGTATTTGGAAGGCGGTGCTCTGACAGATATTGTTACCAGCAGCAGCCGGTAATTTCGAGAATTACTTCTTACATAGTAATTTACTAGCTGGTGGCGCCTTGTAATTACCTTCCGTGGTTGATTTTGACGTTTTTATTAAGTACGAGAAGCTTTTTGAACAGGTGCAGAGTAGAAGATAACCTGTTTTTTGTCATAGAAAAACGCGGACCACATTTACTTTTAATTTGTGTCGTAGTGTTTTCGGCGTGGATTAAATCATGGATATGTGTATATCTGTGGGAAAAGAACGATCTAATTGTTTCACAATTTAACACGGGATTTTGTCGTTTCTTAGATTGGATGAGGAGCAAATAGCCACCGTTGCCTTACAATGTATTTCTGCGCTGGCTTATCTGCATTCTCAAGGCGTTGTACACCGGGATATAAAATCCGATTCAATACTACTGCACAGCGACGGCAGGGTTAAATTGTCCGATTTCGGCTTCTGTGCACAGGTTAATAAGGACACACCCAAAAGAAAGTCTCTCGTCGGTACTCCTTATTGGATGGGTAAGCTATACCCGCTAAAATAATACTCCAAAACGAAATTTTTAATACTCATTAGCCGACAAAGCTGGTTTCAGCTTGCAAAAAATGTTTTGCTTACTGAGCTTATCGTTGCAGCACCGGAAGTGATTTCTCGTTTGCCGTATGGTACGGAAGTCGACATTTGGTCATTAGGTATTATGATTATGGAAATGGTGGATGGAGAACCACCATTCTTCAACGAACCGCCTCTACAGGTTTGTCTTACGCGAGTACCGTTACTTTGTTTAGCCAGTTGTTTAAATACCTATCATCAGTGCAGTCTTTTATTCTGATATCGGTGATTTTGTTTCGTTTGTAGGCAATGCGTCACATTCGTGATATGCCGCCGCCTCGGCTGAAGAATGTCCAGCGTGTATCACCCCGCCTACTCAACTTCCTCGATATAATGTTAGTGCGAGATCCGGCCGAACGGGCCACCGCCCGAGAACTGCTGCAGCACCCATTTCTTAAGCAAGCTGGACACCCCTATTCACTCGTTCCACTGCTAAATGCCGCCGTAGCTCAGCGGCTGCCCGAAACTCTTCAAGGTATACTGCGTTTTTCAAACACAAACGTCGATTTGAAGATTGATTTGTGTGCTGCGTTAATACCCATATTTTGCTAGGATTATCCATTCAGGAGCACGAGCACAAGACATGTGCGGTGGCCAATGGCCACTGAAATCATAGCCTATTGGTGGTCCATAGGAATAGCTATGGCGGATTTATTTTTGTAAACGCTTTTGCCTGTAATCTTGTATCGCCCTCTGTTGTTAGCCTGGTTTAACCGAGATGTTGATGATCCACACGGTTAGTCTGCTGTCTTACTTATATCTCGCTTAGCGAATTTTTTCTGTCTTTGGAATTGTCCCATGTCGGACGCTACTCTGATTTAACTTATCCTCATGCTGTAGATCTGCCGAGTTGCTCACTTTTGTATGGCACGTTGCAATAAGTTTAATTTTTAGATTTTGTACCCCGTAATTTTTAGTTGTTTCACTTAAATTCAGCCGGCGATGCTGCCAAATAAATTCTTTTTCCCAAACTTCGCAAGCAGTTCCAGACGCTCCGTTATTAAGCACTCTCGTGTTCTTTAATTACGATCAAAAAGCAATGCTGTATTAACCTGTTAGAAATAACAATTTCGTTTATTCCGCTTTGTTTGTTCGTTCGACGGTCTACGTCAGTGCACGGTAAAGTGCCCACTGCCCATCTCTTGCATGCTCGGAAAAAAGTCGAAACGAACGCCTGCGATGTCAAATAAGTAAACATCATTATGAGTCCATGCTTTCCATTAATTATAAAGTATTCTTACGAAATTATCAGCACTACAACATTTTTCGATTGCATGATGATATCGGGTATGGTGTTATCGGAATTTTTACCGCAACGACAGTTTCTGGAGTATCTGCAACCTTTTTCATCGCGTACGATTTCCCGTACATGTCATCCATACGGTTCAGATTTGAAAACAGTGATTAGTAACAACAATCCGCACATTCCCAGTAAAACAGCAATTTGAACCGCTCAAATGTGAAAACAGTATTAAACCGATGTGACGCCACAGTCATCTGCTCTGTATCGTAACTTGCTCAGGTAACACAATGAAAAACAAATTCTACAAAAATCAGAAACATAACCAACATACCCGAATAATTAGCAATAAACCACCAATAAAACTGGCTGAGATGCAGTCGGGAAATTGGGAGCAGAGCTCCGCGGGTGTCCTCATTTGGGTTGCGTGGCCTGCAGGGGATTGCGGAGGACCAGAATGACGCTGTCGCCGCGCAGAAACATCTTGGAGATGAAACGGTCCTTGTTGACGGGTTTGCCCTTCTTCTGGCCCTTCCCGGACTTCGGGTTCTCCGTCCACATCTCCTTGACATTCTCCAACACCATATTACAGTGCCTGCAAGGGAATACAGTCACAGTACCGATCAGCGAAAGTGTGCTTGAACAGGCAGCGGGTTCGTCCCTGTTTCAGCGTACCTGTCGAAGGCTTTGACGCGCGCAAGGAGCTTTCGATTGTTTCGACAGTTGATCAGAATTTGGGTGTTATTCTTGACGGACTGAGTGAGGACGGAGAGTGGTCCGGTGCGGAATTCTTCCTCTTCGAGCTTCTGCAGCTCATCTTGAGTCATTTCACTTTTGGGCTTCGCAGCAGTCCTAATCAAGAAATGTGCGCGTACAGTTAACAGTTATAATGCCACATACGCGAAGTGTATTAACTTACGCCATGATCAGAGCAGGGTACGAAATGGAATGGCTTCGTCAATGTAAAACAATTAAATCTGAATTTATTGTGCGCAAAAAAACAGAGAAAACCTATTTAATAGTAATGTTTAATATAAAAAAATTGCTCACATAAAAGTTTTATTGTCGTTGAGAACCTTTCAAATGAATATGCAAGACATGCAAGTTGCAAGCTACCGTACCGCGAACGCAGTGGATAGTTTAATAGCTGCCGTTTGAGTGGGGTAGCCTTAGAGACATTCTCGAAACGGCCTCGTAAGGTCACTGTACAAATTTCTCACAAGTCACAACTATAATAATTAATAATTATCAAGTGTAGTAAATAGTAAATACTGAACTTGATGACTGCGGTACTTATGATATGCTAGGCCAATTTTAGCAAAACTTTTCCCCAGTATTTCCACAACCCTTTATTTTAAAATAAAGTTTCAGAAGGTTTTAATACCCAAAAAACACGAGTTGATCGACATATACAATTTTATTAGTGGCTTGCATATTTATTTTCTACCGCATATTTGTATTTATGGTATCGCTTCCTCTATTTTCTTGCATATTTATTTTTATGGTATCGCTTCCTGGTACTACTTAGACTACAATAGTTGTTCCCGGGACAGTTTCAGCGCTACAATAGTTTTTATGGCATTTTTTATTGACAGACCAAAGCAAAAATCGCAATGAACAAAAGTGTACAAAGTACCCGTATCTCATTGTTTGATTTAAATCTGAATTTAAAAAATTGCAAAATAATGAAAATTTAAATAAATAGCTACTAACCCACAGCTAAATCTTAAATCAGTCATCATTTTTGCAGTGTATGAAAACAGTGTTTAGCATCAGCGGGTTTCCAAAAGGCAAACAACACGGAAGGAATCATTTTCCTACATCAGACTGCAAAATCGCTTCTTTCTTGGCGTAATCAGTCGCACAGCAGTATCGAAGATTTCCTTGACACCTTCGCCCCGTATAGCGGAGCATTCTAAATATGCAAGAGCGTGAATTTTCGCGGCAACTTGCTTACCGACATCCGGCTTGATCGGTTCCTGAAAAAAAATGATCAATAACGTTTCCGGAATTTGACGTGTATTTACTTGACGTATATCGGTATATGTACTATTTAACAATGATACAAAAGTAACAAAAAAAGCACCGCATTGCAGAACGAAACTGTTTGCGAGATTCTGACAAACCTTCGTGGTGAACAATATAGACAAAAGAAAAACCTGCATGTATAAAAATAAACTTCAGAAAACATCCTATACCATTCCTTTGCTGGCCAAATGTTGCATCACTTTCTGGTCCGACCGGAGATCCTTTTTCGTTCCCACCAAAATTATTGGTTTTTTGTGGCAATAATTTTCTAGCTAGGCAAATGAAGGAGTTACCCATTTTTGATCGTGGGTGCAAAAATCAGCGCGGCTTGCGGTTTACCTCTGGTAACCATTTTTCTTGCGCATTAATCAAGCTCGCTGGATGAGCAATGGAAAAGACCAGCAGGATAACATCGGTGTCCGGATAACCCAAGGCCCGCAAACTGTCTGGAAATGTTTTGAGTGTTGATGCTTATTGTTAGTATGCGCACAGTAAGCATCCAATGTAATTGCGAAGTACATTCATTACCGTATTCTTCCTGACCCGCGGTGTCCCATAATTCGAGATGCACCTGTGCATATTCAATAAATTTTACAAAACAAAAAAAATTGTTCATTTGCACTTACAATAAGCCGATTTCGTTCAAATTTCAGCTCGTATGCTTGGTAAATACCGTATATGTACTTACAGTATCTATGCAGCTATTTTGCGCTTACGCGTACTGTATTGTACATCAAAGTCAAAGTTTGTAGAAATACAGAAATCAATAATAATTTCTTCTAACGTGCAACGGCAAAATATTCATATGAATAAGATCTGTTTGTTGACGGCGCACGGACTTATACATTTGCATCTTTATACAAATTACCAATCACTGTATGCTAATAATGGGTACCACATTGATTTGAATTGTTTGACATGAATGCGAAACATTATTATGACATTGTTATGAAATTAATTATAATATTATTAATTGTGACATAAATTATGAAAAAAAGATTATATAATTATGTAAATGGCAATATTATCACGTCTAGTAATGTAATGGTAATGCCATTGGAATTGTGGCATTGTGCAAATAAGAATACGGACTGTAACGGACAGTACGGTAAGTATTATACATATTACATATGCATACAAAAGTCATATTCATATGTACATACAGTGTTACCAAGGCATAACACATTTATATTTATATTTTGCCATGCATGGTATTACTGTGCATATAAGTGGACAGACTGTAAACTCACCGTTTTCCCGGCCACTTGTACATCCTTTGTAGTCATATCAAAAACAGTGGGATCATGTTCCACTGGAAAATAGTTTTTGGTGAAGACGGTTAACAAGGAGGTTTTACCGCATCCGCCATCGCCCACCACGATCAGCTTATACCTGTCCATTTTCGATTTCGATCCGGCTCCCATTTTTATCGGGAGGTATAGGCTGTTTCATGGAAATGAAAAACTGATCAAACCAAAAAGCGATCCCAAATTTCGCTAACAAACAATTTTAAAGATTACAGCTAGTGATATGTCCATAAGATCGTTCTCCATTAATGTGGAATTAGCCACATGGAGTTCCTGTCGGTGAGCAGAACGGCACATGGATTTTCTTATCTTCTCCGCAAAATATAACGCGATAAGTTAATACTTACTAACAACAAAACAATGAGTGAAGTTAGTGAAGAAAGCTGACAGATAGCGTAGGACAATTACGTAACTGTAAGAAAACGCAGCAGTAAGCACGCACAGTGTGCACAGTGTGTTGCATCTGTATCTGCATATCCTATGAGTAGGGCTGGAGTAGGTTTTTTATTACCTCCCACGTCAGTCGTTTCGGCGCACCGTCATTTTCCCTTTTTTTAGGATTTCTGTTATCCAGCATCTGTTTTTACATTCATGCACGTTTATCAATTAACAACATGGTAGCATTCCTGTGTTACCCAAACGAAAGAAGTTTTAATCCAATAATAATGCTTAATGCACGCAGAAATATTCGAGCAGGAAACAGAACTCACGATTTTCCCCACAATATGAATAACCACGAAAGCAGCAATCACAGTTCGGCCGGACAACCGGAATATATGCGTTAAAGCAGAGAGCAAGTACGAGATGACCTTTCCTTTCGTTTGAGCAGGGCATGCCGGACAGCGGTCAGAAAGAGATCGGTTACGCCTTGGCTCGTCTTGGCTGAGCATTCCAGATACGCTTTGGCTCCTATCCGAAATGCCAGCGCTTCGCCTTCGATTTTCTCTATGTACGGCTACAAATTACAGAAAAGAAGACCAAAATTAATCAGAATTGCATTGGGCTCGGGCCTGCTGATCGGTGTACGTTTAATTCAGACGCCTACTCCGTATTTGCACTACAGATCTGGGATTACCGAAAAAATAAGGGAAGCATTAAATGCTCAAATTGCTTAAAAAATGCGAAATGCTCAAATTGCTTTGAATTGGCAAAATCGGGGCACATTGCGGCAAACAGCAGTTACCACATCTGTTCTCGTAGAAAGGTCAACACGTTAACTAACAATGACCTCGCGACAAATGCTTACCGCTTCAACAGTTGAGGATTCATCGTTTTTTACCGCTCTAAGGTCAGTTTTGTTGCCAACCAAAATCACAGGGATGCCGGGACAAAAATGTCTGACCTGAAATTGTCCTGGTTTCATTAAAAAAGACGGGCATAAAGTTAGATTGGGAACTCACATAATAATATGCTAAACGTTATGCCAGCAGCGAAAGCATAAAGTGAAAAAGTACATGAAAGGTGGTTAAATAATATAATTATAATTTTGAAGCCTAAATAGGAATCAGTGACGAGTGGAAAAATGCTTTCCCTTCTGTACCTCAGGCGACCATTTCTCAGATACGTTTTGCAGACTGGTGGGATTATCCACGGAATAGACAATAATAACAGCGTCGGACTCTCTATAACTCAGCGGTCGCAATCTGTGTACACAAAAAAAAACGATTCATGGAAGAATCTTTGACTTTTCTACACGAAGAAAAAAGCAAGTTAGAAAAAACGCAGCTTCTTTTCATTCACCTATCAAAATCTTCCTGTCCGGCCGTATCCCATAAAGTAGTTTCTACCTGAAATAAAACCAACAATTTCAAATACAAGTACAAGTATAATCGCACATTGCAACTGCAAACTAGGGTTTGCACTTCAAGGCGCGGCTTACAATGTACTTACGTATCTGTATATCTATATCTAATACCGTATTACCTATTAATCGTAAGATTGCGCGCTGTTGTAGAAAGCTTCGCTACTAATACGTACCCGCATGAAAGTGATGCGGAAAAACTATGCTGATTTGGTCGTGTTTCCGTATATTTCCAATTAAACTTTGCGCATATTCGAGTGTTGCTATTATGTAGTTAGTTGGTCGTCTCTAAATCGCATCCCAGGTATGCGCTCAGATACGGACGCTTCATCGCTTGCGCACATTTTAACAGCACTTTGCAGAACGTTCAATTTTCCAACGGAGCTGGCGCGAAATCCGATCGACTTCGACCATTGAATTTCTAGCCAACTGGGCTTTTAATTGAAGGAGAAAAATATAATAGCATAGATTTTTTAAAAGTCGTTAGTTTCAGAAATCGTGCAGAATAAACGAATCCAGAATGCGCACGTTCGCATTCTGACCGCATCACTTTCGTGTGGGGTATCTGCATAAACCTTATGCACAGACGTCTACAAAAGTTTATCAAATTGCCGTAAATGTATGCAATTAACTGCAGATACTGTTATACGAGAAAGGTAAAACATTCTCAGTGGATGCATACTTTTAGTCCTACTTTACATCATGCTCGCTCAGTTTAACGTAACGTCCAACATTTGTTTACTGTTGCAACTCTGCAAGACTGCATCCTATCGGCTTGCCCAAAAACGGTATTATATGGGCCGAAATAGGCTACTTGGTCCAAGAAATACCTTTTTGTTATCAATGATGACATCGGTAACGAAATTCTCGAACACCGTGGGAATATGCACCGATGGGAAGGTTTTATTGCAGAATACCATTAGCAGGCTGGTTTTCCCACACACTGGATCTCCGACAACAACCACTTTGGCGCAGCGAACTTTCGGCTGATTAGTCATTATCGTCCCACATCGGATGAAGACATTAGCGTCCACTGGCGCAATGATTACCAAATTGTGTAATTATTCGTACTGCATTATTTCAATATATTGAAAGGAAACTATTAAACTGATGCTTAGTGATCTATACTGTTGCGAGATCGTTTTACTGGTCAGATTCAGCTACGTATTTGTACTCCTCGATTCTGCTGCACACAAAAATTAATTAAACAATTCTAACATCGCACTGTGAAGAGGGTACGGTAGCGACTTCTTGAGTATTCGTACAGGTACAAAATCAAACACCGGTAAAAGGTGCTTAATCTCATTAATTTTATCATTTAACGGTAAGCATGATTACTGTATTCGATAAGGTTACCGTACGGCGCTACACTGCATGATACATCATCGTGACGTACGAGTATACTTACATGCAAAAATTTCCAGGTCCACAGAATCAAACCTTATCAAAAATTCTTACAGATAAAACCAGTAAAATCGGTTTTTAAGCCTTTTATAGATGCTTCATACAGGTACAGTCACGGTGTAAAAGGTTTACCCTATCCACCTTGGTACAGTGTTCACAATCAGTACATAATTATACAAATATATAATATATATAAAGGTACTGTACTTCTACAATACCTCCCTTAATGCTCGCAGTTCATTTACCGTAATTTCACACATATCGTTTTGCATTTAAGTATAAATTCATTTTAAGTAGATATGTACTTCCTTACTTCTACGGTATTTATTTAAACATTATTACTACTGTTTACTATAAACACAAACACGCTGATTTTTGGTAGCAGTGAGACGTCCGCAGTTAATCGAATTTTGTTTTAACTGGTTGTAACTGAAATAAAGCGCCAAATGTCGCCCAACACCATGAACCCAGCCGAATATAGATATTGTACATACAATAGTAACAATACTTTACAGTATTGTACGAAACACATACATATCTGTAGAACATCTAATACTGTCTGTACTGTCACTTATAAAATGGGTTAATAATTTCTCTATACAACGATCTTTTTCAGGGCACCAAAACCGAGCAAAACATGCAAGCATTAGATCGTAATGCATTATTTAGCCATTATTCAAATCTTTGTGGCCAAGTTGCTGTTCCCTCAAACAAATGCTCCCCGAAGTCTTGATCAAGAGATCAAACATTTTTCCATTTTCCAGTCAGTGATTACCCATTTCATCCTTAAAAATTCAAAGTGCTGCTACGGATATTTGGCTAGTGAGCAGTTCTTAAAATCGAGACAATATCCAATAAGTCACGCGGCTGGCTCCAATGGATTTACGGCAACCTCAGTCAGTGCAATGATTTACAAGCTTTTGCCTTTTCGCCTTTTCCTGCTGTTTTCCAAGCTGTTGATCATTTTCGTGTTGCCAGCAGCGGATTCTCAGCTAGTTTTATGCAGGTGAATGTAATTTTTCTCCAATCACTTTCAGATCAATTGTGCGAGGATCTTGTACCATTTGCAGCTGTCTTCTACCGCGCCTCAGCAGCGCCTCAATGCGCATGGATTCTTTGAGAGGAATACTCGCGTTGGCTTTGAATTCCTGGCGTATACGATCGCGGAATCCCGGTTTCGCTGATGTTGCTTTTATCAGCTCTCTGTATAAATGAAGAACTTGCTGTGACAACTTGGAGCGGACCATAGCGAAGCAAATGGTGCAGTGCAGAGGAATCTTCCGTGCTATTTGGGGGTACTTCGTATTGGACTTCCACTTTCCAGAAGGATCCAACTCATCCAAGGTGGATTCCAAGGTGGATTTGACGTAATAGAATAAAGTCCAGTATGATCACAAGGCTGATGATTGATGATCATTAATTTGCAGAAAGTTTATCCAAACTGCAGCGCGTACAGTCGATTAAAATCAAAACTAAACTCACAAGTCAGTTAAAAAAATCGAAAAGTTACAAAGACACCTAACGGGCGGCCACCTCGGGGGAGGCGGCCAAGTGGCAGGCGGTTTAAGAGTTAGAAGCGCCACCTGGTGTTTGTATAATTGATTGAATGTTGGTTAATGAAGAAGAATGGTTAATGAAGTTGGAAGTATGGTTGTGCGTAGGACTCCGATAGAGACGCAGCTCAGTTAGTTTATAACATACATAAACTAACTGAGCATATTTATAACATACACCTGACTCTAAATCCCACCTCCTTTGAGCTGGCAGTAAGTGTTGGTTGGGCGCAGTTGGGCGCATACTTATAACACACACCTGACAATAAATGCTACCTCCTACGAGCTGGCAGTAAGTGTTGGTTGGGCGCAGTTGGGCGCATACTTATAACACACACCTGACTTTAACTGCTACCTCCTACGAGCTGGCAGTAACTGTTGGTTGGGCGCAGTTGGGCGCATATTTATAACACACACCTGACTCTAAATGCTACCTCCTACGAGCTGGCAGTAAATGCTGGTTGGGCGCAGTTGGACGCATATTTTAAAATTTACCCATCTTAATTTTTAATTTTATTTTCACTTATTGTTACCACACATCAGCTGACTTTCGGTTTGTATAATCGGTATGATCCCGATCAGGATAGCATAATACAACTGTTCTTTTCGTTAAGGCCGTTTTGTTCTAATGCATATTTTGTACTCGTACCATGATAATTATTAAAGGTTCTCAGCTACCAGTAAGTTGTTACTTGGACTCAGTAGGTCGCATATTTATAAAATATTATGATCTACTCAAACTTGAAAACAAAGAAATTGCCTTATTTATTTCGTCCTTTAGTTATTGGTAACTTTAAAAGTTAATTACTACAAAACCAATACAAAATAACAAAATAATAGTTTATTTCAGTATAAGAAAAATACTAAGATACAAACTTTACAAGTATTAAACGAGTAATTCAACATAACTACATCACATAGATAATAATACCGCACCACCACTGTCAGATAATAATACCACAGATAACTATAATGCACTTAGAAAAATGGTATAATGGCGGTAATAAATTCATGAATCGCTCAAATAACAACAATAAAAATGAAAACGATTGGTCCATCTCAAAGTAAAAGCAACGGTTCATGCTATTCCATTCATTTATTTCGTTTCTTCGGAGTTCCTGCATAAACAAATAAGTGGTAAATAAATAAATTCAGAAAAAATAAATTTTAAATTAATAATTATATTTAAATTCTTACCAACAGATCGTTTGCTGGAGTCAGGCTGCAGTACGGTTGTATTGTCGTCAGTGACAACAATATCCATAGCACTTCCTGGAATTTCGTCTATCAAAATAAAAATTCATTATTAATTTTGAAGATTAATAATTAATTTATTCTCGTAAAAAAGGTTATACCTGGCTTTTTTTCTTCCATATACGTTTTGCTGATTGTTTCTTTGCTCCGACCCTATATGAATATTTTATAAAAATTAAAAATTATAACTTGTGTTAATATCTTGTTATATTTATGAAACGTTTTTATTGCTAACTTCAATATAAGCATAAGACTGTTTCAGTATGACGCGATATTGCTTATTCATAGCTGAAAAATCGTGAATCCCAATCAATCCGCTTTGATGCGCAGCAGCTGAATGTCCAAATAATTGCTGCTGAATTTGATTATATCCCACAACATCCACAACACCACTGTCGTCAACGATTTGCAACTACAATAACAAAAGAATTTATAATATAAATTAGAACCTTATGCTTCATGACTATCGTAATTACAGTTATTGGCTTGTAGACAAATGTAACTTCCGATGATTTCGGCTCAGTCAAAGATAATAATTAACCATAATTTTATTAAAATATGAACTGCCAAATATTTGTTCTTTTATCTGTTTCTTAGGTTTCTTAGGTTTCTTACTCTTTTCACACTTTCGCTTAACACCTCTTTTTTCCATCTTTGTATAACTTACCCAAATTCTTGTCCCCCATTTTCGTTTCAATACCTTAAAAAACCAGCAAATAAAAATTTTTGCACAATCAAATTAAATTAAAACACTTACCAATAAAAACCATACACCTAAAATGGCATGTATACAAAAACAACTCAAACATACAACCAAACAACCGCAACAAAAATCGGAATGAAAGTCATGTTCTCCAAATTTTTCCGATTTTAATCTACAATAAAAAACATTTGTAAACCTCTAAACGGAATATTGCACCCACCTGTCTCTCATAACTCCAACTTCACTTGCCAATCTCAAAACGGATCAAAATACCCTAAAATACTGAGTGATACGGAACGTTGCACCCACCTGTTTCTTCAAAATATTTACTAGATTTAGTAAAATAAAAATCCAAATACAACAGACTTCACATCATACGGATCGTTACACCCACCTGTTTCTTCAAAATATCTTATTCCCACACACATAATCATTCATCCATAACTACATTTACTCCAAAACATACCCAGATTCAAACCATAAAACCAATCAACTTTACAGTACATTATACGCATCATATACTATATACGCATACGCATCATATACTATCGCAACATATACTATACAATAAACCATACGGAGCACTACATCCACCTGTTTCTTCAATTTGATTTTATCAACTACAATATCTACACAACATAACTCTAAAAATCCCAAATAAATTTTCTATAATGCCACTTATTCTTTCTATATTTTACCAGAATATACTTTTCCATTTTTTCCATAATTTAATTTCTATTTTCCTTCATATGATCCATATTTTCCTTTTCTTTCATCATTTATTAACATAAATATTATAACTACCTTCCTATTATTGATAACGTCAGTTACCGGTTACAGAAAGTCCTCTGCAGTTAAGTAAACTGCATTTATGTAAACTGTCCCAGATAACAGTCTCAAAAACGACCTATACGTCGTGCAACAACCTACTCTAGCGATACCGGTGTTTAGTGAAAATAAGTAAGCGCTCGCTACTATTTTAAAAATTCTATAGTAATGCACCATTAATGTGCTGCACATTTGAATTCTCACAGAAAAAATGATTGGATGTAGTTGGAAAAAGTATATCAATAAGCGTCAGTGAATATAACAATGAATACCGCGCAACACCATAGTAAGTACTACAGTAAAACTGTAAATAGTATAGCTGTTTTCTGGGCACTTCATCAGTTGGTAGTCGATTGAAAGTTAATCTTGATCGAAGTGAATAAAAGAACAAATAACGTTCGCCACAAAGCAAAAAGATAAGAAAGAAAATAAAATTAAGTAATAAATTTAGTAAACGCAGTAATGGAATAATATATTTTCCTACTATGTTTCAAGAGTTGTCATAACTGGCACTTGACTAATAAAAAACATAAAAATCGCAAAAATAACAAAACACCCCCCCGAAACACTCAAACCCCAAAAAAGCATTAAAATTTTAACATGAAATTCCAAAAAAATCTACACGAGCAAAAAATCTCTCCTTCTCATATTCTTTCTGACTAACGACTAATGTATCTCTTCGTTATGAGAGGTAATTACCAAAAGTCATTACAACAAAACTCCTAGCTCGTTATACTAGTAAGTTACATTATTGATAATGTTAAGTACTAAAAGTTCTACTAGTAGCACGTTAAAAATTTTTTATCTTTCACACTAGCGAAAAGCAGCTGCACTACATGATATTATCTACACACCAAACATCCGAATATACAGATATACTGTATAACATCCTTAAAACTCCGTAGATATCCTTAAAACTCCGTTTAAACCACACTACCATAAAGCCAAAGCCAACCAATTCTCTAATTATTCCTTAATATCTTTTAATCTATTCAACTTAGAAAACCAAATGCAACAAAAAATTACCAATAATGACAAAAATTCACTAAAAAAATTTCTTACTTGTCACAAATCTGCCAAAATCCATTCAAACACCTCTTTCCAGGCACTCCAAACCACTCTCCACCTTACTACAACAACCTTTGCTATCAAACTATCAAATAAGATCTTACAACACAATCCACACAACAAACTTCTCACAATTTCCCTTAACCAACTAAATTTCCACCGCACTCCGATTTCCTTTTATATACCCACAACACACTATACTTCACAAAACCACCAATCACCAGCAAATACCTACCTCCCCCATCCGATAACTTCCAATCAAAAATCATTTCGTCAGAGAACTTTAAAAGCGGCCTCATTTATATCGAAACACCCAACCCGAAAATCGTCCTTGACAGGACACATATGGCTAAACTACTGCTTCTACAAAAAAGACTACCCTTACAAATTCTACACAACAGAGCCATATGGTCTCGGGTGCTAAACACCCTCTGTCGCGATGGCAACCCCCCATCGCCTGCCGGAAAAACCGTTTTTTGAAAACGATTTTTGAAATTTTGAAATGGCCCTACCACCGTCCGACTCCGCTGCATATGTGCACTCTGCGAGTCTGCACAGCCATAAGGAAGCTGTGGGTGGGTACGGCATAGTGTCGCGTAGTGCGCCTCCCGCGGGGGTAAATCGACATACTTTTCGTAGTTAGCCCACGCCTCGCCACTGATCAATCCACACCATACGCCATCCGCAAAAGTCGTGACCGAAAATCTACGTCACTGCGGTTCTGTTTAAGTAAACTTCGTCGAATTCTGGAGTCTTTTCTGATAACGGACGACCATCCGGTTGCGTGTGGTTCGAATGGCTGATAACATTGGAGATATTCCGCCTTCCGGCGGTGGAGGTTTTTTCAAACGCATGTGTTTGGCTCGCGATCGTCCAGCTGCTTTTGCAGTGGCAGTCAATTCTGAACTTGCTGGTTGTGTTAAATCTCCTGACTCACCTATGGACACTTCCGAATGCTCGCAGAATGGTGCTCCGGCTTCCAGGAGCCCGAACGATCTACCAAATGGAGAAAACAACAATTATACGGGGAAAAAATTGGTCGAGGAGGTAGTGGCGTTATTGCTGAAGACATGGGAAAATCGAGCAAATAAGAATGGCAAAATTGTGGATTTCCTTTTGCCAGAAGATATGAAGGTAGGAAGCACGATGTGGTACATGCATGATACATCATATCTGTGCACGATATTGATATGCATGGAAAATATTTGTTTTACTTTCCCATTTTAATTTCGAATAGAAGTCATTCGATTTGGCAGTAGCGGATACGGGGAATTCAGAGGATAAAATGGTGGAAATCTGCAAACAGATAGTGGATCTCAGTCTGCATGCTGGTGCGAATCAGATTATTAAATCAGTTATCAATATTATTATTATTATCAATTTTGTTAAATCAGTTATTAGCAATGAGTGCAATTATTGTGCACTGACTGCACTTACGACAGCGGACAGCCGCAAAATAATTTCGCAGTTTGCCAAATTTAACCGAAGTTGCTTAGTTTTTGTTATTGGTTTTTTGAAGGGCATCCCGCTTTCTTCAATCAGTTGTGGGGAGGATTGGACGAGTACGGATTAATGAGCGCCTGGATGGTCGAAGCACTGCACACAAGCGTGTGAGGAAAATTCAGCGTAGAGAAGATAAATTATTAATATAGTCAAAATTAATAGCAACATTATGTTACTTACTGACATACGTACGTGTTGCAGCATTCACAAAGTGTTCGTAATATAAATTAATCAGTACGTGAAATTGTGCAAATAATTGCGTTTTTTTTGCAAGTTGTTGGTTTTGTGTATTTCGGTCCTGATTTCAGTAGGGTGTGCAGTTTCAAGCCGCCAGTTTGCTAGGCCGTGTACCTATAATCTATCCAGTACCCATTATTTTCTATTAAGTTTCTTGCAACAAGCCAGTAAGCTTATTATATGAAAATAAAATTTACTCTCTAAAGCTACGTCGAATTCAGGTATGCTGCGCAAAATTGGCGATGTGGGCGCTCGAAGAAGCGCGAAAAAGCGCTCTGGATATTATCATATGGTTTTTTTCTGTTTGTATTCGAATCAAGCCATTTTATAAGTACGGTGTGGTTCTAGGTACACTTACGAAGTTGCACCGTCGTTTACCTTGATGGAGTTATACATGATTCGCTATGTTGGGAAAGAACTTATCGGATACACCGACGAAGATGACATCGACGGATTATTTAATCCGGGTAAGTGGTACGGCATTGCATATATTTATTACGAATTATATCTATATTGATATTTATTTATTACATTATTTTATATTTATTTAATATTGTTGTAGTGTTTATTATTTACATGTATTATTAGTTTTGTATTTCGTTTTAATAATGTGGAAGCATTTGCTAACACCATGTGGGTTTTCAAATGTTTATCAGTGAATTTTTTTAAGTTTTAATAAGTAAAGTCATCATTTAATGTCCTTACAGTTAATGTTGATGTCTTGTTTTTATTTCGTACTTGCGTATATCGCTAAATTCGTCTTCAATAGGCGGTTCGATTTCCAACATACTCGGCATGCATTTGGCTCGTTATCGGTACCAACCGGACGTCAAAAAGAAGGGCAATGCCACATTCGATAAACCCTTAATCATCCTTACATCCGAAGAAGTATGTCCTTTAGTGCATTGGAATTTTGGCAGTGGGTTCAAGAGATTTCATTGCAGTGCCACTATAGTCTACAGAAAGGAGCATCCGTTATGGGTCTGGGTACCGATAATGTCTGGAAGGTGGCGGTCGATGAATTCGGCTGTATGATACCAGAAGAACTGGAGAGGCGAATCAAAGAAGCTCATGAGCAAGGTGTTGTGCCATTTTTTGTGTCTGCCACCAGTGGAACGACCGTTTTCGGAGCTTTCGATCCTCTGGATGCGATTGCGGATATATGCCAAAAATACAACATTTGGATGCATGTTGACGTAAGTGGGTGTTTATTTAATGGTTTCTTTCTGAGATTTTTAGGCTACGTACGGACACATGTTAGAAACTGCTGAAGATCTTGAATTTCCGGTTGAAATAGATCTACGAAAAAATTGGCTCAGAAACAATTCGACTTTTTTTCCGGGGTTATTTGCCGACTTTTTTTCCGGGGTTTCCGGGGTTATTGAATGATGGATTCTCAGTTTGATGAACCGGTTTTGCAGGCAGCATGGGGCGGAGCCGCAATGGTTTCACCGAAGCTGAGCTATTTAGTGAAAGGGATCAACCGGTAGGCCTAACCTTTAACTGGTTTTGGGTTAAATCTCACAGTTCAGATCGAGAATGGACCACACCATTGTTTTTTTTAATCTGGTCTGATTGCGAGTTTACTAGGAAGGTGCAGCAATTTGTGTATATTTTCAGAGCGGATTCGGTTATTTGGAACCCACATAAAATGCTAGGACTTCCTTTACAGACGGCTATGTTCATTACAAAACATAAGGCACGATAAGTGACACAGATAACTGCGTTCATATTATGCCATATAACTATGGACCAGCAGATTTACCTTAAACTGGGATTTGATTTACTACAGAAATTGTTACACGAGTGCAACTCCAATAAATCATCCTATTTATTTCAAAGTGATAAATTCTACGATATGGACTACGATATCGGTGATAAAACATTCATGTGTGGACGAAAGAATGATGCCTTGAAATTGTGGCTGTCGTGGAAGGGAAGAGGCCGATCACATTTGGCCGCGGCTGTGGAGAACGCCTTTGACATGGCTGAATATCTCGCGTCACTGATCCGCGAAAAAGAGGGATTCCATTTGGTCATCCCAAAGGTATGTGTTTCGTGTTTTATCCTGGCATGATATTTACACATTGATAATAGTATGTGAGACAATGGTTAAAAAGCTGCGTTCATATAGCGGCGTTTTTTGTTTTAGGTGCAGTGCACAAACGTTTGCTTTTACTATATCCCTCCGAGTGTGAGAAGCAATGTGGACTGGAACTCTGACAAATTTCGCGAAAGTATTGGAAAGGTAGGTTTCTTCTGGTGTTTTGCTGTCACTTGAACAGGTACTGCAATAGAACTCAAAATGGCAGGGTTATGACCTCGAGTATTTACAATGAAAACAATTTTTAAGCCTTTGAAAGATTGGTACTCATTTGCATCCGTTATGATGTTAGAAAGGTCAGATGGTAACCCCCGCCAACACAGACACTTGACCACTGGACGACGAACTTGCATTCTGTACACTTTTCTATTCATCCCTATTCTAGGTCGCTCCTCGATTGAAGCAACGAATGATGGAGCAAGGGACGTTATTCATTGGATACCAGCCGCATGAGAATCGCAAGCTACCCAATTTTTTTCGGATGGTGATACACTGCAATCCACCGGCTACCAAAGATAGCATGAAGTTTGTTGTAGATGAAATTGATCGACTTGGTTCTGATTTGTAGCGACTGTGAGCTTTGTTCTGAACAATGCTTATAATATTGGATTTTTAAATATAATATTTGATTGAAAGTTTGAAACAGCGTGATATCCGGCTCATGCACGACCTAGTAGTTCCTGTCTTTAATCGAAATGACTGTTAATGATTTTATAATGTTAGGAAATAATAAACGGTTTATTAACCAAAAAGCGAACTTTGCAGTTTTGTCAGCACCCCATTATTTCTGTTCTCGAGGCAAGCCTCTGTCGAAATGCTACTCTAACTATTTGTAAGTACCGGTAAGCACAAGACAGTTTTTCTTGTCTTGTGGGTACCTACGATTTGCAAGTTTAAAAAAAGGAAGAGAGACGAGCCACTAGCGTTGTGCATCTATGAGTTGAATTAAATTAATTGCTGTGATTGTATATTCATATCATTGATCTAACCCGCAATAATCAAAACTGATAAATTTGCATGAATAATTAAGACGTATTTGATGTATATTCCTATTCAGTTCCCAAATTTAAGGAGTGAAATTAAATTACTGTAACAGTATTATGCATTCGTACGACTAAGCGCGCGCGGTTTGAAGCCACCCATCGGCTTGGAAAACAATACTCAACCGATCGGTTCGTCCAGACCGTCAAAATTGAGCCGCGAGCTTGATTACCGTCGGTCCGTCGCCAATGTTGCTGTTGCGATCGCGACAAAAGCGAGCTGTCAGCAGCGTGTTACTGTTGTTACAGTACTTATTTCAGTTGTTTTTTGTTTTACTTCCCGAGTAAAACGAGAAGCCAAATACCCTGATAGAGATACCTTGTGATCATTTGATTTCGGTTCCAGAAGCAGGTGAGCAATGGCCGAGAAGGAATTTCTCAACATGGACAGTCCGCTGGAGCACTCAGCGCCTAATCTGAAGTCGTTCACATTCCTGGTGGGAACTTTCGAATTTCTGGGCCTGATGGCCATCATCCTCTCTGCCATATGGTTGGGCCACTATCAGGGTGGCTTCGCTTGGTCGGAAGCAGATCCGCGCCGAGAGTTCAACTTTCATCCACTGATGATGATTTTGGCGTTTTGCTTCATCCATGGAAATGGTATGTGTTTGTTTTGCCTCGGAAACTTGCACTTCTTGACAACAGCAAAAGCGCGTATTCGCGTTTCGGTAAAACCGCAATATAGGGATATGGCCAGTTTTGCAAAAAATGGGCTGATTATCGACGTATCCTACTCAGAATTTTTTTCTGAGTCGAATGGACCGGGACAACGATGGTTCCGAAGTCACGTGACCGAGCTATGGGCTAATTTGCATATGGGCGCCTTACCATAGTAAAGTAAGCAAATTCCATACAAAAAGACGGTGCATTACTTGTTTTGTTCAGAAAAAATTCTGAGTCGAACAGTACCCATCTCAGGTGAATAATAAATCACGTGACCAAATTCTAAATTTTTTTAAATTTCGTCAATTTTCGGGCCTTTTTTTAAACTAGTCATTCTCGTGTTATTTAACCACGGTGACGTACAAAATGGTAAAATGACCCACGAAAGCAGGACACGCTGATGACGTCATCGACTCCGTTCCTCTGAAATGAATCGTCGTGACCTTTGGAGTAAAGGTCATCTGAAGGTCACAAGCTAACATCTATTTTGGCGAATCACATTAAAAATAAAATCTAAGAAGTACAGGATATCGTAAAAAACAACGAAATATAAGAATTACAAGAAGCATAAGACAACACAAAAATTATAAGAAATCATAAGAAATATAACGAGGAAACATAAGAAAGAGGTAACCTAAACTGCGAAACAGTGAACGAAACCAAATCAATTCTGGGGTGTCAGTTATTCATGTATCGTTTAGAGAAAGGAGTAGCGTTGCGTTTAGTTGTTCCTTCTTCTGCCTTCTTCTGCGCATAACATTGCTGTGAGTTGTTACTTTTCCTGTCTCGTTTAAAAAAACGAGTAACATTGCTGTGGGGTGTTGTCACTTCTGTCTCGTTTAAAGAAAGAATTAACACTGCTTTGGGGTGTCACCAGTTCTTTCTCGTTTAAAGAAAGGAATAACATTGCTAATGGGTGTTATTAGTTCTGTCTCGTTTAAAGAAAGGAGTAACATTGCTGTGGGGTGTTACCACTTCTGTCTCGTTTAAAGAAAGGAGTGATACTGCTGTAAGGTGCTACTTCTTCTGTTTTGCTTAAGGAAAGGAGTAACGTTAGTTTGAGGTTCTACTTCCTCTGTTTCGTTTAAAGAAAGGAGTAACACTGCTGTGGGGTGTTACCACTTCTGTCTCGTTTAAGAAAGGAGTAATACTGCTGTGAGGTGCTACTTCTTCTGTTTTGCTTAAAGGAAGGTATAACATTGCTGTGAGTTATTACTTTTCCTGTCTCGTTTAAAGAAAGGAGTAACATTACTGAGGGGTGTTACCACTTCTGTCTCGTTTGAAGAAAGGAGTAATACTGCTGTGAGGTGCTACTTCTTCACTTCTTCTGTTTTGCTTAAAGAAAGGAGTAACATTAGTTCGAAGTTCTACTTCCTGTCTCGTTTAAAGAAAGGAGTAACGCTGCTGGTAGCTGTAACCAGCCCATATGTCTCTTTTAAAGAAACGAGTCACCTAGCTGTGAAAACACAAATTGTCTGAGAAATTACGCGAAAATAAGTTGGCTAAATAATAGCATTACCGCTAAGCAACTATTATTTAATTGTAACTGTTTTCAGTATTTCAGTCAAGTGACCTTTGTGACCTAGTTTGACCTTTACGAGTGGAAAAAATATGAGTCGAACGTGTCATTTATGACGTATATATGACGTCATCAGCAAGAAGGAGTATTAAACTCCTTAAATCCAGAAATGATTGAATAAATTCATAACTTGGTCATGCGATCTCTGATCGACGTGATTCACGTATCATTCGACTCAGAATTTTTTTCTGAGTCGAATTTTTGTTTTTTTCATTCGACTCAAACTAGCTATAAAACGCGTGTTTATCACAGGTATTACATAAAAAACTATGACGAAGCACCTAATATGCAAATTGACCCATAGCTCAGTCACGTGACTTCGGATCTGCTCCTGTCCCGGCACATTCGATTCAGAAAAAAATTCTGAGTAAGGAGCATCATCAATCTTGCCATTTGAACCTTTTTTGGCCGTATCCCTATCTTGCGGTATTGCCCGCGTTTCTTTACAGACTTTACTTCTAATTCTTACATGTCACTTCCGCCGATTTTATTCTTTCTGCTGACAGTGAGTGTGATTTGAGTTTATGCTGTTTATGCTTGTTAAGTTTGATTGCGGAATTATCTTGTTTCACTTAATTAATAACAATAATTGTCTTAATAACAATAATAATTGAATAATTCTGTTTGTAATTTTTACATACAGTACAGAGGGTTATTCAGCCAAGTGTGGTCACTTTTTGGAAAATTTCTGCTTAGCCGTTGCAGGCTTATTTTACTTTTTTAAAAATTTTATCAGATAACCAGAACATTTAATCATATTCTGAATTCAACCGAGCCAAGATTTCGCTATCCTGTAGCCCATGAAAAAATTAAGTTTATCCCCCCCATGTTGGCAACAGTTGACCAGTTCAGCTATAGGAAATGGATTCCCTTTACTCAAAATTAATTTAAAATTTGGGTTTTCGCCATAATCCATTGAAAACCTGTCAGGGTTTCTAACAATCCTTTTCAGAAGGAATTACTAGTTTTTCGATCAGGAAGCAACATCCTTGTTTTTCTCAGCAGTGCTCCCGGGAGCACATCTCTGGTTCTGGATGACTTCTTCCTCTCTGCCAGGCTTAATCCGCGGAGCGTCCTTTTCGATCAATGAACATTGTAAATTGTGAAGAAAGACCTGCGTTACAACTTTAGTTTGTGGAGGAACGAAAAGGATAGCTATAGCTCCGTGAGTAAGAATTCGCACAATGAGCATGGCTCCTGCGAGTGTCTTCCTGTTTTCGCGTTTTTCCAACCGTCCTACCGCAAGAACGCGCAAGAATATGGAATCGTTTTGCTATGAAAAATATTCGGATCGTCGTTTTTACAATTAAAACCATCCAGATTTGAAAAGCAGACGATCCTTTTAAGGCCAGATCATCGAAAGCCAAATTTTGCCTGGTCAAAGGTTTAGAGTCGGAGTCTTTAGGTCAGTAGCCAATATTGCGGGCTGTTTAAGCTCGATTGTCACAAAAATTTGCAAAAAGCATCAAAACTAATTTGTTATAATAAAACAATTATTAGAATCTGACTCTGCGCTACGGCTGAATTATAGGAATTTTTTTAATGCGCTGACCACACTTGGCTGAATAACCCTCTGTACTTTGAATTTTGAGGTGGTGATAGAAATACAGTCACAGATAATCATTAATCACGGTTTTAACATTAAATAAAGTAAATAATATCATTCCGATCAGCAGGAGATACTCTTTGTATTCTGAGTAATTTACGACGCACATTTTAATTTGGTACTCGTATTTCTGTTGGGCGTATATTTTTTGTTCAGATATGTTGGGATTTTGAAGAATGTTAAGTACATACATTATGTATATAGATATTTTGAATGCTTATGTTTACAATCGTTATGCGTTATGCTACCCGTGTCTGACTTACATACTTCTATTTGTGGTTTGGTTGTGAGAGGTATTTGTTTTTAGCGTTAAGTCGGAAAATAGGAGTGATTATGAACGATTAATAGAGGTGCTGATGGGATCGGCTGCGCGGATATGGCATGACATATCTGTGTTGTATGTAGCTAATTTAGCGTATCGATTGCTGCGCGGTGAGAGGAAGATCCGGATCAAGATCATCCACGCCGCCATGCAGCTGCTGGCCTTCATCTTCATGGTGATCGCCCTACAGGCTGTCTTCGATTCCCACAATAACCACCGGAACAGCCATGGCCAACCCGACCCCCATCCCAACATGTTCTCCATGCACAGCTGGATCGGCATCTCCACTATTGTTCTATACTGTTGTCAGGTACAAATGAGAATTAAAGCCACACAATCCTATATGGTTTCTTCTATCTGTAATAAAGATTGACTTATCGAGATATTTTATCGCATTGTGGTGTTTGTCATTTTTGCAGATATTTCTGTGGTGGTTCCCTGTTTTTAAAATAATTCCAAATACAATTAATCTCTTCGTAAGCAAATTGAAACTGCCGACCCAGTAAACTGAACGCATACTTGCTACTCAAATGAACAGTTTAGTATTGAAATTGTTCTAAATAACACGGCAGTGTTTTATTATCCACCCCAAGGTTTTCTGAAAAAAATTAAAAATTTTAAATATATTTTCTTGTTGCATATGTTTTGCGGCTGACTGGTGGTGTCTGTCCGTACTGCGGTAAAAGCACTCACTGTCAACAGGCAATTCATGAAGATCTTCCTTTTGTTGGTTTTATCGATGCTCTAACATGGTTAAAAAAGAATGCGACATGTGTTGTTAGCTCAGCTTTTCACGCAAGCAACAAGCGAAAAGGAAATGAGTTGTTGGCGTGGTGCAATCGATAGCCATTTCTGTGCGTGTGGAAGGAAGCGCACGCAGTAAAAGTTAGCATGCAATTAATGCCGGCCTGTTGCAGTGGCTTACAGGATTCCTCTTCTTCCTTTTCCCTAAGGTAAGCTTGTCGCTGCGGCGCAGCTATCTTCCCATCCATGTCTTTTTCGGCGTCTTGATCCACATCCTCTTCGTGTCAACGGCATTAATGGGATTGACGGAAGCTGCCATCTGGAATGTGTAAGTCGCAGGTCATGAAAAATTCGTAATAATTGGTAAATAATGCTTATTTCGGTGTAACGATTGCATTTTAATTGTTCCACTTTCTCTTAGTTTTTTTATACTAATTTTATTGCGTCAATGATATTATCAAGTTGGAAACAGTGTCCTGTACACCATAACAATCCTGCCATCTGCATCTAACCTTACGCTGCGTTAAATGTAATGACATGCAGAATTTCTCCGTGCTTCCGTGGCAAAGAGTTTTCTGTATCGTTGCAGTATTTTTTTATTTGTCTCATATTGCGAGAGTGCATGCAACGGTTGAGTAATGAAATCGATAATACTATTGTTTCTGTTGCAGGAAGCCGGACTACCACGACAAAAACGGTGAAGCGGCACTTGTGAATATTCTTGCCATTATTCTAGTGCTGTTCGGTCTGAATGGAGTGTACATTTTAATTAATCCGAACTTCAAGCGCCAGCCGCGACCGGACGACGATGGAGCGTATATTCCGCGGGATTAACAGTGACTGTCTGTCATTTCCACCCGGACACTTCGGCTTGGTTTCTCAAATATGGATCTCGTACTTTTATAGGCGTACTTCTCCCGGTAAAACGTATTTATAGAATTTGCATCGTCCGAATAATTTTATTTGCATCCGTACGGAGTCACTTGTTTGGTTATTTTTATGATGTGGTTTTGATCAAATATGGAATATCGGCATATACTTTAGAAATATCTAAAGGTACAGCGAATGTGCTTTTGTAATATACTTTTTTGGCATTTTTTGCGTATTTGGGTCTGCGGATAGTAGGTAGCTCTTTGTGACCAGATGTTTGTTTTGTAGATTTATGCATTTCGTAATATTGAAAGATGTGTTTGTGCTGCATTCGGTCCGATATAAAATTTGACGGTGTATAAATTGGGTTGCCATTTCCTCTTGTTGCGACTCTGCTAGTTATTATAAAATCACATAAGAGGTTTCTCATTTAAATGAGCAGTGCACTTGTTAACTTTGCTGACAAAAATGAAGACGTAAGTTAATCGTAACAGACATTCTTTTTAAGTTCCTGAAGATTGTCTGGATGTACGTCAACTTCCGATAACGCGTTTCTTGACTGTTTTGCTTACACATAGATGGGAATCAAACCGTATGTTATAGGTGCACTTGCACAGAGATTTCCGTTCTCACATCTAGTAGATAATTCTCAAGCCGGAAGCGATTCCCGCGGCAGTTAGGGACAAACAGCATTAACGTCTTTCTCAACGTTAACGACTTTTTCTCTGCATTCAGTGGTCGGCCGCGGCAAAAAACACATCTCAACTTTTAAATTAAATTTGGAAAGTGTAGTTATGTCGTTTAAATCAAGTTATAGGAACGATCGCGTTACAGTTGAAGACCGGCGCACTGACAGCCTAATGCTGTTACTGATACCTTAATTAACGCTGTTTTCAAACAGCAGTGTATTTCTTGTACATAATAAGAAACAATAAATCGCAATGAGCAATTCGAAGTCAGACAGTGATTTCGATGCGGTGATGTTCAGATTCAACATAGCGGTTGGGATTTTTGAAATATTGGGTGTGTCAACGATTTTTATGCTAACGGGGTGGATTAACACGTTTCAAGGATTTACATGGCAGTGGCGATCCGACCCTGAACAAGAATTCTTTTATCATCCCTTTCTGGCTACTATCGCATTTGTATTTGTCCATGGTAATGGTAAGTGCTCGGCTGTGCAGCCAGTGAAGTTATAAAACACTGTGGTGTTAATTTTATACAACTACACTTCAAGGAGCACACTAGTGTAAAGTAAACGTTCCGAGTACGAAAACTAACATCTTACCACTGGCTTTAATTTACGTTTATTGAAATGAATTATATTGAAATCGCATTACATTATATTGATATTAAAAAATTATTGAAAATATTAGTCGTATTTTATTGAAATTAACTTACGGTGACTATATCTGCTGAAAGTTCTGGTTTTAGCCAATTTGGTGTATCGGATATTCCGAAATTATCCTAAATTTTGGCTGAAGATAATACATGCCAGCCTGCAGTTTATCGCTATTGTTTTCATGGTTTGTGCACTGATTGCGGTTTTTGATTCCCATAATCTACTGACGGACGAGAAAGGGCGTCCAACGCCGTATCCGAATTTGTATTCGCAGCACGGGTGGCTGGGAATTACAATATTCATTGTATTTTCACTGCAGGTAAACGATATCTTACATATTATCTGTTGTAACAATCAGCCAAAATCAATAATAATGCTTAATAAGTAAAGCAGCAAAAAAATTGAATTGCTTTGCTGAAACTCATATGTGAATGGAAAGGGGTACTTTTACTTGATACTAAACTACTCGTACTTCGCCGATCGAAATCAGACAGCTTTCCGTTTAAAAGCCACTATATTATTGCTATGCTACTTTGTCGCGGCTTGTTTTTATTAACAAGGTTAATGTTTTTTTGTTTTTTGGCAGTGGATCTTTGGATTCATCGCATTCTTATACCCGAAAGCGAATTTATCGTTGGCGAAAGAATACATGCCGATCCATGTATTTTTCGGCATATTATTATTTGGACTTCTCGTTGTGCAAGCGCTGCTAGGATTGACCGAAGAACAGTTTTATGACGTGTATGGAGATTATAGGAACATGTTACTGTATTTTTTAGTACTTGTGCTTTTTCAAAGGTAGCCGTAAAAGCTGAGTTGTTGTACAAATCTAACCAAAAAAATTTCTCTTTGAATAATACCTCGTAGTATGTATAAAAAATTTTTACCGCATCACAAAATCTGATAATAGAAGCCAGCATAAGCTTACTGGTCAGTTGATGCGATTTTCGTTATGGATTTGCTGTTTGCAGACATAATTTCGAGAGCAACACCGGCGAAGCGGCACTCGTAAATTCAACCGGATACATCATAGTATTTTTCGGCATAACCGGAATCTACTTGATGGCTAATCCCAGATTCCGGCGTCTCCCAGGACAAAACGATGACGGCCAGTATAAACGAATATCCGGAGAAGAGCAAGAATAGTAGCGCTCTGTCTTACTAATTCACAAGTATTTTTAATAAACCCATGAGATGTGAGTTTTGTTACACCTGTTGTTATAATACTTCCTATGGTCTTTTTGTGCCTGCGGAAATTGGAGAAAATACATTTACGGCAGTTCTTGCACAGCAAGATTGTACATTATACATATCTGCAATTTCGAATTGGTGATTCGATCTTTTCCAATGCCCGGCAAAATATATTTTTATTATATTCCTTTGGATAGTCTCACAGAGCTATTATTAATTTTTATTTGTTACCAAATAGAATAATTACTTTTGCATCTGATTTTTGGGTTTTAATAAAAATTTTGAAGGGCCTTCGTCAATCGGCAGCTCATGTGCATTACTGAGCTTTGTACAAACTACAGTAGTTCTAGCGCAACCTGTGCAACGCATATACAGATAGGTATGGCAATATTGACGTGAATTTCAACATCGCGACGCGCATAATTCTTATCACCGATGACCAAAAAAGTTCGTGGTTGATTTCTTTGTACATAAAAGTATTATCGTTTCTGCCGTAGTCCATATACGATGTGTTACCTCTTTCAGCAGTTCATTTAGATACATACTCTGTACTCCAGTGAAGTATAATTTCCTTGTATGCAGAGGCACATCACAGTACTTCATACTTATCACCCAGCGAAAAGCGAAGAGCAAACATCGCTCCCGGCTGCGCCGGCGTAAAATCGATGATTACCTAGGTGGCGTCGGAAAACTGCATGTTGCAAGCTAGATTGCGGCAGAAGTACTTACATCCATCCTCAAAAGCATCCTAATTTTAGAACTGCAACCTTCATGAACGACTTCGCGTGGTGTCGAGCGCAGAACACTATACGTGTAATGCAGCACAGTGTCAACATGCAAGATTTTCTAGAAACCAGTCAAATTATATTGTAACATTTCCGTCGAATTGGTTAATACAAATTATTTTTATGTTATTACTTTATACAACGGATCATTGCAGAACGAATTCTGTAATGATGGAAAATACAGTAGGAGCAATAATATCTCCGCGCGTTCATGCAAAACTCTGCCGGCAATATGGGAGAACCGTCGAATTCGAGAGGAAACTATGTACCATTGCATTAATCGCAAAGCGTCTGATCGGGACCGTCGGGTTAACTGAATAGTCTGAATTAACGTCCTATCGAGTATCGACGTGACGGAAATGTTCTACCGCCATTGGGTAAGGAAATTGGCGAATATGTTTTCGCTTTTTGAGAACAATTGTCGTTTTAATTCTGGATACAGCTTTGCTGACATGATGAGAACAATGTCGAATGATATGTTCTTTTACAAGTGCGACTGATTTCACACTAATAAGTCAGACTCTGATGAGGTCAGCCAAAATTTACTAAATGACAAATGTTGATACAAATCTTGCATTCCTTACGCCGACTGCTTCTTCGTATTTACTTACATAAAATTTAAAAAGCAGTTTTACTGGAACTATATTGTGATTTGCAACACCTTTCATTTAATTAGAATGCCCAAGGTTAGAATACCCAAGACACAGTAATTCTGTATGATATCCGTTCTATTATTTTTAATTTATTTACAGAAGAAAATACTACTACGAGTGGTCCGAAATGGACACTTATTTATTTTGGAACAGGCTGTAAGGTAGTAAAGGAAACGAACTGCGACCAGGAAAGTAGGATCAGAAAAATGCAGGAACACCTCTGGATTCCCGGCAACATGAGCGGTCATATTCGGTAAAATCTTCGTAAGGCTAGCAGTATAGCTGGGTATAAATAGCGAATATTGATGAGCTACCGATCACCATTTGACCAGCTGTGTCAAATATACAGTCTGGAAGTGACCGATACGACAAAGCGTCTGATAAGCATGCATTACTGTACAATATGAGTACATACGCTCAAATCACGCAACATTCGGCTCATTGCTCATCTTACTGCAGTTGTTTTACATCCGGCCACCCAAGAAGAAATTGGAATTTTAAAATGGATGAGAATATGGAAACCGAAACGCCAACGGAAACCAAGAAAATCACTTAAATATTGGTTTCCCCAGCTGTTTGCTGCAGGCCGTGGCTGAATGCATCGTGTTAAACTTATCATGTAACGAATTCACAAACCTTAATCACTGTGTACGGAAGAAATACATTCCGAATTTTTTTTCAGTCTGTTTTCCTATAGAAATCTGTCTAGTTTTCCGTTTCTTTATTTCTTTACGTACCGCACAAAATTCGAAAGGCAATAAAAGATAGTAACCTCGTCCACAACAGATTCTACCGGATCGAGTATGACCTATGACCATATTATCGCGTATTGCGAGGATCGGCAGATGCATTCCCCAGTTTCTTAATGTATTGTGCCGTTCAAGATCAGGAAAAGAAACAAATGCTGAAGAACAACAAGCACCAGCACAGCAGATCACTGGGTAGCTTATACCGAAATGTCCTGCTTCACTTCACAACTACTCGTACGAGGGCTTCCATCCAGGGGACTCTCGAAACAAAAAAAATTAACAAAAACAATCCAACGTATTGTTAGCGCGACGATCCAATTGCATCCACAATCGCGATCTGAAAGGAATGAGAATAAACTGATCGAACAGAATTAAGAGAAAGTATATAAAACCAAACAAACGATACCGTATATTAAACAAAAAAAACCATCCATGTGCATACTATTACTGCCGCAACAAGATCGTAACATCTGACATGTTACAAGGTTGCAAGCGACTTCGCTTACAATCAAATTAGAAACGATCAATTAAGAATTGTACACAATCTTACCGGAAGGTTCAAGGATTGATCGTCAATTAGGACAATATCGAAGCTCGAAGAATAAAGGCTAAAAGAGCTGTGGATCTGCGAAATTAATCAAGAATCATACCTAAATACATTAGGAAACAGGGTGGTTTAAAAATTTAATTTACCTTCGTATTGAGAAAGCCAATAGTAATAACATTTTCCTTGGCGCGCATTCCATCAGCCATGGCCAGATCACCGATCATGTCGCCCATCAGCAACACATTACGACGGGATGAATGTTTTTCGAAATAGTCACGATGGTGAGGAAAGATTTCATTCTTATTGAACGAGTGGATCAGTTCCTCCCGGAATCCTTTCAACAGACCCTAGCAGTACGAAAGAGCACCGTCAAGTTTGTCAAACATTTTACAAAATAGTCTGACCAATAGGCTGACGACGAATCACCACTTCCTTATCGTACAACAAACTTTATCTAAGAAAATCTATCCAGTGCCTTTCTCGATAATTACTCGATAGCCTCGTTCCTCGATTGGAAAATACTATACATGTGTAACAGCAGCTTAAAAAGAAATGAAACTGTACACACCTTTTCATCGAAAACCATTGAATTCGCCACGATCAACGGCTCCAGTGATGTTGACTTTATATTGGAGCGCTCACTCAGAACACCTACCCAAAGGAGTTTCAATGAAAACTGAAAATAACAATATACGGAACAATGCCGATGCTTTACCGGAGATCAGATTATCAATGCCAGCAGAATAGATCAGCAAGGGCACTCGAAAGTTATCAAGCTTCTGGAAAAATTCATCCGTCCGGTCACTGAAATGAAAAATCCAGTTGCAGTATAATAAATTATACCAACACAGTCTCAACGAAATTAACCGCTCGCTTGTCAAGGAAACTAAGTAATAAAAATCTGAAAGAAAAAACTGAAATAAGCAAAACATTAGGATTAGGAAGCCAGGATTGCATTTAGTGAGCAGTTATTGGCTGAGATTGACCTGAGTCACCTGAGCTTCTACTTTTAACGGCTTGTACAGCGCAAAGAAAAACGATCACAGCGCAGAAAAAATTTCAAATCAGCAACCTGTTGCATCGCAACAAGCGCATAAATATACCGAAATTCGACTGTGGATTCCCGGACCATTTCTTTAATCCAGCTCTCCTGAAATCCCAGCTGCAGAAAGAGATCATGCTGCTTCAGCCACCATTCCTCCATGTGGGGGATTTTCTTCTCGAAAGGAACGGTGGGATCGAGCTCAATTTCCACGTAATGATCGTGCAGTTTCAGCGACTAAGGATCAGAAACGAACTGCAGATAACAAATTCCAAAATTTACATATTTGTAACGTACGTCTGAACGAAACTGGTCAGATGTCCGTGGGCTTCGGCTGATGATGCCTGTAAATAACAGCCTGATCCAGGGAAAACGTACAATTAAGTATACAGTTCAAGACAAAATAAATGAAGTATCCCAAGTTGATAATTAAAAATCCAACAAAACCAAAATCTTGGACAAACGAATGAAAATGCTTTCAGGACAGATGACACACTCACTGTAGCACGAATGCGAGAACTGTCCATCGCGATGGAAACGTGTCAGCGTCTGATCGAAATCCGTCACCACCTGGAACCGGTCCAGCCCGTCGCGGACCATCTTCTGCAGAATTCCCAGCACGTGCTCGGGCTCCGCCATGTGCACGCCTTCCGCGCACAGCGCTTCTTTCAGCTGGAAAGTCAATGCCAAATGGAGCATGCGCGGGATGGGAGCGCAAAGATGCCACTCACTTGTGCAGGTAGGCTAGCGTTCTTGACAGCCGCCCGCATTTTCTCCTCGCCTCCCATGAGAATGGGTCGCGGCAGAGGCAGCTTCTCCACTGGCGGATCGCAGTTCGTCACCGGATGAGCAGCGGCGACTTCAGGCGTCAACGCGGCAGCCATGGCACATGTACGTATAGTTCCAGAAAGCAATGCAGCCGTACAACTAAGTTGGCTACAAGAAAAATTAAATTTTTGGGATTGTGAATCAAAAAAACTCACTACGCATACCCATACGCTCACAGCCGAGTCGGAGCCAAAGCCCCTCAAATACAAGGATGGACCTCTACCGCTCAGACTGTGCGCTCCGATCAGGACTTACTCACTTTAAGTCGACTGAAAAAGAAGAAAAAAACCAAGTAAATGGAACAGATTTTACAGAGAGCAGAGATTTCCGAAGAACCACTGGAAGACGAAGCGGTCGAAGCATAATATGAAAAAATGTAGGCTTAAAAGCTGATATATATTTATCGTCAAAAATCAGCTGATACGTCTTAAGGAAACCCGTCATCCGAGGCGCTTGATCGATTGTTCTAAATGTGGTCGCCGGCCGATGTGTGGTGATTTACTCGGTGTTTTACAGCAACGGAAGCTAACTCATTCGGCTTGATCCACATGAATGCTTTACGAACATTCTTCCAGAAAATCAGATTATCAGGATGCTGTGCGGAACTTTAAAATTAGTAATACAGTAAAGTACTGTGAAATTTTCAGTACGTAATTGTTGTATGTGTGGTTGTACTTGTACTCATAACACTATAAGGAAACATGGGGAACAAGTGGAGCCTCCAGACTCGCTACATACTGCATTTACTGTAAGTTAGTGCAGGGCCGTCGCGAGGTCCGAAGAAAGGGGGGGGGGGGCGCGCGGTCCCCGGCGCGCCAGTTCGGAAATGGCTCAAAAATTGAAAAAACTCGTAGAAAAGTGGCTTTTTTGAGCCACTTTTCTACGCTTTTCTATTGTAATTTTCCGTGCGCCAGCGCCAAAGCGGCAGCGCCAGTTCCATTTTTTCGCGCCAGCGCCAGATTCCGGCGCACCATTTTCCCGTTTTCTCCCTCCGGGAGGGGGGGAGCGCCAGCCCCCCTCCCCCTCGCGACGGCCCTGGGTTAGTGCATTATAGTGCAGCAAGGTACAAGTGATCAATTAAGTAACAAAATTAATGTTATTACATCTCGCTCCAAAGGTCACATCGTAAAGTTAGAACTAGGCTAATAACTAAAATTAATATAGTTAAGCGTTAACTGCGCAGTTCGCACTAGAGTGACTGCTCTTGACTGTTTTCAGTTTTCTGTTACATGTGACGATGGATTCAGATTTGCAAAAGCTGCTCTCGACTTGTGAATTAGGGAAACTACTAATCTCTCTGACTAACAAAATCGATGAGCTTGGGAGCACCCTGGCTCCTTTGAATCTTCCTGTTGCTGCCAAACAGTCCATCGATGCTGTACAATCCTTCGTCAATGTACGTGATACAGTACTACATTTATTTACCCGATAGCGTTCGACGGCTGTTACCAACAATATTTAGGGTTTGTTCATCTTTAATGTTTTAGGATTTTCTGGAAAGATTGTGCGAAATTGCACTAACTGAGCCACGAGCAGCGTGGACGGATTATGAAGAGACAGCCGATAATGAACGCATTGTACGCACGGCGAATGCGAATGCTATTGCTGTTCAGCAGTCTCCGAATAAAAAATCACATCGATTCGTGAAAGTTGTGGAACTGACAAATGGAGCACGCCGGCGCTCCACTTCGCTGTTTTCAAAAGGTCACTACAATATCTCGTCCAGCAAACCTTTGAAGCACGTGAGACTGCGCTAAGCTTCATTTGCTTGTATTGGTAAAAATGCAAAAATTATCTTTTCTATTAATTTTGATATTCTTCTGTTTTCTGGCGCACAGGTTAACCGGTTCCCATACTGGAGAATTTCTTGCAAATGCTGCACAACTCGCTAACACAATCGTACAATTAGAAATGAGAAAAGTGAAAATCGGGAAACACTCAAGTGACTCAACGCATGATCATGATCAGCACTTGCAAGGGGTGTCATTTGGATTTCGTCCAGTCACAAAAGGTTAACTTTAATAGACAACATTTTTAATCTTTCAATGTTTTCTTAATTCTTGTAACAAGTATTAATTAATTAATTAAACGTATTTGCGCCGTTCAATTTTGCAACGGATTATTACAAATTTTCCGAGTTGCATAAACAGCCAAAATCCCGGTACTTCTACAAAACGTCGTTACTTAATTACGAGTAATTTATCGCTGGTAAGCAGGAGGGCACAACCAGCAATTTCCCAAGAAAGAAGTAGCGGACTTGAACAGAAACGATGCCGGTGCCCAACTGCAAATAATTCCAAGAAACATGCTGTTTTCGATCACAAAGCATCTGCAGCCAGAAATTCTGCCGAACATCAGTCTGATCCACGCGGAAGTTTCGGGAAACGACACGGCCTTCGCGCAGTTGCTGGCTGCATTCCCAGATTATCACGTGAGGTAACAAAATTTAAGTATAAAATTATCTGGAGTTGCCAAAGGGCACGAAACGGCTGGGACGTTACTTTGCCTTTACTGTTCAAAACAACCACTCATTCTATATATCCTTCTTCCATTTACAAATTCAAGGTCTGAATGTATTTTTCCAGGATAAAAACCGTAATGACAGCTCTGCGCAGCTTTCTCCTTCTTTACAATATTCCTCTGGCGGTTGTGGACACAGTAAAGTTAGGAGAATTGATCACTACACTGGGACTGCGAGAGTACTTTACGAAAGAGCACTTGCTGAGTCTGCTGGACAATCGCGGGGAAGTTGAAAAACTGATGAAGACTGCGGTATGCATAAGTAACTTTAATTTTGTGGATTTGGACTGTTGTGCATTATCAAATTTTTAAATTCCTTATTTTCACCTCTGAATTCAGTGGTGTGATCGATAATGCAGGGTTGCAGGTTTCGAGGCGCCAACGGCCGAATCGTAGCTGCGACAGTGATTCAGTCCAATTGGCGCCGCTATGTCACGCGTCGTTGGTATCTCACTTACCGCAAACAACGGGCAGCTGCTAATACGATTTCCAAGATTTGGCTGCAGTGGATGCGCACGAAAGCCATTCGGGAAAAAGTATCCTTCACGCGGGAAACATCCAGAATGTTCTATGCCGAGAAACTGGAAGTGCGCGAATTCACGCGGTTTTGCACTTTGGGGACCAATACAAGCTAGACCGATTACTTTTTCTTTAGTGGCTAAAGGCCAATTGGACAAAATTTCTGGATGGCAATCGCTTGTACATTCATTTGCCATCATTCGGATGGGAACAGAATCTGCGAAGCCGGATAAAGAATTTTTCGATTCGCGAAAACAGGCAGTTTGGTCGGATTGGGGATATCCACGGTGCGATTTTGTGTGTCTGTAACCTGCGCCAAACTTCTTTGATTTGTGTAATTTTTTAAATGTGGCCATAGAAGTAGTCATGTTTTAGACTCAGCAGTGAACGTTGTCTACATTTCACCGCTTGTTTTTGCCGAACAACACGCCGATTACCAACGCCGTTTCTTGCGATTGGCGGCGATATGCAATGACCTTTCGGAAGAAAATCTATCCCACAGGTTAACGATGCACGTTCCCGCTTTGGTGGACAGATTCCCGGTTGGTCGCCGTATTTTACAGTTGTCAGGCGTAGTGATAATTAATATCAGCGCTTTATTCTCATCAAGGCGTTTCACTTCTGCTTGTCTACAATCCTGAAATACAGCGGATCCAGTCTGCACACGCTGCGCCAACTGGCGGCACAGCGGCCGGCGGTGCTGGTCAGTGGATATCCGCATGTGGACGATCTGGAAGTGGCCAGAGAAATCGGCGTTCCTTACCTCGGAACGGATCCCTACGTTGCCGACGTTTACGGAACGAAAAGCGGAGCGCTGCGCGTTTTCCGCGAAGCAGGGGTGACTGTTCCGCCCGGTGAAGAAGATATATTTTCCGAACAACAAGTAAGCTTTGAAATTAATAAAGTAAATAGAAATATGAAATTCGGCTGGGTGTATCTGACCAGGCGTTGGTACAAGACTCCAATTGTACTGGCATACTCAACCTGATGATGCCGTAACTCTGAAATATAAGTGAAAATTAAATAACACCCGATGATTTACAGAAGTGTAGTCAATCTGCGATAAGCTTGCAGTTTTTAATGCACCGAAAGTTAGAAGAAAGCTATGCGTACAAATATGTATACTAGTACTTCATATTTAGTCCCGTTTTTGAATATTTTGTATTCTTTTGCAGTTAATAGAATCGTTATCGAATTTAATTGTGCTCAACTTGGAAACACCAACATGGATTTTCAAAACGAATCATTCCCGCGACAGCCGCGGAATCGCCTGGCTACACATGACATGCATTTCGTGCCTACCGTTTCTCCGAAAAGAACGCGCCAAGAAGAAAGAGCAGTGGTCGTTGTACTGGGCACACGAGCCGTTTCTATCCACACTGCAGAACGAACTTCGTGAACAACTACCGAAACACTTCAACATTCGCAGCCAGTCATACTACGCTACCTGGAAGGATTTCGTGAGAGATTTCATCACGCATGGAGGAGTCATCCAGGCGTTGCCAACGGCGGACCATGTGACCTGTTTGACGTGTGATTTGTTTATTTCGCCCTTAGGCAAGATGAGTGTTGAATCGTCTGGCGATCAGATTGCGGATAAGGCACCGTTTTCCAAGTTGGGCTACTCTATTCCACAGACATCGGTGGCTGCGCAGAATTTCCTGATTGATTACTGTGAGAAGATAGCACGGACGGCGTACAGTCGCGGAATAATTGGATATGTTTCGGTGGATTTTGTGACCTTTTTCGACGGTCCAGAGGTACGTAAATGACGCTTGGGTTTGCGATTCACGATCCCATCTTTGACTTGAGTCTATATGGTAATAAAACTTACAAATGAATCTTGGCAGCAAATACTGTGGGCACTGGACTGGAACATTGGAATCCAGGATAGCGTTGCTTTGTCAAAGGTCATCCGCTTCGTTTTGAATGCTTGGACGAGCCAGACCTCGCTGATGCTGGAAACATTTCCGTATGTACCGCCCAGCAGACGAAAGCGGAACTTAGAGGCGAAAGAACTGGTAATTGACGATCGCAGAATACGCAGAGAGAAATCAATTTTTGTAGTCGTGCTCTCATCTGATTAATGATTTCCCGTACTGAAATTAGGCTCCAAAGCCGCTTCGGCGTTTTGCTGTAGTCAGCTCCGCACTGTATCATTCTCATTTGGAAATTATCCATCCCAACGTTTTCTATCAAATCTGCAAATCAATCAGCCTGGAACTGGATCCAAGCGTAACTCTCTAACATTTTTATTGTCACCTTTAACAAGTTTATTTGCTTCAGTTTAGATTATTATTTATTCAAAACATGTCTCATGGATTTTCATCAACCACAACTGCTTTTGATTTGTTTCGCCTGAATTCTTTGCAGACAAAGCAAGGAAGTATCCTTCTCCCGCTCGACCATAGCAAAAAGACGATGCTCGGAATGTGGTAAAACAAAATGCATCATCGCATGCCTGAATCATATTCGGTTAGACTTTGAAAAATTCGTTTCTTAAAGGAATTTCTTCATGTTTTTAGTGTGATTGCTGATTCTCTCCACAAGGCTCTGAAAATATACAGCAAAAATTTGAAATTGATGAACGAAGAAATCACCAGTACGACAATTCAAGGAGAAAGCAATTTCATTACGGCGGCGACCGCAATGGATAACATAGCGAACCAAGTCCAGGGCAATGATAACCAAACAACAGCCAAAAAGAGTAACAGCTCATTTCCCTTTGACAAATTGTACCGAGAATGTTGAAACAAACGAAGGGATGCACAGAAAACAACGCAAATGAACTCAAACGCACGAGGCAGCTAAATACCGGCCATATTAAATACAGTCCCATAACATCCATAAAAAAGAAACAACGTGATGATGCTTTCCACTCATAACAGTCCCTGACGGCGAAGATCTTCGTAGGTTTTCCGGTTGACTACATTCCCAGCTGAGTCCTCAAATTCTTCCTCGGCGTCGGGTTTCCACTTATCGGCATTCTTCGCTTTCTTCAGCTTCTCCCACAATTTTACGGCTTCTTCGATATGTGTAATATTAGCGAAGTGGGCCGTGTTGGGAATACCGAGACATCGCATTCCGTGCGCATGCCTCCATTCACTAAAATGCCGCTGAAATGCTTTCGGTCCTCTGTACACCTGTTGAACAAAAAACATTTACTCTACTGTGTGATCTGGCTATGCTTATAAGCTATATTAAATAAATGTCTGAACGTACCAATAATGCTACGATACTTCAATAAATGCCATTATGCCACAAAAACTCTCACCTGATTTCCACAGATTTCACAAGGATAATTGATATTGAGACCATGCAGCTTGTAGAGCCAGTAGGGAATCGGTTTTCCATCCCAGCCCAGCGGTAAATTCTTGGGATTGTAGATAACTTCATCATCGTCTTCTTCATCCTCTTCGTCATTCACGACATCGTCTTCCTCTTCTTCGCGTTCCTGCCCAGCCCGAGCTTGCTTCCGCACAACGTTCTCTTCCGTTAATTTGCGCTCTTGTTCCACCAGCGTAGCCAAATGCATGACTTTCGCCTCCAGAACAGCCAGCTCTTTTTGCCGACTATCTTCCTGGTTTTTCTGGGCGGTAGACGGTTTAGCAACAAGAAGACTCGCGTCAATTTCAGCCGGAGATTTGCCACGCGTTGACCACAGACGCTTGGCCCGTTCTTCCAAGGTACCACCACACTTCATGCCTTAAAAAATAATCGATTTAAAGATTCCAAAATTAACGATGCATATGTACTCTTATAGCAACTTGCGACGACGGACACACAAAGAGAAAGCAGATTAATGAGCATTTGACGACTGAGCATTGTCGCTTAGTTGTCAAATAATCGACTCAATGAATCTGTGCAGTTTCAGTGCTGGTAATATATTTGCGCATTTTCATCGTTGTCGAAAAGAGATCATGGAGTTGGACACGGAACGGCTGAAGACGGCATTTCAGCCAACTCCTTGCTTCAAATAAATTACTTATTTATCCTGTGGCACTTTTCAATTAACAAAATGTGCACTCGACACAGTCCGTTTAAATTAAATTAAATACATTAAGCAGTATCATAAGACACAACTCTGGACTTACCGAGCGCCATTAGTGCCGACTTCAGTCGCTCCATACCCAGCTCCATAATCTCTTCGACAGCGCTGAAACTGCGCAGATCCAGCAGGACTCCCTGGTTAGCGCTCTGGGCGGATTGCAGACCTTTTCCCCAACCAGGCACTTGCCCTTTGCTCCATTTTGAATCCACGTCTTTCTCCACGTTATCCAGCTCCGCTCTGATATCGGTCAGAGGTTTGGTGCGGAACAGGAAATCAGCCAAATACTCGAATACGGCCTCCACGTACTGGCGATAAGCAGCAGTGTTCTTACTGTCGCGTGGCACCTCATCCAGCCGAAAAAATCCTTTGAGGTAATCATGATAGGAAAAATTGGGAGGAACAATGCCTTTCAGATTTAAGAACTTTTCATAGAGCAGATGAAGATCCAAAAACCGCCCTGAAAAGTCACATAAAAATGAACATGTAAAATCAGTACCAAGCTGTTTACAATCGCGTTCATGCAACAAATTCGGCCTTCGTCAACAACTACGTACTGAAATCAAGCTGCAATTTACCAACTAATAATTGACAGAAACCGACAAGCACAATGTTTCCCTAAATTCCCCCATACACGAATTTTATTTATTAATATAAACTTTATATACATTACAATAATATTGTCTTTTATTTTATATCTTATAGGAGCAAAATACCACACGCAAACCTATACCAATTTTCCAAGCTTTCAAATTTTTATTTTTAGCGTCATAATTTTACTTTTTATTCCAGTTTTCAACTTACCGTGGGCTTCCTCGTCGGAAAACGAGACTAAGAGTTCTTCCTCTGGCTCAGCGCTGCCCTCCCCGCCCGCTGCTGCCTGTCGCGACGGCGTGTTGCCCAGTCCCAGCCGTGAAAAGGCCGCTACTTGCACCGACAGCGGAACGCTGACTTCTTCGGGATGCTTCCTGTAATACTCCCGCAGACCCCGCAGTCGATTGTAGAATTCGTTGAAAGGCCCGTTAGTCAGAGCCGCAATGTCCTGGCGACGCAGATTGTCCTTGTCTTCGTACAGATCGGCCAGCCGTCCACACACTTCCGTGTGACGGTCTTGCATGATCTTGATACGATGGCCAGAATTCAGCTGCTGACGATACGTGCTCTTGCTGGTCTCGCCTTTGACCATCTCCTGTGCCATCGTCTCCACAAGACGCTCGCGCTCTTCGTGAAGAGCTCGCTGCTGCTCCAAAATCCCCTCCATCAGGATGTGATATTATTACACTATTTCAGATTCGCGATTATCAAACCTGTTTACCACACTGTCAGATTGTCAATTGTTAACCCGCAGAATCAGCTTAAAGTTGCATAACATGATAACAGTGAGAAAACTCCAAACTACAATGACAAAACCAAAACGGAAATTGGCAAAAAAGCTTTAGCGCGATTAAGATACCTACGTAATAATACGGAGAGCAAACGCAACGAGCCGAAGTTGGAAAACACACCAAGCGCTATGGGAGTGCACTCGCTATGGGCGGTTGGCTGTGAGTCAGTTCGGAACTTCGGATACCCCAACTGAGGTAACCGTTTCTAAGAGCTGGTCTGTATTACTTGCCAGCGCAAAACTTGCTGATCATCCGAGACAGCAAAGTTTTTACTCTGAGAATCCTCAAGAGTCAGTCAGAATCAACATATTAATTTTGATTTTCCATTTGACTAAATTGTTTGATTTACGTAAACTTGTGCTGCAGATTTTTGTCGGTACTCTTACTTGTGAATCCAAAATGGTAAGAACCAGCGCGCACCAAATGAGTTGAATGTGGTATTGTAATGGACGGCCTTTTGTGCGCAGGTGAGTCTGAATCCCGTGCAGATCTTGGCTCCTGACGCCGAAGAAGACAAGGCGGAGAATGCGCGTTTGTCAGCGTTTGTCGGAGCCATCGCTATTGGTGATCTGGTTAAAAGCACTTTGGGACCGAAGGGAATGGTACGTTGTAAGCGCCGCACTCAAAGAGACTCAATGAAGAACTGGCGGAGTTTTTCAGGACAAAATTATCGTTTTTCCCGGTCGCAGTCGTGAGATGCAGGTAACAAATGATGGGGCGACCATCCTCAAGAACATCGGGGTGGATAATGCGGCTGCCAAGGTTCTAGTGGGTAAGAGATCGAGATGTCTTGTCGTTCACACCGGAAGCTGATTCGGTCATGTTTGTTCGATGTTTCGATAGACATGTCCCAAGTGCAAGATAGTGAAGTTGGCGATGGGACCACTTCGGTGACGGTGCTGGCTGCCGAGCTCCTTAAGGTATAGCTATGCATTAACCGGATTTTTTTATTATGATATAGCGCTATTAGAATCCTTCTATCCTCTGTAAACCATTACAGCAATTCGAAGCGGTTGATTTTATTTTTACACGAGATGCTGATGTTTGGTAACTGCAGTAAATCCATTTTTAGTTGATTTCAGTCTGGTGATTGTACCGGCGCATATTTCTTGACCAATCTTTCAATAAAATTTGCTTATATGGAATTTGCTTATTCGTTTCATTACAGAGTTTTATATAGAAGAACTTGGTAGATATATAAGAATTAATGCAGTTTTTAATTTTATTTCAGGAGGCTGAATCAATGATCGGCCAGAAGATCCATCCGCAGACCATTACATCGGGATGGCGATTAGCAGTGAACGCGGCGAAAGATGCGTTAACTTCATCTTCATTTAGCCATCGGTGCGAAGCCTGTTTTGTGATGCTCTGATGCGGTTATTTGAAATTTCTTTTCTGTAGTCATGAAGATGCTAAGTTTCGTGAAGATTTGATGAATATTGCCCGTACTACACTCAGTTCCAAGATTCTCAGTCAACACCGGGACCTTTTCTCCAAAATGGCTGTTGACGCTGTGTTGCGATTGCGAGAAAGCGGTAATCTCGATCACATTCAGATCATCAAGAAAACGGGCGGCCAGCTCAGCGATTCCTTCCTGGATGAAGGTACGTGGTAGAAAGTATTTGTGTTCCCTGTTTGTTTACCTGAGATTTTTTGGTGCTTTCATTAGTATTTGTGTTAGTAAGTACTGTCATCTGATTTACAGTCTGTGTGAGCGGTACTTTTGTTTCGCGTTTTAGGTTTTTTATTTGTTTACCTCGTTTCTTTGCTTCCTGAATCGCTGTTTTCATCGTTTTCCGTTTTCTTTTGACTTTCTAATTATAAGGTTTGATTTCAGTGCTGACAGAGATCATTGTGTTTTCTGTTTTAGGCTTTCTTTTAGCCAAGCGACCGGGAGTAAATCAGCCAAAAAGAATGGAAAACGCAAAAATCCTGATCGCAAATACGCCTATGGATACTGATAAAATTAAGGTGCGCTGTTTTTATAAAGTCCCTTGATTTGTTTTTTGAATGTGTATGGTGCTTCCTTTGACAAGGCTACAAGGCAAAGCTGTTTTTCAGATTTTTGGTTCTCGTATCCGAGTGGATTCTACAGCGAAAGTAGCCGAACTGGAACTTGCGGAGAAACTGAAAATGAAAGAAAAAGTGGATAAAATTGTTAAGCATGGAATTAATGTTTTTATCAACAGGTACGAATTGTACCCTCGCTGACCAGTAATCATCCCATTCAGCAACGTCAACACTATCTTACAGACAGACCATAGAGGCAGCTTGTTATGTTTGATGATTTTTGTATTGTAGACAATTGATCTACAATTATCCAGAACAGTTGTTTGCTGACGCCGGCGTAATGGCGATTGAACACGCTGATTTTGACGGCATCGAGCGGCTGGCATTCGTGCTGGGCGGAGAAATTGTGTCAACGTTCGATCATCCGGATAAAGTCAAATTAGGTTCCTGCAAACTCATCGAAGAGGTTCTGATTGGAGAAGAGAGGATGACCAAATTTTCCGGTAGGATTAAGTCTAGCAGGCTGTTTATATACTATGGGTGGTGACAAAATAACCATTCCGTATTTCGTGCAGGTGTGGCTGTGGGCGAGGCATGTAGCATTGTGCTGCGGGGAGCTACACAGCAGATTGTGGATGAAGCGGAACGGTCCATGCACGATGCACTCTGTGTCTTGCAGCAGACCGTCCAGGATCCACGGGTGATCTTTGGCGGCGGCAGCGGAGAAATGCTGATGGCGCAGGCGGTTAGTCAGTTGGCGACGAAGACACCCGGCAAAGAGTCCATCGCTATCGAAGCCTTTGCTCGTGCACTGCGCAAGGTATTTACGTCATTGAACCTTTATTGGTGCTGGGGTTTTGGTTAGGAATGTGTTTGAGACTGGTTTGCTTTAACAGCTACCGACGTATGTGGCGGATAATGGTGGCTATGACAGTGCTGAGCTAATATCGCAGTTGCGGGCGGCCCACACGGAAGGCAAAGTTTCCATGGGATTGAGTAAGTATTTAGTTGTTCCAAGCTCTGGTTGTAAACATGATGGAAACTGACGCAACAACTCGCGAAGGTAGTTGTAACGTTTATGATCAGTTTATTTCGTGACTTTATAATTTTGCATCGTAACCTGGACGTTTATGCGGCTGATGCGTTTATGCGTTTCTTTTGCCGAATTTGCTTACATATATTATTTTTATGTAAACAGTGATACGAAATGTTTAGTATTAACCCATATTCGGTTCCGGATTCGTTATTCGTCATGACGGTTTTTTTGCAGATATGAATACGGGAACGGTGGACGATATGAGTGTTGTGGGTGTTTTGGAGCCGTTCCGCGTAAAGATGCAGGTGTTGATTAGCGCGGCCGAGGCAGCGGAAATGATACTGCGCGTGGATAGCATCATCAAAGCCCCGCCTCGGAAGAGGACAGCCGATAAGCATAGACATCATTAGTGTTGCCTCGATCTGTGGAACAGTGGTGTTTTGTTTGTTGTTACTGTACCTGTACGTCAGTGTTTCTTATTCGTGACAGCAGTTGGTTTTTAGTTTGTTCCTTAAGGTTGACATTTCTGCTTCGTCTGTTGTTTATCTTTTTTTAAATAAATACATCATAATTAGTTTTGACATTAAACGGAGATTTTGGAAATAAAAATTCAGTTATCAGCCAGAGTGAGATTTTGCATTGGTTCTAGGTTGGCTGACAAGTGACAACAGTGTACGGGAAAAAGCCCGAAAGAATGCATTGCTTCGATCAAAATTGCATTAATTGGTCTAACAATTTAAGGTTGACGATAAGAGGTGTAATGTTTCTGTTCGTTTGCGCTTTATCACGAAGGCCACACCAGTGGGAGAATTGAAGCAGCTATTAGCCTGAATCATACATTCCGTTCTAGGCAGTTTTTGTGCAATACACAGCGAAATGCTAATCTAGTTGACGAAGAATCCATCAAAACGAAGCGCAACATTTTCTGGTTTTCTCATTTAGGCGCTCGATCATTGACGTCGATACTCAGCATTTACTGTATGGTTACTGCCACTCCACATAGCTCATCCAAATTCGCCATGATGCTGATATTTCCGCAAAGTAATCTGGACAGATTCACAAAGGCGTTCTTTTTTCAATACCTGCATCCACTCTTCAATTTTCTTTGGCGCAGTGGAAGTTCTGGTACCGTACGGAATATCTTGACGATTTCTCGTCTGCAAGCGTAGCTGTACTGGGGAAAGGTCACACATCTCTTTCCGCATTATAATGTCCGCTACGTTGTGTCTCGGCTTAGCACTACAAGTGCTGTTGGGTGCGTATATTATACGATAAAAATGTTGGTTTTTACGAAAAACAATCTTTGGCTTACGATTAATTACCGCATGTGCCTTTTGAATTTTTAAATACAAAGTCTTGCCTTGAATCCCGTTGCCCCTTGCTTATTCCGTTATCCATTCCGCTATCCCTTTTTTTATTGTTTAGGCTTTTCTTAGAGTAGTATTTAAAGGTTTACTGGACGTAACGTAGATGTTAAACCATGCACTGACTTTTCCCATATATATAGAATACGAGTATGTGTGTATTCATATCTTACTTTTATATAGATATACAGTATACAAGTGTATCGCTCGCTGTACAGTGGTCACTGACTCTCTACCCGGTAGAGTTAATACTCAAACTAGTAACTTATCTAACAAGGAGCTTAGGTATCTAACTTATCTAACAAGGGGCTTATTTGGGTGGCTATTGCCACCCAAAGAAATAAAGTAGCATTTTGCTTGTAAGTTGTAACGTTGTTACTGCACCGGTAGAAAAATGTCAAACAAATCCATGTTAAAACATTTACTCAGTAATTTTACGTCTGATTTTACTCGTACGTCGATTATTATTTCTCGCAGGCTGTGTGGTTTATGCTGACCAGAACAGCGGCAACAGCAACAACGTCAACTGGTGGCCCGATAACAAACCGGCAACATCCCCACCAACAACTCCAACCACAACAGCGCCCCCAACCACAACCACGCCTGCCTACGTCCCGGCCGGCAGTCTCCCGTTGACCGCGTCCCAAACTGAGGTCTGCAACTGCAGAGGATTTTTCACACAGAGCGGTCTGATGTGCGCCACCAACGGCGTGACATACAACAACACCTGCACGCTGCACAGCGCCATCAAAGCCAGCATGATCGTCAGTAGGTGACCTTTTGCTAGATGCTTCAGTCATCGTGTTATTTCTACTGTCTTAAACCAAGCAGCGGTTCATTTTCTCGTTACGCACAGAGAAGATTTCTATCAAATTGTTCAACTCAGTCGGCTTAATTACAATAAAATACCACCAATTTGAGATGAAATTAGAAGCGTGTGTATGTATTATTTACTAACATACAATGTTTTGTTGCAGACCGACCTATTGGTCTTCGGTGCACCGGAAAATGCCCTTGCAATGACTCGAGAATGCTGCTGGTGGCTAATGCTCCCGGCGGAGGTACACACTGCTAACTGATTAAACTTTCTCTCGCTGAAATTTAAATTAATGGTACCAAACGTTAGGCGCAGCAAGTCTCGTGCGGTAAACAGAGGTATTTGCACAAATAACTACAGTATATTCGCACAAAATTTGAATATGCTCCGAAAACCGGTATACGGTGTGGTGACTTAAGGGAAGTGGGCCGGTACATGGTACCGAATTCGTGTACATGCACGAAAATTTACACTTTCGCGCACTCCCAAACACATTTTTGTTTCGGTTTATGGCGTTTTGTAGCCAGAAGATTTGTATACACTGGCGTGAAAACCGTTTGTGCGCGCAACATCCGGTTCGGGAGTTGTGACTGTTAGAAAATTCCAAAAAGTTTAAATGCGTTCAGGTGTACCAAAAGTCTCATTATAGACCGATCTCCCTCAAATTTTGCACGTAAATGCGCATGTTCATGAAGATCGTTTTTACACCGATCCACTGTTCTAGCATGTTTTTCAAATTTTAAAATGAATTTCAAAAATTTTTGAATTCATTTTAAAATTTGAAAAAAATCATGGAAGTCAGGATCGGTGTAAAAACGATCTTCATGAACGGTCATAACTCCCGAACCGGATGTTGCGCTTTTCACGCCAGTCTTACCCACCTTAACTAACGATAAGTAACTAGATAAATACAATTAATATTAATGTACCGCTTATTCCTTACCGTAAACCGCTTATTTTACTCATAGGTTGATTACTAATTAGTGAACCAGTAGGTACATTCGATATAAATAATGTCATAAGTAATAACAATTATTAACGTTGCGCAGACAATTTTTCGCTTGCCTGGTTATGGTTTATGATTGTAATTTTTCACGGTGTAGCGTGCAATGTGAACAATGGGGCCAGAGCAGCGGTGTTCAAAAACTGGAGAATGAAAATGAAGTGCAACCCTGCACGCTATTTTTGCATGACCGATGGTTCAGAATTGAAACGCGCTGAGGTATACTGCAAAATGGCCAAAACCCAAGGTAATAACGTTTTTTATGTCAGTTTGAACAAAATAAGTTTTTTATCATTTTTATTTTCGCTCATTTGCGTTGCGCTTAAGTTGAGTCGTAACCATTCCAGCTAGTACCATGCAGTGGCATGCATAATAATTATGTGCAAATAAAATTTGGTAGTGGTACTTACTCTTTTTTTATTACTTACAAAAAAATACAGCCCTGGGCAGCCAAGTTGGGGCAGTTTCTTCCAAAAATCACTACGTGTCTGCTGTTAATAAATAATTAAATATTTATTTTTTACATTATTGCCGAAGGTGTCCGGCATCTTTTGAACTGTAGATATCCATGTTTAGAACGTGCATGAAATCGCAGTGAGCTGAAAACTGAGGCAGACCAGCAGCAAAATACCGCTAAACTCGTATGCAGTGACGGTTCTCCTCGCACTTAAAATTTTTTTTTAAATTCCACTAAGGCCATAGTGTTAAGATGATAAACCATAGTTGTTCACCATCCAATTCTACTAAGGGAGGTGCATGACAACAGTCGATTTCAGTCAAGCCTCAATGACCTTTGCAGTGCGTCGGCGAGCACTGCTAAAATGAAGCATGACCTTATTTCCAAGCTCGTCGCGCACCCGCAGAATGCCAGAGAAGACCGTTTTTCTTAAAATCTCACTCCCAGAGCATTAAGCGTCAGTTTCAGGTTTTTAATCCACGTAACAAGCCGAAGACAGTCGGCTCAACCAACCGTCAACAGCCACCATAACTTTTTGTCGCAACAGCTTTGCTGTTTTTTTCTTCCACTCTTCTGGAACTCCCACCTCCCCGTCTATGAGGCGGGTATTCCTTTGCACATGAAAATCAACTAACAGGGCCTACAACTTATGCACTGAAAGTAATAGTTTTAGGTTATTTCAATCTGTGCGCCAGGCAACCACAATCTTCGGTAGGCCGTTTTAACATACAAGTCAATGGGCGATGCCCTTGTTGCAACGCTAAGCCCACCACTGATCACGCAAAATTTTTGTTCTCTCCCGTGGCAAATACCTTTGGGGTTACCCAAGAGTTAGCAGAAAACCTCACACGAAAATATGGACTGGGGAATTTATTAGAGCGGCAGATGTAAGCATCCCAAAAAGGACTGCTACCTCTCCCCCTAAATCAACGCTCGGCTCGTTACTGAGCGATCAAAAGAGTCCAATTTTAGTATTTCTGGATTTGCGATAAAAAGTTACACGGGATAAGTCTAAATATAAGAACAGAACAAGGCCTGCAAATATTTGCCGGTTGTTTTACAAAAGTGCCCCAACTTGGCTGCCCAGGGCTGTATATACGGTAATGTACGAGTACAAAGTTAACAATACAACGAAATTTTGGAACTGGAGCTGTTATTTTTTCATCGTTTTCCTATTTTTTGTAACATACACTATTGCAGATATTTTAATATTGACTAACAAAATCCCGTTTGTTGTATGACAAAACAGGTTTAGGAATCCGTTGTTTTGGCAAGTGCAACGAGTGCAGCACATACAACTGCCCTGCCCGCTTGGGATCCGGTATTCCCATGTACGACGACTGCCCAGAGGCGACCCAGTAAACCTTTATCCTTATGCAAAATCTAAGCCCTTCTATGCAGCTTTTCCCATCTCAACCAGAAATATCACGCTCAGCTGTGCGCTAAATCACGTCGAAAGATATCAGCACGGCTTCTATCATTGTCTAGCACACAGCCAGCAATAAATATTTATTAAGTTATTTTCGCACACGGCAGACATTGTTGAATGCACACGGACAAAAATCGGAAAAATTTGAAAATGAAAATGGTCGACTTCTACGTTTTAGCGTGGCGTGACATTACTGAATAATAATCAGGATATTTCACAAAAGGACACCTCCAATGTTTTTTTTAACGCGAAATTTACTACTCAACATCATTACATAATAAAAATATTTATAAAAATAAAACCGAGTCAAAATAATGGGCAAAGTAACAAAGCAACATCGATCACAGTTTCCACAAGAAATCACCAGTTATACACGCATACTGCCACATAATCAAACGGGAAGAATGGTGGGTGTGAGTGTCTCCTTCAGCGACTCCACCACACTAGATCCGTTCACCATCTGCGTCGTCAAGACATGGAAGACCGTCGACGCTACAATAACATTCATGATACAGTAGCCCACTTGGAAAACACCTGCGCACTTACAATCCTCTTGATTGGATAAAAACCTCAACGCCGAAACTTCCGAGTACGTTACACCGCCAATGAACACAACCAGCGTCACCACCGGCGGCTCATCGGTGGTAGACATGGACGAAGTGATCGAATTACCTGAAAAAAAAAACGAAAATTTAACCACAATGGAAAAAATAACAGATGTGCGTGCACACTTACGTCGCTTCCGTAAATGATCTGGCACCTTCTGTTTCGCTTCCAGGCGTTCACCGGGCAGTAGATCTAGAGTATCGCTGATTGACTTCCATCCAGGATGGACGAGGTAGCGAGCCAGACGCACGCTCAGGGGAGCGTAGCCGCTGTAGACGTATGATATATCTCGCATGTTCTACAACAGAAGAACGATAAAATACAATAAATATAAAATAAAAATAAATAAAATAAAATACGGTTTCTTCGCGCCATAATAAAAATTTGTCCTTTTGCTTTGCTGCTTCATTTCTTGCTGTTTTATAATCTTGTAAGTATATTGTATCTCAGGATCAATTAACAATAAAACTAGCAGTTTCCCCGTACTTTTTTGTAAACAAATAGCTGCAGACGCTACCGTAAATGCTAACAGCAACTTTCGGAAAAAAGAGAAAGAACCGTTTTTTTATTAGTGAGTGCTACTCAGTTCGTAACGTTGCATTCATGAGCCATTACCTACCGAATCACTTGATTCCACAACCAGTTTTAGTTTCTCCTTAACGACCCGATGCCAGCTTTTCGCTGGAACACGAAACAATCCGGCTTTCTCGAAATTTCGCAACGTAACGATCTCCTGAAATCCGTACGTGTGGATAATATCCCGTTTGTAAGCGGTCAATACCGCCGGTTTCAGACCACCGTTGACTTCCGACTGCAGGCAGATAAGTCGAACCACTTTCTCGAACGGTTCACACCGGGCAATCAGCTGTTCAATGTACGGGTGCACCTTGTCCGTTTCCAGACCGGCGAGAAATTTCTGCTGCACTTCCAGACTATCCAAAAAGTCATCGTTGTTTACTAGAGGCTTGATGATTTCCGCAATACTCATGAATGTGGTTAACGACTGCTTTAGAGCCAACAAATGCGGCATCTTAGCCACGAAATCCTTCATTTCCGCTACTTCCTTAGCACTGAACCGTTCCTGCATAAACATCCAGTAAAAAACATTACTGGGATGTTGCTATAGTCTGATGGTTAATATTTAGTGCTTCCTTATAGGACATGCAGCTTTATATTAAAAAAAGGTTTGCACAGCAATTATAAAAAACACCTCCGTTTTTTTAGCTTTTTTTAAGCTTAAATCATTTAAATAAGTTAGAGCCAAATCAGAACCTTTCGAAAGCAACAATTTTGAAAACCCCTTTTTCTTTTCGATAGTGTAGCCATTAATAAAAGCTGCACCAAAGAGCCTAATGTACAGAAATCTACATTCACGCTGTGAATCAAATGGCTACGTTCATTATCGTATTTTGGAAGTTTTTATTAGCAAACCATGAGTCCATGAACAATTGTCCTACCTAACCACGTAATTCCTATAATTACAGTAATTTCATACTCACTCCCATCTTGGCACTAAGAAACTTCGTCTTGGAGCTGAAAATCGGGCCCACAGCGCTGAAATTCTTATCACGTATTTCAGCGTACAGCTCGTCTGTGGAGTTCAGTGTGATCTTTTTCTCCTTCGGCTCTGCTTTGCTCGATTCTCCCGATTCCGCTGTTTTTGACGATTGTCCTGTGATCGGAAATTTATCAGCGGGAAGCTTGGCCGTGCCCTGGGTAATGCCGAAACATTCGTCAATCAACCCTTCATAGGTCAGCTGAATGGGCATCAAAGTCAGCAGATCGACATTGCGATCAATCAAGAATAAATTGTCAAAGCGCGAAGGAATGTTCCACTCCGAATTGGCATTGTCGACTCCCATCTTCCCGATCATGTCCACAAGTTGCTACCATGGAAGATGAACAAATCAATCACCCATTCTGGGAAAGTTAAGTATATATTTTACCAAATCAAAAATTTTAAATAAATCAAACAAAACCATAATAGTGTCAAACTAAACTTTAACAAATAAAACTTTAATAAATCAAACAACTCAATGGCTCGACAAGTTACTTCACCAAATCAAACGATTACCACAAGCGCTCTTAATAAATTACAGAAGTTATTACAACAAATTCTGTTCGGTATCTCAAAATTGCATGAGGACAACAAATGAGTCAACCATTCAAAGACACTGTATATCAATTCATTCACTAGCACAAACCTTGGCGTATTTCCCTTTAGCGTAAATATTGGGAATAACGCCGTACACCTGTTGCACGAGATTGACGGCGCCGGCCAAATGATGCAACGGCGTGGGATCTTCGTCCAGAAACAAATCCTTGAAGGATGTCTCTAATTCCAGAGACAACAGGTCGGTCTCCAGTGGAAACGCCATGACGGCGCACTCTCGGAACGCTTCAATCAGACTGCCGGCGTGCGGACACATTTCTACGAGAGCCTTCTGACAAACACTGCTGTTGGAAGGGACGAAGTAAACGTACAGTTTCGGGAATCCCGCGGAAGCACGACTGGCACCGCTAATTCTGAATATCAAAACCAAATTACAAGATGTTAAACGTAGCCTGGAAGTGCGTAGCCTATTCCTGCTAGAATCACAAACAATTTTATAGTGACTTTCGCGAATTTCGTCTAATATCTGTACGTACATTACACATGTAGTAGCGATAAAAACTGATATAAACCAGTCGTCACGTCTGCAAACCACTCGCAATAAATTTTACTATTTTAAAATATTCAAAACAGAAATAAATAGTGATGTTACGAATAAGAAACTTATTACACCAAATACGAGTATGATTTTATTTATTAGTAAAATCGTAAAAATCAGCAAACTTCTAAGAAACGCATAATTCCATTTCGGTCATATACCAGTAAATTTTTAATTTTTAATAGCTGCGCAATACAACACTGGAATAGCAACAGCAACGAAAATTAAAAAATTTATGCCATCCGCACTAACTTGCTGAGGAAGCGTGCCAGATCCTTCATGACGCGCAGTTCGGAACGAACGAGGAAGAACATGTTGGCAAAATCGACATTCTTGGGAAAATCGGATTTCAACGTGAACATGCGCTTGACCTGGCGTTCCTGTAGACCCGCGTAATCCGATAGCAAACTAAATGGCCCAATGAGGTATTCGTCCCACACCACAGCCTGCAATCGTCGATCGAATTTCTCAGGTGGAACGAAAAGCGAAATACCAAATTTGATCTACCTTGGTTCCCGGACATTCGTCCAGGCAGTTCAGCAGCTCTCGACGAGCACGATCTTTAAATGATAAAAAGTTGATGCTGTTCTTCTCCGGAATAACCATGTTTTCACGTCAGAAATAGGAAGCGCCGAGTGATTATGATCTACGAAGCGGGAATCCACAATCGTCAGACACTCTTGTCTCCTGCAGGCTGCAGCAAAGTTTCTCCGGGGACGAAAGTTATGGGCGCCACTGACAGTACTTCTGCAAACTTTATAGGAAACAGATAGTTCAAATTCTGCATTTAACTTAAAAAATAACGATAAACTGGTGCAGAGTTCATAAGAAATGAAAATTTATACAGTAAATGCGAGCAATATTAGCTAGTATAAGGAGGCTTATTTAAAAAATTAATAAATTTTGCTGGTACAGTGTAAGTAAGTACATAAACCGATAAACAGGAGGTCGACTGGTCGAGTTGACAATCTGATGCTGGTTCCCGTAGGCGTCTGCCTCTGTCTGTACTGTTTTAACGAAAAAATACAGTACTAAAATTAACCATTCGTCCAGTAATTAATTACAGCTGTTCAGAAATGTGCTGCAGACCTTTCTTCTACCAGTCGGTAATTTTCGATCGGCTGTTGCGTCCGATGATTAGCATTTAGCGCCCTCGAAGTACAAGAACATCGACGCGGCCGCTGCACTTTATCGCATGGATCCCTCTGTGTTGTCCCATTCGAGACGGCGGGGCGCGTGTTGCATTACGGAAGCTGCGCGGCGATGAATCGATGCAGCCGTGGACGGTTGTTTCAGCATTAAGGGCTACTACGATAGGCTTTCTCTTGTTGAGTGTACAGTCTACAGTACGTATACGCCTAATACGAGTTACGAGTATGTGGATAATCGGCGATCAATAGTTTCCTGCGTTTAATACAGCCGCGTTCCAACAGGAAGATTTTGCGCCCGGCTGAAACACCGGCATTTCCATGATCGATTAGACGGAACAAGCGGGGACCTGTGGATGGTAATGCGCGTCCCTTACTGCTGCTGCAGTTTGCGATTCATGTGCCGTATACGCATCGTGTGTTAAAAAGAAAATCTTAACAAATTCATGTCAAATCGATTCACATTACAGACGAGAGACTGCGGCAGTTAAAGAATACGCGCAGCCAGCTGCAGCTGATTGTCGCTCCTTCATTTTTCTCAGCGTCTTTTGTGAGTGTTGTCGCCCATATTGATATAAGTTTATTTATTTGGGGGCCGATTTCCTTTGTCGACCTGCTATCATGTAGACAGTATTTTCTATTTATTTTCATAATTCGTAAAATGTTATATTTTTCTGAATTACAAATCGGATGTAATTGTGTGCTAGAGTATCAAAAATTCTGTGCCTATGTTTTTCAAGAAATTTCCTTGTTCAAAAATGACCAGAGACGTTGCCATCTGGATGCTGCGCAGTTGCAGCGGAAGTCTCTGTAGTGCAAGATTCTCATCGTAGGCCGGCGCATTCCACGGTCATGCAGTATTATTGAGAATCATGCATTGAGAATTTTTGCTTAAACGTCGGATTCTCTCCAACGCCGAAATTATTCACCGAAATCATGGATACCGATAACAGCTCCGAAGGAGACAGTAAGTGTGCTTGATTAGCACGCGGATGTAGTTCAATGCATTTGATATTATAACTATGTTATTTTATGTTTTATTTTATGCAGTCTTGCATGTTGTATTTTCTGTGCCTGTACATTTTTTGTACAACTGGATATCGCGCTATTGCATACGAGCTCACGTAGAACGCTCATGCATGCATTGTAGGAAACAAAATCGAAACACATACCGTATACCGGTATACGCAGCTCTAATATTCCAAGGTCAAGTTTACTGTTCTTCTAGATGACAAGATAAAGGATCGTCTTATGAAACACCTAAAGAAAGAGGTAATAGCGACTTGTTATTTAACGTAAGCTGATTTTGATCCTTGTTAAAAGCAGGTTTCATCCGGCCAGTGTGAATAACTAGCTATAGCGACTAACACTGTTGTAACACCAATTATAAATCAGTGCAATTCTGTTCGTCCATTAAAAATAAGTAATTTTTTACAGTTCTAGTGCATTAACCTTTTTGTTAACATGAATTTTAATTACTCTAAGTTATACTCGTTATGTTCTCGTTTGAACATAAAAGCGATCGCGAATGTCAGACTTGGCATTTGTCGAATCTTGCGACCTGCTAGATGCTGCTAGTTCCGTTGAAATTAAAACGATATTTAGTGACCTTTATCGAATCGGTAGCGCTACATAACGGATAATTTGTACATAAGAACATTTTATTTAAAAATAAAAGAAGTTGACATTTCAGTACTTATATAGTAATCAACTACGCTTTAACGGCGAAATGTAGAAATGTAGCTGCACTTTTCATTAACTCGCTTTATTTTAAGAATTTTTGTTTATTCTTCGGCAACATGCGTTAAACGCCCGGTAAAACACAAGAAAAACGGAAATTCCATACAGCGCACCGCGCGTAGGAAACTTGTTGATGAACTTTGATTTGAGCACTGCACACACACTTGATGGGAATCCTAATGAGAAATCGATTGCTGATCGCGGTGTACACATTACACAACGAGTACAATACATAGTCAGACTTACGTGCAGCGTCGTACCAGCTGCACGACTTCAGGAACACCGTTAATATGAAATGGGCTGCGGGAATTTAATTATTTTGTCATTGATTCCCCGGAAAGTGGTTGTGCAATCAGCGTTTGCGCTGTCATTGTGACAGTGTCGACGTCCCTAGCAGGGATATAATTCTCTGATTGTTTCCGTAGTGGGAGTTGGTGTTGATTTCCATTGCGTGTGCAGTTGCCGATTAATAATAGCACGGCCAATATGCCACCTGCTTCTTTGCCAATAAACAACGGATTATGCCCAGGCAGCGCACGGAATATCAGCACTAACACTACCACGCGGACGTTCAATGTTTTCGATCTGATTTTTAGAAATTTATTTTTTACCGAGGCGTTTCCACTTTATTTTATTAGTCAAGCGTGTTTCCAAATCACTAAAATCGTATTGATTTGATTATTCGTGTAAGCACAGCAATAACGAAGTTGTAGCAATAAAAACATTATGGTAATTATTGTAAAGGTCATGAAATAATTCAATTGTTTGCAGGAAATTCTCTTTACGTCCCGAAAAATGACATTCAAATCTTGTAGTACTTGCATGTGTTGTAAAATATAGATATAACGCATTTGACACACGCACTAAAATACGGCGTGGGAAAAGTTGCAATTACTGCGCAACATACAGTACTTTTATCGACGTTTTTATCCCCATTTTAAAGTCGGAAATAACAAAGAGCAGCTGTTTTTCTGGAAGCAGACCGTTAGGATTTAGCGATGACGAAGAGTTTCCGTCGGCAGGCATGAAGATTACAGAGACTCGCAAAGTGCTTTTCTCTCCACCGCGTCTGCCTTTATTTATACAGCCGGAACCATAAATCATTTTTCTTGTGGTTCTTATTCACTAAGTTTGCTTTTTATCAATCAACCATAATTATAGTATCGCATACCAGTGTTAAACATCACCGGGATGTCCAGTGGTTACAGTTCGAGAACTTGAAAACAGTGATAATATGCATCCTTGTATTTTTCGGCTGTGAGTGACACTTTCATATACTAAGTATTGGCCAAACGAAACTGATTCATATATTTAAAATTAGAATAACTATTTTAATTCTAAATATATGAATCAGTTTCGTTCAGTGCGCAAATTGCAATTCTTGACTAGAATAAAATTCTGCCATAGATAAAGCATAGACATATTGTCTTGCGTTTGGCATACTTCGTATTGTCTTGCGTTTGATTACAAAATATTTTTAGCGTTCAAGTGGACCGCACTCGCAGTAACAGTTTTTTCCAGTCTGTTTCGGTATTGCAAAGTAATCGATGAGTACTCGACAGTATGTACGAGTCACTACGAGTATCACAGTGCGGTGGCTACATGAACTAAACTGTTGGACACTGCTACAATTAGCCCATTACAAGTCTTTAATTTAGTACATTGTTCTGTTGTGATAACTCTAACGTTTTTGTAACAAAGACATAATGGTTTGTTATTTAGTAATTTTCGCACAGGTGAAGCAGATCATGGAAGAAGCCGTTATGCGAAAGTACATCAGCGAAGACAGTTCATCTATTACGTCGCTCTGCGGTAAGGTCGAAAAACTGCATTTTTGAGGTTTTTTTATTTTACGGCAGAAAGTTTAGGGTAGCTTTTAGGTAGCTTTTGACCTATTGAAACTTAATTAAAGAGGAGCCCAAAAGTAAAGTGCATAAATAAAATTTCTAATTTTTAACACGAAGCTTGCGTGGAGGCTTGTTTGACGCATGGGCTAAAAAGGCGCACTTTGGGTCTCTTCAAAACGGCATCTAGTACCGCGGCACTGCTCCAGAAGATCTCCAAATCCTGCCCGGAAGCGGACGCTGTAAGGAAGATCCAGTACAATTTTGAGCCGGTAGTCAGCATGACGAGTTTCGGGAGCAGGTAATTCAATACAATGTTAAATGCCAGTGTCCCTGCATCCCCATATAAAATTTTATTTGTATCTCCTTTCATGCATTGCTCGTTTTTTCGGGTTATTTCAAAACAGGGTGTTCCTTTGGTACAGTTTTACCATCGGCGCTTTTACATATACACAATAAATCTGCGACTGTTATGAAGCATGTATTTGTTAAGCAAACACAAAACATGCAGATTTCGTGCACGTATACCTGTCTAATGATGATAATTCTGGCATATAAGTAAATAATGACCAATTACAGGAAAGCGCTTTTCGACAAACGAAACAGCAAATCGCTACCACCGTTGAAGAAGCTGCCGGGGCCGACGGTTACCCATAAATATTTATGGATTCGCATTGCACTCGTGGAAAAAGTCCTGGATAAGATTGTGGATTACCTCGTTAAGTCGGCGGATAAGTATTACTCCGCCAATTCCCTAATTGCTGACCCTACGGATGGACCAATAATTGCGTCGCTGTTGGGTACGACCTTTCTGTGAATTAGATGTCTGACTGGTAAATTTGGCTTATCCGCCTGCAACGGAACAATACTCGCACTAAATTTTGTTATTCTAGACTTTTGTGATATTTACAGGCAATACGAGTAACAAATATCACGCGCGGTCATGCTATTTGTCAGTTAAAAATGTAAGCATTGAGAAATGTCATTTTCTAATATCATTGCGACCTGGGTGAAGATATGAGGGCAGGCCGGAAATGCCTACATAGCAAACTGGGGTGTACACTACGTATAATGCTTTTAAAAATTATGACGAATAGCTAGAAGTAAATATGACAAGAAATTCGAAAAAAAGGGTTTCAGTTGATTCTATACGCGATTGTTTCAGTTTTTCACCATTTTTGTTTGACCTGCTAACCGTTGAAAATTATTTTCGAACAGTTCACACTCCACAGAGTATAAAATGTATAGTTTTCGCTTTCTGTCTGCTTGTAGTCGGATCTGCCGATCGTCAAATTCTCGGTGACCTTTATCAGTTGTTTTATTTGTTTCATTCAGTTGGCCCGTGCGCACTGGACTTCTCCCGCATGAAGACTCCTGATCATCTGTGGACGGATCCTTCGGCGGATGAACTCGTCTTGCGGCACCGTATTCACGGCAGCGCGGTGCAGTACCAAGTATCCAACGGTAGCCTGTCGTCACCTAAGCGCTTCGGTTTGAGCTTTAAGCGCAATGCCAGCCATAGTTCCAGTAGCTGTGAAGAGGCTGTTCCGCGCAGTGCCGCCAAAGACTACGTGGAGTCACTGCATCAGAACAGCAAGAGCACGCTGCTGTACGGGAAGAACAATGTGATGATGCGGCCGCGTGACACCAGTCAGCCCATGCAGGGCTATCTCTCCCTGCATCAGTCCGGGGAATCCCTGCTCGCCATCAAATGGACGCCAAATCAGCTAATGAACACTCCGGCTGATGAGTCTTTTGATATGGTGGTGGAGCGCAGTCAGTACTGGGATTATGCCATCTGTATTTCCGTGCCGACCATTGTTTATTTGCACTGCCATCATCAACGTGAGTACACATGTGCAGCCTATAGCTAGACTGTAGAGCCATACAACGGGACACCAGAATAATTAATCTGTGCCCAAGTAGCCTTTCATGTTATCCTAGACATTTATTCATGGCGCCGCGCGGTGCATTGAATTACCAAGGAGTGAGCCAATTTCGAGCTGTAGAGACTAATTATCGTGGGAGTCGGATGCTCTAGATTTGTACACCAAGCCTCTCCCAAATTATTCATAGAATGAGCATTTATCACAGCAATCCAAGAGCTATCACTTCGGTTACGGAATATGTAAACGGGCTTCCGGCAACTTTTCATTTTTTCCGTGTCACCTAATACCTTTATCTAAATACTGCGCACGAATAGGCCTGATTTTATTCACGTACATTTAGAATTATTCACAATTTGTAAGTAAATTGAGAAAATTCGTAGCTTTTTGTCACGATATAGAAAAACATAAAAAAAATTGGAAACTAGTTTATGTTTTCTGCAGCCGATCATAGCGGATCCATTGTACTGGTTGGCCAAGATGGTATCCAGTTTCCGCCCCTCCAATTTCCTCCTGGTGGCCATTTGTTGGCGTTTCTGTCTTGCCTAGAAACCGGCTTGGAGCCCTTTGGCCGACTAGATCCGCCGTTATGGTTTGAGCCGGGCATCGGAAAAGTCTTTCCCCACCTCAAACGCAAAACCGCGCAATCCTCCGAGCCGGAATCAACGAGCTTCGATTATGTATTTCGTATCAACTGTGACTTGCCAAATTTATCTCAGAGCAGTAAGTGAATGTCCGCATTAATGTACTTCATGTTTTAACAGACTTTAAACCATGGTCAACCTTTGATTATCAATTAACGTATACATGAACGCTGTAAATGCGGGAAAAAGTTTAAGCTAACAAGTGAATTTGATGATGTAGAAACTTTACATGCAATAAAGTACCATAAACGAGAAACTGCCCGATAAAAATGTGAAAGTGTTTTTCCATGTAGAATTGAATTTGATCATGCACACTGATCTGATGCCGCACCCACTGCGGCAAGTGTCCTCCGGGATCCAGTCGACATTATCCAATTCGGATCAGTTTTCCTCTAGTAACAGTGCGGGCAGTGCCGCCAGTCAAGCACCCGATTCACCGGCCAAGTTTTTCGACTTCGACCACTTGGATCTGGCTGATGAGTTGGGTGATTCCCGGTAGGCAAATGCATGCACCCACCCGATTAATGCGCGCGCCCTGTCTAGATCTCGCTGTCCTATTGCGGCATCACGGGGTGACACTCTCAGTGCAGTGTGTTGTTTTCGATTGACAGTTCCTCCATGCTCCGCGCATGTGATACCATGAAACAACAGCTAATCACCCGGGCGTTCTACGGATGTAAGTAGCTTAGAAATAGGACTATCTGTATATGCACTGCACAAGGATTTGTTCAAAAGAAAAGCGACATCCGCTCGGTGTGGGTTGTTGTTTTCTTATACCGGAAAGGCTGCTGCCTATATGTACTCGGCGGCAAAACGAACAGACCCTCGCTCCGAGCTGGGGAATCTGTCAAAAACATTTCCCGACAAAACGCGATTACCTACAAATTGCCTGTCATTATATCCAGAAATTAGCATCAGCCCCGTCACGCGATTGATATTCTTGTGTGTGCAAATAATACCGCGTCGGGTAAACAGTATTCGGCTTGATTTATTCTTTTGTTTCCCTTTGCGTACATACCTAATGTTTCAGGAAAACGAGGCATTAATAATTTAATAGTATTTAATCGTCGTCATTATCAAGCTTGAGGCATCCATTTATTCGCATTAAACACAACCTTGGTTGTTAGACATTAATTACTATTGTCTCAAGTTGACGTAAGTGGGAAACAATTTCTACTTGTCTGGTTAAACCGACACAAGTAACTATGAACACAGCTTAGAATTAGTAATAAAAGTTTTCGTATTTCGAAAACCAGGGTAACACCAGGGTGATACGAATTACTTGCAATAACCAGGGTGACACGTATTATTACTAAACTATTTTAAAAAATAATAAAATTCGGCGAATGTATGTTGTGATAAAGTTAATTTGACTGGGTTCGAACTGATTTTGAAGGGCTCGCTCATTGCCGGCACTTACGCACCGTCCGCCAGCACCTTTCCGGTCTGGTGGCCGGCGAGCCCGTGACCGTGGATGACCCGGCCGATGCCTCATCCGGTCTGAGTAAGCCGGTGTGGGAAGCGCATCGCAGCGGGGATAGTGTCCTCTCCGGTGATGAATTATGCCGCCTCGTCTACTACGGCGGCGTGGAGCCATCCATTCGGCGCGAAGTGTGGCCGTGTTTGCTGGGTCACCATGCCTGGCATTCATCCGGCGACGAGCGGGATTCACTGGATGCTGTCATGCGTGTCAGCTACGAGCACAGCATGTCCGAATGGATGGCTGTGGAAGCAATAGTGCGGCAGAGAGATAAGGAGAGCTTTGCAGCCAGTGTCGCCAAGATCACCCATCAGACATCGGTGGAGATACCCTTGGTGGGCAAAGATACCACTTTAAGGTGAGTGAAAACGTTGGTTACATGGCTGCTTACGTAGTCTGGATACTTGTCGCATGATTTTGGTTTTAGAAATTTTCGTAACCGGGCGTATTCAGACTCGCGCTATGCTTTCGTGCCTAAATATTAATTTAGGATTTCATGCGATGCGATATTCGAAGTGTATCCACGGAGCACAATACTAGTATCAGGCTATATAAAAGTTCTTGATTATTCAAAATGTGTAGCGTGAAGATACCAAGACCTTCATAAAAAGTTAAATTAGATGTCATGAAAAAATAAAAAAACTCAGTAAAGTCTTTTGGTACAGCAACGATGTCTTTGAGGACGACGTAATGAGTGTCAGCTCGACGGAGACACCGTCCGAATGGACACTGAGTGCTCAAAGCGCTCACGATAGGAAAGAGTCGCTGCGGAGTATGCCGAGCATCAGCAAAGATTTTGTGGATGACGGCACAACAAACGCTGCAGATGAGCCAAATGGATCGACTGACGTTGCTGGAAATAATGAAGTGGGTGAGGCCGCCCCGCAGGAAGCAGTTAACGGATTATCATCCAGCGTAATGATAACACAATCCACCGTCGATCACCATAACGCCGACAGCGGAATGCAGCGCATCTGTTCCACAGGATTCTTAGGGGATGAGCTCAAGGAAAGCGAATGCCCGTCGCCGGCATCCAGCATTGGTGGCATATATACGGTAGAAATACGAACATATGTTTTTTTTTTATTATTATCTACTTAAATTACGGATATAAGAAGCGAATTTTTGTATTTAACTGCATAATCTTCTTCTAGCAGAACTACTGGATGAAGTAAAGTTTTTTTACGCAGGAACAACTTGTGGATGAATTTGCCATGAATCTGCATAGGATCGATAAGGATGTGGCGCGTTGCGATCGGACATATTACTACTTTACGCACGCCAAGAATCTAGAGAAATTGAGGAATATTATGAGTACATACATCTGGCTGAATTTGAAAGAAGGATATGTACAGGGCATGTGCGACGTGGCAGCACCGCTGTTAGTGACCTTTGACGACGGTAAATAATTTCTCGTGCATTGCAGTGAATAGCCCACCTGATCCTGATTACTGATTGTCCTACTGTAATCCCAACCCCGCGTTTGCTGGCTAGTACTACTTACCGGTTGGCTGTTGTTTGCAGAAGTCATGGCGTTCACCTGCTTCTCGGAGCTAATGAAGCGGATGGCGCGAAATTTTCCCACCGGTGGTGGCATGGACCGGAATTTCGCCAACATGCGCTCGCTCATACAGGTTCTCGATCCGGAGTTGTATGACCTCATGCGGGCCAATGGCGACTATACACACTTTTACTTTTGCTATCGGTGGTTTCTTCTGGATTTTAAACGGGGTAAGGTAGACTGAAATTGCCTTTGTTGTTTACTTATTGTTACTCTGCTTTATATTTCTGGTGATGTAAAGTTAAAGTGTAAACTATTAAATTTTCTGCAGAATTGGTGTACGACGACGTTTTTATGGTGTGGGAAACGATTTGGGCAGCGACCCGTGTGGCCAGCCAAGAGTTTGTACTTTTTCTAGCCCTTGCCATGCTGGAATGCTATCGGGATATTATTCTGGACAACGGCATGGACTTTACCGACATCATCAAATTTTTCAACGGTAAAAAGCTTCGAACTGGTTTACAGGCTTTTATGTACAAGAAAATATGTGCTCCTCTGAAATGTGAAAGAAATTAAAATGTGTGCTCTGCTGTTCTTTACAGAAATGGCTGAGCATCACGATGGGAAAACAATTCTACGAATTAGCCGTGATTTAGTTCAACGAATTCAGAATTTGATAAACACTCAGTGATCTCTTTTCTCCGACCGCGAAGTCTATTTTCCAGAGAAGCTAATTTAAATAAACATGTAGGAGTGGAATTTTTAACCTTTTAATAAAATTTTGACCTTTGGCTGTTGAGTAGTTTTTTTCAGGCTAAAATCCAGTTAATGCTGTTTTTATAAAGCCGATTTATTGTTCATTTTGTAGGTATTTGGCTACAAATCCGTAAAGCGTTAATAAAACATTCCGTATTCTCAATAAGGTGTTCAGCTTAATATCAAAAATTAGTAGCAAAACTGTTCAAATATGCGCAAAATATCCACACAATTTGTACAAGCGGCATATACACCTAAAAAACCGACTATCAAGTCGTAAAACGTACAATCCACGTTGTATTTAACATTTGTGAAAAACTGACCATCACATAATGAACATCAGAAGTGCATCAGCATGGTATGAAAGTTACACAGATCAAACAGTGAGTACAAGTGTGTTTGTGCCTGCCGACCCACGGTCAGTCGGCGAAGAATTTGTTGTAGGTGAGCGTTTTATTCTGGCAGAGGAGGTACTCTTTCAGTGAGGGTGCGATGGGCAGTTGCGCTACTTTATCGGGTAGCACGGTGCCCAGGACGCGACGCACCACCAGCCGAGCTTGATGGCGCAGAGGGAGGGGCCGGGTGGCCGCCCACAACAGGCTGTCCTTGGACCAGGCGGCTACGTTGGTCAGGCGATAGATGGCCACCGGATTGTAGCCTTCGCCGGCTTCCAGAAGTCTCAGGAATAAATCGCGCTCGCTGAACGGAATCCGGACCACACTGCCATAGAATTACGATCTCATTAGCAAGCTCATAACCATAGTGCAGACGTAGAGTAGCCGTACATTGTAGTAAAGACCATTAGTATGCTAGCTAACCTGGTCGACAATCGCAATTAACCAGGTGCTTCTGATAAAGTAAACCTTAGCAGTACGCTTACTCGAATTAATGTTACCATGCGCCAGGTCAATTCAAACTTTTTTATATTTTTGGTAATTAGTATACACAAATTTTAAAATAATTTAACAAAACCTTCCATACGAGCACTGCGAAAAGGACTCGATCAACACTGACACAGGTTTACATCACAGGAAATGCAGACGAGTGAGACGAAATATTCATGCTGTTGTTAAAATATACCGTATCTACAGGGCTAGCTGTATCTTAAATTCGGAATGAACTCTTAACCGTTTTGCTTACCTGCGAAGGATGCCGAGGGGATCTTGGTTCTGCGTGCGCATCACTACCCGTCCGCCGTACTTAAGGAGAATATTGACCAATTCCGGTAAGTGCGGCCGATTTGGTCGGAGATTCCACAGATATTCGCCGAGCGGCGGCGCCAACAGTTGCCCTTCTTCGTTGAAGGTGGCACAGTTCGGATCGGCGGATCCCTGCAGCAGTGTCTCCACAATCTGCAACTGGTTGTGCAGGTCACCACCGCAACAGGCCACGTGTAGCGCTGAGCCAATCAACGGTGAGCCGATTTCGTTGACATTGGCGCCACTGTCGATCAGCAGTTTCACCTGTTATTAAAAAACGATATCAACCATTTGTAGTTCCATTTTAAAGCACAAGTACACGAAAGTAGTTTCAGTAAAAATTTGCTGTACCATTTGCACGTCATCCTTGAGTATGGCAAAATCCAGCGGATGCGGATGGGTGTATTCTGGTGGCATGGATACCATCGCGCCTTCCTTGACCAGCAAACGCACCACATCGTAATTGCCTATTTGACCAAACAGAAAGAACCTTGAGTTAATTTTACCCGACTGGACCCAAAATATTGATACAAGCACCGGTTAATACACGAAATTACCTCCCAGCACCGCGTAGTGCATGACAGATCGATGGTCCTGCCGGGCGGAAGCGCACGCGTTGACATTGGCCCCGTGTAAAATTAGAATCTACAAAACCCAATCACAACACACTTCAAAGGTCATTCATATATTCAACGCTGTTAATCCATTCACCTCGCGATCATATGGATTTGTTTGCTGATTTAATGTGACTAAGAATAACAGTAGCGTAAAAGGTCACGGACATGTGTACCGCTGGAGTTTAGTCTATTTGTTAATGAACAGTTATGAGGCGATCAATCCTGTGTACGGTGGTACCTTGACAGCTTGAACAGCATCGGGATGGCGGGCAGCAAACATCAGCGGCGTGCGTCCACTGCGATCGGTGCTATCCGGGTCTGCGCCGTACTTGAGCAGCAGGTCGAGAAACTCCGGCTATATTAAGCAACAACACACCATGGTTACAATGCCGGGTTCCGTTACTCTACTTGCACACGCACAGGGCACAGCTGTGTGTGCGCCCACCGCGTACGGACGCCATGTTGTCAAAATGCACTTAGCATGTGGTGTCACATGATCGCGTATATACGGTACACACTGAGGGCTCTATGGTATTTTAATAAAGTAATTTTAGCACAAGGCCGATGACAACATTATGCACAGTAAGTCGAAGTACTGTATGTGCATGTGTCTTCACCTGAGTCACAGGATCAATAAAGTTGATCTCCGATCCCAGAAAATATTTGGCGTTTGGATTAGCGCCGCGTTTCAATAACAGTTCGCTGCACTCAAAGTGCCCGTTCTTGATGGCTAAGCGCAACGGCTCATCGGCCATTGTCTCCGGCGGCGGCAATTGGTCATTGCTGGGACATTTGTCGCGGAGTGCCGTTTGGCCGCCGTAGTCAATGAGCATCTCCAGGATATCTTTGTAGCCGCGTTCCGCCGCCAGATGCACCGGAGTGTAACCCACGTCATCTGCAACAATTAATTCACAATGCTCCCATGAAATTAAAAGAGTTTTCGAAGTGATCCCTTGCGTTTGCTTCCCTAATTTAGTTTTCCCAAAAAAAAAGTTAAACGCGTTTGTTACTCTTTCTGTACAGTAAAACAGTACTTCTTTTCTGTCCGTTTCCCGCTGATTTCTAAATTTATCAGTTACCGTTTAAAGTATACAAGTAACTCGCATACATCGTCCACATAATTTACATTTACTGTATGAGGCAAAGATAGAATAAAAGATTTGTTAGAACTAGTAAAGTATTGCTGTGTAGTGTGTACTCGCATAAATACCTAAATGGGTTTAAAAAGTTTGATTTTCGCAGACTTCGATTATTTATTTGTTGACAGGCACATACAGTACGCAACGGTCGGCGATTTTACAACCTTATCGTAAAACCAAAAAACATTTTCGGAAGATTCTAGACACAATTGGTTTGTGCGTGTTCAACAAAATTCTGCGAAAATCAAACTTTTTAAACTCATGATCAGACGTGGGATGGAACAGGGAATACGCATTACGATAGAGCTAGTACACTAGTGAGCAGGAAAGAAAACACCCTTAATCCATCGGTAGCCGCTGGTGCCGGCGTTGGAAACCAACGGTAATGTGCAACGTTTTCCTTATAGTGTGCTTGCTGTAAGTATTTGTATATGCAATGTGCAGAAACGTGACGAGACGTTTTTAACGAAGATGCATTTAGGTTACAGATCGTCAACATTCTTAAAATTTAGAGCAGTCACGTTGCTTTATTATTTTTTGATAGCCCTAATTATGCTTATGCCTAAGGAATATTATTACAGCCAAACGTAGCAGAGTCGAGCGGCAGTTTTAAAATTACACGTACTACAACTATGGATCTTGCTATATATGTATAACACAAAAATAAAAGGATCTTTCCTTCGGTTTCCAATTTACACACCGAAATTAAACAAATAATTACGTTTTTTACTAACATATTACATTTATACATTACACATTACATTTTACTGCGTAATCTTATCATAATTATGTAGTGTAAAAGTTACAATATAGTCATCGCAGTTGAACTTAATTATGATTTTAAAATACTCTTGGTTATCACAATCAAGTGGTTTTTTTGTTTAGGTTTAGTATGAGTCTGATTATGTCTCTTACGTCTTCAGACATGATGAATTACGCGATTCATCACTATTCTAAAAGTTTGTTTCCTGACTCAGCAAAAGATGTTAGCTGGCTAGAAATATTCGACAAAGAAACTCAGTACTAATGCTGCCAAAGAGGAAAAACATCACAGAACAAAACTACTTGTTTTACTCGTCTTACCGGGAGCATTCGGATCCGCGCCACGTGCCAACAGAAGCTACAAAACATATAGTACATAAGTAAGGAAAATCGGGGAAATCGAACCAGGGGGTTGTATAGTTGACCGATCGAGGCTGTATTATGCAATGTGCATACTTCTATGTAGCCTTGTGATCCGTTCTGGCTGCAGCCTGCATCTAATTTATCTAACAAGTAATTTTATAGTTTATCTAATTTTTCCGAACTGCAACGATTCCGATTCCGATTCCAAAGCTTTCACAATATTATGAGAAGTATCATTTTCGACAGAGAAAAATTCATTAAAAATCCAAGAGCACGGAATTCTGAACCGGATAAACCGAAGATCACAGGGAACAGAGATTGCTTGCAGTTAGTGTATACGAAAGTACATGATATTCCACACAAGGAAGTGTCAATCAATGCAGATGAAATGTATTATCAAGTCCCAAATTGAACGGTTATAATAAACGATGCAATTTTTTTCTTCCCACTTAATTGTTGGTTTGTTGACTTCGAATAAGCACAACCTCCCTTTACCTTGACACATTCGAAGTACTTCTCGTAGACCGCGTAATGCAGCGGATGTAATCCCTGTACAACCGCCCCGTTGGCCCGTGCACCGCTGGCCAGTGTGATGCGCACATCGTCCAGCTCCGCATGGCGCGTGATCATATCGGCCAACTTTCGTTGTTCCACATAGATCAGGTAATCCGATTCCCGCATCCTGATTCCTTTGCAGCACTTCGAATTCACCAGAGCAGCAGTTTAACTGCCGTCCGCATTAACTGAATAACAGCGTCAACTAAATCCGAGTATTTCGAAACTAATGCAAAATCTCCAAGTCGTGAACGTCTTTGTTGTCGTTTGTCAACTGAATCCCACTGCGCTAATGATCAACTGACTTGGTCGTTGCGCCGTTGTGCGCGTACTTCCTCCAATCCGTGGTTCGTATTTTCCTAGGCTTGTACTGTGTTTACATGCGTTAGTCAGTCGCATGACTCTGTGAAATTCCCACGAAGAGCGGATCATAGAAAACGAGGTTACTGCAACAAGGTCGTAGCTCGTGCTGGCGCTGCTGTGTTTTACGTAGGCTGCGCTCTCTCAATCGCTGTCATCATCCGGGCAGTCATCTAATTTTAGAACCCATATGAGTTTCTACCATTAACTCACGCGGACAAAGTTTCCGGATACACTGATCAGGTGGCGCACAGTACCGCGAGTAAAATTTTTTCGTCATTTTTAAAACAAAATCCCAAGATCTAGAACGACAACTGGAAAAATGCGAAAGGTCACGTAACATCTTACAACATGGCGGCGTATGTACATTTTCACATAGATTTTCTTACATACGCATACTTGAAGATGAGTCAAATATTTTATCCGGAGTTTTGATTCATTGGGAACGAACTCGTGATAACGTGCCAACAACGCGTAAAAGCGCAACGAGAATTGGCGGGATTTTAGGAAAGACGTGCAGCATGGCCAGTTCCTTATTTTTTTTCCTGCTATTAGCGCGGATGGTTGTTGTGCGCTTCGTTTCGCCTAAGCCCACCACGGGGTGATTACGGATGATGTAAACCTAAACGCGGAACGTGGGCGGCGGCATGTGCCTCAGCTCCCCAATAACCGTTATGTAATCAACAAGAAAGCGGAGGATATGCCGTAATCAAAAAAATCCAGATCACACATGGCGCGAAAATAATTGTCGCTAATCACTGGCAGCTGCCGTTGACGGCAACTACCGGTGCTGCGCTGTAGCGGGAAAACAAAGAAAGCAATATTAATACGCATTATGCTCCGGCCGGAAATCGCTTATTAAACTTTATACCATTATCATTTTTGGATATCCTGCCTTCGGTCCGTATGAGTGTTGCTAACTGCACGCGGTTTTTTAACCCAAAGGAAAATATTTTGTCTGTAGTTTATAGTTTAGAATTGTCAATTAAGAAGTATTTTCTTACAGTCTGCATTTTTGCAACGCAACGGATATTGACAAATTTCTCCGATTGTTCGCACATACGAGCAAAGTATCGATGCGATAAACATAAGTAGTTAAATGATGAGCTGAGAATAACTTCACGCAAATGAGTACAGTAAGTACGAGAATAATTTTGAGCTAGTACATGTATAATGCGAATTCCTTTGGAGAATGATTTTGGTTGTTTTTAAACCCTTTTCGGCGGTGTTACCGCGGATTCTGTCTTGTGTCGCTTTAAAGGTTACTGCTGATTGCCGAATAAACGTCGAACGAGTTCGTGCGATAGAAGTACTGTCAGTCTCAGCAGATAAGGGCTGATAATTTCGCTCAACTTTTTCTAATTGAGAAACCAGTGAACATCCAAAGCGATTTATTTTGTACGCAAACCAAAATCATCATAAACTTAAAAGTCATCCATCCATATTCTAGTGGAATAATCAGCTCTTTGTGCTATAAATTAATAATTACTTAATTTCAAAAATGTAACAGACAGTACAGATAAGACGAATGATTTTGCACATCGTTTTAGTAAAATTCTGTTACGTTACGCCAGTTGCAGCGCATGCCATTGAACAAACCATGGCTATACGGCAACGTTACTTCGCGGGGTATCTTTCGATAAGCATAGCATGTGCCAATCCGCCTGCAAGTAGTAAACACAAATAAATATACGGTATCATGAGGTCAAAAATCCAGCTAGCCGGATAAGAATGTACCTCGCAAATACCGATACCGCGAAGAAGTACTTACAAAGATTGCCGTTCATAAAAGGGCGTTAGATATACTTGTACCCATACTTATAAGACGCTGAGTTCTCAATAAGAATATAAGCATTTGCGAGTCCTTACCAGCAGCACAAGCAGCCACCAAACCATAGCGTCCATTCTCTTGAATCAGTCTGTTGGCTGTGACAGTGGCCAAGCGTACTCCAGTGGCCCCGAACGGGTGCCCAATGGACAGCGACCCACCCCACTTATTGAACTTGTCCATGGGTGGGGCGCCCACCTTGTGACTGCGGCCCATGTAGTTCTGAGCAAACCAATCGGAATCCATGGCTTTGACATTGGCAAGAATCTGGCCGGCGAACGCCTCATGGAACTCAAATACGTCAATGTCCTTAATGCTCAGCCCGGTCTTGTCCAACACCTGAGGCGCCGCATACGCTGGCCCCAGCAGCAGCTGGTCGACGGGATCCTGGGACACGTAGCTAAAATGACGCAGATATGCTTTGGGTTTGTAGCCCATGCGTAGAGCCGCCTCCTCTGACATGATGAGCGCGGCCGATGCACCATCAGTCAGATAAGAAGCGTTGGCGGCGGTCACGGTGCCGTAGGGCTTAATGAAGGCCGCCTTCAGCTGGCCCAGCTTCTCTATGGTAGACACGCGAATTCCGTTATCGGTGGTGACAGTTTCCGCAACACCCGGAACCTTCCGAACAAATTCAAGTCAAATCAGCATTTGCAACTTTCATATTCAGCAGCTGTTTTTTTTTCTTATATATATGTTATGTATTATATTTTTTCAGATAAAACGTTTTCAAAATAAAAAAGATGGTAACTATAATTCCAGAGAATGTAACACACCTTGTACGGCTCGATTTCCTGTAAATACCCCTTCTTCGTAGCTTCCGCGGCCAATGTGTGGGAGCGCAGAGCATATTCATCGGATTCCCGTCGTGTCACGCCGAACGCCGCCGCCAAGCGGTCAGCCGAATGACCCATGGTCTCCCCGCTGGTAAATTCAGCGATAGCCGGTAATTCCGGTGCCCATACCGAGGGGCTTAAGAACTTGGAGAAGATGCCCAGGCGGGCCGGGAGGGATTTGGCTTTATTCAATCCCAGCAGAGCTTGTCGCATCTTCCGGTTCAGGCGAATCGGGACATCCGACATAAAATCCACGCCGCCAGCCACGATGGCATCCATCTGACCGTTACCAATCAGGCCCATAGCCGTCGTGATGGCCTGATTACTGGAAATGCAGGCCATCGTCACGGTGTGCGCCGGAGTACGCTCGGATAATCCAGCGCCTGTGGGAGAAAACAACAAAGCCCTCGGAAGATATTCAAACACCAATTCACACGATTACAGCTATCCACTCAAAACCGCTGGCCTCAATCATTTAATCGTTCATGTTTCCACTGCTTTTCAAGCTGGTGTTACTGGAAAGAGTACTGAACAGGTAAAGTATCAATTTTCAACCATGCAGTTAACACAGAATGACGAACGAGTCAAGAATTAGAAAATAACCTGGCACTGTTCTTTGCAGGTTTTAATGAATTTCCAGTAAAGGAGTGTACCTTATAATTTGCTAACTCCGCAAACTATTAAAATTAAGATAAAAAATAACATATGACTTCCTACAACGGACAATATCAGTGGCCAGATACAGCTGCTCGTCGCCCTGTCCATGTAATCAAGTTATTCCTGAGTTATTGTGCCAAGCTCGTGCAAGGCAGTGCAGTATGTACCTACTCGAAATTAAGCATTACCTGAACATTGTAGGAAGTCAGGGACTAAAACCTATATCAAGTAGCTTGCGACATTTTACATAAATCTATGTAGTAGCTGCGCACTACTCTACAATGCAACATAGTCGTGGAACAACCACAAATTTAATCAAATTCATTTAATAAAAGTTGAATTCAAGATTACCATCTACCGTAATCGCATCCCGTAGTCACAGACAGATGAGGATTCCGATTAGTAAGTCAGATCGCTTCGTTCAACATACCCAGAGCGGCATCCCGTGCAATATTGGCCGTCTTGGCCTCCTGGATCACCGTGCCCATGATGACATAGTCGATTTCCTCCTTGGGGAACTTGGTCCGCCGCAGCAGACTGTGGATGGCCTGCCGCGCCAGATCGTGCGGCATCAGGCTCTTGTACTGCGAGCCCGCTGTCAGAAACGGTGTCCGCACGCCCTCCACCAGCACAATGTTAGGCATGGACTTGAGGGGTTTGACTTTGGGGCCCGCGGGCTGTCGCAGACGCGGCGCATCCGTCTTGCTGTTGGGCGACGCCGAGCGCTGCTTGGCTTTGGCATCGGGCATGCAGCCTGCATCGGCGGGGGTGGCCGCGGTCGCCGCTGGCTGCAGACGCACGGCCGAGGTGCCCATGGAGCGGGTGAGGATCAGGGGGACACGGTGCAGATGCATGGTGGTCGACAAAATGGTTGGTGCTACACTGCTGGGGACTGCAAACTGAAAGATCGGCAAGCTTTGTCATCACGATACCCGTTTAGTCCTGATCTCCTGCCTGACTTCTAAACTTTCTGTTAATGCTCTTTATAGTCTCTATACTATGCAATCTGCACTAATCGTCAGCAGTTAAACTGAGTCGCATCATTCTCAAGTTCAACAACTTGCTGTTGATCTTCCAGTGCTCAGCAGCTTACCAGATCGTCACTATTCACTAGTCAGCAAACTTACTCACAATTAAAACTTCCTCTCACAAACGATGGCTTGTAGAAGCGAAGATGCCAGTCAATCCAGTATCGCCACACGCTCTCACAAGATGGAAACAATTCCAAATTTCTGTATTTTTCCACTACGAAGTACTACAAAAAGTTGGAAACCCGAAACAGTCTCAAAATAATCCGACAACAAATAAATATTCGTCCCGAATTCGGAGGTGCACTTCGGTCGCAGTCCAAAAGCCAGTTTTCTAGCGAAAACCCATTCTCATTTAAAGTGACGTCAGCAACTGTGATGAGTCATGCATCTGTTAAAGCCGCATTTCCGGTGGCCGTAGAGCCCGTAGCGGATCGACATGGGCTAACCAGTAGGCTGTTTATTATAAAACAAACAAAAATTTTATATACAAATTTGTACATAGGTTGTCCGTTGCGCCTGTGTTCGTCCTGTACGTTCGCTTTACTTTTGTGTATAAGAAATTAGCTGCAAAAATCTTTTTATACATAAAAGTTTTTTTATACAGTACATAATTCTATACTATGACAAATGGCACGGCTTGCTGAAGTTGCAAGAAAAAGGGAGTGAAACTGAGGTCACTAGTTAGTAATATTTAATTTCTCCATGAGTTAGCTATCACAAATAATCTCAAAATATGCTGTACAACATAATCATAATCGTTAATCTTTACTTTTCGTACCATCTGGAACTCTCTATGGTTTGCGAATGCAGAACAGTATTGTACACTGTACAGTAGAATTATCATCATTAAATGTCAAATGATGATAATTCTACCCGCAGTCCTGCAGTCCTTAGTTTCTACAAATTTTGTAGAAACAAGGACTGCACGGAAGGAGACTATAATTGCGGATGTAATTTGTTTTTCGGAACTCGAGGAGATGATCGTGTAACTGCTTCAGTTATACCAACAAAGACTGCAGCGCAAAATTTAATATTGCCCATTTTGCTTCTTTCGGCAAGCCAGACAACTGAGGATTTGGGATTACGTGAATCTGAAAACCGCCACTCCGACCCACAGGAATACAGCTATAAGATGGCATACCAAATACTCGAAGATTTACCATTAGTTTGCCATGGCTATACTGTATTGTATATACAATACCTTCAGGCTTAAGCTTCTTGCAAATACCTAGCTACCTACGTACAGTACAATACAGCGAATGCCATGGCCATGCACCGTTTTTTAATTTTATTAAGCACGGAATTTGGTCATGCAGGTTGCTGCCGGCACTAATATGGAACCACTTTGACGCAATCCGATCGCTTCACGGCGAATTACCCATCCCCGCTGTGGATCTACGTGCTTTTCTGCACTCTCTCACTTTTTTTAAGCTTTCATAAGTCACAGGAAATCTAAAGATTCAATAAGCTGCGATCGATAGTCACTGCAGGTTCTTCAGAGAAAATAAGTGTTACTGCATGTAAACTGCATCATATAATATACAGCCTAAATCGCAATAGGTAAATAACCGGTTGTGGTCGAAAGCGAGAGCTTAAGTTTTTAGTAAAAGGATTTTCTGCAGTCAGCAACCCAGTGACCTTTCAGAGCGGGATAAAATTTTCTCCGCTTTTGTTATTTTGAAAAGATGCTGTGCGTTTCGGTGGATACTGAAAGGAGCACATCCGATAATCTGCCGGTTGCAGTATCCTGAGATAAATTCCAGGTCATGTTTGTGTTGAAAGATATAACGGCTGCAGGTACGAAGCATTTTCAGCTTCGTTTGGGTAGTAAGTTGCAAACGACATGCACTACAGTATGCATCTACGATATGCAATTATTGTATGCATTGCATGACACGAACTACTGGTATTGCTTTTTGCAACCGTACGCAATGTATTATGCGCCATGTATCAATATTGAAGGCCCAACATGGTCACAAAAAATATGCCGTTTATCCTGTTTATCTGGAAAGGTCAAAATTAAACGGATCAATGATGTGATCAGCAAAAAGTAGACTGCTAATATTTTATGCAAAACTTGTGCTTGTAAAATGCAAATGGCCAAACGTTAGCGACATAAAATGTTAAACTGATGATGCGTCATGATCACATATATTCGGTAGTTTGCTCGGTAAAAAACCTTAAAAAATGTTGTGTAGCAAGTACTAGGTGATGTAAACGCAAAATATACCATTCTCATGCAAACCCAAAATATACTATTCTCATTCATTTTAGTGCAGAGATCCATTCTCTTGCGCAACTCAGGGCAAGACAGAATAGGGTTCAAGAATGGTTGCGTTATTCGGTGCAATTTCTGACAAATACTTTCTCAGTGTCTATGTTATCAGGTGTCCATGCCACGGCTTTCTCTTCAAATGACTCCCATGCTTCGACTGCTGTGGATATCGTTTCCGCCACGGGAGTCGAACGGTGGTCGGCTACTTAAAGGTAGTCTTTTCGGTGGTGCAAACAATCTCGGTCTTTTCGGTGGTGCATATTTCTTTGGCAATTCAACGGGGTAACGCTGCTTCTATAATTGGTACTGTTGAAAACGTTGTTTCTTTTAATCGCAAATAGACCTTGATATTGTTATCGTGCCATGGAACAATCTTTCTGGAAACCAGTGGGCTCCATCATATCGCTTTCTGAAGTTTCCATCTCACAAGAATAATATTCCTGATTAACGATAAATAGCAGCCACGCATGTATTACTAGGTAATAGCGATGATGCAGGGCGACAAATTTCTGCGGATACTCAGATAAATGCACTCCACTCTGAATCGATTATTATGCATATATACAATCGTGGTTATCGCTCACTGTTGAGGATACCGCAGGTCCGTAGTCAGCGTAAAAAAATACCTCACACACAGTTCTAATGTAGACAGCCGGAACTAAAACCAGACGTCGAAGTTATTACTGGAAAAGGAACTGAATCGTTAATACTGTATCAATAATTTGTATACAGATTACACTGGAGCAGTTTTTAATGCCCAACTGCAAAAACCGGGATTAATACGCTTAACGCCAACCGATTATGAATGATCATCCACAATTCATGAGTGCTCCGGAATCCAGATGAATGACGTCTAGGACAAACGTCTAGGACACTCCGCAATAAAGTTTTGGAATGAATAATTATTTTACGAGTTGTGCCAGTGCTGCAGAAATGCATTAGTGTCGATTTTAGACATCACATCAAATTTATACCGCGGTATCTGACGGCGTTCGCCGCATCAGTATATCTGGATGCAGGGTATCGATGAACACCGGTGAAGAAGTAGATTCTTCCTGGATGTTGTTGGTATCCCGCTGATTGTAGTTGGTCATAGGAACGGTTTCATTTTCAAAGACGGGCTGCGAGGGATCGTCATGAAGGACGCTGTTGGCATCCTCCACGCTGTTCACTGCACCAATAAATGTCAAATCATAAACAACAGCTACAAACATTAAAGCCGTAATGCTGGTAATCTAATTATAAGCTATTTCAACGCGATCAGACGGATGTAGGTAAGCAATAAAGGTGCATTGATGGAACATTTTATTTCCGCGCATGTTGATTATACAGCGCGACGGAAGTTCAGTCAACGTTAAATTGCACGTACATTTATTCACCCGGCAGGTTAAGGTCATCCATGCCGCACGCCGGAAACGCTTGCTCATGGTGCTGTACAGGAAAGGATTCATCGCGGAGTTGAAATAAATCAAGGTTTTTGCGAAGAACATGTACCACAGATTCAGCCAATGTTTCTTCAGAAAGGTGTTGTACACTAATAAACCGCGATACGGCAGCCAACATATCGCGAACAAAATGACAATCACAATCAGCATTCGCAGAACCTATAATGAAGGCTAATTATTGTAATCACATATTGCGCCAACAGTTTGGATCATAAAATATCTACTACGTGTTCGAAAAATGCTATATTAAATGAAATTTGTTGAAGGTCTTCTATGGAAAATCATTGTATTAAAAAAATTAATTATCTTTGATTTCACACTTTTAAAAAGTAGTTATACTGGTTACAACTACATTTCACCCAAAAATGTGTAATTAACGATAATTACTGCAGATCTCTTGTTTCGAACAGAAAGCGCAGAAGCGATTTTTAACAAGAAGATGCTTAGGGTAATAATGAATCCGTACAACTCTAGCTATTTTCACATGTCTTCGATTTCAATATGACTTGAAATGTTTCTGTTCGCGGCGAAATTTGCGTTGGGCGTTCGCACATAAAGACTATACACCACAACCATTATTCCGAAGCCGGAAGTTTTCAAATTACTTTTTTATGTCGCTGATGAAATATCACTCCGCTATGGAAATATCAAACCGAACGTGATCTTAACAGCCTATATTAATAGACATACGTATCGCGTCGTTACACCTACGCGCGCTCGGGACTGCATTCGCCGATGGATATTCTGCGCACGCTGCAGCTCATCGTTGGCGGGATCCGTGCTGGGTAAAAGGCAGGTTGTCACGGATTTTCTAGGGCACTGGTACGCAGCCGGCGGTCCCGTGCAGCTGGTCTGATCCACCTCATCCAATCCGTCGACACTCTCGCGAAGATGATGCACACGTACACTACTGCGACTTTCCCGCTCATACGTCCTAACGCTCTTATACAGCACTATGACGATCCGTGTGTAGATCACCGCGGCAATCAGCAGCGGGGCAATGTAGAATAAACAGAGATCTGCGGCGAAGTAGTAAAAATATTGTTCTTTTGATAAGCGAAAATCGCACTGCTTCCGATCGGGAAGATGCAAATCCGTGCGGACTTCGGTTAAGCCCAGCCAAGGGCAGCAATACAGGACGGCAAACAGCCAGATGCCCATGATGATTTGATTGGTGCGCGGCATGGTGCAGTATTTTTGAGCGGTGAGCGGCCGGCAGATTGCCACATACATTTCCACCGAAAACGCCAAGATACTGAAACAATACGACAACCTAGTGGAATGATAGTGGAATTTATTTATACATATTCTTACACATTACAACACCAATGACAAAAGTGGAACTAAAAAACCGCAAGCAACTGCCGCACGGCGTCCCGCCCCCGCACCAGTACAGTAATTAGATTAAGAATTTAAATGTTAATCTGCTGCCGAGGGATTTTCTAAGAAGGGCGCGCAGCTGTTGCAGATACGTGCATACACTGAAGTATCCGTATTTTATTGAGAGGAGACATCCGCACACACACTACCTAATGCTTCCGGCGTTGATCCCTAAAAAGTTCGTGAAGACGAAGAGACTGCATGCAATCTGACCGGCAACCCAGCGCTTCCCAACATGATGAAAAATTAAGGCTTCCGGTACTGCACTTATGAGCACCAGCAGATCGGCAATCGCCAGAGATATCTAAATTAAAACACTTTTATTACGTTGCGTAAGCAAAGACTGTCTTAGCATGGAAAACGCACTCTACCAATTGTTAACAAACGGATTCCATAACTTTACTTGCAATTGTGTCTGGTGGAAGTTTCATTATTGAGTATAACCTTATTTAACCGTAAAAATTTAGCAGACTATAAGTACTTGTTCAGACTAACGCGAATAGAAAAGGAAAATATTTATTGCCTTGTTATTAATGTTTACATGAATGCATTTGTTGGCTTGGTACAATTACATCGTTTTCAGTTATGGGCAGACTTTTGACACCAAAGCAAAGAACTGCCGCTATGTTGTGGAGCGGCAATGAGCAGAGGCAAATTACATGCATTAGCAATTTAGCATAGTATGTACACAGTATGTGGCACTATGTGCACGATCGCACCGCCAGCATGTATTGTAGTTCGAGCTTACATTAATTTAAGTTCATTATTATTTAACTTTTAGTCTTTCACTAACACGTTACACATAATAAATGGCTTCTATTACGCAGTATATATTTCTTCTATAGATGTAATGCCTGAACATGCTAACAAATTAAATGTCTGTGTACTGTGCACACTGCACATATAAAGAAATAACAAATGAATTTGATAGTACTTTATCGTTCTAAATCGCATAATTGCAAAATACTTCTAAAGATATGGCAGCAACAGGTCGACAAGAAGCGTTTGAATAAAAATAATTTCTAGCTCACTATAAATTCCTTAAATGTTTGATTATTCCGGTAACAAATCGGTATATCAAATAAATTACGAAAAGAATAAATGATGGAATTTATGAGAAAATCTTACGAGTCAACAGAATATTGTTTAAATAATGTACAAGTTCACCGAAAAGAAAAAATTAGACTTCAGTGTTTATGATGAAATAGTGACTTAATACTTGCCAGAAATCTGTAGGTCGGCGTTTGTAGTGCTTTTGTTTTGTAAGCAACAAATACCAGCACGAGGTTTCCTACAACTCCCAGGATAAAAATAATCGTATGGACCATCGTGGCGATTACACGATAATGGAGCGGGAATTCGGCGACAACCTGCGTGATATCCACAACGGTGGTATTGTTGTAACTGGCATTCAGGTTGTACTGGATCTGGAAATAACCGGCAGTGTCGAAATATTCCATTCCTACCGCAAAATACCGCTGCACTTGTCGCAACGTTGGATCCATGATTGCTGAAAAAAATTTCACAAGTCACCTATACCAAAAATAGTATTGCAACAATAATGTACGAAGCTGCAAGCGAATGTTAAATTACAAACAAACTAACAGTCTTTCATTGCGCCAAATTTGGGTTTTTGCATAAGTACGGTAGGTATAAAAATAAATTACATAAAGCCCAACTGACCATACAGATTGGTATACTGAATATAAGCTAAATTTTAGTAATTGACGGTAAGCACTAGCTTAGTGATTGCACAACATGTTTAAATAATTACATGCACTCGGTTTTGCTAGCATTGCACAAACCTGTATGAATTGTTGGCGTGTGCTTCACAGTTATTGGCAAATGGGTATTGCAATTGCGCACATTAGCCCGATTCCACACCTCTGGATGAGGTGACAATTAGCCCCTAATAACAGTACTTCAGACTGCCGAATTACACCTTATACTGCGCTATTACTTCCATGCAATCGTGCTTAATAAGCGATTCTCTACATAATAATATCCTTCCACTCTGACCAATACAGCACCGCCAGCGGGTTTAATGAATCCTGTAAATTCCATTGCATAGTGCCGGCATTTTAATGGGAACGTACTGTATCCATATTGTACAGCGAATAGGCGCACAACTGAACGTTCAAACCGGGACTTCCAGCCTCCTCTCCGCTGCGTAATACACCACAATGGAGCCACACCTTTCACGGAGCTAGAGTACACGTTAATCTCATCCCTTTCGCGGCATTAGTAACAACGTCAACGGGATGAGGGTTATATTTCGATATAGTGCCGAAAAATGCATGTATGCATTCGAAGTACAAATGACCTGCGAATGCCGCACAGGGATGTGCAGGAGACCATACTGGCGGAAGTAGTAATGCAACGTTTCCTTTGAAAACGGCTGCTGTTTACGCCGCGATGAGCCGGTAAACTGTTGCGTGATTAATTAACGGTATGAATTTTGGCTTATTTATCGATCACACAGTAGTATAGATGCATGCATTCAGTTCGTATTACATGCGGCTGGCAAAATTCTTAATTACGGTCACGCGAAATCGATTTCCTGGAGGCGTTTAAACAGAAATCTTCAACAGCTGACTGTATTAATGGATAGTAGTGAGTCCTATTAACATTAACCATTCCAATTCTTATGTCGTATGAACGATATAGAAAATTTCCAAAACTATAGAAAATACCTTTAGAGAGATTACTTTCAATCCAGTTGCACAAACCTCAAAGTATTTACGCATTTAGGTTTCCCCTTATTAATATCTGTAGCCTGCACGATACCACATTTTCAACGAAAACATTATCATCACTCTTGTCATCACTGATCGGTGATCACAAAGTTGAGCACCATTTACAAAACTGAAAGAACAGAACACCTGGTAACACGAAGACGAATCTTGAGCATTGTGAATGCTATCTGTGCTTTAGTGCAAAATCAAAATGCTGAATGAATTCTCCGTGTTCAAGCGTGGACAACAGATACCCCTAAATCGGCGTAACGGCAACGCTACGACACGTGTCGTGAAAGGGATCGAACCGTTTATAGTCTCTCCATGTCGGCGGCAGACCCTGGTCCAAATACTTTCCACACTTCCGGCATGGACTGCTGAACAGTCCAGCAAACGAGTTCAACCATTGCTGCAAACCGGATTTTCAAATCTTAGTGCAATAGCTACGAGTACGCCATTACAAATATCGTATTCCACAGAACTACCACTGGTAACAAGTAATAAAACTATAATAACAGTATGGCATTGTCGAAATTCCAGAAATCGCTATTATAACAAAACCCTAGAAAAACGAAAGCCATCATGCGTAATATCAAAAAGCAGATGACTATCATTTAATGATTTTAAGTCAAGCGACAAAAGAATCTGTATTATTATCTTCACATCAAGTCAAACAATATCGACGTTCCAATAAAAAAAGTATGTCAAATAAATTTTAGCAGGCGCAAAATTAACACCAAGAAATTAAAAGAAGTAGTTTAGTCATTATGAAACAATTCGTTTTCCTTTTTGGAGATCAAATAATGGAAAGCAGATTTTTGAAAGAAACTGTTTTCGTACATGCGCGCCAGTCACCGAATGCAGACGAAAAGAAATTAAGTTAGCACTTACAAACTGCAAATGCTTACCAGATATGATCTGAAGCTTGCATCTGGTTGAAAAGGGTTATAATAGTGCAAGAGCGCTGCGTTGGCATTGGCCGCCACCGCTCTGTAGGTTTCGTAGTCGGACGGCGTCCACAGGTCCACAGGACGAATAGAGGGCTTTTCCAAGTAGAAATACTCCTCTGCGCCTCGCACATTCACCGCTTCGATGATAAGTCCTCTGAGCAAGATAACAACTCGGAAAATCTTGTCGACAACAAGCTGCACAAGAGACCAATATATGTATTATCTCGCTTTCTTCACCACTTCATAATCATAATCGTACCTCAATGGCGATTCCTGCTCCAGGAAGAGCGTATGTCCAAGATGCCAATCCAGGCAAGGCAGCACCCATATTCTTCACGTATTTCTCGATGTGAATATGCAGACTGAAATTATTGAACGATATAATAACCCAGTCTACCCAGACATTGCGTAACTGGTGTAATCGCTGCCGAAATCTGTGAAAAACATCTAAAGCATTCACAACATGCAAATTCCATAATCAATAAAAATGTGACTAAGCCGACCGAAGAAACCGTTCATTTACTGAAGGCGCTGCCCCATGAATTACTGTATATTCGCAAACTGCAATCCTGCCACAAATACGCGGCAACACGAACACAATAATTAACTAATGAGCGTTTTCACCTTTCATCCATGTAGAAGGCTCTACTTGAAGACACTCGGGGAACGGCGAGAGGGCGATTGAACGACTTTCTCCACCACGCTTGGCTAATGTAGTTCCAAGCGGCTGCAGAGTATTCGCGAAACTGTAATTAAAAAGACCGCTTGCAAGCGCTACCACCATTACGGAAAACAAATGTTCGCAGTCTTTTAGTCTTGGCCGAACTGTTCATATATTTTGATTTCCATACAACGTATACGCGTGTGTAAACCAAACTTGAGGAACTAACCATGGTAAGCAAAGATAAGAAGCCCAAAAACAACTTTGAAAACCGACAGGCTTGCGTTTAACGGTCGCAAAAAGACGGTAAGTATCCACCACAAAAACAGGGAGCCGCTTAGATTTTTTCCCAGAGGCTATGCAGTAAATTTTAAAAAAAAACGGAACTTGCAAGTACTCACCTGGTCAGAAACTTACCCGATCGTGGGACGAATAAGCAGAAATGAGCTGCTCGTACATGTTGGCGTACTCTTTGTTTACTTCTTGGCCACTGGGTGGCAGCGCAGATAGAGAAGTCAAAAACGAAGCCATGCCCAGGCTGGATACCTGAGAAGGCAGATCATCGACGACATCCTGGAGATTCCTGTCAAACATAAGATAAACATGGTCATTACTCATTACAATTTACGAGCCATGTATTGTTCGACAAACGATAGGTTCGTACACGAAATCAGATTCCAAATTCAACAATGCTTGCTGGAAACCCAGGCCCAGCTGCTGAGCATCGTCGCTGTCCTGGTCTGCGGAGAATTCGACCATGTCGCGAACATCTTCGAGATTGATGTTGCAGCGGTTCACTGCGGATGTGACTTTGTCGATGGATATCTGAGCGTTCTGCAAATGCGTTCTCGCTTGATCCGCCATGGTGTTGATGAGAACGTTTAAAACTCCAGATCCATATTATCGTAACGGAGTTTCGGAATTAAATTAACACAAAATCCCGGCATTATGAAACAGCAGATCAAACAATTTTTTCCAAAACTCTAACCGATCAGCTTCCTGCTTCAAACTGTGAAACAGTGAAAGGAAGAAAAGCTGCTACAATGAGATCTCGTACAAAAGGGTGCTCGTAGAAAGCGTATCAGTCCTAGCTGTATGGTATGCCGACTGCCACAGCTGAGAAAGGCCGTACGAAGCACGACGGCGTAATAAGGCGTGATGGCATGCCATAGAAATCCCTGGGAGCACACACAATCAGCAACATCAACAGCTGATGGGCTGATTATGTATATGTACAGTATATCTAATCACTCTAATGTGAATATTTATTTTTAAAAGATTTGCAGCAATCATTTTATAACACCAGTAACCAGCAAGTCATTGTTTTTATGGGAATTCCCATAACAGAGGTGAATCTTTGCTAAGGCTCTATTATTGTTTCAAGAAAATATCCTTGCGATTGCAACCTTAGCAGTTGTTGTACGGAAGAAAGAAGGATACAAAATGGAAGTATTGCAAATTAACACTATTGCAACAGAGCCGTACCAAGGCCAGAAACCAGGCACCAGCGGATTGCGGAAGACAGTCAAGGAGTTCCAGAAACCCAACTACACGGAGAACTTTGTCCAGAGCATTATCTCCACAGTGGCCGCATCGGCCAAATTGGACGGAGCGCTGTTGATTGTTGGTGGGGATGGGCGATATTATTGCCAGGATGCCGTTCGGATTATCGCAAAGATTTGCGCAGCCCACAAGGTGATCAAATGCAACTTGTACGCACTATAGTACAGCGTGCAGTGATGGGGGGTTTATTCGTTAGGTCGGGAAACTGATAATTGGGCAGAATGGGATCTTTTCAACGCCCGCTGTTTCAAATTTGATTCGCAAGACGAAGGCTTTAGGTGGGATCATCCTGACGGCTTCTCACAATCCCGGCGGCCCGAATGCGGACTTTGGCATCAAGTACAATATATCTAACGGAGGTAAGCCTGGGTGCTGCTGAGTGCCGGCTGTGAAAATATCGGTGTGTTAAACTTCATGAAATATTGACATTTATCATTGAAATACCAATACCGAGTACTATAAGTCATCAGACGGAAAATTGATTGCTTTCTTACCACTTACCTCTTATGCTGATATTATGTCGTTAGGAGATGCTGTGATGTTTTAGTTTTTAATGAGATTGATTTATAAGTATCAAATAATTTGAAGTATTACGATTCATAGTAACATATTGATTGCACAGTACGTGCGTTGTTTTAATAACTGATAGCTATTCCCGCCTACTCCTAATGAGGAACATCGATTTCCGCAACCTGTTCAGCATTTAGCACGCAAAGTTTTCTGCGGGTTTTGAAATTATGTCAAATTTTGGTTACCGCCTTACCGGTATTCGAGCTTGCGCATGCAAAGATAAAAATATTCGATGCATAACACGATTAAAATATTACTGTTAGTCTTTGACTGGTCATTTTCTGGTGCAGCTATATGTGTGAATAAAATTAGAGTTTACGGTTTTTTCGCGTCATTTTGTACTGTATGGTGGACAGGGCCTGCTCCCGATGGATTCACAAATAAAATCTACGAATACACCAAAACGATTCGTGCGTACAACATGGTCAATAATCTCAATGTCGAACTGGAGCGACTGGGAACGCAGAAGTTCTTGGTGGAGGGTTTGCCGTTCGAAGTGGAGATTATCGACTCGGTGGCGGACTACGCGGCACTCATGCGAGAACTGTTTGACTTTAACAAGATTCGCGAACTTCTCCAGGGCACTGGACCACACCCGGCACCTTTTCAGGTGTTTTTCGATTCACTGCATGGTGGTAAGTTCAGATTGCCGAGCTAGCGTTTACTAATCTTCTTTACATAGTGGAGATGAACATTAATATGTAATTGACATTTGACGTAAGAGTGTTATGGGGTTAGTTACCGGCCCGTATGTGCGACGCATTTTCTGTATGGAATTGAGTGCACCGGAAAGCAGTGCGTCTAATGCGGAACCTCTGCCGGATTTCGGCGGCGAGCATCCGGATCCCAATCTGACATATGCGCATAAGTTGGTGGAGAAAATGAAAGAGGGCATTTATGATTTTGGAGCTGCATTCGATGGCGATGGTGTAAGTAGTACGCCGCATTGCAGTTAGTGCAGTATACCATAATTACGGACGCGCCAGTTTATCGTACTTATATGCAACAGTTTGCTCAATCGTTTAATGTTGCATTTACAAATGCCACTTGATTGCAGATAAACAAAATTCAGCCAAGTTAATTTTCTAACAGCAATGACAAACACAAATTTTTAGTTGTTTTTTGATGGCCTGGTTTTTCCCATAGGATCGCAATATGATTCTTGGGAAGAATGGCTTTTTCGTAACTCCTTCGGATTCTCTAGCCGTGTTGGCTGCCAATGCTCACTTTATTCCATATTTTCAAAAGAATGGATTGAAAGGATTTGCGCGCAGTATGCCTACAGCTGGAGCGATTGACCGGTAAATTAAAATTTATTTGAATGCATTAGGTACAAAGCAAATACTGCCGACTTTTTTAGTGTGTCCGAGTCCATGGCTAAAGAATTTTTCGAAGTGCCCACTGGATGGAAGTATTTCGGAAATCTGATGGACGCGGGCCGGCTTTCGCTGTGCGGAGAAGAAAGTTTTGGCACTGGCTCTGACCACATTCGGTACGTTCAGTGAAGCTTGTAGAAAGATGAATTAACAATATTTAAATTTTTTCCTTTTTCCACGCGATTTGTTGTATGCGTTTTTCATAGTGAAAAAGATGGAGTATGGACTGCCATAGCGTGGTTGTCGATCCTGGCTAACAAACCCGGCGAAAGCGTGGAATCGATTGTCGTCGACCACTGGACTAAATTTGGACGAAACTTTTTCACTCGGTAAATATTTCCGTAAAGTGGCTCTTCTGCTTCGTATTTTTTTAAATGAAACAACGGCTGTTTGATAGATATGATTACGAAAACTGCGAAGATGCCGGCGCAAAAGCGATGATGGATCATTTGAATGCGCTTGTGAAGGATCCAGCGCTGACTGGAAAAAGCTACGCCGACGGCGACAAAACTTTTACTGTGGCTAAGGCGGATAATTTTTCATATAAGGATCCGGTGGACGGATCTGTCAGTGAGAATCAGGTAAATTAGTACATTTTCGTTCAAAGGTTTTCGTTTTTAAAATACTGTACCAGATCATCGCCAATGGAGCGAGTTCAGTTTTCAGAATATCGATGGCATTATTTTTTCGAATGCTTTGCAGGGTATCCGTGTCGTTTTCAAAGACGGCTCACGTATCGTCTTCCGCATCAGTGGTACCGGAAGTACAGGATCTACTATTCGCCTTTACGGCGATTGCTACGAACCAGACCAAGTGAAGCAAAAAATGGACGCCGGATTCATACTGAAACCATTGATCAATGTGGCACTGGCAATGTCGAAACTAACTCACTTTACCGGTCGTGATGCACCTACGGTGATTACATAGAAGAAAGTTATGTATGACACGAATTACATAGGCAAAAGTTAATTTGTTTAGCTCAGTCTCATATCATGTTCTGTCTTTATTGCATGTTTGCTAAGTACTTTAATGGTTTGAAATTGATGGTCGACAATTCATAGTCTTCGCTGCCGGTTGTGGGTCTGAAACTACAGTAAGTAAATGATTGACTACTTGCTTGAAAAAACAAGACTTCAGCGTTTGTTTGAATGTTTATGGCGCTGAAAAGTTTTATTTCCAGTAATACATATTATTTGTATATTTAAATTAACCGTCGAAAGTTAAACGCACACTGAAACAAAATCACAGACCTATAATATCACACCAACTTTCCGAACCGAGCAAATTATAACAGTAACGGGGATGGAGTGCATTGCTGTATTGTACAGCGTTACTACATCCAGACAACTCGAATTCCTCTTTGCTGCAGTTCGCGTAGCTGCTGCTGAGAATGTCCTTTTAAGGGGTCATGACTAGCCTTGGTGAAACAGAGAAAAATTGTGTCTCTGCTGTAATCCCACGCCCGAATTACGCAGGTCTGCAATGGCAGAACCTTGAGTCCTTGACAAATGATATACACAACACAGCAATTTTCAAGTTACCAACAAATCATCGCAAATTCCAGCTGTGATTTTACTTATCAGTAGCGCAGACGGATTTGCTAATACCAAAATATCGGCCCACTGCCGCAACAGAATATGCAGCACTGGATCTTCCCGTTTGCTCCAAACCTGTAAAAGTAAGCGGAACACAAGTCAGTATGAATACTGAAAACCACGAATCTCATTTATTGTAGCACAAGGCACAAGCAAAGGTGGTGCATTCTTTGATTTGAACTGATACCTGCCATTCATCCCAGTCCGAAAAAGACTGTTGATCCAGTACCGTTTGATCAACCTGCCGTACTTCCGGTGATAATTTTTGCACGCTGTCGGAAGTTATGTATTTGATATTGTAACGCGGTACTTGTTTCTCAACCGACTGAATTTCCCCATTGTCAGAATGCTGACACTGCATGGAACACTTTCGCAGATCAGCCATAAATGCATCGACAAAGCGCTGTTTCGTATCGCATTCGAATTTTTCCGGACTGTTTACAGCAAGCTGTAATGAGGACTCAATGTCGGCACTCAATAATACATTGAGGGATTCTGCAAAATATTGAATTAAACTGTACTGAGCTCTGTCTGCAATGTCTTTCTTCGGTTTCCTTAGGGCAGGTTTTTTAAGGCTGGAGTATACTTCTGTAGCCGAATTACCCTTTCCGGTACATGTTTTCACTAGTAACTGCACAGGAAAATGCACTGTAATCAGTGTAATGTGTATTAGGACATATGAACCGACACACAGGTAGAGTATTGTCAAATAAAACAGGCACTACTAGTATACTTTTAATTAATATAATTATACTAGTATAGGTACGTAGCTATGTATAGTACTGTAGTAGTAGGCAGCGGACATGCTTAAAACGCGATTTCTCATTCCCTTAAAGCGGACTGCCAGACACTTCCTGCTTTTGGGTGCATTACAGGACCTACGCTTGCGTTCGGTCGATTACCTCGGGTCACAAGGTCACAAAGATCGAATCGGTAATTAAAAGCGTCATGTGAACACGCCTTTTGGGATGACCATCCCTCGTCCAGAATACTCATTTTTCCGGTAAAATCGTAATTTTTAGGAACAGGCACAACAATAATATCCCGGCGGTCACTCACGGTGCTTCCAATAAAAGTATTCTGCAAATATTCTACGATATCTGGTGGAGAAGCCATCGGTCCGAAGCCTGAAAACGAAGCTAGGGAATGCCGTGTGCGTAAACAGCCGCGGCAAAAAAAGCAAGCCAACGAACAAATGAATTGCAACTTGCTTGGTGTGCAGTCGGCTCGGTACCTGTTTCTCCGCACATGGATGGTTTATCCACCTGAAATGTGTAGATGATGTTAATTGCAGCAAATCGTCAACCTGATTTACAATATTTAATGGAGAAGTTTTTTTTTATTATTTGTACTTTATCAAAAAACAAGATTACCGTCGGTATGAAAACAACGCAGTTCCGACCCGATCCATAGAGAGAACGAATTTCCCGGAGATTATTTTCAGTAACAACAGAATTCCACATCATGGAGTTCATGGCTGCAGCCAAAAGAAAAGGCACCGGTGTTTCTTGCCTGTGCAAAAGGAATCGCACCACCGCTAGCTCCTGGAAAATTTGCGATAAAACAATCGCTCAATTCCTCAACCCAAACAACCTTAATTTGGGAGCGATTAAAATTTTGTACCAGATTCGATGGATTGGCTGACTGAAGAAAAGACGGATTGGCCAGTTTGGCCATAAGGTTGGCTCCTGCACACAACAACGCGTAAAAGACAATAATTAAAAAGATGACTGGTTAACCTCATACATATTTTGTGATAGGGAAACGTTACGTTATCCAAACACTAACAAATCAATAAATTGAACAACGCGTAAAAAAACTATAACAACTTGACAAAATATGATGAATCTACGTAATACGCTTGCCTAAAGGTGCAATAAGGAATGCCACTACAGTTTCCATGAGACCGGCAAAATTTGTATTCGACTGGCAGGGATCCTACGGGAGAAAGATGGATCGTAATAATTTTTCTTTTTTAAAATATCATAATAAATTGATGAAATTTCTTAACGTATGTACTGGACGAGTTTAACTTTGAAGGTTGCAGCTGTGCATTATAAATTCCATTCATCAGTTATTACCAGAATCTGAACCCGATCCTGCTGCGAAAACAGGCATACACGACCATTTCCGTCTTTAGGGAGGAAGTGGCTAGCGTGTGTGGTCGGGATTACAACTATTTCCAGCTAAAAGATACAATATTTTATCGTATTCGTGAACAAGCATGCTGCATAGACGATAGAACTTTTCATGAAAGCGTTACTGTAATACAGGTACAGTGTACAAACTTGCAGACATCATCCATGACTTTTTTGCTAGGTACGTTTACAATAAGCAGCGCGTTAGATTTAGCTTTGCAGATTTCTCTTCTATAATCATCCGCTTTAAAATTAATGATATTCAGAATAACAGCTAGCATCTTCGTGATTAAAAATTGTTTCTTTCACATATAAACTGTTTCTTTACAGTTACAGTTTTTCTGTTTCACAGTTTATATGTGATAGAAACAGTTACCCTGGGGAAACATGCTCGTATGAGATCCACAATTTCCGGAATTTTTATGCATGCTACACTTCCACTGCATCCTAGTATAAGAGTATTCCTTTTATTTATTCCAGGCGCACTCATGTTGTTTCAGTTACAGTATTGCATAATGTCCGGACAATCAATTGTTACTACACTAACGAAACCAATTGGAATGCAAAACAATGCAGATGGTAAATATAAAAGCAAAACCCGAACTGTAATTTGCTGTGGTCGTCGACGTCTGTCGGCTGACTTTTCAAAAATTTGCGTTAAGATAGTTTTCCGTATTATGTAGAAAATAAAACCTCATAAATTGCTTCACAAATTTCTTTATATTTATATGTAGTACTCGTACTTCGGCAGCAGGATTACGTGCGGAAATAGATTTCAAAATCGCAAATTGCCATCATTATTATAGCCATGGTACCATACATAAAATTAATGTGTACGGTAGCACTTGAATGGTGGAAAAATACAGCAGCAGGCTAGCAGCCAAAACCAGTCTCGAGTCGTGCGTGGGAAATAGACTTGCGAAGCTGACGTCACAAGCAGCATGCTCGGCTACACTTGCATGGGCGGTGCAGCGGCCGTCGTCACGTGTACGGCAATATCTGCGAATCCGCAAGTCGCGCGCTCGGAAATGCTGGTTTCTCTCGAGCGTTTAATCCCAGAGTGTATGGTACCGGAAAAGCGCATGCAAGTGACTTTGACGGAACGCGACCGAAGGATGCCGTGTTGCGTATGTCGGCTGCGTATGTATGTACGCTGCAGTGTCAGCGATTTTTTTATACGCGCTGCAGCTGCAAAAGGGATGAACAAAAAACTGCAGCAGGATTACTGGATGCACCTCTGATCTAGAGGAGAAGTTTCTGCCGATCTTTTCACAGGTCTTTGCTAATAGTTTGCAGGAAACTAATCCTCTGGAGATATGGCTACCCCAACCACTGATTCGGAGAGGCGGAAACAGATTTCCGTGCGCGGCATTGCCGAAGTGGAATCGGTATCAAACATCAAGAAGACCTTCAATCAGCATCTGCACTTCACGCTGGTGAAGGATCGCAATGTGGCCACACCTCGGGATTACTTCTTTGCTTTGGCCCATACTGTCCGCGATCATTTGGTCGGTCGGTGGATCCGCACGCAGCAGTACTACTATGAACATGATCCTAAGGTAAATGATTAAGTAATAAAGTTTTGGAACAATTTTTTAATGGAAGCCGGTATTAGTGGTTGTAATTCGACAGCTGTGTCAATTTATGCGCCTTTTTAATGCATTGTAAAATGTAATGCACAATGTTGGAGTAATAAGTAGTTTGTTGCACACTTGTTACTACACCATGATGTGCAGATACGATACATTAATGTCCAGTTATTTTGATTTATTTGTGTCTGTTTGACGAATTCCCGCATATTTTAACAATACAGCAAGGTAACGGTAAAAAAATGGACACTACATACGGTACCTACGCGACTATCTATAGATATAAAGGCGCGCTAAATCTACAAAGGCGCGTTACGCGTATGTACTGTACGCATATACTGTACCAAGAGCGCCTTTTTTATTGTAATTCCTCTTTTAGTTAGTAAGTATAATTAATAGTTTATGAGACTGTTCAAACAGCTAATAAGGCTATTAAACGCTACAGTTCAAATACAGTAAGCACCTACTGGCTACTGCAACAGTTACGTACTAAGTACAATTGTACAATACAGTACATGATTTCCGCCAACAGACTGCTGTGATGTATGTGGAAGAGAACTGCATAATGTATATTAGATGTAAACAATTTAATTATAACGCTGTTTCTTTCGCTGGGAGAAAATGTACGAAAGTATGTGGTGTATGAAAGATGTATGAAAGCATGTAATACGGATAACGCTAACAGTATGTGTTAGTTATTTATTTTTTAATATAGATACGCATATTGAATACTTCTAATACTTATGGTTAGGTCAAGTAGCGCTGGATCGCCTTAACTTTTCCACATTGCCTGCATTACAAAACGAGCAAAATATACTAATTTGCAATGTATATAAATTGTAGTTATATATAGCATTTACGATTTTTTGACGCGGTCTCCGTCGTAGATGGGCACCGAAAATTGAAGATTTTCCTTTTTTTGTGTTGTTTTTTTATTAAACAGTATTTTTCTTCGGGGTATTTGGTGATTATTTTGATAAAACTAAATTGAATAAAGAAAGATACGACTAAAGGGGCAAACTGCCAAGTAAAGCTTTTTTTAACCTTTTCCGCTTGCCGTCAGCTTTCATTACTTTTGTGAGTTACGGATTGGCTTGCAGTTTAATTCTTGGATGCATGCAGCTTATGCTCAGATGCCACAAAGGTCATAAAAAAAGACTGATGTACTATGTCATGAAACATTTGTGCGGTATGCGTAATCTTTCGTCCAGACTTTCTTTTAATTAAATTACTCGCTTAAGACATTTTTAATTTCGAATGCTGCGCAATTTGTTTCACCAGTGAACCAAGTGCCATGAGCACCATCGCATTAGAGTTTTTGCTGTTGTAGCGAGTGTACTACCTATCGCTGGAATACTACATGGGTCGCGCGTTACAAAACACCATGATTAATCTGGGCATCCAGTCAGCATGCGACGAAGCCCTGTACCAGTTGGGACTGGACATTGAAGAGCTGCAAGAGTTGGAAGACGATGCCGGTCTGGGTAACGGTGGTCTGGGCCGATTGGCAGCTTGTTTTCTGGATTCGATGGCCACTTTGGGTTTGGCAGCCTACGGCTACGGAATCCGGTATGAATACGGTATCTTCGATCAAAAGATCGTGGACGGGGAGCAGATTGAGGAACCGGATGACTGGCTGCGTTTCGGCAATCCGTGGGAGAAAGCGCGCCCGGAATTCATGTTGCCGGTAAATTTCTACGGGCGGGTGGAGAAGAATGAGAAAGGCTGTAGATGGGTGGATGCGCAGGTAAAAATGCAGACACCTAAAGTCGACTTTTTTATAGAGCGCTAAATCATGTGGCAGCAATGCCAAGTAATTGGTGCATAGTTGACCATTGAAGAGTAATTCAAAGGTGGCGAAAGCTTCGGTGCCAGCAAGTACGCTTTATGATCTTGAGTATGAGAATTATAAGGAATAATCTGTAGATAACTAGAATAGTCTTTTCTGCAAATAAAAAGTTTTCGTCATGTTAATATTATAGACTATGTAATTTTATCCCGTGTCATTTATAATGTAGGTGGTCTTCGCTATGCCGTACGATATTCCTGTTCCCGGCTACATGAACAATACGGTCAACACGTTGCGATTGTGGTCAGCCAAGTCGGCACACGACTTTCAGCTGAAATGTTTCAACGAAGGGGACTACATCCAAGCTGTTTTGGATCGTAATAACGCTGAAAAGTGGGTACTTTCCTAATTAAATGTTCTCCTGAACTCACAGTCACAGCAGTTTCAGACTTTCAGGTGTTCACACAAAATGGATTATGAAGTAGTCGTTTTGATGAGAATTTTCTTTCAGCATTTCGCGAGTGCTGTACCCCAACGACAATTTCTTCTCCGGCAAAGAACTGCGACTAAAGCAGGAATATTTTATGGTGGCCGCTTCGCTGCAGGACATTGTCCGGCGTTTCAAATCCGCCAAATTCGGATGTCGCGATGCGGTGCGGACGTCTTTCGACAATTTTCCCGAAAAGGTTGCTATTCAACTGAATGATACGCATCCGTCAATGGCCATCCCGGAGCTGATGCGCATTCTGGTGGACCTGGAAGGATTGCCGTGGGAGCGCGCCTTCGACATTACCGTACGCGCCTGTGCGTACACCAACCACACCGTATTGCCGGAAGCGCTGGAACGCTGGACATGCAGCCAGTTGCAGAATCTCTTACCGCGACATTTGGAAATCATCTACCATATCAACTTTCTGTTCTTACAGGAGGTGCAGAAACTCTGGCCCGGTAAGTACTTCGGTTGAGCAGGTCAGTTAAACTGAGCCGGCATTACTGCGTTTTAAACTTTACTTCATGTTGTTGAGAATATTTATTGGTTTTCACGTCATATACCGTCTGCTTATTAGTTATCATTTAAAGAAAAAACGTTTTATAAACGAAAATTATCGAAACCATTCTTACGTATAAGGTTAAGGCGAACGGATATGATCGACATGCTCCAGGATCAGGCGGTACTGTAGTGCGGCGGCTTTTTGATCATACTAAACAGAACTGTAATCGAAGATTTTGCGACGGTTGTGCAACTTAAGATGAACTCCGTTAATAATACCTGCAAGGCTGCGATCAGTATTTAATTTTCTGATCAGGTGATGAGGCTCGCATGCGGCGCATGTCGCTGGTGGAGGAAGAAGGCGAACAGCGCATCAACATGGCATTTTTATCCATTGTGGGTTCTCACGCTGTTAACGGTGTAGCTGCTCTGCATTCGGATTTACTGAAGACAACCATCTTTCGGGATTTTTACGATATGTGGCCGCAAAAGTTTCAAAATAAAACCAATGGAATTACTCCCCGTCGTTGGTTGTTATTGTGTAATCCATCCTTGGCCGATTTAATTACGGAGAAGATCGGAGAGGAATGGGTGCGTGACCTTTATCAGCTGGAGAAGCTGAAGGCGTTCATTGGAGATCAGCAGTTCCTGCGTCGATTGATGCAGTTTAAGCAGGAGAATAAGCTCAAACTAGTCACTCACATTAAGGAAAAGTATGGAGTGAACGTGAATCCGGCGTCCATTTTCGATATCCAGGTCAAGAGAATCCATGAATACAAACGACAGATCCTCAACTGTCTGCACGTTATCACGGTAAATTTGCTAGTAATTTATTTTGTTATTACGATTATAAAAGTTTTTATCGCATTTCTCTTTCAATTGGTTTGGTCTACTGCGCATGCGGTACCGATTTAATTTTTATCCTGTGTTTTGTATTCGTTTTCAACATATGTATATAAAAGTCGAAACGTTTGGAAATGCACGTACCTACGTTGCTTAAAGAATTTCGGCAATAAATTCTGGTGTAGATAATTGTTAGGTAAACTGTAGAGCTTTCGTTATTAATTTCGCCATTTAAAAGTGTACACAATTCGATCATTCATGTGAGTAGGCATCTTATGTTTTCACTTTGCAGTTATACAACCGCATCAAGCGCAATCCCGGTGATAAATTCATACCGCGCACGGTGATGATTGGCGGCAAAGCCGCTCCTGGCTATCACATGGCCAAACAGACGATTAAACTGATCTGCGCTATTGGACGTATTGTCAACAATGATCCCATTATTGGGGACCGCTTGAAAGTGATCTTTCTGGAGAATTACCGCGTGAGCTTAGCCGAGAAAATTATCCCGGCAGCAGACCTGAGCGAGCAAATCTCGCTGGCCGGAACGGAAGCGTCAGGAACCGGCAACATGAAGTTCCAGCTGAACGGTGCAATGACCATCGGCACACTGGACGGAGCCAACGTAGAGATGCGCGAAGAGATGGGCGTGGAGAACTTCTTTCTGTTCGGCATGACTGTGGATGAAGTGGCAGCCCTTTGGCGTCGCGGGTAATAATTGTTGGAAATACTCGTGCAATTATGTAATAAATTTGTTCCATTAAGCATTTTTTTCCCATTAAGTGCAAAATAGATTAATTATTTATTTTTAGCTGGTAATATTTCAAAAACAGTTTTTGTTTGTCCATACAAATTACAAAACAATGTGCCAATCATTCAAGTGAAAATTATCTGGGACTGGTGTTAGCCACTGTTAGGCGTCCTTTTGTGTTTATAGCTTCTGAACTGCAAATGTCGACGGTTTTTCGTTGACGCACTTTTTCATTTTATTATCGCTACAATTCTGCAGGTATAATCCATATGAGTACTATAACCGCAATCCAGAGCTGAAGTTAGCCATCGATCAGATCCGGAGTGGATATTTTTCACCTAATCGCCCGGAATTATTTCATGATGTTGTGGATGTTCTGCTGAAATATGACCGGTAATGTTTTGCGTTACCATCATTCTGTAATTGCGCTTTTACTGGTAAATTGGCGGATTGTCTTCATAAATTTCTCCTGCAGGTTTTGTACTCTTGCCGACTATGATGATTATATGAAATGCCAAGAGCGCGTTAATGAAGCATACGCTGACCCGCTGGTGTGGGCGCGAATGAGTTTAATGAATATTGCATCCAGTGGAAAATTCAGCACGTAAGTTTTGTATATACATTTTACAACAGAAACAAAAAGATACTTTCAAAGTATCGATCCAAATACGAAAAATGCAAGAAAGTGGCATCATTATTTTCAGTACTCTGTATTTTTAGTGATCGCACCATTGCGCAGTATGCTCGTGAGATCTGGGGAGTTGAGCCGAGTTTCGCACGTTTACCGGCTCCACATGAGCCAATGTTCGAGCCAACTATGGCCAAGCAGCAGAATGCCAAAGCAGCCGGCGATGCGAATGCTTAACGGACTGGCGCTTCCAGATCCACGCTAGCTTGGGGAGAATTATATTTCTTTTTGATTTTTTTGCTGCGTTAAATGAAGTGCTTCGCGAGTAAAGAAAGGTTGTGGTCTATGAGCTAATCAAAATCCCTTGTTTTGGAGCTTGAACGAATGTAACGTACGCTGGTTTACATATATATCTGCGTTATGTTTGCTAAGTGTGATAAAATTTGTGGATATGTCTTAGTAGAGACCGTATTGTCGTTGCTCTTGGATATTTTTTTCTCGTATTGCAAATTGCCGTGAGAAATATTGCTGGCTGATAAAAGTCTGCTTTTGTCGTCCTTTTCGTTCCTAATAATATTACTGTATAAGTGGAACGCATGCACTTAAAAATTGTAAGTGATTTGCGAAATAAAGCCAAAAAATGATGATCAGTAACGTCATTTTGCGACGATTGCAGAGTGTCATGTTCAGCATATTATTCAATTATCCGATTACAAAAAAACTGTTTTAATAGTTTGCATTATGCGAGCAAACAGTTAACATTAAAATCCTCAAAAGGTTGTATTTTACGCGTAAACGTTTTGCTAATTTGTTAGACCAACGAATCCAAATTCCTGTCAACAGCAAGTAAAAAATTAATTTATTCCGTTATAAAAATTTAAAAAATTAATTATAAAAAGAAACTATCATCCTTTCTTTCACTGCTTTTTGGTCGCCTTGCCTTTCTTTCCGGCCTCCTTATTTTTGCCCTTGCCGGCAGCCGGTTTCTTGGCAGCGGGCTTCTTTGTTGTTGTGGTCGTGGTGGTAGTTGTCGGCTTCTCGGTTTCCTTGCCCTTGGCGGCCTTGGCTGGTTTACCTTTACCTTTTCCAGCTGCTTTTTTCGCTTTAGTGGTGGCTTCGGTTGTTGTTGTCGCTTCCGTGGTGGTGGTGGTAGTAGTGGTCGCAGCCTTAGTTGCGCTTTTGACGGGTTTTTTGGCTTCATTCTTCGGGCTTGGCTTTTGTGCGGCTGTTGTGGTTGCGGCAGCGGACGACGCTTGAGGTGGTTGAACGGCGTTGTCCTCTTCGGATGCGTTGGGCGGAGTGTCCAACAGCGTCCACGATGCATGGTACAAGCGCGAATTGGAGTAGTCATAAAATTGTTTGACCCTGCGAATAACGTGAAAGTGTTACACAGCATCGAGTGGAGTTGGCAAATCAAATTATCCGTCTAACAAAATCTTTTAGCGTTTCCACCAATCTACAGCATATCAGCATTGGAAAGACATTTTCCTGAACGAAACCTCTGGAAAAGTTAAACGGTAGAAATTTTTTGTGGAAAAAATGAGGTTTTATTAAATTGGTGCGCTCATGAGTTAACCGAAAGCGCATACGTAGAAAGTTTTTTAAAATAAGTACGAATACATATATGTAAGTATCGTGCACGTACTGGCTGCAGTCGACGTTCCAGAACCAATCACAAATTAACTCCACCTGGTTAAACCGTGTCAGATTCGGGCACAAATAACTGAACAGCTGTCCGTTGATATCGCACCGGCGAATGACCTGGCAATCGCTATCCATATCGGCATAGAAACCGGCTTGCTGGACGTCTTTGCACGCGAAGCTCGTAGGATCCGGGATGGCGGCCAGATTAGGATAATCCTTACCGGCGACAGCGCTGGAGAGCAGTTCGGCCATGTCAACGGTCTTCGCCGAACGGGCTGCCGGACTGTTGCCCATCAGTACTTTGAGCGCCTTAGTCAGATCGGGATTCTGTGGGGGCATAGCCCGATTACTCTCGTAGTCGGCGTTGGGATACTGGATGGCCGGAGTCACCGTCGCCTGCTCTGAGGGGCTGGCGCTGACTGTGACCTTTTGCGTGGTTGACTTGGCGGTGCTGGTTTCATCGACTTTCTTGCCCTGTCGCGGAGGTGTGGTGACAGCGACAATGGTTTTGGCCTGGGTGGTGGCAGCCGTGGCGGTGGTTGCGGCAATGGTAGCAGCTGTAGAGCCTGCGGCGGCTGCTCCCGTAGTTGGCTCTTCGGATGCTGGTTCTTCTGTGCTGTCGCTGGTTACATTCGCTGCTGTCGTAGATTCCCCACCTGGGGCGGTCGAACTGGCGGCAGTTGTCGACTCGGCACTGGGCGCTTCGGAGGACTCTTCCTCCGTGGTGGCACTGGTTGCGTTCGCCACGGTGGTTGATTCACTTCCTTGGGCGGTTGTATTAGCAGCAACCGGCGCCTCAGTGGGTGCTTCGGATGATACCTCTTCCGGAGTGGCACTGGTAACATTCGCAACGGTGGTCGTCCTAGCAGCAACTGGGGCAGTTGAATTAGACGCAGCCGGTGCTGCTGTGGTGACGTTGACACTATCGCTTGCATTGGCGCTGGCAGCTTGTGTGGTTACCTCCGATGCTTCGGTTGTCATTTCGGGAGTGACCTCGGGCGTTGCGGGTGACGATGCCGTGGTTGTCGCAGCAGTTGCATTAGCAGGCGATGCTTCCGATGAGGCATTACCGGAAGTCGCGTTGCTTGCTGCTGCACTGGCTGCAGCTGTTGTTGGGGTTACGGCCGCAGCGGTACTAAGGGAAGTAGCGGCGGACGCTGCGGTGGTTGGTGCTTCCGAAACGGAAGTGCTTGCCGGCGCTGAAGCATTGCTAGCTGAAGAAGGAGCAGAGGAACTTGGAGCGGTGCTGTTAGATGATGTCGCATTGGATGCCGGTGTTGCTTCGGGCACTGGAGATGATGCATTAGCAACAGAGGCAACGGAAGCTGCGGTTACGTTAGTGCCATTGACTGCCGGAGCACTGGTGCTGTTTCCTGCTTGCGTTGCATTAGCGGTTGCAGCCGTCGTCACTTCCACCGGAGCTTGCCGTTTATTCCTTCTGATATTGGCAGATTCAACCTGTTAATTATTTATATGCAGACACAATGCAATCTTCATGCGCATACGAAATATCCACTTTTAAAACAGTATAAAGTGCACTAAATATGCAGTATAATTCGTAAATAATTATATCCATATTACTGTATCTTCCTCATTTTTCTTTTGCATTGTTAATTTTAAATTTTCTAAAAACAGTTATTGTTCGCCACATACCAATACAGAAAGTACGCTTAATCCGATAAGTAATAATCCGGTTGCAAGAAACTTCATTTTCGATTCGGCGCGAAATGTAGCTTAACCGAAATGAAATGCGATCAGGTTAAGCTATTAATTGCAGATTTGCTTTCTCTTGATTATGCGATTTGTAAAGTCAACTTTTTTATATAGTCGCTTATTGTTAGCCGGTATTTTTGCCCACGGTAAAATATTACCATGTAATCGGATGAGCAGCTGAATATCAACTGCATCACCGGTGTATTCCTGTGGCATATTATGGAAATAATGAAATTATTCAATATGTTACATGTTTTGAGGTGGTTATTAAATCAGCATTATTTACTGTCGCGCTGTGCCGGCGTGTCAGCCTGTCACAAATGTCGTGTTCTTGATAACATCTAATGCATATGTTAGCTGATAATTAACGGTACCGCATGTTGTGTTATGCCTATGTAACCAATGCGACGTAGGCGTGATATTATGTAGTGGAATTTTGGAAAGATAGGAAAGAAAAAGCATACGTAATTCAATCCGCTCAAAGCGTAAAACTTCTAACTCCATACTTTTATTATTTTTTCTTAGAATGACTCCTGACACATCTCGATCTACATGTAAAACATAAAAATAATATACCATAAAAAATGTTAACATGCATGTTTCAATGAATTACGAAAACCGCAAAAAAATCGGCTACTTGTAAAGATTTTGTTTCCTACACGAATTAGCTGGCTCCTGATGCTCTCTTGCCAGCATGGACTTTTCCGTTCTTGCTGCTACTTCCGTTTCGACGTATTTGTACATATGTGCGGTCTCCGTTTCAAGATTGTGCGGCTATAGCTCGAACGGTTTTGGTGGTTATGATTTCAGGCGTTAAATGTAAGGTCATGTTTTCACTTGGTTCAGTTCGCTGTAAAGCATTTTTAGAGATGCATAACACACAAACTGTCACAAAGTTAGCAACAAAAATTTAAAAGTGAAAATTAGCATTTCAGATTTTCTTAAGAATTTGTGGAACGTACAAACAATCTTTATGCTGTGAGAGTATGTATCAGTATAAAGAACATAACCACAACTTTAATACGCACAGGTTTCTATAATGCTTAATTCACCACGAGGCTTTTATCCAGTGTCAGCTCAACTAATGGCAAGGTTTTCGCACCCAAGGTTTCTCTGACCGTAATAGTAAGGTATTTGGGTACCACTAGTATTAGTTTCAGTCGGTAATTTATTTCTTGTGTTGAAGACATAATTATGTGCGATGTACAACGTTCTGTTTTAGAACATACAGAAGTGCAAAATTTAATAATATCATCCAATGCCCACGGTTACAGTCATACTCAAGAAGTATCTGTAGATCTACGAATTTTTATATTTTATAACTAATACAGATACAAGCAAGTGCCATATTACCATATGCCCCTTTATGCGAAGACTGACCTAACACACAAAACCGCACACCTTGCACAGACGTGTAAATACACTTTAGCAGTTAATTTTCACTTTGGTATTATGACTCAATTGACCAATTGTTCCGATAATTGCTTATCCAACACTGCGGTTTTTGTTTAGATAATGACAGCCTTGGAGTGTCAGCACGGGCTGCTACTGTCGTCAAAACGATAATGTATGCCGCTGGCAAAGTTGTGCTTTGTATTCATCTGCAAACAATCTTTCACACAGCGTGCCGGCGTTTGTGTGTTTAGAGATCGTTCGAAGAGATTTTTTCTTCATTTACGCAGAACTCTTAGTGTCCGATGGCTTCTTCGAGCCGGTCGCGGTGGACTTTCGAGCGTCATCAGTATCAGGGTTCGGTGGTGTGTCCAAGAATACCCACGATGCATGGTAGAGCCGGGAATTTGAATAATCATAAAATTGTTTAGACCTAGAACAACGGAATCGTGTAAGGGTACAGCACATTAACAAGTCAACTTCTTATGAGCTCAAATACTCGTATGTAAAGTATTAACATCAGTACTACGTAGAAATCGATTAATTCCATAGAGCAGCTCGATAAACTGACCTTTTTCTTTTTTACGTAAAAGGGCACTTTTTAAAGTTAAGATTTTTTCTGCAGTAATTTCGCACATCAACAATGCGTTTAACTAGAATATTAGCAAAGGTCAGTGGTATAGCCTACAACTTTCAAATACTGTATCTTACAGTCACAGATATAAGTACCCAATGAGCAAGAAACCGTAAAATGTTGAACATGATGTTCACTTTAACGAGACCCGTTTTGTAAGATTTTCATTCGAGAAAAATATATAGAAATTTAAAATGATAACTTTATTATAACTTCCGAATAAGCTTTTCAAAAGTTATTAACAGTAACTGTTAATAAATTTATTAAGATTAATCGTGTTATTCTTACTGGCTGCAGTCAACGTTCCAGAACCAATCGCAGACCAGCTCGATCTGGTTAAATCGTGTCATATTTGGACACAGGTAACTCCATAAATTTCCATTAATATCACAGCGCCGAATAACCTGACAGTCGGTATCAGTGTCCGCATAAAACCCCGCTTGTTGGACATCTTTACAGGCAAAGTTCTTCGTATCCGGAATTTGCGATAAGTTGGGATAGTCTTTACCGGCAACGGCATTGGCCATCATTTCTGCCATATCGATAGACTTTGCCGCACCGGCAGCCGAGCCTCGCAAGGCTTTTAGCGCCATTAACAGACTGGGATTCTGCGGAGGCGGGGCCGCTTTAGTATCGTAATCGGAATTCGCATACTGCGCTGGAGATAAAATACTCGGGAGGATGTTGCTGGCTTGTGCGGCTAAATCAGCTTTTTTCGCTTCTCTAACTGAAGCTGACGATGTGGTAAGAGTAGGTGCAGCTTGCGTCGTAGCCGTCGTTGAGCTAGGTTGGGTGGTGGCGGATCCGGCGGAAGTGATGCCGCCGGTAACACTGGCGTTACTTGGCGTGACCGCTGTTATATTTGCAAGGCTAGTAGCTTTGAGCGGAACGGGAGTTGTTCCCGTAATATTATATGTTGTATTTAGGGCAGTAGCACCGGTACTGGTGGAATTATCTAACGAAGATACTGTGGTTGTCCCACTAAGATCGGTACTGTTTCCTGCCACGGTAGCGTTCGATAAAGGTGACTGAGTGACGCCGAGTTCACTGCTATTACCCGCGTGTATTGTAACGTTTCCAGTTGTTTTACTGAGTGGAGTGGTCGAACCATTGGTAATTTCCGGTGGCATTGTTGTGTATTCCAGTACCGACGAGTTATTTGGTGCTGTACCATTTTCGGTTGCGATGGCGTTACCCGGCAGTCCCTGTAGTTTATTGATATCACTACCGTTGGTTGCCGATGCTGTACTGTTTCCAGCAAGCGAATTCGAATTCAAAGAGGCATTTCCTCCCGAAGCAGTAGTGTTTAATGGTGTTGTCGAGTTTCCGTTTAATGACGTTGCGTTTCCGGTTGCCGAAGTCGCGTTTGGAGCAATGAGACTGCTGTTGGTGGACGATACAGCCGTAACGTTTCCCGTTACAAAGGTTGCGTTTGTCGGTGTCATTGTTGCATTGCCAGGTGCGGCAGTTGAGTTCCCGGTTAATGCCGTATTATTTCCTGCAGAAATTGAGGTATTATCGGGGACCGTCGCGTTGTGACTGGTGAGATCTGTAGTGTTGCTTGACGCGGCAGTTGTGTTAACTGATGACAGTGTGGACGTTGTTACACCTGCTTGTCTTTTATCCCTGCGGGCGCCGTCTACATAACATATCTGCAAATTAACATAAAACTTTATGTACTTATTTTATCGATAGAAGGTGGAAGGTAGAGTATATAATGCAATTACATTCGAATTTAGTGTTTTAAGCACTTCCAAATTACGTAAATTTATAACACCTTGTATCACACCAAAAGGGCGAGTACGTAAAAAAGAAGGGGGTTCGGAGCCCGTTTTTCGTGACAATAGGGGAGCGAGGGGTGAAAAATGGCCATTTTTCAGGTGACGTAATTTGGAAACACTCCCTAACTCGTTAATTGTGCCTGTGCGACATATGTAAAGTGTCCGAGGTCAGCAACTGGCACAGTATAGGCCGGAATAAGTCGTCGGCAAATGAATATCAAAGCTCTTTAAGCTTAAAGCAACTAAAATGTACCAATGTACTTTATTGGCAATTATTCATAATAGAAGAAATAAGCATTATTAAATAACAAATCGGCATTCTTAACTGGGCAGCTTTAAAATACTGGATCTAACAAGCCAATAAGAAATAAGGATCTGGTAATAAACTAGTAATACTCGTAAATAAGGACCTTATGACCTTCTGCTTACCACTTGTGCGACAATGCAAAGGAACAATCCAGTAACGTAAACACTGTTTGAACTGCGAGTTTTTTTCATTTTCCGCCGCTGATATAACACTATTCTCTTCGATAAAATTATAGGATACTGTAAAATATATAAATGCTTGAACGTGTACAGCTGTGGATCGAATTACAATACATACATTTTTATTTCAAAGAACAGCCGGTGTTATGCAACTGACCTTCTTTAAAACAGCAAAAAGACTATATATAGGTGAACATGTGTTTTCCGATGACTAACGAACGCTGTAAAACAAAACCAGACCTTGCACTGCTTGAGCAGAATTATAAAGCAATAATATATAAAAAATTTAGCACCTAAGGTGTAATTAGAAAGTTTGGCATCGTACTCGGCAAAATCATTTATTTGTGCACATTGGGTTTTTTCTGCAATAGCTTTACTGCATTTGAACGAGATAATTCTTGTGGGCAGTGTATTTACGATCGTTGCAAGTAGTTTTTTAGGCAGAATTCATTGTAATTTGCATTGTTAAAGGTGAGAATTATGAACAAGCTCAAGAACTTGACCTGTTGCATAATATATGGAGCAGCGGTGTGCATTCGCAAGCGATCGATAATTCATGAGCCGATTCATTGCCACGAAAGGAGAAACGGATCTTTTTGCACGCGCGCTGCAGTAATGATATTTACAAATGCACCCCGAACAAAAAACTCACAAATTGTGACTTATTCAGTTTCTACAAAATAACTCAAAAAATTGAAATGGTTCTTTTCATAACGGTAGAAAGAGATTGGCAGCTAAATTTATCGACGACATGATGCTCTAACAATAAATAGCAACAAGTGATACACATCTCATGTACCAACAAATCGATATCCGACTATAAAAATTTCGTTGCTAATTATCTAATGATATCGCCGAAAGCTCTACAGTTTAACAGCGTTAAAGTGATTTTGAAAAATTAAAGCTTGCCGGTTCAACGAACGCGCCACCTGTTAATTGCATCCAGACGTACGTACCGCACGTGTTTGACTCACTGCCAAATTGCCAATAAAGTGAGCAAGCATATTCTACGCCTATTATGATGTTATTCCATAACCTAGTAGGTTATAGTTTTATATGGTAATTTATGCAATAAAAATTCCTGGGGTACCTTCAGCTACTGTACCTTGTTCTTGTTCACACAAATAATGAAATAAAATTAGTTCATAAAAAAGAACTACGCGTACCATATTTACAACAGTATTGCATATATGAAGGAGCTGCGTACTGCACAGTGTGGAATATATACTATATTATAAAATATTATAATTATTCAATTTTACTCCTTTGTAACGTCTCTTCATATGCAAAAAAAAAAGAAACAAAAAGAATAAACCAAAATCTGAGCAATGTGGAATAAAACGCTATATGTAAATCTTATATTACGTATGTGTTGCAATACACCCTGATTAATTTGGATTGTTAACTGAAAGGCACCATGCAGTGGACAACCAAAATTTATGACAGGTTGTAAAGCGGACCGTTCTGTGGCGTCGGCGTTCCTACTTCCTAGCCTTTAACTCAAATGGACCTAAAAAATTTATTTTATCACTTGTTTTCCGAGTATGATAAGGTCGTGATTGCGAAGGTCTTGAAAAATATTTCTATCCCGAATAGAGTACCACTCGAGTAGCAACTACCTATAAGTTGCGCGTTGTTGCTTTTTTATACGAGTAAGTACGTATATGCACTAGTACCCAGCTGCAGTAGGCAGGAGTACTGTAGTATCTAGGAACAAGATCTATATCACAACAACCCCGTAACCTCTGGATCAGAAAACTACTACAGAGAAAGAGAAAAAACTGAAAACGCCATTCGATTCAGCACGGTTAAAAGCAGTGTCACATGCATTTTGATAATTTGATTCAAAAAAGATCAGCTCCTAACCGTCTCACAGATGCTGGTAGTGTAGTGGTGCCGGTAGAACGATAAATCTTGAGGTAAACTTGAAACAAATTAATTTTCGAAGTGTGGTTGCATAGAACGGAAAACCAATAATTTAATTTGTTCTAACTAAATACTATTAACACTGGATAAAAAAATAAAATCTTATTTGCTTGAAAGATACTTATTAAGCCAACCCGTTTTATGTAAATCACTGCAGCTGACCTAAAACGAATGGACGTACGTACATCCGGACATATAAGTACAATGAACTCGTATTTTCTAGATCAGGTAAAACTGTCGACATGGGGTCATATTTCGTCAGAATTACGGTTTAACAAAACTTCGAAGTTCAACTTCGTGACGGGTCGACATCGTTCGTGTACGACTTGGTGGCGGTGACGAAATGGCGGGTCATCATCATCCTTACAAGAAAACGGAAAGATGACCTTTAAGTGGCGCCGATTGCCGGCAGTTACAGTTTACATAGTTTGGGAAAGGCTGGCACGGTCGGCAGCGATTGTGGCCGAAAGCTGACAACGGTGGGAGTTACACGATCGCGTTCAAGCAGTACAGCGCAAGGTCATCGCAAGAGCTTATTAAAAAGCACACAAAGCAAGATTCAGCGAGCAAAGCAAGCTGATGGTCAAGATGCGCATAAGCGCGGGGCAAGCGCGGAAGGCGCGGCGGAGCAAATATAAATTCGCAAGATTCGGAGCAAGCTGCAGCAAGACTAATCGCGAGATGTGGTCGGTAAAAGTAGGAAAATAAGGGTTCTGATCTTCATTAGCACAACAACCAACAAACAGTACCAGAAAGGCAATTACACTCCTACTGGCGGTACAATTTAATTTCTATCGCAATAATAATATTTCTGTCCCAATATCACTGTTTTTGAAATCTGGAAGCACCGAAGCGATAACGATCATAACGATAATGATGACGTCATGTGGAAATATTAAATTATTTTAGCTAATAGCTTAAAACTATTACTACTACTGTATACTATTGTATTGTAAGTATACTATTTTATTGTTCATTAATAGTATTGTGTGCTACAGTAAATAAAAAAATCGCACTACCATCCCATCAATTGTACGGAGGCGGCGGTTACCTGCTGTTTCGTTTATCATCTTTCCAATGTTTACGAATTCTCCATTTTCAGAGCAGGATTATGCTTCGTACCGTATATTTTGATGTCGTCACTCGTGACGAAAACTTTTGGAGCATATCATTCTGCAGATGAACGATACGAATAATGTCGATGATTATGTATCTTTCTGGTTTTATCAAAATCTCTCCTGTCTTATCAGTTTTACTGATGTGCTATGATTTATCATTTCTCTGGTAGATCGCACGATGGATGCCCTGACTGAGTAGGGTGATGTTTTGCAGATTCGCACTGAACTACTGTACAGTTCAGCTCCTGGTTCGAAAGCTCTTCTGACTTAAAGAACGCCGTTATCGTAGACGCTATGGATTCTAAACTTCCAAATTCAGGTTCCCAGTCGGGACTACGACCTGCGGGCCTTCCAAGTGCAGCACAGCAGCGAGGTAATTCACTGCTTTAATGAACAGCGAGTCGAGTTGGTGGATTTGAGTTGGTTTTGGAAATTGCATTTCACCCTGTCATCTGCTGATGTGGTACTCCTTTTCGTGTTATGGTATCACACAGTTCATCTTTTGCCTGTAAAATGTATTATTTTAATGTGTTTTTGTTTATTTAATTTATGGCCTTTTCATCTTTTGCTTTGAAGGAGTTACGTAATTTGCGCGCTAATATAATCCGTACTGTTATGTGAACAGTAAACAAACGCCGAAAAAGTGCAAGTCCGAAAATGAGAGCATTTATGCAGGTGTTGTCAACCTGATTGATGGGAAATTAAATTTATTGCAGCTCCTCCCGTAATAGCGCCTGCGTCTCCCCGTCCAGTTCCAACTGGTTCCATTCCTGCTCCTGGACAGCTGAAGAAAGCAGGTATAAATTACGCAGCGCATTGCAGACTTTGCTGCGCCGTTTTGTTAAATTTAATGCACTTTGGCAGTCTCTTACTTGTGAAGCCAGTTTCACATACATCGCATTATTTGATATCTTTAAATTGATATCGTTTCTCATTTTTTATTCGGAAAGAAACTCTTTCTGTGCCACTTCAGTGTTGTGTTGCTTTCAGCGTTCGGAACTGACAACGAGTTTAATCACGGAAACTTAGCCACTTTGACACTAATGTATCTGTTTAAGAGTGTTTGATAATTAATGTGAAATTTAAACCTAATTATCACATGGTAACAGAAAATAATCTAAAATGAGGCGGATCGAGTCATTCGAGTGTAGCTTTTTTGGCGGCTGTCTTGAAAGTGATTCGATTATGGTTTATTTTAGTTACGATTAGTACGCGCATTTTCTAGGCTCCGTTCACTTCACGGTGGATACGGAAGGTTTCATCGTGGGCGATCGGGTGTGGGTGCACGGGACGAAAGCGGGAAAAATTCAGTTTATCGGTGAGACGAAATTCGCCCCGGGTGAATGGGCTGGGATTGTGCTAGATGAACCAACCGGGAAGAACGACGGCTCCGTCAACGGTGTGCGCTACTTTCAGTGCGAAGCGAACCGCGGTGTATTTGTCCGGTACGATTATAAATGCGTGTTTATTGTGGTTAAATTCTGCGCTTTGTTTTATCCGTCGTTTTAAGAAGTGTGTCAACTGTTTGGTTGTGTCTCATATAGATTACACAAACTCTCACGAGTACCACTCAGCCCGGAAGAAATTGAGACACTGAAGATGCAGAAATTATCCGCGGCCACCTCAGTGGCATCCATCATCTCCGCCGTGGATGCTGAATTTAAATCACCGGACAGCAGTTTAACCGGGGTCAACAAGAGCACCGAACCGGGCAGTTCTGTCGCTGGTTGGTGCTGTCTGCATGTCAATTTGCTGTGTGAAACGGATTATGTTTTGGTTAATCTCTTTGATTATGCTGTGTGTGCGGTGCAGGAGGAGATGTAACAAATGCGGCTGACATGAAAGTTGGTGATCGTGTGTGGCTAAGCGGAGATCGTGCGGGCATTGTGAGATTTGTTGGGAAACCGCATTTTCAAGATGGTATTTGGGTTGGAGTTGAGCTGGACGAAGCCAAAGGGAAAAACGACGGAAGCGTCGAAGGAAAACGGTAAGTGCTAGTATTTTTTGCAGTAAGGGCTACCTTCGGTTTTATTTTAATATCTGTGGGTATCCAGCTTTTTTTCTAGATTTTACAGTCAGAATTGAATGTTTTTGCTTGTGTTACTGGGTTTTGAGTTTGACTTACCTCTCTTCAGCTGATCTTATTTTGCGAAAGAAATAAGAGGGGCGATTAGCTGTTAACTAACCGCAGAAAGTACGTATATGTTTGCTTTCGCGCAGGTATTTCACTTGTCCAGCAAACCACGGAGTGATGGCTCCTATTGCAAAAGTATCCAAAGGTTCCTCCGGTGCCGCTCTTCCGCCGTTCACTCCTGGAAAACTAAAGCGGAGTCCATCCCAAGAGTCTTTACATTCTAATTTTTCCATTCAGTCCACTGCATCCCGGCGTTCATCAGCCATGCGCATGGGAACGAGTGCTTTGAGTCCCTCCACCATTGCCGTAGGACGGACAGGAACAGGGACGGCAGCAGATATTATTAAGGCACACCAGGAGAAGGATGCTTTGATTGTTGCAATGACCAAAGAACGCGATTTGGCCAAGAAAGAACTGGCGGCCAAGTTGGGCAATGAAATGCAGGTAAGGAAGCATATCGCTGGCATACGTACAAATTATTGCTTTTTCAGTTTTCATTGATGAACGAGTAATACTGTACCAACAGTGGCATCCCCAAAGACCGTAGTAGGAAACAGGAGGGAATGAAATAAAATTATGGTATTTTTCTTGCACATTTACCGATTTACGGGGGTTTTAACTTTACTGGCGATAACTTTTTTGTAATTGTAAGACTTTGCTTTTCTGATATTTTCTGCCACACTGACTATTTTCTTGGAATTTACAGATGCACACGGAAATCCAAAAGCTTCAGGAGCAGTACATGGGAGCTTTATCAAATCAAGATGCTCGAATTGCCGATATGTCAGAAAATATAAAAAAGTTGAACGCGGAGAAGGATCAGCTAAGGGAGCAGCTGGATGACGAGAAAAAGTAAGTCCTGTATTCAGGTATTTCTAATTTTATTGAATTCTTATATCAGCCATGGCTAAACATGTAAGACAGGAAAAACATCTTAAATCATAACCATTAAAAAAATTTTTTTTTCCGATTTTCTTGGGCAAGTGCCTTACAACTGTGGGTTTGACCTTTACATTGTTGAGAAAAACCGTTGTTAAGAAAAGCTGTTGATCTGCGTTCGCATTATTCTCCCGATCGTTCGACCGAAAAATGGCATCTTTCTAGCTGTTTCTGTTTGAAATATACTGATTGAAATTATGGTTGTTTATTTAAACGCTGAACGGGCTCTGTTGAACTAGGAAAGTTGAGGATCTTCAGTTTCGACTGGAAGAAGAACTCATGGCAAAGGACAGTGAAGCCGAATTGGAAACAAAGAAGCTGATTGATAGAAAATCGAGGTATATTAATTTTTGTACCGCAATGCACAAATTTTGCTTATCGGCATTCAGTTTGAGACTGCTGCACTTGGAATCCAGCACGCGTGAGAACGTTATTGTGTGAAGTTATGAATTCGATACTAGAAATATGTTTGGCATGTCCTCAGGTGTTTTTCCTGTTTTAGTGAAATTGATTCATTGAAAGGAGATATTAGCCGACTAAATCAAGAAATGGAGACTTTGCGGCAAGTGATTCAGGATAAAGATTTGGAAGTTGACCGATGGAGAACCGCGGTTGACGCTTCGAAACTGGAAGCTGCTGATATGGTTGACGAACGGGATCGCACTGTAAGAAGAAAAAGCTTACTGTTCCTGTACACTGAAATTGTTTGTCGAATTTGCTGTTTATGGTTAAGTAATTTCCGCTTAAAGTATTTTTAATGAACTTCGGTAATTATCTTACTTACTCTACTTCGGTTACCGTGTGATACAAGTTTCTTGGTTTGGATGTGTTTAGTCTTTTGAAGTTGCGGATTTACGACGACAACTGCGTGATGTCAGTGAAAAATATCGGCAGGAGAACGAGACATTTCAGCAGAGCATGAGAAGTAAAGACGCGCTAGAGCAGGAACTAAATCTGCAGCTTGAATGTGTAAGCAGAACTTTCGGTGAATCCATGGTGCACCATGTTGTTCTGGTTTCGATTAGTCCTGCTTTGGTGAATTTGTTACGGTACTGATTGAAGGCGAGAGCGGAACTGGAGGATTACCGACGACGACAGAGCGCCGTATCCTCCAGTAAGCTTGAGGAAAATTCAAATTTGCAAGTGATTATTGACGATCTAAAGCGCGATAATACATCCCAACAGGTGCACATTCAAGAACTGACCAAGTACGCCGTAACATAAAAATTTCTTGGGGTTCGTTTGGTTCATTAAATTTAAATTTTTCCAGTGATTTACACGGACTGCGGGAGGAACGAAATCTTTTGAAAAACACCTGTGATACGCTAGAGAGAAATGCTCAAAGCCGCCGTAGTGCCTTAACGACTGTTTTTCGCGATGTGGGACACTGTGCGCCCGAGGTACTTCATTAGTTTTATTGTATACGATTGAAAATTTTTATGACATTGTGTTTGGGAATAATGTTTATTACTGTAGAGTTTATTACTGTTTATTACTAATTGGTTTATTACTGTACACAGTCAGTAAAACAGCACGATTTAACAGATACATTAACGGTATGACTTGGTTGCATGTGAATGCGAACGTGCATTTTGTTCTTGGGGCACTTGGTTTCTTGTCCCTGGAAACATTAAATGTGTAATTCTGTTTCTTTTCTGTAGTTAATAATTCGTAAATTTTATTGCACGCAGAAAGAAGACGAAGAAATTCCAGCTTTATTGGCTTTACTTTCTGACGTCCGGAGCAAAGCAGCTGCAACAAGTGATAACTTGAAAACCCAGTTAGCAGAGGCAGAAAGGGCATTATCAGAGGTAAACTTTATATTCTTGTTGTCAAAATTTTGGTACACGTACGTTTGTTATTTGCAGCTACGATTAGGTAATGCTCAGCTGGATTCGGAACGCGGGGCTTTACAGAAACGCTTAGCAGAGGCCACCGATAGTTTAGCTTCGACGGAAAAAATGTTATTGGGTGCGAACAAAGAAAAAGAAGACTTGTTGAGGTACGAAGTTTAAAACTGTAAGTAACGGAGCTCTTGTAATCATTCCCGATTGCGATGCTCTTCTGAAATTGTGACCGAAGTCCTCCATTGCGATGATATTTCTGTAGTTCTTCATTGAACCCTCTAATTTTTATTTTTTCACATTGGATTATAAAGTTAGTTATGTGGCTAAAATATTGCCATATTGCTTCAAATGGCACAGATAAAAATAATAGGGAAACTTACTTTTGGGACACCCTTTGCAGCTAGCTACTCTATTAGTTTTCATTCTGTTACAAAGCTTGCCATCAGATATTTGGATTAGCACTTCAGATATTGATGATCTTGATCTGTCTGTTACTCTTGTAGATTGTTTGCGTTATGCTGGTAATTCTGGCCCGCTTACCGCTTTCGGTTATCTTTCGGTTTTTTAGCCCGCTTTCGGTTATCTTGCACTGGTTCTCGCAGTTGCTGTTTTTATTCATAATGTGATCGTATTGTTTGTAGGTCGATTAAGAATTCGGAAACCAAAAATGAGGAGGTTCTACTGGAAAGTGAAAAGATTCTCAAGGATCACGTGCACGAAGCCAAGCGACTGTTGGAGGACAAGTCAAGGTCAGAATAACCTTAATATGTAATTCGTTCGCTTTCTCCGTAATGTGGTTTCTAGGGAAGTGGAATCGCTGGCTTATCAGTTGTCCGAACTAAGCGTTGAGCTTGGAAGTTTGAAAAGTGCCCATCAAGAATTGGTCCAGCGTTCCCAGTCCGATTTATCCCATGTTAATTCTGATCGGCAAGAGGAAGTGGAGCGCCTGATGCAAAAGCACGCATTTGAGGTTTGATTGACTTGTAACATGCGAATGTTGCCATCGAAACTGTCAGGCTGAGTACATTACATGCTGTGTTGTTCATCACTACAGATTGGAGTGCTTAAACGTGACTTCGAGCAACAGAACTCAGCATTACGGGAACGCCTGACCACTGTGGAGAGTGAACTGCAGACGGCTTTGACGGAAAAAGTTAGTCTAAACGGAGAAATTGGTCGAGTACGCATCTGCTCATCATTTGGTGGAAATTATGTCATCCCTTCGCAGTGATACGATGGGTTCTTGCTGCTGTATTGCAGTTTATTGGTGTGCTCAACGAAAAGGACGCCGAATTGAAGGAGGCCCGCGAACAGATTGAGCGAACGATCGCTGAAACTCTAGCACAACATCATGAAGAAAAAAATAGAATCTACGGTGAATTGGTCCAGGAGAAAGAGTACGGGTTGAACAGAACTTTATATATATTCCATAACTATCATAATTATGGCGAATATTTAGCTGGTGCTTGTTTTCAGGAAATTTGCTATTTTGGAAGAGCAGCTGGCCGCCGTAACTTTGCTTGAAAAAGAAAAAAATGCCAGTTTGGAGGCAACAGCTGCTAATCTGGAAGTGAAAGAACGGTGCGTAATACGGACCTGATTATATCAAAATGTCGCTCTTCCTTGTGAGATGCGCTTGAACCGCTCACATTAGTGCCGTTACCCGTTAGAATGCGATTACCCGCGTTATCCGTTTAATGGCATTCAGATTCGGCTTTTGTTTGCTGCAAAAGAAACTGGAATTGTTAGAATGATGCAATTTTTTAAATACAGACTGATTGACTGATAACAGGTGAAAAGGAACTCATGACATAAATCATAACGCCTCGTATCATTACCGTAACCTGGTACCAGTATCAGTAACAACATTAACAGAGTAGTACTACGCGTATCCCAAATTTGAACTAAAGCTCTGTACTTCAGTAATGTCCGGTAATGTTGGAATATCTATATAATGGAAAAAAAAAATTATTTTTATAGAGATTTTGCGATTTTACGACAAACTGCTGATGAACTGGCTCAGAGATGCACAAAGCTTGAACAGGACTCGGAACAGGCACAGTCGGCCTATGCGGAGCAAATGATGCGAGCGGAAGTGCGGCGGGAGGAAGATATACGGGTGTTAACAACCGAGAAGAACAGCATGGTTAGTTAGTACTTCACCTTTTTTACGCTTGGCGAATCACTTATACTGTACAGATACGTACGAAGCATTTTCAGTAATTGTGTTCTTTTTGTAATCATTATTATTATCGAATCCCAGTAGCTAGCACATTCAGATGGAGATATCTTATCGTTCTCGTAAAAATTTAGAACTTTGTAAAGGAGAATGTTATAATGGGTTTCATCTTCGAAAAATGAGCAGAATACGCAGTCAAAAAATTGTCACGGAGTACGCAGAAGGGTAAAACCATAGTGAAGGCGCTGCATTGCGGTCTTGAAAAATAAAAAATTGGTGTAAAAATGATGAGGACAGTGCCGCTTTTGCAAAACCGCCATCTTCGACTCCTTATACCACCGTTATTTAATAGTTTTAAAAGTGTTTAACTACGATTTTAATGTTTTAACGTTTCTGTGTTAGGTTGACAAGATCTCTAATTTGGAGGAGCAGATTCAGTTGCTGAGCTCCACATCCTTGACAGAAACTGAGACGATGCGCACGGAATTTCTCGACAAAATCAACCTGTTACAGTCGGTTGTAGTGGAGAAGAATGCGCTTCTGGAATCTACTTCACAAGAATTAGGTGCTTCCAAATCGACGGTGGTGTCGATGAACGAAGAAATATCCCGGCTAAAAAAGATGATGGAAGCATGCGATGTGGAATATAATGCCGCCAAAGGGGAGCTGGATTCGCTGACCAAACAGTGTCAAGCTAACGAGGAAATTATTTCAGCCATTAATGCTGATAAAGCTTCGCTGGTGGTGGTTTTAGAGCAAAAGGACAAGTAAGAAAAATGGGTGTAAATTTTATAGAATTTTCGTTTCTGTTATTTATATCTTTTATGTTTAGGGAATTGCAAGATCTCGCTGGTGATTTGGCTAAAGCCAAAGACATCAATAGTCTACTGAAGAACGATCTGGACTTGGCTGGTGCATCGTTCGAAAAGCAGCTGGCAGTTGCTCAAGAACGTGCAGGGGAACTGCAGACGAGCGTTGACACTGAAAGGAATTCTTTGGTGAGTTTGCTTGCCAGTTTACGATGAATGGACTTTTATTTTTGCATTTTTTTTGCTAGATGGATCGAATTAAAACGCTGGAAAATCAGTTGTCTGACACGGTGACGGAAAATACAGCCAAACTGGAAGCCGAACACAGTGATTTCCGGCATAAACTAAATACACTGGAAACGGAACTCGCTGCCAAGACTTCGGCGCTCTTGGCGTCAGGAAACGATATTCTGTTCCTCAAAGCGGAAATTCAGAAATCGCAGCACGAAGTCGCGCGGTTAAGCACTCTGCTCCAAGAATCTGAACAGAATCTCACCGTGAAATTAGAAAACATCAAGCAGTTGGACCGTGATCGGACAGATTCTGAAAATAAGTTAACAAACTTAGAAAAGACATTGCAGCTGTTAGAAAACAATTTGAAGCAGCATAATGTCGGCTTAGAGCAGGCAAATCAGACGATTGTCGAATTAGAAAGCGACAAGGTTTCGTTAAGCGATGTTATTTTAAGCTTGAAATCGGATTTGGTTTCGGCGAGCGATCTGGGGAAATTGCTAAGTGAAGCCAGGGATGAGCTGGCGATCGTGCAACAGGCAAAAAGCGCTGCCGAAGCGAGAATTCAGGAGCTGGAAGCGATTGCGGGGAAGGTCGGGTCGTTGGAAACCACTGTCCACGATCAGTCGGTCAAGTTGACATCTTCCGATCTCAGACTGTCTTCGATGGAATCGGAGATATTCCAATCACAGAGTGCGGTCACAGAAATTACCACGGCGTTATCCGTGGCTAAAGAAGCCATCGTTCGTACAGAAGCGGAACGGGAAAAACTCCAGAACGATAACGTTAAATTGACTGAGCGACTGAATGACGCCGAGCAGGCACTCAAAGAAATGGATGCATTGAAAGAAGCAGTGGCTACTGTTTCTGTAGTGAGGGACCAAGTTGAGAAGATTTCTCAAGAGAAAGTGACACTGGAGACGCAGGTCTGGGAGATAAACCAACGGGCTGCGGAGCAGAAGAATGTGATACAGAATTTGGAAAGTGAACTGTTGAATGTGCGGAAAAATGCGGAACAGGAAATTGCTGAGATGAAAGAACGAGACCTGCGGCAGCAGAAGCTGGTTGAAGAGCTGGAAAATGAGTTAGTGGAGATGAGGAAGAATGCCGCAGGGGTAATTGGCGGGGAAGTCGAATCGGCACAGGATGTCCATTTGGCCAGTCAAAGGTTGGTGTTGATTGGCATTATGTTTGTTTGCCTAACAACTTACCGTGAACTCGTTCATTAACCGGTAAAATTGGGGCTCGTTACTGGCTTGTAACATTCACTGACGCTATCTTATAACAGTTTTACTCTATTATTATTTTTTGTTTGGTTTTACTTAATGTTTGGCATGACTAACTAATGCGTTTATTAATTTTCTTGGAAACTATATTTTGCTTTCTTTTTCAGTTCGAATTCTCCATCGACGTGTGTTCAGATTCAGTAGCGGAATTATTTTTATTATTTTTTACATATTTCTTGTGATGATTCACAAAGGTGCCGATATTTTAATTTTCTCATGGGAGTTTCTGAGTAAAACTGTAGTTTTTTTTGACGACGATTCTGTCGCATTGTAAGCTGTATTCGGTTGGGTCTTAAACTTCAGAGGATTTAATAACTCAAGAATTTACAATTATACAACCCTATCTTTCCTCCAAACTATCTTTGTGTCCTTTCTGTATTATGAGTCTGGGAAGGGATTCTAGGTTGAAAGTTGGTGAGTAGAGCTTCCTGTCGTGTTGTTATGGTTATGTGCCCTCTGTTCTTCCTGGTGTTTTTTTGTTACGTATTTATTGTTTGCTTCGACGTGGTGTAGCTTACCAAGTTTTTCTTTGTAGATCTATTGATGAGCTGCTTTCGGCGGAGTTGGAGCGGGTGCAGAGTGAAGTGGAATTTCATCGTCGCTTGATCGAGCAGCGGGACGGGGAAATCTCTCGTATGAAGTTGCACCAGCGAGACATTGTTGATCAGAAGAACTCCGAGATTGCGCAGATTGAGAAGAAGGTCTTCGACGCGGAAAGTGCTCTGCGTAAAGAAAAGCTACAGAAATTAGCATTGAGCACATCTTCCTCATCCGCAGTCTCCGCTGGTGATAATAACGAATTCCAAGCACGTTGTTTTCTTTTGTTTATTATCTTTTGAATGAAAAGAGACTAACCGGCAGTTGTTTGCAGGTACAACTCTTAAACTCTATCATCGCTGAGCAGCAAACAAAACTGATGGATATGGAAAAGAAATTAAAAGCCTTAACGCCTAAACCGTCCGCTTCCGGCTTGGCCGACGTGCCGCCAGCTGAGCCAGCCGTTGCGTGAGTATCTTAGAAGTTACACACGGAAAAGTTCTAAATTCTGAGTTGTGTCACTTGGAAAGTTTTTAATTTTTGTGCTTTTTGAAGTTGTTTTGTTGAAAGTGCAGTAATAAAAACTGAATAATTAGAAAATATCGCATTTAGTGGAAGAAAGTTTGCAAATTACTGTGTTTTGTCAGACCCAAGCGCCGCCCAATCCGTTTATACTGCGCTCAGTGCGAGCAGTTCGACGAACATGACACCGCCGAATGTCCCAAACGCCACACTTCCCCGGAGCGCAAACCGAAGCCTAAAGTGGCGCGCCCGGTGCGCAAATATTGTGAAGAATGTGAAAAGTTCGACCTGCATGAAACGACCGACTGTCCCGCTTGGATCAAGAAGCACCCGCCTCGTGTTCCTCTCAAGCCGACTGGTTTGGTACCTCTATAAAACCGACCTCTTCAGCCAGTTTGACAGACCTTGCATGTTTATGACTCTAGAGAACCAGGATATTATGCTATTTTTTTGTGTAGATCTGGTGTGTTATTTATTTTCCAATGCTCAAGATTATAACTCTGTACAGTGTGTGTTTTTATAAGACATTGTGTGTTGCTTGTGACAGAGTTTTGTCGTTTGTTTCTCCTAGTCTCTTGTATCGTAGTCAGTGGTGCGAATTCTAAGACATACATCAATATGTAAATCCTTTAAAGGGCAGAGAAATTTGTGATGCGTTGTTGCAAATCAAAACGGCCAGTCTAATTACACGAGGGTGGCACTGCTTTCCTAATTGTGTGAGGATTGATCAGCATTAATGCAGCAGAGAATGTTACTTGTATTAATCATTATCACATTATGGCGGTCCGAAACAGCTTGCGGATTGGCAACGGGCGTCAGTGCGAGCATGATAGTACAATACTAGGTACATCAGAACGCAAACGTTACAAACATTAACGAATTCTAACAGTTGGAACAAACTTCGATAAACTGGATGAGCTTATATATTTTTCTTTTCAAATTTGATCGCTTCGTTGAGTAACCGTACGTTGAGTTTATTCCGGTTCCCGAACAATTGGGTTCCAATGTTTAGAAGCAAATTAAATCGTTCGTTACATAGTTACACTTACAGTACGTAAAAACCAGCGCCTATCATTCTCCACAACAATAAATAAAAAAATAAAACAAATCAAAACGGCGAATTCATGCCCAATTTCGTGCCGAACTGTAGCCGCGCCCGCTTCTGCTGTTTATCCAGCGCCGCCAGTTCAAACTTTTTAATCAGCTCATTAACCGGGAACAACAGCAGCGGCCACAGAAACCCCAACAACCACACATAGTACGGCACGGAATCGTACCAGGCCTCCCCGTCAAATTCCTCCCGAGAACGCCAAACACTCGTTCCATTGAACCCGGGGGAATGCCTTCCCAGGACAAAATCCACATCCAAAAAGAAGTAGATTAACTGAGCAAAAATCCCCGTCAACGCCGCCAGGATCCACAGTAAATTCTTCAATGGCGAATACTTCCAGAATCCCGGTTTGTTATTTCCGTATCCCATGGAGATCACATCAAAGTACAATATCACCAATAATGCGCACAAATTCTGGTTCAGGGACACCGCGGTTTCCCCAGTGGTCAGATTGGCCAATGCGGGATAACATGTGCCCGCACCGGCGTGGCAGTTCTCCAGTAATAGCAGCGCATGACAGGCCAGCACGACAAAGACAGAAGGGAGCCAGCGCGCTAAGAATGTCCAAAGGAAACGGCAGACACTTTCGCGATTGACAATATCGTCCACACGGTTCTTCCCAGTAGAGATGCGCATCAGGTTGCGATCATGGGGAACGGACAGGAGGGACAGACTGAGCAGGGGCAGGGAGAAGCACACCAGCAGGATGATGTGACCGACGGAGATGGGTGGCGGAAAGCAGAGGAAGTTAGCCAGAGTGTTCATTATCACGACGAAGATTCCAGCTGAGATCAGATATTTGAAGCAGTTGCGCAGAACAGCCAAATTGTGCCGGGACTAACACAAAAATAAAAACGTTAAAAACATGAACAACTGCCAATGGCTAAAAAAACCGAAAAGCAGTCAGTGGTCAATAAACAATTCTGTATAACTTACAACGCTGTAAGTTATACAGAACAAAAATACGATATTAATTGACTCACTACCTCAATAACAAGCTGCATTATGCTCATAGGATCCTCTTTCTGACAAGAAAGAGAGCAATTCAGACTAGTCAGCGTCTTCATCAGTTCCATTGGCGTACACGGAAGATGCTTTCGATCCACCAGAATTCTTGGCGTTGACGAAGTAGCACAAATTTTGGGATACATCGGTTCTATAAGTGGAATCCACAAATACTATAATAACGGAAAAAGTTACTACTCGCGTTATAGTAATACCTATGGCGATCGCCGCATCCGCTTGGAGAAAAATAGCTGAATTGGTTAAATTCCCCGAACTGCCCAAACAGCAGACGACTTCACCGTTCTCCTGCATGATCGCGATCATTTCCTGGATGGACTCCGGCCGGCAGTCGGTAAACAGCGACACTAACAGCGGTACATTATCCACACTGGCAATATGCTCGCGAATGTTCTCAATGCCTCGCGGTAGTCTGGCTCGATTTTCCAGATCCAACTCCTGTTCAACAACAATGACGCTGACATCTTTCTTGGCGTTATTATCAACGGGCGCCGGCTGAACCACATCCGGATCCAAAGAATTCGGATCGATGCCTTGAGAATCCAGAGCAATGTGACAGTTCCACCCGCTTTCCAAGCCCAATCTACAAAACAGCAATACTTCCATTAAGTACAGTAAGTATTGTATTAGAGTGGTCGGTGGCACTGTAGAAACCGATTCTGATGAATTTAATAAGCAGCAATATACACCATACATGTTTAAACGTGCCTATCCTATAAAATCATTAGTTTATGCGCAGGATGTTAGTATTCGAAATCCAACCACTCACTAAGCCCAAAGATTATATATAACCATAGCCAACCCATTCCAAACAAAACTCCACTTCCTGATTCGTGTTTTCGATTACTGTTCATTATACAGTCTAAACCGTTTTCTAATAAGATCTCTTTTGGATTTTTCGAGAATTTCGCGAAATTATAATTCCATGATTGGGCAGCAAACTACGTAATTGCTTTCGCCCATAAGTCATTCGGTAAATAACCAAATACCAACAACTACTAAAAATATTCCAACCAGCCTTCAGTTTCGACTGGCCACTTTACACCCCTACGCCGCTGTTCTCACATTTTTACACCTTGTAAATTTACCTTTCCGCAAATACACGACTCCGGAGTTCGGTTTCCGTCGAAAAATGTATAAATCGAATACATGCTTGCTCCAGCAGGTCGATCAAATGGACAAAATCATTCCGAGACTGGTATTGCTGCGCCACGCACCCCAAGAAAACCTGGTTCTTACAACAGCTTTCGTACATCTCCCGCACCAAGCCGCTGGACGTTCGCGAGATCTGCGATGTCAGCTCGTGCATCGACACGTCCTCCTCCTCAGATGGCAGTTCAATAAATATCTCATCCTCATCGGAATCGGAGTCCGATGACTGCTCAGCCACGGCGGTGGTCAGTGGCGAATACGAAAATGCCGTACAGTATGCAGTCATACTAAACCGAGTGTAGAATTCCAGAATGTGTCGACGATCTTCCGGGGTAAGGGGGCGGGTCTCCTGACCGTTCCAGTAATCCGTACAAGTGTCCAGAACGAGATCGGCCGTTCCTTGGGATAAGACTTGTAGGCCACCTGATTTGGTGTCCTGCACAATGACACTCAGCATATTCGGAAACGGCGTTTTGTAACGTCCTTCTAATTCCCGTGGCGTTTTATTGGGTTTCCGGTAAAAAGCCATGCGCTGCACTTGCCGGAAGATGCTTTCAGCGGTGGAGGTAAAGCCCATCAACTTGCTGAACGAACATAGGCATCTAGAAAAATGATCAACCCGGCCCTTTAGATTGTCTACCATCCGCTTCACTAATTTCACGACAAGTTTCCCTACTGGCTACCGAGTACTGAGTTCTTCTGCACTCGTAAACTGAGTCTGTTTAGTTATAAAATTTTTCCCGTATGAGTATACGAGTCTTAAGCACTGATGGTTTGCTCATTCCCCCTAAAAAAACCAACCACACGATATCTCAGAAGCAAAAATCAACACCAAAAGAAGAAAATTTTTACACCAAGCAGGAGGTCATTCGTGGCGTTTAAGGCAGCGGGAGGGAGCTATCATCGAAAGCCACCACAAAATTATCACTGTAACTACTAACTTTGACTCACCTGCGATTCACCACTGGCACCGATTGATCATGATGCAATGCCACGCAACTGACATGATCAGTGAAAGCCCGATAATAGTCCTGCACTTCCTTACTACAAGTATTCAACAGCACCGCCAACCCCAGCGGCTTTAGATTGCCGAGCATCCGTGTCCAGCTGGGATCGTCGAAATCAATCTCGAACTCCCGGCCACCACTTTGTGTAATATCCACCACCTCCGCCACCCCATCAATCAGTTCCGGCACCTCTTGATGTACCACTGACAGGGAATTATGCCGTTCAAAACTCTTGGCAGTCAATGCCTCATCGGCACTGTGGCCCATTTCCTGCAGGGAATTACTGGAATGCCGCAGGGAAACCTTCGAAGCCGATACCGAATCTCCGCGCGCGTGTAGGGTGAAAATCTTCTCAGCGTTGGGGTTGGGCCACGAGAGGACGCCCTTCTTGTCCGTGCAGCAGATAGCAGTTACGTTGCCTAAAGTGTGAACAATGTTGGAGGTTTGGAAAAGGGAGTCGTTGGTGCCTTTGACCAACGATCGGAAGCGCTGCCAAATCGACGCCCAGTCGGCTTTCACGATATACATGGCATCGGTGAGCTTAGCTTCGTGGAGATGATCATGCTTCAACTGCAAAAATTAAGGAACAAACCTGAATATAAACAAAAATATATTTCACTTCATCACACGGTGTCCCATATAAGCAACGGAAAACGATTCTCAAATTACTGGGTAGCGTATGATGATATGAATTCAAATCAGACTATCTTTTGCTATCGTGACGTATAAAAGCTACAATTTAAAATAATAATCGCTAACGGCGTTAATTAACACCAAAGAATACGATAAAATAAGCAGCATAAAACGCGTGGCAGCCAAGCGTACGAACAAGTAGTTCGTATCCATTTAGCAAAAAATAGTTCGAGCACGGTAAAACTGCTAACCTTTTTCCTTTTGAACTTCTGAAAAACGCTCAGCACTCTGGCCAAAATTATGTAATTCATCCCCAACCAAAGAGAAGGAAAAACGAGAGAAGTCAGTGGTAGCAAAACATAAAGCCATCCGAATAAAAACTCTTCTGCCCATCGACGCTTTGTGCTCTCCACAAAAACACAAATTTCAATAATATTCCCAATCAAATACAGCACCGCAACTCCGGGTAGAAAGCGACCCATAATGTAATTCAGGGTGGTAATGCGCTGTTTTTCAATAATGCTGCTCGGTCGATTAAGCGGCTTATTAGAAAGAGATTCCACCAAGATGCTCCGAAAGGGCGCTTCCTGGACGATGAAACGGTGCTCAGCAGCGGCGGTACGTTGCACAGCGCTCAACGGAGCTTCCATTTCCCCATCAGTGTCGGGCTGGTAGATCTCACCTAAGACAAGCTAGAATTCAGATTTGGTAATTCAGGCAGGCAATTTAGAAAATGATACAATTCTTCAAATAATGTAGATAAACATGACAAAAACACTAAAACCTCTAATGTGCATTGCACAAGAATGCAGTTACCAAAAAAAATCGAGAATTTAAACGCTTTCTTTTACATCAGCAGAAATAAAAGTAATAAATTAATGTTCAAAATCCAATTTATTCACCCCGCATGAGCGTAATTTCGGTAGCGTCCGTCGGGGTCTCTTTGACGGAATTACAGTGGCAGACGACCCGCTGGCCCGGTCGGACGACAATGATATCGCCCGGAACCAGCAGAATCGCTGGTAAATTGATGACAGCATTGTCACGGTACGTCCACTGCAGAGCCACACACGGACTGTCGGGACACAGCACATCGGGGTAGTACGAATGTTTCCATTCGGTCAGCTTTTTCGATCCTATTCCAAATAGGATAACAATTTGTACCTACACTTCTTTTACAGTTAAACGTCTGCGCTAATATACAATCTGTTCAGCTTATTTTATTAGTCCTAATACTCGTACGATTTTCTGTATTAACCACCTGTCAATAATGATATAATCTCGATTAAAGCAATCATAACGAATACGCAAAAAAATGTTAACACGTTTCATGCAGCGCATTTCCTTAGCTATGTAGTCAGATTTCGTTTAGTAAGTGTAGTATAAGGGCGTAAAAAATCATTTGGTAAAAGGAAAAATATTGGTGACCACTCCGTACACTGCCTTTCCCTAATATGAAGGAACGCGTGAAAGTAAGAAGCATGGTAGTGCACCGAGTGAAAGGTGTACGGAGTGGTCGCCAAAAATATTTCTAAACGTGCGGCAGCAACACCAATTAAAAACGATAACTCCAATGTATATTTTTCTGAAAAATCAAAAATTAACAGGCACATGAATATTTTGTGAGACTTAATCCCCTTCTAAAGTAAAACAAAAGTCTTTACCTTGCAATTCCTGTCGAATCGTCGCCAGAATACTGATAACCTGGCACCAGAGCTCCAAATGGCGGCCGCGCGCTTCCAGACAAGACAGCAACACATTCACCACTCCGAACAGCACCAACACCGCCAGCACCGCGGCACACTCCACCGGTTTGATCAGCACACGGCCCCCAGCATCTTGCACCAAGAAGCCTGCTACAGTTAGCACGCACTGCAGCACGATGAGCAGCAGCTCCGGCCAGCGAAAAATGGAACGCGAACTGCGCTGATCGAAAGCATCCTGCACCCAGTTGCGCCACGACACGGAGCGCCGGTACCGGGACTGTTCGTCCTCGATGAGACGGGCGAACAGAGTCAGAGCGTGCCGCGTGGAGAGGCCAGACTGGTTGATCTTCGCGGGGCCAGGTTCGTCGTCGCTGGCGCGCAGCGCTGCGGTGTCGGATAAGCGTTTGGGCAGGAGACCGATGGTCTCTTCGCCTGGCTGCAACAACAGATACAGTGGTGTTTGGTGACTTTGGTTGCAGCCGAACTGACAGCAAGAAAAAGACTGTTTACCACGGCCAAAACAGCCATTCGCTAAGAGGATGCGAGCTGGACGTCAGCAGTTCAGTTTCATGATCAATGATCCCACATTCCCAATTTCCAAGTGCGCCGCGCCGATGCTGCCTGCAGTAATGCGATTTACCATCATTTACGGCACGACCGCTCCTGATGTTGTTTTAATCAACAGGAGTCGCTTTCAGGTTTCAACTGAAATTAAAATAATTTTCACCCATTATCCAAACCAAAATCCTCCAAAAAATACTGCAGCCCTCGAAAAAAAGAAATATTCGATTTCAATTTTCAAGATAGAAAAATACAAAACTAAAAGAATAAAATTCGTACAAAATACAAATGTGTATTGTACGAGTGCAATGCTATGTTATTGTGCAGCAGTGGCGTTTTAAGCAATTTTATTGCTGATTTTACTGGCATTGCACCATTTGTGGACCCTCCGGTTATAGAGCGACAACGTAACAGAAGCACGCGTGCGGTGGCCCATGCCACAGGCTGTTTTAACGTAAATCTTTGAAAATTCATAACTTTGTTCATTCCTCCATTACATTTTTATGCATAGTCTTGAAAAATGAAGAATAATACACAGTATCAGGCAAAAGAAATGCTTTTTAATTTTTCTTTCAGGATTGTGCGCTGTTAGCCTGCGCGGCTAGCATAGCCGCCTATGGAGGAGTTCCCATAGGCGGCTATGTTAACCGCACAGGCTCATACTGCATTACCCTAAAGAAGAAACAGAAAAAATTTATTTTGCCTAATACTGTGTATTATTCTGCATTTTTTAAGACTATACATAAAAATTTAATGCAGGAGTGAACAAAGTTATGAATTTTCAAAGATTTACGTTAAAACAGCCTGTGGCATGGGCCACCGTCGTTACGTTGTCGCTCGACAACCGGAGGGTCCACAAATGGTGCAATGCCAGTAAAATCAGCAATAAAATTGCTTAAAACGCCACTGCTGCACAATAACATAGTATTGCACTCATTAAGTCTCATTGTACCTGGATTCGTTGTGAGTCGTGACTGCCACAGTGGGACGGGAAGCCAAGCACCGCCTGGGCAGCGTGTTACGTTACTTGCGTACTTCGAGGTTGTAAAGTGACTTGGAAACAGCTGCTTCCACTCATGTCCGAAGCGAATGACCAGCACGAGCCTTCTAGATCCTGCAGTGAATCACGAACCAGACATGGCGCTGGACCACACACAGAGAAAAGCAGGATTACAAAAAACTGTTGAGTGGTGAAATTTTACCGGATAAACCGGAACTAACGGGCTTGACACAAAGCGACGGGAATTTACCGGATTCGAAGAGCATACAAGGAATGCCTAAACCTGAAACTGCTGAGTAGGCTGACTGGTGAGTAGCTAAGAACAGCGAGCTAGAACACCGTGGCCGATTCTATAATTATGTACCAACAGAGAGAAGAATAAGGGAGGAAGGCTCAGGAAGGATGACCCACCTGGCAGAAATCAGGAAGCGACGGAATCATATGGAAAAATGCGGAAAATGGGATATCTGGTCACTGAATTGTAGTCCTAACAGTAACTGGTTGTACACGATGGGACGTGTTTGCGGACAGCTGCGGACCGGCGTAAGTACATGCATATATATGTGAACTTCACATCTCTTTCGACTGAAAAAGTGCTTCCTCGCTTTCCTTAAGCGACGTTTTAAGCTCGACTGTCGCTTAAAGAGACGCCACTGCTGTGTTGGTACCTGTATTACTTACCTTTTCAGTTTTGTCAAAGGGAGGACATAGATTTTTTTGTTTTAAATTTTCTTGTTTATGCATGCTTAAATAGTGCCCGCTCGCATGTTTTGCTCTTTTGATAGTTATACTGCAGACTGCTCGTCAGTGAAATTTCATTCTGTCATTTCCTGCTGTACGTGTTGTTCACGGTAACAGCAGACTGAAAACGAAATCAGTCTTTGTGCCGAAAGGTAATTTTAATGAAACGAAAGGTCAAAGCGTGTCTTGACTCGAGCTCAGGTACATATGGCATTTTAGAAGGACTGGAGATGCATGGGAAAAGTAGTTCAACTGTGCAGTGTACCTAACAATTATTAACACTGTTGCAAAAGTAAAGTACTCGTATTGAATGCTAGTGTACCAAATTACCAATTACAATAGATTCTGTCATCGCATCAACACAGATACTGTACCGTATGTATACTCCTGTCCACGGACCACATGCCACCAAAACCAGTACAGTAACTGTGAGGAAAAGTGAATAATGTCCTCTGCTAATGCTCTGTAGTTGCGGCTGACCGGAAGCGATAACGGCATTACAGCCGTATTGATCTGACAATTCTCACATAAACGTTGACCCAATGGCGGTAAATCGTCTGTAATCTTGAATAAATTGGGAATTCGCATCTATCTGTCTCACCACACAAGCATGGATGCAGTCAACTTTACGCCTCATGCAGAGCGTACCCAAATTACGCAGATTGTTTGCTTACTTAACGAAAAAGTAAAAACCGGTTGGCATCCAGTACATTCTTGGCAAATACATACGGATCTATTCAGTGAATCATGGACATTATTGCCTACATCTCCGAAATCAGAAGTCATTGTCAAAAATGTTTGCAACTTTGCATCTGCAGTAGAAATAACGCTTAATTTCATGCTTGCGATTCTTCAACAATTTCCCATACGTTTTTTAACTGTTTCGTGCGTAATAAAATTTAACGATACAGATTCTCAAGAAAAAAAAGCTTGTGTTTTTTGGTTATCCACTATCCATTCAGCTTTGTTGGTTGGCTTTCGATTTATAAAACTGATCTTCGACTACTTCTAAGTATACATACCATTGTAGCCTTCTAAAGAGAAGTCAGTTCTGGAGTTAGCAACTATTGTACATCACCTGATTGATACGAGTATATTTTAGTACTTTTTGGCATGCCTAAAAAGTGGAATCGCCGGAAGAAGAGAGACCAGTCAGCTCCGGACTGCGAGCGTGTCACTACTAATTGCCGGGAAAGATGGAGGCAGCAGCATGTAAACACCGCATTCGTAAGTGCGCAACTAGTCTGCTGAGGAATACTTGAGACATTTTTGTATTTTTGTTATGTAATTCAATTGTCCAACTGTCGTGGCGGTCGTTTAAAAAGTTCTGCACAACAGATTCTACCTCAGAGACAGGTGAAATTTTTAACAGTTGCACTGATCTGTCCGTGACTTCGCGCGATGTGATCGAACACCAAACAGTGGCAAACACGAACAGAAGTGATGTTCTACCTATATACAAGAACTGCACAGTGCACATGCGCAACATGCCACACAATAATAGTCGTACTACTGTACGACTACGACTATTATTGTGTCACATTTGTGTGGCACATTTACTTAATTGTACGACGCGTACAGTTAATTTCTACCAACAGAACTGCGAAATTTTAATATTCTTTTATAAAACTAAACCTGTCGTTTAGCTCCGCCATCTGCAGCAACAAGGAAGCACCGTATTAAATCAGCCAACTAAATTTTGGCGCAAACGAGATAAGCACGGCTAGCGCTGTACCTAAGCAGAAACTTAATTAGCAAAAAATTTCTTTGCAGTGCAAGCTGCGCAGGATACTTCCTACATATCCCATTGATAAGAAGCTGAGCAAGCAGGAAATATTACGAAGAGCCATCAAATACATTCATCTGCTTGAACGAGTTCTGCGCTGCATTGATAAGTCGGCAACAGGCTCAGTCGACGAAATGCAAATCGGTTTCCGATAACCTTTATGGTAAGCTGTAAGCTATCATGAATGGATAACAAGTTGTTATCTGCATTAGTTGGGTTCACAAACCCATTTAGTTTAAAATATTCTGAAATTACTCATAACATTTGTTTTAGAGCTAGAACATAATGCCATGCTCGGAATCTGTGCGACACCGAAAGGACAAAAAGATGCACGCTAAATTCCCTTGCTGACCCTTTTTCTGTATATCGGATTATTCGGACGACAATCACAACATCCGCTTCTAGTTTTGACTTTTGACATGTGCATGATGCGATACAGTAAAGTGCTAGCGGTGGTTTAATACGGTGCAATCGCGCCCTTTTGCGTCTCGAGCGCAGTAAATATCACTAACAGTACGTTAATTGCTAGCGAGTCCCGTTTTGGGTTATAAACTGTTCATGGATTTAATGCAAACTTTTATTATACAAATTACGACCACAGAATATTGGCGGCTTTCACATTTGGCAAAAAAATTCCAGCTGCATAAGGTAGAAAAATTTGACACGAGGTTGTTGTTAAACAAGGTGATACAACAAACGCACTGAACTTTTTTGCTGCATGCTAAAGTTTTGAAAAGGAATTACAGTAAATGTGGTACTGTACATTTTATACAGCTTGCTGCACATGTGCTTATAATTAGCAAGCTGTATAAAATGTACAGTACCACATTTACTGTAATTACTTTTCAAAACTTTAGCATGCAGCAAAAAAGTTAAGCACATGTTAAGCCGTAACTATAAATAGTGTTCAGTGAAAGATTCCAACAAAGCGGAAATAATTATTAACTTTGTCTGACGGAAAGAGCATTTTCATTGTTTGCAATAATCATTATGCCTATCTTACTTGATATCTACAGTGGAATGGTTATGCGAATATTACTAATGTATAGAACAGTATATGTTTAAAAAGCGAACAGTCGTTTAGCTGGAGGCTATACGAACGAACTATGTACCTTGCTTGCATATACGTAATGCTACACAACGTGCACTGAAGTTGGGCGCAGTATCCGTTGGGATATCCGTACGTCTGGTGCCATTTTGATTTGAGTAATTACTGTTTCTAAAAAAGTGCGATAATTTTTGCTTAACCCACTAAGTGTTTTTGTACATTCTTTTGTTTTCGCAATGGACGAAAATGAAAAGCCGAATTTACCTTGATGTTTGTATAAACATCATGCCGTTAAAAGTTAGTCGCGTGTTGCCGCAACTGGGAGTATCGAACACAGTAGTGTGTTGACGCTTGTAAGCACACAACCGGCATTTTAAGCATTCACACACTGCATGCATACACAACAACCTCAAGAAAACAACGCAAGTTCGAATTTTGTAATAGTTTGGTCAACAAAACGTTGAACGACCAGACTCCCCATTATTATCCGTGAAGGCTCTTTAATTAAGTGTGAGTTATTGCGAAAGATTAATACTTCCTATGAAATGTGACACCTTTCATCTGTGGCGTGAAAGGGAACTGAAGAAACAAAAAATATCGTTACCTAATTAAATATTCGACCAATACCGACAAAAAGTCACATACATATTGTACTTTCCGTGACTGCGGCTTTATGGCAAAATCGTACAATCTGGTTCATCATTTTTCAAAACTGAAGTATTAAGCGTCGAACTTTCGTAGTTTCTTTTCCTTCATTGCCATCTGCAAGATACCATACCGAGGCAGCTAATTATTTTTTATTTTAGCCCTCGGTGCGGCACGCTTAACTGGTGGATGTTATTGATTAAAAACAGTACTTTCTCGTTAGTAACTACATATTGGGGCATTAATTTGCTCGTATAGTTATCCCAAAATCCTTCATTCTATCCGTGGATCAGGATGAGGATATTATACTGCTTTGCTCTTTTCCTCCTGGTGGCTGGTAGGTGTAGTCTAACCATTAATATCTGATTGTGCTTGTACGATAAATTGTAAACCTTGTGTGACCTTACTTGTGTGACCTTTCTGAATTCGAAACTGGAACGCATTCAAACGCACTTGCAGATACGGATTTGTCAGATTTGCGCCTTGTACTCGTACATAAACTACTCGGAGAATGATTTGTGTACAACGATTTTCTGTGTTCGTGTTACACGAACAAAATCTGCATTAATTTCGTGGACTTCGTTCTAGTCCAAATTCACGTACTCGTATTTCTCAATTAAGCCCGAAGATTCAGCAGTAAGTAATTTAATATTACCATTAACGTATAATTTAAAGAATTAACACAGCTTTTGACTGTTTAGGTATAGACCTATTAGCTCATGTACGTTAGATGCAGATAAAAAGCTCTATACATTTAAAAAATAAAGATAATTAAGTACTATAAATGAAACAACTTTATTCGTTTACGTTCGCATTGCGCATGCAAACTTTTTGTATATAAAGATAAATACAGTACTATTAGCAAGATAATTATTATTAATTTCTTCTGGTAGCAAGATTACTATAAATTAAGTTAGTAACAAACAATTTTCTCACGCGCGTTCGACACCGTAACATTCTCACAGTTAGAATTAATAATCTTTTAATTATCGTGCATAAAAATGGCAGGACTGGCGATAGCTGAGGATCAAGATGCTGCTCAAGCACAGAACTCCGACGAGGTCGTCCCCGACCAGTTGAGCGAAGACAGTAACGACGAACTAGAGGAAAAAGCGATGCCGGAAGTATCGGACTTGACTGAACGGCAGGCCGCAATGGCCACTACCACAGCATACGCCGCTTACGGTTCCAGTTCCGGTCCTCAGACTGGCACAACGGCTCTAGGCTCCGTTACCAGCACCGTCAGTACCAGCACGCCTGCAGTGACCACCACCTATACTGCTCCAGCGACTACTACTACCGCCACAACAACCACCGTCAGCGCCGGGGGGTCAACCACCACGATGGGCCCAGGTAGCACCACCACCTATGCAACGACGACCGGCACGACGGGAACGACAACTGCTAGCTCTGGAGGGTCGACCACCACGATGGGTCCGGGTAGCACCACCACCTATGCAACGACGACCGGCACTACCGGAACTACCGCAACTACGACAACCGGCACCACTACCACAGGAACAACGACCACCGGCACCACCACTACTGGGACAACGACTACCGGTACTACCACCACTGGGACAACGACTACCGGCACTACCACCACTGGGACAACAACTACCGGTACTACCACCACTGGAACAACGACTACCGGCACTACCACCACGGGAACAACGACTACCGGTACTACCACCACGGGAACAACGACTACCGGCACTACCACCACGGGAACAACGACTACCGGTACTACCACCACTGGGACAACGACTACCGGTACTACCACCACGGGAACAACGACTACCGGTACTACCACCACTGGAACAACGACTACCGGTACTACCACCACTGGGACAACGACTACCGGCACTACCACCACTGGAACAACGACTACCGGTACTACCACCACTGGGACAACGACTACCGGCACTACCACCACTGGAACAACGACTACCGGTACTACCACCACTGGGACAACGACTACCGGCACTACCACCACTGGAACAACGACTACCGGTACTACCACCACTGGGACAACGACTACCGGCACTACCACCACTGGAACAACGACTACCGGCACGACCACGCAAACGACAACCGGCACCACGACTACCGGTACGACTACCCGAGGTCCCATGCTGTGCACTCCCAATGTATGGCCGGGCATCGGAAAGAACGGAATGTGTGCCGGCACCAATGATCTCGACAATCTATGCTCGCTGTTGGAGATTGCCTTCTCCGATGACTGCAATGGTTTCGATGGAAACTGGTGTTGCTACCGTAAGTGACCACAAGTCTTGCGTATTTTCGATTCAGAGTTCAGATCACTTTTTAAAAATTCTGAATTTAAAAATAAGTTAAATAATAATTGGGTCTATCGGATACAATAAACAGGTTGGCCCGGTACGAGTACTCTCTAGACGCAGCGCGCGCGTAATACGGTATGTACTCTGTAGTACATACGGTACGAGGTTTATCATTTGTGCAAAATATTTGTAGATCCAGTTGCTACTAGTCCTTCCACCACTGGCACCACGACAACTCGTGGTACCGGAACCACCACACAATCCACCGGAACAGGATCGCAACCGACGACGACGCGTCCAACCACGCTGAGCACCAGTGCGTCAGGCAATACCGCCACTATGTCACCAGCGAACCGCACGACCACTGTCGCTATGCCGACCCGCACTTACGGCAACTCCGTGGGAAGTGGATCATATGGGCAATCGGCCAGCGGTGGCACGTACTATAACATGAACTCTGATTCCGGTTCTAGCAATATGAACAGCAATAGCTACGGTTCCAGTTCGAACAGCGGTTACTCCAATTCCAACAGCAATTCCAACAGTGGATCGTACTCGAGCGACTCCAATACGAACTCTGGCAGTTCGTATGGATCCTCATCTGGATCGACTTCGTACGGTAGCAACTCTGGAACAAACAATAATAACCGGATGCAGATGATGAATAATGGAATGCGAAATCAGAATCGATTCAGCAACAATAATATGATGATGATGGGCAACAACAACCGCATGCGAGGCTCCAGTAATCGCCGACGAGGCGGTCAGCGACGAAATCGTAATCGCGGAAGAGGACGCGCCGAGCTGAATGAAATGGGCGAAATGTTGGCGCGGTAGATACTGACACAGTATTCTTGTGCGGCATCGAAACTCTTACTACGACATATTCCTGTTATTTGGATGAGTCCTGGTGTGGTTAAATTATTGCGGATTTCTTGTCATATGTCAGAAAGTCGGTTCTAACTTTTATGGTCTATACTATATATCGTATACCTAAAATTATTTTACAGCTTTCGTGTTTTACGTCAAGTACGTTTTTTGTATAATTTGTTCGTATATGACAAATAGATTAATATATAATGTTAATCAGATTTATTGCTTCCAAAGTGAGTAATGTAAGTAGTACACTACATAATATAGAATATAGATTATAGAATAATTATAATACAGTATTGCAAGTACAGTATCTGCCTCTGTGGTACAAGTACGGACCGTTACCGCGGCCGCTTAAATACCGGGTATCCTCGAATGCTGTCCCAAAAGTCAAGCCATCACAGTTCTTATTGTACCCAAACAGTACATTTTGCAGTTTCATTTGCGTGAGTTACATCATGCTTTACGTGGCTCCTTTATCTAATTATCCTATCCTTGATTTTCCTTTTATCGTAGAATACATTAATTAAAGCAGATAACATGAGTACAGTACAATAGCGATTGCGTGCAAGGAATAAACCGGCAGTGACCTGCTTTGTCATGCGAAATACTTTCTCATCGTGGCGGCAGTTACTTTATGGCACGATAAATGCGGTTGTCGCAGCCAATTCCTACCCGAGCCGACGGCTGCATTAAGGAAAGCCGGAAAGGTGGGCCTTTCAGTGAAGGAAAGCAAAAAACACCGCACACATGTTTGAGAAAAGCAAACTGTAAACAATTGTGAAATCGGTGCCATAATCACTTGCTTGGCTTGCAGTTCTTCAGTCTGCTTTAACTGTATGCTGAAGGTGGAATATATAGGTGGAATATGAATAAGGTTCCCGTCCGCTATCCCTCGTGACTGGTTTTTCATACAGCAGTCTGGCTATCAGAGTTTGAAGTTGAAATGGGGATCAATACGCCAGAGTGCCTTTGAATTGACTTGTCACTTCTGGATTTACTGGATTGTTTCCGTTTTGTCGCGGACTGACTTCTCTTTGACAAAAACATGTCCACGGACTCGCAGTCCGAATTTCCCGAGGGATTTTGCCATGATAAATTTTGGGTGCGTATTTGTCTTGTTTGTAATTTGTTGCCCGTTTTGAATGTTCTGGTAGTGCCGTAGTGGTGACTGACTTCCTGTCGTATTTGGTTTTTAAGGCAATGTTTTCTGACACGCAAAAAAGCCCATTTAAAATCAATGATAAATGACTAAACGTGCTGGAAAAGTTTGTGTTCGCACTGGTATCGCTTGATTACAGTATATGAATTCTGGTTTCGGAATAATGGCATGTATGATTTCCGCGTTGTTTTAGGATGCCAATGCAACATGGTACACGAAAACACCGGAGTTAACGCAATGCTTCCAAGACACGATCCTGGTATGGATACCCTGCGCATTTCTCTTCCTGTTCCTGCCTGCGCATGTTGTTAAATACTGTCAGTCCAGGCTGCGGATTACCAGATGGACATGGTTATCCTTGTTTAAAACTGTAAGCAAAACATTCCATACTTGCGTATTCAAAGAAAAACCGAAATTAGTCTTATAATTTATCACATTGTCTGGGTACCCGTAGTCAGGTTATTTAATTTTTGGTTAAAAGTTCAAACAATGTCTGTACATATACTATATGTATGAAAATGATTTAATTCGGCAATAGCCATTAATACACATCATACACGGATAGTTCCGTTAAAATATTTTAATTTACTCACTTAAAAAAAGTGATTATTACTATGTAGAAAATCGTATCGCCGTGATACAGTATGTAAAGCTGAGAATTTCACTTTTTAAATGCAGACCCGACATCAACATGGAATTATTGTTCACGGGAAATTTTTGTCGTAATATATCGAGGCTTTCCTTGACATGTGGTTGATTATACAGCTTATGGTCTTACCACAGTGTGTAACATTTTGCAGGTTTTGTGTGGAGTGTTGTTTATTTTGGCTTTGCTCGAATTCTCACACCTGTTGAACAAATGGAACCACGATCAGGCGTCAGTTGCGCACGCAGCGTTAGTGGCTTGCTCACTGAAAATGATTGCAATGGTAAAGCGACGCTGATAGAGCTTGCATTGTGCACTTCCTTTAATAATGCACTGACCTTTGCTCTGATAGATTGTGGCGATCCTTTGTATTTCCATGCACAAGTACCGAGGTCAGATATCGTCACTGGTGCTCTTCCTTTTCTGGTTATTCTTATCCATCTGCGAAGGACTGCGATTTTGGAGCGAAATTGACGCAAACTGGAATAAGGTCGGTGTGGTTACTGACAATAACTTCAGATTTAACCGTTATACTGCCAATGCAAGCTAGAACTTATGCTTAACTTACAATAATGTCATTAAAAATAGAAGTACAGCGTGGCGAATCGTTCTTTAAGGGCAGCTGTTAATGGCTGATTATCTGTAACTATATGCTCGTGTTAATTTGTTTCCAATCCTTCAAGAAAAAAAGCCGTTTCGAGATTTGCAAAATTTCTTTACTGTACTTTTCTGAACGTTTGTTACTTACTGACATGATATTTGAAAGTTTGAATTAAGCACTGCCAAGAACTTGCTATAGGTAGACTATAGTAAGTACACTATAGTAAGTACTTGGCACTGCCTATTTTACAGGCCAATGCTGATGATTTTATTTTAACCATTCATCTGGGGTGGCTGCCTTTATCCTTGGCGCAGCTGATCCTTTCGTCCATTGCCGACAATTTTAGCGAACGATTGCAACACGGACCGGTAAGTACATAGTGAAAATTGTTGCTGAACTCTGAGTCACAGCCTTCACTTTCATATTTTTACAGAATCCGAATCCGGCAGGGACAGCATCATGGCCAAATCGGCTTGTGTTCTGGTGGTTTAATCAGTAAGTGTTAGTGAAAATCATTGCGAATACATATCTGGCTTACAGAAAGACTGATGAGTAGTTTACTGTTTTTTTGTAGTATTGCTTATTCCGGCTGGAAGAGACCTTTGGTGCAAGAGGATATGTACGATCCGCTGCCCGACAATCGAGCTCATGTCAATGCTGTCCTTTTGCAAAACAATTGGACCGAAGAAATGGTTAAGATGTACAAGTAAGTGTCTATCACAGATCTCAGTCGGTTTCCTGATTATTTTTCCACTAAACCTTTTATTTTCATTTCAGGTCACCAAAATCTTCCAATGGAAAGAATACCTATACTTACAAACCATCAGTCTGGAAAGCTTTGTTTAAGACTTTCTGGAAGCCATTTTTCACGACAGTTCTTTTACGACTAGGAACGGATATCAGTATCTTTGTTACACCCCAGCTGTTGAGGTACAGTTATACAATGCGGAATGAAATCTTCGAAATCGCTTATAACTATTTATGCGATTTTGCAGCTTGCTTATAACATTTGTGCAAAACAAAGACATTGAACCCTGGAAAGGTTATGTTTTTGCGGCTGCATTGTTCTCGAGCACATTCTGCCAGGCGATTTTCAATAATAACTACATGCATGTCGCCTTCCGCACTGGAATGCGAGTAGAAGGTAAGTGCTTGTACAGATTTCGTGCAGTATTTGCATTTTTATTTTGGTTATGTAATCTTAAATTAAATTCTTTTTCGTTTGTCGCTTGGGAGATGTTGTATTGCTTTTATGACTATCTTTTCTTTATTAAAAGCTTTTCGAAACGAGTGCTTTCTGCAGTTCTGAATAGTTCTTAAAATTTACTTCTTATATATGTTCTTATATTTTTATGTTATAGCGGCGCTTATTACAACGATTTATCGTAAGGCCCTAACAATCACCAGTGCGGTCAAACAGCAGAGCAGTGTCGGCGAAATAGTGAACCTAATGTCAGTGGATGCTTTGCGTTTCTACGATTTTATGTCCTTCGTCCATTTTCTGTGGTCAGCTCCTTTGCAAGTCATTTTGGCAATGTACTATCTCTATAACTTATTTGGAGCTGCTGCATTTGCTGGTCTTGGTGCTATTATCCTGACGTTTCCCATAAACGCTTTTGCATTCAGCAAAATGCGTCAGATTCAGGTAAGGCTAAAAGGTTATATAGGAGTATACATATTAAAAATTTTAAAAAATGTATATTTCTTTAGAGTGTATATGCATATCAAAATTGTTTGCATTTCGTTGAGATTATTACATGCTTTATCGTGTTCTAGAATGTTCAAATGAAGGAGAAGGATAAGCGAATCAAACTGATGAATGAAATTTTGAACGGCATTAAAGTGTTGAAGTTGTACGCATGGGAAGAACCATTTGAAAAACTGATCTTAAGCATCCGAAATATCGAGGTGCTAATCCAAGTTTCCCCTTGTATTTCACTGCTCCGGAGATTCCATTTGCTCTATTATATATTATTGTTATCAACTGGTATTATCATTGTAGTTATCTATGTTGAAAAGAGCCGCGCTGTTTGGGGCTTTATCCTACGTGGTGTTCGTCATGACTCCGTTCACCGTGACAATATCCACATTCGCCACGTACCTCATGACTAGCGAAGAAGGCAGCTTTGGACCGGATAAAGTATTCGTAGCCATATCGCTTATTAACATCCTCCGTCAACCGCTAGCTATCGTCAGTCCAGCAGTTACCACTGCCGTCCAGGTAGGGTTCATTTGTTTAGTACTACAAGTACCTTGGCATTAGTAGTAATTGATTGTTGTAATTTGGCTGGTTATAATTTGAATTTGCTAGTCTGCGTTGGTTTTCTTGAATTTCTTTACGCATATGTTAACGTTTTTTGATTTTTAAATAAAGAACTTTTAACTTAAAGCACACACACTTCTAGAGTTTCGCCCGTTGTATCGTCTCTATTTATATGTAAACTTGAATAATTGACGGCTTCGGGGTGTACTGCGCAGGCTAAGATAGCAGCCAAGCGGCTGTCAAAATTCTTGAGAAGCGATGAGTTGGACCTTACAGAGGTGGAAGAACTTCCATCCGCCGATCCGAACGCTGTGGTGATCAGAGATGGTAATTTCAAGTGGAGCAAAGACGATCCAATTGTGCTGCGTAACGTCAGTATTGCTGTGCCCGAACGAAAACTGGTGGCTGTGGTTGGACAAGTGGGCGCTGGCAAGTCATCTCTGTGCTCGGCCATCATTGGTCTGATGGAGAAAGCCAGTGGAAGCGTTGCGCGAAAGGTATAGACTATTGATCCAATACGTTTTGTTGAAGATGTGACCTTTGCGTTTATTTGTTCTCGGTTTATTGAGGTTGTTTTTTGTGGCTCTGCATTTAGGGACATTTAGCGTACGTTCCTCAGCAAGCCTGGATTCAGAATTTAACAGTGAAAGAAAACATTCTTTTCGGAAAAGAAATGAATGAAGGGCGTTACCAGGAAGTTATTCGAGCATGCGCCTTAACGCCGGACCTGGAATCGTTTTCTGCTGGGGACGAAACGGAGATAGGGGAGCGTGGGGCAAATTTAAGCGGTGGACAACGGCAGCGAATTAGTCTGGCTCGAGCGGTGTACAGTGATGCCGATGTAACTAACCTGCTCTTAACTGCTTCATGTAGCACAATTGTGCAGTTGTTGCCATAGCGTGAGCTTATCTCATTGTTTAGGTTATTATCCTGGATGACCCGTTAAGCGCTGTTGACGCTCATGTGTAAGGAACGAACAAATGTTTTAAATACAAAATATAACGAATCACCAAAACTTGGATCGTTGCTTTACAGAGGGAAGCACATATTTGAAAACGTTATTGGACCCAACGGCCTGCTGAAGAACAAGACACGGATATTGGTTACCCATGGTATTGGGTACCTACCCCAGACGGACCATATCTTTGTTTTAGCCAACCACACCGTTTCTGAATCTGGCACTTACCAACAACTGCTTCGCAACAGGGGAGATTTTGCGGAATTTTTGAGAACGTATCTGACCGAGGAGGACGACGAAGAAGAAACCGCACAACGCGATCCGGAAACAGTGTCGAGGAAAGAGCAGCTGCTGGAAGAACTGGGGGAGAAACGGTCTCGAAGCGATAGTAATGTCGACGCCCGGCGCTCATCTACGGCGTCTTCGTTGAAACGCGTACGGAGTGTCCTGCGACAGGCATCGAAGGTGTCCAAAAAAGAGCGGGAAACTGAGAAAAAAGCGCAGCCCGAACCGATTACGGGAAAACTGGTGGAAGCAGAGAAGGCGGAAATTGGAGGTGTAAAATGGACCGTGTATTTGACGTTCATAAAACATTTGTCATATCGGACGGCATTCATGATTCTCATATTTTATGGTGGGTATTCGGCGATTGGGGCGGCGGCGAGTTTCTGGTTGAGTGATTGGTCCAGACTGCAAAATTCTGACCGAAAAGAAACGGACTATCGGCTGGGTGTTTATGGAGCGCTTGGATGTGGACAGTGTATGTGTATTTTTCGTTGAGCCTTTTAGTTTAATTTCAGTCAGATTTTCAAGAAAATCAGTCGCACTAAATCGATTTAAGGTGATACTAAATCTGTAATACTAAATCATATAATGTGGCCGATTAACTCTCTTAACACGGAGCAAGCGGCCTTACAAAAGTAAGGAATACTTCCTCACGTTAAGTACTCACAGGTTTTTAGTATGGTTCCTTTTTTGTTCGGTTTATGGATTAGCCATATTTGGAGCTTATTAATTAGTATTGCTGCGAGTAGTAATTATTATCTGTTACGCTTATTCTTGCTTTACAAGATTGTTCGCCAGCGCTGATATTTTTCTCCTTTCATGCTTGAGACTTTACTTGTGCCCGTTTTAGACCACTTTCTGGTGATTTATTCTTTTGTCTTTATTGCGAGCTTTTTCTGGTGATTTCGTAGTGGTCCTGATTATATGCCACACGCTCACGATGGCTTACGGTCGTGTCCGAGCCGGTCGCTATCTGCACGAAGGCCTCCTGCGACGGATTATGCGCGCACCCATGTCCTTCTTCGACACCACCCCTCTGGGTCGTCTGGTCAACCGCTTCAGCAAGGACGTAGATACGGTGGATGTACTGATTCCCTCCAATTCCGATTTATGGCTGTACTTCATTTTCGGTACACTCAGCGTTATCGTTGTAGTAAGTAAATACAATGTTCATTAGTAATAATCGGGAAAACACAGAATATAAAATGGCTTGATTGCAGATATGTGTGACCGCTTGGGTGTTCATCATCATTCTCATCCCTCTGGTCATCCTGTACTTTTTCTTGCAGGTGTGCTTGAAAATGGCAATGTAAATTGGTATCAGTAATAGGTATCAGTCATTCATTGATTTTGTAAATGGACAATTTACGTATGTACTGCGATGTGACATTACTACCGGGTAGTGATACAAACCTCAGCTAGTACTGCTACTAAAGCAAGTAATTACATATTAACCTTTCAGTACATTTGGCACGCTTTGACGCTTGGAGTTGTACTTGTGATAAAATTTTTGTCGTTGCGATCCTAATCTGCGTATTTTATGTAGCGCCTTATTACGCATTGTTTTACTATAATCTTCATGTTCTTGTGGCGGGGAACGGCAGGAGAAAATATAATACTCGGCAAATAACTTTAATACTGAACCAGAACTGAAATACTAACACTGCCGGAAATATCGTACTAGCATGATCTTATATACTCCCGAAAGCGGGGCGGAACATAGATGCTGGAGCAAACATAGAGGCGAATCATACGAGTACAAGAGGAGGGACGATTCCCTTCACATTCTTAGTTTTACTGACGGCTTTTTTTGGCTTATACTGTTAATGATATGGAAGGTTTTGATAACGACTTGCTTTACTTTTACAGCGCTTCTACATTGTAACAAGCACACAGCTGAAACGTTTGCAGTCCGTATCGCGATCCCCTATCTTCTCCAACTTTCAAGAGTCCCTTTCTGGAACCGGTGTTATTATCGCTACGAAACAGACGGAACGATTTATCCGCGCAAATGAACGTCTGATGGACAATAATGATATGTGCTTCTACTTGAGTTTGGTTTCGCAAAGGTTAGTCATGGTCATCTCACATATCTTGCGCAACATATCAGTGCTAAATTTAAATCATTGGAACAGTTTTGAATTTGTTTTATAATTTGGGTCTAACTTGGCGTTTAAAAAAGTGAAATTAATAATTTACCGATTTCTTGATCGACCGATCTGATGTAGATGGATCGCTGTTCGCTTGGAACTGATCGGTGTCCTGATCACGGTTTCCGCCGCGCTGTATGCTGTGGCCGGTCGAGATCTATCGTGGGGGATGGAACCGAGTCAGGCAGGTTTGTCCATTGGTTACTCGTTATCCGTTACCGGGTTGCTGGCGGGTGTGCTGTGGATTACATCGGAGTTGGAGAGCAACATTGTGGCGGTGGAACGCATCAAAGAGTATTCGGAAGCACCCCAAGAAGTGTGTACTATCAACGGGTGTAAACGAGTTATCCAGGCGTAGCTCTCTGAAAACAGTCAAAACGTTTTGAATATTTCACAGGCGGCTTGGGTTGTGCCTTCTTCACGCCCACAGGGCGACTGGCCGCCAGAGGGACGTGTGGACTTCAAAGATTATCAGACACGCTACCGGCCGGGTTTGGATTTGGTGTTGAAGGGTGTTACGGCGCGGATCGCTAGTGGCGAAAAGGTCATTTGTGATGGATCCACACCTGTCTTACTCATAGTGCATTTTTACTTTTTACCTGAGTTCGCTTAATTACATATTTATTTCGTTTAATTTACACGAGTAAATTAAAAATAGAGTGATTTTATGTAGTGCTTGTAATACGAGAAACGAAAATATTTTGAATCGCCACTTGAAATTTGTGAAGGACAATTGACAATCAACAGGATTTTCGGTAATTAATACCGCAAAGTGAGATTTGACTGCTTATTTAGATCGGTATTGTGGGCCGGACGGGAGCCGGCAAGAGTTCCATGACACTGGCCTTGTTCCGCATTATCGAAGCGGCATCTGGATCGATCGACATCGACAATCTGAACATCGCGGACATTGGTCTGCATGATGTGCGATCTCGAATCACTATTTTACCTCAGGTTTGTTTTTATACGTGTATCCATTTTGTTCGAGAATTGCTTAATTATGCAAATTTTTTTGCTGTGTTTATGAAATCGTTTCTCTAAATCTACAGGAACCGGTGCTTTTCAGTGGAACTTTAAGAATGAACTTAGATCCTTTCACGAAATACACGGATGCAGAGATTTGGGATGCTCTGGAACATTCGCATTTGAAGCAGTTTGTCAGTACACTTCCAGAAGGCTTACATCATCTTGTGGTCGATGGTGGTGAAAATTATAGGTACGCAGGGTACTGATATGTACATAAGTTTTCTTTAGTTTATGTTTGAATGTTGTACATGCATATTCCGCGGTCTACTCTGGGATTCTTTTGGCAAAAGAACCCCCTACAATCAATAAATAAATCACCTGGAAGCTTTTAACTGAGCTGTTGTAGCGTAAGAACATTGTGATGCCACAGATGGAAGCATATATTTGCTGTTTTCAGTGTTGGACAGCGGCAGTTAATCTGTTTGGCTCGTGCGCTTTTGAGGAAAACAAAAATTCTGGTACTGGATGAAGCAACCGCTGCCATTGATTTGCAAACGGATGATCTTATTCAACACACCATACGGGATAAATTCGCCGAGTGTACGGTCTTGACCATTGCCCATCGCATCAACACTATCATGGACAGCACTAGGTAAAAACTGGGTGGTTGCAGCAGTAAGCGGTACTTCTAATGCTCTTGATCGTAAACGAATTTCTGTTTTCCTGTCTTTTTGTAATTTTTACGTCCACGGTCAGTAGGTTTTTTTTAAATGATATGCATCAGTGCAGTAATTAACTGTTTACTTTTTTAAGGATTATGGTTCTGGATCAAGGGCGGATAAAAGAATTTGGCCCACCACAGGAACTTCTGAAAGACCATAACAGCATCTTTTACGGCCTGGCCAAAACGGCTAATTTGGTGTAGTACGGTGACGCACGTACGGCATTTTTAACAGGTTCATGTTTTCAAATCGGCTCTGATTGTTTGGAAAAGTATTCCTGTTTTCATTCACAGTTGTGATTTCTTGTTGAATTTTGTTGATAATTGTGATTTCTTATGGGCATTCTGTTGTGTCCGATTTTTTTGTTTGTTTTAAGAATTTTTGGTGTATTTATTTGCAGTTTTTAGCAAGATGGTTTTAACGAAGTTAATGGGGTTTTACGATATTTTTTTTATTTTATTCCGTTTTTTATATAGTTCTGCATATTCGAATTAACAAGAATATTATAATTACTCGTTGAATCTGCGTAGTAACAAGGTTTAACGGTGCTTAAAACCTTCAGACCTGGCAGTTTATTCACAACAAGGTCAGCTGTTGTTATTTTGCACGGCCTATTTGCCGGTATCTTACACATTCATACATTCAGACTGCTGTGTCCCATACAACATTTTCCAGTATTATTATCATTTCGTCGCCCGTTCTGAAGATGACATAATGAAGCTCGCAGCAATCGCCTGCCACGTGCATGGGATGAAACGGTAGGCGAATTTCTTTATTTGGCATTCCTGTGGGTTGTGATTGCCGTAATGCAATCTGTGCATGGTTAACGGGCCCAAAAAAACAGGTGTATGTTTGAGCTTAGGACACCAACTGAATTTAATTATCCTTGAGTGGCGTGTAAGGATTTACAGAGTAGCTGCAGCAGCCGTAGTTGATCTGATTTCCGAACGGCAGGAAACCAAAGTTTGCCGGTTGACTGACGGATTCCAAAAACCAAGATTTTAGTCGGACAGCTCTTCCAGAATAATGCAACCTTTTGGTCCTGGATTCTGTAAAGATACATTCTGGGTAAGCAGCAAATGATTGCCTCGAAATTGTTAAAGCTAAATCAGTAGTCAGTCATTACCAGATAGAGTACGCTGTTTTTAATTTAAATTAAAGACATGCTTTTATCGCGATTATTCATGTACGAAAGGTCATTACGGATGTATTACAGTATTATATAGCTACCCAATGCTCTATAACATATTTCTTTTGCTTGTCTCTTTCTTATATCGTATTTCTGCCTTGTGGTATTTAATAATACGTTTATGTGCGAGTTTTGATTTGTACGACAGGATTCTGCCCAGACATGGCACACGGCACATCCCCGCTTATCGGGTTGCTTCCTGCAGACAGTGCTAGTGTGGATTCCGATGGTCTATGTGTTGATGATGCTACCTTCCGACGTACACACCCTTATCAGCTGCCAAAAAAAGAAGATGTCATGCAGTAAATTATTACTGCTGAAAATGGTACGGTAGCCCAGTATTCTTGTTATTTTATATGCATTACGATTTCAGAAAACTGGCGCTGCAGTGTACAAATAACAAGTGTTTGCTCATACTCTGTACAGATGCTGATAACCACTTTGATCCTGACTGCACTTGTGGAATTCGTATTCGTTGTTTCGTATTGGCATTTTGATGGGAGTGTCCACTTTGCCCAGGCAGACCTTTTGGCACCTGTTTTCAGATTTTCAACTATGGTAAAACACTAAAATTTTAATGTAACGTTTTGTGAGATGGTTTACATAACGTGACATAATCTGCTAAATTACATTAGCTAAATTTATAAATAGTGAATTTGATCTTTATCTTTGAAGGTATCCGTTTAATCCAAAAGTTTGAAAACTTGCTTGAATTTTGTGCTGTATATCAAATAAGTTTTTATTATAGATGCTAGAACTCATTTCTGTAGCGATAGCCGCCAGATACAGCCATTTAAACAGCGGGAAGCATTTCTTCTTTTGGATGTTAATGTGCTTAACAACTGCACCTGGTTTTCTTATGGCGCTGCATCCTGGCTATAAGGTACTAGCTTCTTTAATAATTTGAGGATGGCGTCAAACATAAATCGCTCAACGTGTTACAGTTGTTTCCAGATATATTTGAATTTGCTATGCGGTCTGTATGGTTGGCCGTCAGCCTACTGCAGTTCGCTTTGAACTTCATCAACGAAGCAACAACCGCAGATTGTGTAATTATGGAATTTTTGTAGACCGAGAAAAATCGGTTAAATTTATTGAAACATTGCTTACAGAAACTGGAACTGGAAAAATACGCATCGTTTCCCAGCAGGATATTGTTTTCCTATTGCCACCGGTAGGCGGTAATGTTAGACAATAGTCCGGTTCAAAATAGACCGGAAATTTAGTAAATCCTGACAATTGTGAGAATTCTGCAAAAGCTGAGTAACGCACGAGATAAGATAAGCGCTCATAACTGGTCCATATTGCGATGAGGTGTCTTTTGCATGTTTGTATCCACGCCCCAAATATTCGTAAATGTTGCTCTAGAAAAAACTACTCGAGAGTAGAATATTCGAGCGTCACAGTCGCCAATTTGCATATTTCTCATGCAGACTCCTGTGCACACATTTTAATGTTTACATTTCACTGCGATATTCCGTAATCGTACACCTCAGTAATTATCCATTAATAAGTACTCTAACGCCTATCGGGTATCGTCGGCATTGCTACGTGCACAATCGTAATAACTAAGTAATTAATAACATTATAATTAGTGTTAATTGCTCATCCAAACACATTCTGGTAGCGTAAACCAGAAAGTGCGCGTAGGGCGCATAAGCCTCTAACATAACTTATAAGTTACCACGACGGCACGACGTGTTAAAATGTCTAATTAAAATTAATTAATTAATAACGGGTTCATTAGAATTTAAAATTTTGCAGATAAATGGTGTACACTGTACAGAGTATTGGTTAAGTAATTCGCTGACCGGCTGACGTTTATTAACTTGCAACTGTAGCGTTAATTAACTGTTTCAAATTAATCGTTAATTACAGGAACTTTTTTAGTTTTTTTATTAATTTGAAGCACTGAATTCGGTAGGCAATACATTTATAGGTAAAGTGCAAACTGCAAAGTAAGGTTACAGACTGGAATGAAAACACACCATAAAGCAAAATGTCGCACGGTTTTGCGCTCCCAAAATTGCCCGCTCGATGCAGATATGTGATGCATCATTGCCGTGCAGTTATTTGATGTTTGTTAAGGTTCAAAGTTCGATTTTTTTAAGCGTGTGTCACAGATTTCCTTCGCTGATATCTTCATAACTGAATTTTGAGCCTAACTAATGTCATCTTATTCATTGTTGATTTTTTTATTTAATTTTCGTTAATATAGTATGGGCTTTTTGGGATGGAAAAAATCAATTACACAAGCTGATCTATGGTGCCTGATGGAAGACGAAGCGGCACACACTCTCACTATCGCGCTACAACGCAACTGGAACACTGAAGTCTGCAAATCTAAAAGGTTAGTCACTGAAAAATAATTCTGTTTGGGCCAAATTTCAGGGTCTGTAAAGACGTTTTCTAGAACAGAGCGATACCAACCCTCACTGAAAATTGCGCTATGGAAAACATTTTGGAAAAAAATCGTATTCACCGGCATTCTGCGGCTGCTTGACGAAGCGTTGGTTTTACTGATGCCATTTTTGCTACAGTAGGTTACAGACTGCGTCATTTGCATTTTTATAAGCTTTCTCGATTTTAACCGTTTATAATTGGCCTATGTTTTGAAATTTAAGGTAAAGGTCTAATAAAATATAGCTTTATTGCAACTTACGAGATGCTGCATTCAGGTAATTACTAAAAGTAAAAGATCGTAAATTTTAGCGCCCATATATTTTTTTATATGCACCTGTATACGTTTAAATGTCTCACGTTAAGCGCACGTTCTTTTCACGTCCTAGATTGCTTATCAACTTTATGGCCGTTGGAGATTACCAATGGAAAGGTTATTGTTACGCTTTTCTTATCCTGATCGTCTGCTGCACTCAAACGGTGCTGAACAATTATTACCTCAGCAGCTGCTTCCGTTTTGGCATGTGTCTGAAAAGTAAAGTAATGCTTCCCTGCTTTCTGAATTTGCATAAGACATTACAAACGAAATGGTTTTCAGGTGCTATAAGCTGCTTGATCTACCGGAAAGCTCTACGCCTGAACAGTTCCGCTAAACAGGAGAATACGCTTGGCGAGGTCATCAATCTGATGGCGGTGGATGCGCAGCGTTTCATGAGTGTGACAGGATATCTGCACAGTATCTGGGCACGACCGATTGGTGTCGTTCTGGTCATTTTCTTCCTGTACCTTGTTTTCGGCTACGCGGCGGTTGCCGGCCTAGGCGTGGTGCTGCTAACGCTGCCTGTAAATGCGTACGTAAGTTCGATATAAGATGCCCGCGTTTATTTCTCAAGAAATATTTTGCCGGTTATTTGTCATAAGTAAGCTGTTTGTTACAGATGGCTGTTTCATCGTGTTGGCGTACTGCATGTGAGTGATTACATAATAAATAATTATACCAATTTGGATTAATTTTGTGTGTATTTACTGAATTTTATGATAGCGGAGGTCACTAATAACTGTAAAAGGTCAACGCGAAAAGGGGCTGAATAAGTAAGAGCAACAGGTTAGTTTTTATATCTGCAGGGACAACAAATGGTATTTAAGGACGACAGAATAAACCTTATGGCGGAGATTTTGCATGGTATGAAGTTACTGAAGCTGTATGCCTGGGAAGAAGCCTTCCAGAAGCGAATCACAAACATCCGGTCGCAGGAAGTACGTTTTAGGTTGTAGGCTCCAATATTGGCTTTTATTAACAAAATAGTGTTACTGTAAATATTCGGGTACCACAGTGCGCAATTACCCTGCTCTTTGTAAATCTTACAAATCAGACTGGTTTTGATTCTATAAAAATACTTCCAAATAAGGTGAAAAAAAGATAACGATTATTCTTTTATTACATAAAACGAGTTCCCGCATATGGATTTATACTCCGCTTGACCTTTATACACAGTATTTAAAATTGCCATTCGAACAGCTGGAGAGCCTTCGGAGTGCATCACATTACGGAATTTTCACATACTGTTCTTGGGTGCTGTTTCCCTTTTGCACTGGATTAGCGGTGTTTGCGTCGTACGTGCTAGTGGACGACAACAATAACCTGACACCGGGAAATATCTTCATTGCATTGTTGCTGATCAACATTCTCCGTGCGCCAGCCGGTCTTTTAGCCCCGGCGATCTCGCAGTTGTTGCAGGTAAAATTGTTCATACAGCACGGATAATGTTTCGAAGGATCGAGCTCGCATCACTACATTGATTCATCTTGCTCTTCGACAGTCTGTCTGTAATGACGTGTTATAAATGGATTAACAAGCACATTCTGCAGTCTGCGTTTTTTTTTAATTTAAAGGTGTTAACAGCCGAAAAACGCGTGCGGAGATTTCTTCTACTTAGTGAAACGGACGGCACATATGTTTCATATGTATCATCTACCAGTGATACCGCACTGGAGATTGTTTCTGGAAGTTTTTCCTGGGCGAAAAATAACCCGTCAATACTCCATGACATTCATATTAAAGTCCCAAAGGGCGCGTTGGTAGCAGTAATCGGGCCGGTTGGCGCGGGAAAGTCTTCCTTATGCGCCGCGATGCTGGGAATGATGGAAAAGTCCTCGGGAAGTGTGTGCATTGCGGTAAGACGAAAGGTCGTAATGTGATCAGTGACGCACAGATTGTGAAGTGAATCAGTGTCATCAATTTGTCTACGAAGATGCATGGGGAACTGGTATATTTTTCGTCATCAAAGTGTTTCGTTCTACAAAAGCAAAATTTACATTTATTATATATATATAAGAAGCGGAACCAGGCGTATTCCACCGTTCCCCTGTGATGTAGTCAGTGTGGTAATGTAACTTTACATTATAGCATCTGCATACGAGATACGAGTACGAGTATAGATGTGGGATTTACAAAGGCAACCACAGAAAGGTCACTTAGTTAACAAACTGTACCGTTAAATTAAATCATGGCCAGCTGTTAATTAAAGCAGATTCAGTATTGATAACAATCGCATACATTTATTTGTTAATGATCTGCTGACTAGTAGCCACGAGCTTTAAGAACCCTTAAAGTTGCGCTTATTAGCTGCATTTTATAGCATAACCACAGTGGTGTAATGATGTAATCACTGTGTATGATACTACGAAGTATGATACTTTGTTGTACGATTTGCTATTAAATTTTAGGAGTTCATTGCGTATATACCGCAACAGGCGTGGATACAGAACTTATCCGTTCGGGACAATATTTTATTCGGTCGTCCAATGCAGCCGGAATTGTATCAGCGCGTTGTAGAGGGCTGCGCATTAACGGCCGACCTTGCAAGTTTGCCCCTGGGCGACACAACAGAAATCGGAGAACGGGGCGCTGATCTCAGTGGTGGACAGCGGCAGCGAATTAATTTGGCCCGTGCGGCCTATAGCGACGCGGATGTAAGGAGTTACTTAAGTGATCAGCATCAGTTTCCTAGTCGGATTTTTCGTTGCTTGGTGTATTGAATTTCTTGGCGGCGGTTTTCCTGGCACAGAGCTACAGATAGAACATCGTACCGCGTAATTAAAACATTTAATTATGGACTGTTTTACAGGTGTACATCATTGATGACGCTCTTAGCGCCGTGGACAGCAGCGTGTATGACTGTTCACTGTTGGCCAATGGCTTATATTAATCAAATGAATCGGGTTTTATGCAGCGAATGAGATGCTTTCTTTATCTGTATAATTAGCGCGCGGGATATTTTCCACAACATAATTGGACCTAACGGCTTGCTCAAGGGAAAAACCCGAATCTTCGTTACCCACGGAATTGCCTTTTTGCCCCAAACCGACCTGATCATTGTCGTGGCCGGTGGCCGTGTCACGGAGGTACAGACCTTTGAAAATCTGCAGAAGAACAGCAGTGGTTTGCTGCGTTTGTTGAGCACCGTCCGGAAGGATGCCGACCAGGCGCAGGTTGAAGCGGTAGCTGCAATGTCGTGGAGCGACTCAGGTATCGACCAATTTGCGTTTTCACAAAATTCATAATTTGGAATGGTAGATGATCGAAAACCATAAAACCCAACCAAGGGCAACCAACAGCTTGCAAAAAACAATTTCAAGACAAAATGTAGACGAGTTATTAATGGAAAGAATGGTTTCGAAAAACACAGGGAGGTCCATATAAAAAAAAGACAAAAACAGTTTTTTATGCGAAAAAACACGACTTTAACTTAATTTGTCAAGTATGTGATCTATGAATTATCCAGGTGCCGTTACGAAAGCGGACAAGGCCTTTTTTCCTAGTTCTGCGGAGATTGCCGATGTCCACGTGGGCGGGTCGGGCGTCGATAAATCGCCATCAAAAGACGAGTACACCCACACTGATGTCGGCTGGGGCGTATATGTGACACTGGCTAAATGCTTCACATATCCGGTTGTGCTGGGAATTTTTCTCCTCTTCACTTTGTACACCGCGGGCGGATTCGCCTCCAGTTTCTGGCTGACCACTTGGGCGGCAAAGAGCGCAACTATGTCGGCGAATTCCAGACTGTTCTATTTGGGAATTTACGGTATTTTTGGAGTCGCACAAGGTACAACGGTTTTCGCTTAGTTGAAAACATGTCACAGAAACCTAGCAATACGTATGTATGTCGTAGGGATTTTATGCTAAATGCTCTGGTGCAGAAGTTTTACTAAAGTATGGGTCGACGCATGTTTGAGTTAATTATACAGGTTGTAAAAATGTGCTGAACATTAAATCGGTCAAGTACATCAAATTACCGTTTTGTGTTGTAATTTAGCGTCATTTCTGCTTGGGTTTGCACTGTGTCTTGCTCGTGGCCGATTACGCGCCAGCCAATCGCAGCACGAGTTGTTGCTGGATCGGATTTTGCACTGCCCAATGTCATTTTTCGACAACACTCCCATTGGCCGCATCCACACCCGCTTCAGTCGAGATATGGACACCGTCGATCTGGCCATACCGGCTAACATCGAGTTCTACTTTTACAATCTCTTCGCGATTCTAGGGACAGTTTGCCTGGTAGTGAAAACATGTGCACACGCGAACGTACAATGCTACGGCTTCTTATTGCTTGACCAAAGCCGTTTATTTTGTAGATCTGCATCACCACTCCATACTTATCGGCAGTGTTTTTGCCGCTTATGTTGATTTATTACTTTATGCAGGTAAATTTCTTGTGAATGTAAATCCTATTCGACAAAAGCCAGAGTGATACCAATATTAATATTAACAAATTCAGATAGTCTCTGCAAAAACAAACTAATAAGTTTTTATTGCAGCGGTTGTATGTAACCACAACTCGCCAGATTAACCGATTGGAGTCTTTGTCGCGAGCCCCGGTTCTATCTCACATGCAGGAATCAATGGCCGGCATTGGTGTCATCCGTGCTGCCGGACAAATCGACCGATTTATTCACGAAAACGAATCTTTAGTGGACAAAAATATGCAGGCTGTATATGTGGAAATAATAGTGTCGAGGTACAAGCAGAATTACCGTTTCGATCCTTTTCGACAAAACTCTGAGGACAAACTTTTAGATGGATCGCGGTGCGGCTGGAGTTTTTGGGCATCATCGTGACCTTTTTAGTGGCACTCTTGGCGGTCGTCGGGAGGGAGCGTTCCTGGGGCATGAGCGCTGTGGACGCCGGGTTGGCGCTGAGCTACTCCATGACGGTGACCTTACTGATAAATTGGCTGTTGTGGGCGGCTGGGGATCTGGAGAGTAATGTGGTGTCGGTGGAAAGAATAGATCAGTATATGAATGCTCCTCAAGAGGTGCGTACATACAGATTTGAAATTTTTGCAATTTAACCAAAACCCATTCTCTTAAAATCCATACACCCTTTCTATGTTCATTAATCAATACAGCATGTGCGCTCCTACAGTAATTCAGTATTGTACTGGCCAGGAGAGTGATAGATCCTTTGATTCTCTTCGCATGTTTGCTTTTGCCATTATTTTTCATCCACGTTAGCACGGGGTTTATCTGACTAGAGTATCTGATAGGCTTCCTGGAAGAATCCAAAATTCAGTCCGCACGAGAACTGGCCTTCCGCTGGTGCAATTAATTTTTATTCCTACATGGCGGGATATCACGAGGGTGCGTCCGAACTGGTTCTGAAAGGTCTCACTGCATCCGTCGTTGGTGGTGAAAAGGTTGGACAAATCTTTCCATGCGGAATGTTTGTTAGCTGTTTCACTAAATAGAATAATTACGTATATTCTGGATCCATGTACACATAATCACGTATAAAAACACAGGCTTTATATTTGAACAAACGCATGTGCTGTAATTGAAGGTAAGGTGCATTTGGTAACTGGAAATATTATTACGTTTATCTGTGAAAGGTTGGCATCGTCGGACGAACGGGTGCTGGAAAAAGCTCACTAGCCCTGGCGTTATTTCGCATCATCGAAGCCCATGCCGGTCGGATCGACATTGACAACTTGAATATCGCCGAACTTGGTCTGCACGATCTGCGAAGGCGGATTACCATTTTGCCGCAGGAACCGACCTTGTTCAGTGGTACTATACGTTCCAGTCTGGATCCTATGGAGCAGTATTCGGATGACCAAATTTGGGCAGCTCTAGAGCAATGCAATTTGAACAACTACGTCATGGGTCTTCCCCAACGACTGGCACATCGGGTTGCCAGTGGAGGACAGAATTACAGGTTACACACCGTCGCACGCACTGCCACAATAACTCTCAAATATAATTGACTACTACTGTGGTACTTGATTATTGGACAACATCCTAGGTATCTTTAATTGGTGATTACATACCCGGCCCCGATAATTTGTACCGCGATAATTTGTTAAGAATGGTACATGTACTTATATTAATATTATTAATTCAGATACAAGCCGCAATTTTTTTAACTGCGCTTTCCTGACTTTAGCTTGGGCCAACGACAATTATTTTGCCTGGCCAGAGCATTACTGCGACGAACAAAAATTATTATACTGGATGAGGCCACCGCCGCCGTCGACACGGACACCGATTTCGTCATCCAGCAAACCATTCGCAACAGCTTTGCGGACTGTACTGTTTTGACCATTGCGCACCGTCTGAACACGGTTCTCGACTGCAACAGGTGAATTCTATTAACCGTCTGTCTGCTGTCTGTCAATTTGGGATCATGAGCAGGCGTACCCATTTTTTATTTTTAAGCTTTTGTGGTGATTATTCTGGCGTTGTGTTCGGCAGGATTATGGTGCTGGAGAACGGCAAAATAGCTGAAATGGCGCCACCAGAAGTATTATTGAACAACAAGCGGAGTCTGTTTTATAGTTTCGCTAAAGCCGCCAATATGGTGGAATAGAGCTGTGTGATCTGCAAACATTTAATTTTGCGTTTGCGCAAACTGCCCAGTGATGTGTGTGCTGCCCTGTTTGTAGCCTGTGTTTGAATGGTGACAAATAAATTCTGGTGAAAATTTAATTAACAGTTCTAATTAACAGCCCGAGTTTACGATCAGAGCATAAAGCAACACTGTAATATATTTGCCTAAGCACTTATTAAACACTAACAAATAAATACATACTCGAAGTACCAATCTTTGTTCTGTTGTATATTAGTAAAATCTGCTAGTACTTGTAGATAACATTAACAGCGATCTGATTATCTACGGTTTGTCGCTGAATACATCAATGCGCCCATGTACAGGCACTGACTGATACCTGCATGCATAAACACTTTTTTCCACATATTTATAATTATTATCTTGCTTATCAACAATGGTTTCTGCGAGCAGCAGATTATCGCTTGTTATCGAAGTGATAGGCTGCGCTTGTAATCTGACGGAATAAACGCAGACACCCGTGTGTCGATTGCCGACTAATATTTGACAAATGATTATGACCACACCGGTCCACACGTGCTATTATGCAAGCACCACGCAAATGGCGCAGTCGAGCTAACGTTCCCATTCGGATATTTTTATTTGTGATCAGTATTTCTAGTGAGATCTGATTAGCAATATCACATCAAGAAATAATAGCATCGAGAGGATCTCACTATGGACCAGGGTAGCATCGATGCGTTTGAGGATCGTAAAGTCTGGCACCCGTTTTCTCCAGGTTTTTGTAAAGACGCATTTTGGGTACGTTGAAATTTTGGTACAACCAAAAAATTTCGTATAGACATTCCGTCGTTATAAACCGGATATGGGCGATATATTAATAGCTAATTAATTACCTTTTTTAAAATTAGGACGTAAGCTCGTTATGGGATACACCGACACCGGCTGTCACGGAATGCCTCCGTCAGACTGTTTTATTATGGATACCATGCGGATTACTGGTGGTTTTATTTCCGCTGCAGCTTCATAATATTTTGGAACTAAAACAACTGAAAACCGGAGTAAACACTGCACAAAGCATAATTGTGTACTCAGTAAAAATGGTAAGTTAGTTAATTTTAGCGGAATACTTGTTCGTAGAATAGTTTGTAAAATATTCGATAAACTGTTTTGTTAGAGGCACGACAGCCTGCGTGATAGATACGCCACTTTGCGTATGCGTATCACTGCACACATGCTGATTCGCCCTCTCTTGTACGTACGTGAGTGGCTGCACTGCACTCTCCGCCTATGCGGATACACCGCGGGCGCACTCACTGAGCATACTTGCTCTCTCGCTCCTCTCTCTCGCTGTATGACTCAGCGTATATTCGCTCGCGTTGGATACGAGTCCAGTCTGCGCACTCACATTCCGTGTGTCTGGACAGCGTGACGCCGTTGCCGCCAGCACATTTCTTTCTCGACATTTCATTACGCTCTGGAACTAGCTCGCAGCAACTTGACTGCTCACTTTCCTGCCAGACATTGGCCTTTGTTGTGTTTTTCCCCGCATTCACGCGGCATTTGCTCCACTTTATTTGTACAATAAAGTCACCTGTGAGCTCTCTGTGCTTGCCTGTCACATGGTAAGCAGATCGTCTGGTTTTCTGTCCACCGGATCCTTTGAGGAGACGGTAAAGGCATAATTTCGCGGAGAACCTTGAAGAACCCGTGGTTGGAAACAGATTGACTGCGAACGCAGCCTCTGCTACAACCTGGTCTTTGCTGTCTAGCGACTGTGGTAGCAACAGGTTGATCGCAAAGCGATCCCTGCCACCTTCGCTTGCCCTATCTTTTGGCTCTTCCACACAAGGAGAGCACTTCGGCTGACTGCCCCAGACGGACGAACGGGAACTTCCCAATCCCAACTGACGGATCAGGCTCGGACAGTAGCCTGCAGCGCCCAGAAGGAGCCTCTCAACAATCGGGGACCTTCGCCTTGAACGGCGACCCGCAACTCTAACGGAAATCGACCTCCCAACGGCGGATCACCGACCTCCACGGACACCGTAACGAACCGGTAAAGTCCTGGTTACAGGTCGACACAGGTCGAAACTAGCTATAATTCTTAATTCTTAACGGCTGAAATTTATTTCTGAGAACTAGAAATAATTTTTCGATGGTAAAAACTTAATTTTCGTCGGAGAAACCGACCTAAAAAGTTACTTTACCGACCTAACGGACCACTCTGTGTAACTGACCAGAGGTCGGTCATTCACTTTGCTTTTCATTTTGACGGATTTTCCACCGTCAGAAAAATTTCTGAGAATCTAGAAATTATTTCTAACGGCTTAAAAATTAAAATTTCGACCAGAAAACATCTCTGATCGACCTAAAAATATTCTTGTTTTTCCGCGAAAATAAGCGCGAAAATTCTTGAATTTCCTTGTGACGTCAGAACGCTCGATTTTCAGTACTTTGAGGCTAGCCAATCAGCGTGCAGGAAACTTCCATAAGCTTAACATAGGCGTGAATCATCGTTTTTAAATTTTGCACGCGGCTCGCATTCTGTGACGTAGGCAGTGAAGTGCAAGACCACTTAGCCCTGTGACGTCATACTGGTCAGCACAGTAGTATAGGACGTACCTACTGTAGTACCTTATCATACTGTACTGTACCATAGTACTGTATTGTAACGTTGTGTACTGAGTCACACACAGACACATCAACACAACAACAACAACATCAAGTCGGACCATCCTGACCCAAGGAAGTTCCTGAACCGAAAGACGTTCCTGATTCAATTGAACATCCCCACATAAGGGATAGTTCAATTTACTGTACAACAGTACAAGTCTCTCGTTGGTTCCACTTGAACCGACCTGACCCGACAACAATGTCGAACCCGAAGGAAAACGAATACGCCCGAAAGTTCAACACGGACTATTCGCGGCGCCTGACCTCAACGCGCCGTATGCACTACGGCACTCCGGTCAGGATAAAGTCAGCCGTCATCAACGGACTCAACGAAGTCAGCCGAGGCAAGGGAGAAGCGCAACGAGCGGATCCTCCTCGCCGATTCCAACCGTCCGATGACAGCTTCGAGGACGCCCACGATAAGACGTTCCTCGAGCCTCGAGCTGGCTTAGCAGCCCCGTCCCACCGACCGGGGGAAATGGAGCATCTGCAGGCTGAGACCACATTGTCTCATGCCGAGGCGGAACACCACATGGTGTACCGACCTCTACGGACTCAACAGAAGGACTTCAACTGAGCTCACAGAAAGCTCAGGAGTCGGTAACGACTACGAAAGTCACCGACGCCGGACACACATCACCTAACCAGACGGATGACGTGAAGAGGTCGACATCGCCCAACTCGGGTAGAGCGACTTCACCGACCTTGAAGGTCGGAGAGAAGCAACCGATAACGGAAATCGGTCAAGTCCAACCGACCACAGAAGTCGGTAGGGCTTCACCAACCTCTAAGGACGGTCAACGGAAACCGACCTCGGGGGTCGGTTATCCTCAACCGGAGGACGGACCTCATCTGACAACACAAGTTGGAATTGAGGTTAGAAGACTACAGCAATCACCAACCAAGGAAGTTGGCCAAGTCCAACCGACAACAGAAGTCGGGAGGATTTCGCCAACCAAGAAGGATGGAAGTCCACCGACCAAGGAGGTTGGTCAACAGAAGCCACCTGCTGAGGTCGGACCTCACCCGACAACACAAGTCGGAACTGAGGTCGGACTACTTCCACCGACCAAGGTCGGTCAACAAAGGCAGACCATGGAGGTCGGACCTCGTCCGACAACACAAGTCGGAACTGAGGTCGGGCAACTTCCACCGACCTCAGAGGTCGGACAACAGCAAGTCGGTCAAGTACAACCGACCTCCCTGGAAAAGAAGCCAGTCGATACAAGGTCGGATATGGATATCCAGTGGCCTAAACTACCGGCCAAAACGGGAGAAACCGAAGCCCCACCACGAAGTGGACCTCACCCGGCTGGATCACCAACCAACATACCGATGCCTAACGAAAAGGCCATCTCACCGTCAAGTCGACCTTCGCCAACGGAAAGCAGGTCGACCCGAGCAACAGAAACTCAACCGAAGGTGAAGTCGCCAACAAGTCGACTTGTCGACCTAAAGAAGAGTCGCCACTCATGTTCGAACTTGGCGACTCGGGTAGTGGAACACCACCACCCATGGACGACGTATTTGACACGACACAAGTGTCACGTCCCAGCAACCGGGATGGATTCTTCCGAACGCCAGTGGCACCCTACTTGGGTAACCACAGGTACCAAGCAAGCACGCTTGAGTACACGGCACGGAAGTGGATTGCATCCACACCCCCAGAAAAGATCGAAGACATCGATCGACTCCGGAAACGATGCCAGGATTTGATAACACAAATCGTCCTGGCCGACCAAATCGTTAACTCCACGGAAAATCAGATGTCGCGATCGGAGGACACCCATAGCTCGAACGGAAGCGATGGGAGAAGAACTAGCTGAGGCCAACAATGGCATTGCTGCGCAACAGCGCCGCATCGAACACTTAGAGAGTCATCTCAAGAGGTCCGACAACCCATGTCGGTACGACTTCGAAGAGATCGAACGACTCCGGAGTACACTTGCAACGTCAGTGGAATCGGTCTTCGAACTGAAGAGACGCCTTGCCACCGTGGAAAAAGACCTGGCTGACACACAAACAGCCTTGGTCGAATCGGAACTGGCAGCAGGGACGTTCCACCAACAGTTGAAGCAGGCCAATGAAGAGGCCGAAGTGTACCGGAACGAGGTCGACAGATACATTGTCGAACTCAAGCAGGCCGACGACGAGGTCGACCGGCAGAAATATCGAATCGAACAACTCGAAGGGAGATGGAAACTCTCCTGGTCAGGGCAGGACGACAGCTAATGGCTCACTACGGCCAGCAACCTGCCTCACCGACCGAAGTAGAGCTACCACCGACCTGGAACAAGCAAACGCCCAATTGGCCGACCAGGTCTACGGACTAAATGATGTGCTGAAGGAAGAACAAAGACTCCGAGCACAGCTGGAACACAACCTGGCAGAAGCCCAGAAGGTGTACGAAGCGCAACAGAATCGCATCGCACACTTGGAAGTCCGCG